ATTAAATGAGGCAAATGAGGCAATAGTGAGACCTTACTGTGGGCTTCAATGTCTGCATATGCTTGGGACTCCCTCGATTGAAGCTGTTCGACTGTCTCATGGTGTTCAGCTTCATGCTTCAAAAACTAGGCACTGACTGGGCAATGACACAAATGAACTAGAGGGAGAACGAAGACACCAGATACACTAAAACAAGGGTGTGTTGCACTGCTGTTAAAAAACTTTGCTGGAGCTTCATTCAAACCCAAAGTGATCAACTTTTGTTTTATGTAGAGCTGATTTTCATCTGCTTGGGGATGACAAGTCCAGGGGTGAGGAAGGAAGTTGGCAAACTATTACAGTTGGCTGACGTTGCTTGTAATAATTTTGGTAACATGAGGGACTAAGAAGAAAAGAGAAGTGGCCACATGTTGCTTTTAACTACAGTATAAGTGCAACTGCGATTGTTTCAACACCACCCTGTTGAAATCCACCTTCCAACCAAGTAGGTAGACAGTGTGCAGACAGACCAACACAGATGTACAAATGTAACATGCTGTAGCACTTTTTTGTCAGTAGGAGCACCCAGATGTTTTAGAACCCAAAGCATGGATATCTTCACCCTTGCTCAGGTTCTTGAGGGGAGATGGGAGTTTGCCCAACCAGTCCAGATGTGTTTTGTGGACTTGGAGAAGGCCTACGACCATGTCCCTAGGGGAATCCTGTGGGGGGTGCTCCGGGAGTACGGGGTGGATGGTTCCTTATTAAGGGTCGTCCAATCCCTTTACCAAAGGAGCTTGGTCCGTGTAGCCGGCTGTAAGTCGGACTCATTTACAGTGAGAGTTGGACTCCGACAGGGCTGCCCTTTTGTCACCGGTTCTGTTCATAACCTTTATGGACAAAATTTCTAGTCGCAGCCGGGGGTTGGAGAGTGTCAAATTCGGCAGGCAGAGGATTGCATCGTTGCTTTTTGCAGATGATGTGGTTCTTTGAGCTTCATCGAGCAGTGACCTTCAGCTCTTGCTGGGGCAGTTAGCGGCCGAGTGTGAAACGGCTGGGATGCGAATCCGCACCTCCAAGTACGAGGCCACGGTCCTCAGTCAGAAAAAGGTTGAATGCCTACTCCAGGTCGGAGGGGAGGTCCTGCCTCAAGTGGAGGAGTTCAAGTATCTCAGGATTTTGTTCATGAGTGAGGGTAGGATGGAGCAGGAGATCGACAGGCGGATTGGAGCGACGTCAGCAGTGATGCGGACGCTTAACCGATCAGTCGTGGTAAGGAAAGACTTGAACCAAGGCTAGACTCTCGATTTAGCGGCCGTTCTACGTGCTGATCCTACCCTGTGGCCATGAACTTAGGGTGATGTCTTAAAGAACAAGATCGTGGATACAAGCGGCCTAAATGGGTTTCCTTCGCAGGGTGGCCGGGCTCAGCCTTAGAGATAGGGTAAGGAGCTCGAACACTCGGGAGACGCTCAGAGTAGAACCGCTGCTCCTCCACGTCGAGAGGAGTCGGCTGAGGTGGCTCGGGCATCTGGTTAGGATGCCTTCTGGACGCCTCCTGTTAGAGGTGTTCCAGACATGTCCCACCGGGAGGAGACCTCGTGGCCGGCCCAGGACCAGGTGGAGGGATTATATCTCTCGCCTAGCCTGGGAGCGCCTGGGAAACCCCCTGGAGGAGCTGGTGGAAGTGGCTGGGATGAGGGCCATCTGGGCTTCCCTCCTGAAGCTGTTGCCCCCGTGACCCGGACCCGGATGAAGTGGAAGAAAACGACGACAAAGACAGCATGGATATCTTGCACATCTGAGAAGACGCCATTTACAGGTTTTAGAGCAGCATATACCCATTCCCTTCTCGGGGAAGACCATGTATATTCCAGCAAGACAATGCCAAACCACATTCTGCTTGTAATGCAACAGCATGGCTCTGTAGTAGAAGAGTCAAAAATGGCTCGCCTGTAGTCCTCATTGACAAGCATCAGTTTCTCTCATCGCCACAGCTGTAAAATCACACTGCAATAATGTGCGCCTTTAAAAATGCACAGTGCATTTTTGAAACTTTGTGGATTTTCAAGGAGAATGCTCCAAATTCATGAATTGACTTTCTCATGCTTATCAGGCCATCTAAAAACTCATCTTTTCTTCTGTCGACACTTTCACCTCTAAAAATTGAACCTTTCATTTTTACTCTCTTGAGTGGAATAATCCGTACATACTTGCTTTTTCTTTGGGTGCTGACTCCATTAAGTGTGAGGTCAGTGTGTCAGCAGGAGCCCTGAAGCTTGGAGACATCTCTCTGGCATCCCACTCGAGCTACAAGCAAGCGTAAATTGTCTGCACACATCAATGCACGAGCACACAGAGCCTCACACATCTTGAGGGCCTCTCAAACTGAATTAATAATGGCGATTTTTACAAGAATGTGGGGCACACAACAAGAGGACTCGATCTGCTTCTCCTCAGAGAGTTTCAGAGGAGACAAGGTGGGACAAACGATGACAACTATACATCTGTGATTGTGCCTGAGGCTGTGCGCTACAACATGCAACACAAGAGGAGCAGATAAATATCCACTCACACTCGGGGGTAGATTAACAAAGATATAAATAATCTGCCTCTGATAGAATGACAAAGACAACAAAACCCATTATCTGTTACACACAAGACCCTCAGGGGGCAGAGTGGTGATTGGATGATGCAGAAAATTAACCGTGTTCAGGACATTGATTAAAAAGACTGCGATATCGGGTAGATGTTCCACTGTTGTTGGACAGTAGTTGTAAGGGCCAAGAGTGTAAACTTTCAGATAAGAAAATAGCCTGTTAACATTCAATACAATGAGAAAAACAGAATTTTCCATCCTGTTTGACTTGTGACTCTGCAAAAATACCTCCATATCATCTATGACTGCTCAGATTTGACACCCAGTTTTCTCAACCTAAAGGTACCTGGAGGGGACAGACTGCTGAGATGACACAAAGAAAATCCTGTTCATCAGTAAGTCAACATGGAGCATTCAACAACTATTTTAAACACCTTGAATAATTTGAAGGCTGTCCCTTTTTTATCGTACTGTTATTTTCTGCAGGTTGAATTTAAAACGCATGAGTGTTTAATAAGGAGCAGTGATGGAGTAAAAACAAAGCTCCTGATGACACCATGTGGTTCTACCATGAAGTGCAGATCACTGCGGTTCCCCACTCTAAATTTGTTAATATGAATTTTATTTTTACTGTAGATGGAAATTAAAAGTAATATGGACTGTCTTTTATTTTTGCATTTGGTTACTATGGATGAAATTCAGCTATTGTGCTAATTACTGCATATTTACATTGATGCATTATGCAAAAATATTGTTTTCTTTTACTGACACTGATTATATTGATTGAACTGATGCCTTATGTTTTTAAGAAGAGGCTTTCCTATGTCATTTTTGATTCTCTGGCTGGCTCACATAATCTAGATAATTGGATGTACGATAACTAAAATTAAATTCAGCATGTGTTTGATTTGAAGTGGAAAACATCAGGTTAAAGTTGTTGAAATATTTGCACAGTACACAACAATTAGATATCAATATTAATGACACAGAAAAACTTTGATTGTCATGCTGACAAGAGATGTAGTTTAGATGTAATTTATCAATTCAATTTAGAGAACAAAGCCAGTGTTAGTGTATCACTCTAACTCTATAAACTTGGACTACTTCTGGCCTGTATTGTGCAACTGTAAACATATTTCACTTTATTGCTCGGCAGCCAGAGGACTCCTTTTTAAAATGAGTACATGAATTTGTATTCAGCCGACTCTCCCTGGAGACTGAGGTCCTGCGAGGCTCGTTCTTCGCCTGAACTGTTTCACATTCTCTCACAGTCTACAGGCACATTGTTCAATTCGACCCCAACAGGCCAATGAAAGTGTCACCACAAATCACAGCAGCCCTGCTCCTCTGTTCTGGGCCTCTTGACTCAGTCAGAGCCAAACACACAGCAGTGAAGCTGAGAGGGCAGGAGCTGTGATTTATTTTTTAAGAAGAAGAAAAAGAAGTAGTAGAAGAAGAAGAGGAAGAAGAGTCTGCTAACAAATGGAGATGGATTGAGAGGAGCACAACTCCAGTGGACCTTTCCCACTGAGCATTTTTTGGTCAAAAAAAGGTCTAATAAACGTCTAAATGTAGCCTAGACGACTGGTCTAAAATCAGGCCACCACAGGTCTAAAAATGAAAATTTCTTAGATATCTAAATTTAGACTAATTTTAGACCAAATCTAAATCTGGGCTTTATCTTTTCTACACTGTATTTTGCTCAATGGATGAATATTTTGGTTAAGTACTTGGAGATCAGTTATGCAACTCACAGTTGTTTGTTTGAAATAAATAATTATCGAAAAATGGGTTAAAGTTTCTTGCTTTCTATCCCCCTTTTATTTACATTTCTTCTTCTTACCTATTTTATGTTTTTATTTTGGTCCTCGTGGTCCCATTTTCTGTTGTAGGGTTTTTGTATTGTCTGGGTTTCTTATGACGAATGAAATTGGCCTTCAATTCGGAGGACTTGTTTTTAACTGAGCTCTTGTTTTTTATTAAAAGTGCTTTAAAAATAAAGTTATTATCATTATCAGTCATCACAATCCCAAAACACTGCCATGACCCGGATTCGAACCGGGGTTGCTGCGGCCACAACGCAGAGTAATAACCACTATACGATCACAACGAGTTGCAAATTTGCTGCATAGGATAAAACTGGTGTCGACTGAGCACTCCTCGTTTTTTTGTCGTTAATTCAGCTCTTCCTTTATTTTAAAATGCGCACATATTAAAATAACTACGGTAAACGCTCGGACTCTTGTAGGAGTTAGGCTGTAATATTAAAATATAGAGGGAAAACCTGGAAAAGTATTTGTGGATTGATGCTGTGCGAACTGGTGAAGTTTAAGAGAGCAACCGTTGGATTACAGCGCCCCCTAGTGGGGGAAGACTCCACCTGTAGGCTGGGGTTACCCCTGACTCCTTAGTTTTTACATCATAAACAGATGAGTCAACAGAGGGACGGGCAGACCGAGAGCAGGGACGCAGTCACACTCAGCTGGTAGTTAAGGAAATATTGACAGACTGAAGAACAGGATTAAAAAAACTTATTCAGTATATTATTTTGTCTAAAAAGAAGACTGACTATCTTGACAGTAACAGGAGCTGAAGTGGTTTACAGGAATGAATGCGGACAGAGAGGAGCAGGAAGACGAACTGTTGGCTCTCCAGAGTATTTTTGATGCGGAAGAGTTCGTCCGGGATGAGTCGAAGTTTGCCGGAGAAATACGAGTGTGTGTCGAGCTGCCTGCGGACTTTACAGTGCTTCTTAAAGAAGGTAAAACAATAATTTACACAGACAGAGGAGTACTTAAAACACGAAAAGTAAAAAGTTTTACTGTATTATAATTACACGGACCCCAAAAGTGGACATGTTTTGGCATGTTTCCGTCACTCTGACTTTATTTTGTTACCTCGGGATTACAGCCTCATGAGGAAGACTTTAAAGCTAAAGTTATTGACAGATCATCATGTGAAATCTCTCCATAAATCTCCATATAAGATTTATAACAAAGTGTTAAATCTGGTATAAAATCCAGGTTAGGGTGTAAAAACTGGGATTTTTTTCTTGTAAATTCTGTTTGTTTTTTTGCTCAGGTGAATCTCAGAGGCAGTATAAGATCTCTTACCTCCCTCCTCTACATCTGACCTTTGAACTCCCTGAGGACTACCCTTCCTCCTCCCCTCCCTCCTTCACTCTCACCTGCAGCTGGCTGACACACACTCAGGTAATCAGTGGAGGTAAAGTGGGTCAATCAAAACACTATCTGTCACATTTACTACAGGGTGTGTGAAGGTGTCATAGTGTAGATGAAAGGTTACATCAGTCCATCTCTACTCTCTTTCCACAGCTCTCTGCACTGACTACTCAGCTCAATGATCTCTATCAGGCCACTGGGGGCGCTGTGGTGCTCTTCACCTGGATCCAGTTTCTCAAAGAGGATGCCCTCGGGTTTCTGGACATCAGTTCTCTACTGGAGCTCCCATCAGATGAGGTGTCCAACCTCTCACAGCTGTCCTCAGGAGAAAAGCATCAGACTGGGGATTTTGCCAGTGACCAGGATCCTCAACCATCAAAAGTGAGCAGTGAAGATCCTCAGGAAGCTGAGGAGCTAGGCCGAAATAGTCCAGTATCTCACTACAGCTCAGCTACTCAGAGTGGTCCTAACTCAGAGTCTGATGAAGAGGGATCTGAAGACCAGAGGCTAGAAACCTCAGGATTAAAGGCTGTCTCAGAGGACGACCATGAGGACACTGTAAATGGAGGTGACTCTTCAGCCTCATTGCTACCCTCCTCTAACTCACCACAACCACAGGATCCATGTGGACCTGCTTCTGTGCTGGTCCACTCTAAAGAGTCCACACATAAAGACAACCAAAAACCCTCTGGTCCCTCCTTAACTCCGTCACAGGCCCTCCTGTCCCAGATCTTAATCTACAATGCAGCCCAGAAACAGAAAGAGTTTTCCACCACTGTGTTTGACTGTGGGGTGTGTTTCGTGGGTTGGCTTGGTTCTGACTGTGTGCAGCTGTTTGAGTGTGGCCACATCTTCTGCAGGGGTTGTCTGGGTGGGTTTTTTAAGCTCCAGATAACAGAGGGGAACATCCGGGGCGTCAGATGTCCTGATGGAGACTGCACTGCAACCCCTACACCTGCACAGGTACAGTCATGAGCTGTGTGTAAATATTAATATATTTGTAAGAAGCATATGTCTGCAGTAATAATGTTGTAACTAATAACTCTCATATTTACTGCCAAGTTTAACCCCTTGATGGCAAGTCTCTAAAAATGTTTTTTATTCTCGTATCTTTGAAGGTGCAGAGTTTGGTTGGTGAGGAACTGTTCAGCCGCTATGATCGCCTCCTGCTTCAGATGACTCTTGATCGCATGGCTGGTTTGTTTCCTTCATATTTACGTAAAACTGAGCATGTATCAAATTGACTTTATCTAAGATTCAAAACAGTTTTTGTAGGTAGTTATTGAATAGACTTTTTCAAACTGGTAGTGATGAGCGCATTAAATGTTTAGTTCTCTTTTAATTATTTCAATGAATTTAAGAATATTTAACATACCAAACAGGATCAAACCATCATCTTCTTGAAAACAAACCTAAACTCTTTTCTCCTTGTAGATGTGGTGTACTGTCCTCGACGTACCTGCGCTGCTGCTTGTATTATGGAGAAGTCCAGCAGGGCAGCGATGTGCTCTGTGTGCGACTTTGCCTTCTGCGTGGCCTGCAAAAAAACCTACCATGGAACAGACAAGTGTCAAAACGAGAAGAGGAAGGATGAGGAATCAGAACATTCACAGAACACTGCATTGCCACGAACAATAGGTATAAGAAACTTGACAAGAATCTTTGATTTTACTGCATGCTGGTCTATCACTATAAGTCACAGTGGTCAAAAGTAACATAAAAAGATTATAGATAGCTTGGTACCGCTGTAGAAAAGACCCCATCTAAAACGACCTTTCATCCACCTTTGATAATAGACCTACACTGCCACTGGGTTGTTCGCTCAGTTTTTCTATATGGAAATGTGTATCTAAACTAGTGATCTTTGTGTGCATATGTGTGTGCTTGTGTGTGGACATGCTTCAGAGGGGTTAAAAGCTCTGTGGGCAGATTATTCCAAAGGTAGTAAGGAGAGGAAGAAGCTCCTGGAGAGCAGATACGGTCGCAGTAGGGTGCAATTCACTGTCCAGGAGGGTCTCAGTGAACAGTGGATTGTCGTCAACAGCAAAAACTGTCCCCACTGTTTCTGCAAAATTGAGGTATTCATATTCTCTATAATCTTTATTGAAAAAAGAGCTGACTGTTTCAGATGGCTGGTTTTGCTAACGTATGTTTTTGTTTTTTATTATAGAAGCATGGTGGATGTAACATGATGACGTGCGCTCAGTGTCACCAGTACTTCTGCTGGGCTTGCCTCTCTGCAGTGCCATGGGGTCGTTCAGGTTCACACTACAGTCAAAGTCCCGACTGCTTGTTATCACTTTAATCCCTGTGGTATACTTCCATCAGCCACAAATTAAGTTGCTTACACAAAATTTGCACTATTATTCTATTTTAAATGTGTTTTTCTTTGATATGCTGTCAAAACTGACAATTTGTGACACAGTTGGTTCTGAGAACTGATGTAGGTAAATGTTGTAACGCTCTAAATATAATTTATTTTGCTTATGATCTGCAAACAAAGCATTTTAGTACTGAGTTTTTAACAATATTTGATCAACATATATTCAACATTGAACACAAACTTGACAAAACAGAAATAAAAAATGTCTTACTAACCTCTTTGTTGATCAACTGAATGACGAAGTGATAACAGCAGGAGGAGTCTGGTTTCAAACTTTTTGTAATGCAGGTGTATTTAAAAACATGCTTTTGAAAAAGTCTATCGTGTGGATATCTTCACCAATAAAGCTCTTTTAAAATGATTTATGAAAATACAGTGATGTGTATGTTCAAAACAATTCATGGGGTACTATCACCAGAGTGGTTTTGTGAGTTAACTGTCCGTACAAAGTTTGTTAACCATTCCTTCTAATGGTCTATAATAGTGAGCGGGACCATGTGTAATACCACGGACAGTAAAGGTGGATCACAGGGTTGTACTGACAGGCTTAACATGGAGAAGAAGGTTTGCATCTAAGTTCTTCTAATACATAACTGATCTAACACAATAAGTGTCCACAATAAGGTAGTTTTTCTATATAATATATCTATAAAGTGTTGAAAATGGGAGCTGCCTGAGTGGTCATGGAGTTAGTTCAAGTTTTTCTGAGTTTATACAAATGTTAGAATTATGTTACATTTTCTCAGCATCTGGCATAAAAAAGTTGTACCCAGAATTTTTTAAAACTTTAAGCCTTAGGCAACTTGCAGCTCCACCCTAAGGACAAACTTAATAAACACTTTTCGAAAGAGGAAAAATTCCCTGCAGCCTACAATTTGATTGACATCAAGTTATGATGCATTGTTAAAACTGTTGAGGTGTGAGAGGCTGAAATGTATGGACTGAAAGGCTGAATAATGCGTGTTAGTGATAAGAAAGTTGTTGCAACAGGTGTTGTCTATCACTCCCTTAAAACAAAAAAAAAAAAGTCTAAAGTCAATGGTTTATTTAATGTTTATTTACAAACAAATATCTTTAAATTATCTCTCTGTGAACATAACATTGAAGCACAGCAGAAAGTATGAATTAGACACTTAAGTACGTTTACAATGAGTTTAGACAACTCTGACTGCAGCCACTTACTCCATAGTTTAAAAAAAACTGTTTTGGGGTCTAGAGACAAATTCTTTTCTGTCTGGGATTCAGAGTTGAAGCATTTAAGTAAACTTAAAACTGTACCCACTTAATACCCCTTAGCACCCATCCTGTTTGTGATTGTGATCAAACCCATGTGAACCTTATTGTCCTGTTTTGCGCACAGCTTCAGTGTTCGCGAACTCATGAATGTGCTCAAATATGTTTACAATTCCATTCAATTAACCTTTTTTTCCCTAGACTGGTGTCCCAACATGTTTGTAGGAAAGGGGGCTATTATATAATATAAACATGACCATTGTGATCCTTCTGTATGTTTATCTATGTACAATATTGTTGATGCTCAATTAAAAGACAATCAAAAAAATCTGTGTTTTACATGACGACCCTGAATGCCTCATATTTACCTTGCCTGAATCATAAACACTGTAGGTTGGGGTTGCCGCGGAGTCCTGAGTTTTGCATCATAAACAGATGAGTCAACAGTGGGACGGGCAGACCGGGAGCAGGCACGAAATCAGACTCTCAGCTGAGACAGTTACGGAAGTATCCACGAAATCGCACAGCTGGATTTAAACAATTCATTCCGCATAATTTCTGCTACAAAGTAGAGTGACAGTCTTAAAATCACAAGGAGCTGAAGAGATTTACAGCAGGGACTCGAGGAATGAATGCGGACAGAGAGGAGCAGGAAGACGAACTGTTGGCTCTCCAGAGTATTTTTGATTCGGAAGAGTTCGTCCGGGATGAGTCGAAGTTTGCCGGAGAAATACGAGTGTGTGTCGAGCTGCCTGCGGACTTTACAGTGCTTCTTAAAGAAGGTAAATAGAAAAAATAAATATTACAAAAAATGCAAAAAAGAAAGACACGAACAGGAGGGTTCAGTGTTACCGACGGCACAGGTTGACCTGCCTTGTGTCAACTTAATTCTGATACAACTGTTAATAATCAGCAGACTCTTCAGGTTCTTTGGTAGCTGTATGACATTTGTATTAATGAACTGTGGTCAAACCAGCGGACACTAAAATTAGGGTACCCGCGTATTCTATCCTTTGCGTGCGACCCCGAACGAGCGAGCAGGTACCAATGCGACTTCCGGTTTTCAAAATAAGATTCTAAAAACAGTGAATGAAGAATTTCGGATATCTAAATGTTTGACAATACACGTGTTTGACCGTTAATTTCCGGCAACGCTTAATGCACATGAGTATAGGACATCTCTGACTACTGTCAGACTAGGACTTATTCATTTTACTTTATCATTTTAGAGAAATGTCACTTTGAAATGGTTATATTTCTTACTTTTGTGATACTATAAAAGCAAATTGCTTCATAATTTTTGACAATGCTTGATGTACTTGAGTAGGAGACATCTCTGACTACTTACACACTGAGAATCATTCATTTTTACAGTATTGTTTTAGAGAAATTTCACATTCAAGGTCCTACATTTGTACTTTGAAATAGTTACATTTCTCATTTTTCTGATACTGTAAAAGCAAATCGCTTCATAGTTTCTGGCAATGTTTGATGTACATGAGGAGAAGACATCTCTGACTACTCTCACAGACAATTATTCATTTTTACTGTTTCATTTTAGAGAAATTTCACATTAAAAGTCCTACATTTGTACTTTGAAATGGTAACATATCTCAATTTGGTTTCACTGTATAAGCAAATTGCTCCTTAATTTCTGGCAATGCTTAATGTACATGAGTAGAAGACATCTCTGACTACTTACACACATGGAATTATTAATTTTTAATGTATCATATTTGAGAAATTTCACATAAAAAGTCAAAATTTCACATTAAAAGTCCTACAAAGAATTCCCATCCGGAAGGAGACCCCAAGGCTGACCCAGAGCGCACTGGAGGGATTAAATATCCTTTCTAAGAGGGGGCTGAAAAATGTAGCTCGGGTAAAAGCAGTGCTCGAGTTGGGGGGGATAGCCCCCAGAAGTGAAAATGGTAAAAATCATCCCCCTTCTACAACAGTCATCACAGCTTTCCATCCCATTTTTTCCAGCCATTTTTATGCGGAAATATTACTCGGATTTTAACATGGGAAATATTGCCACCATTTTAACGCCAAGCGGGTGTGACGGTGCGGCGTCCTCACTGACTGCGGGCAGAGCATGGAGACACACATACCGACATACACGACTAACATTTCCCTCCCAAACCAGCGTCGCTACTTACCCACCAAACAGCGCTACTTTTCCTTCTCCCTTCTCTGTTGGATTGGGTTACCAAGGGTGCACACTTGGAGCTCTATCAGTTAACTTAAACATACATTCACACAGACATTTATCCCTCCACTTACTTGCTGAGCGTCCATTCACATCATGCTGGCTCAGGTGTCCAAATGAGGAAACAGAGCTCGTGGTTTCCGGGTGTAAAATAGATGGTATGGCGGGTTAAAGTGGTTACATGATGAAAGAAAAATTAATTCCCCTGTTGTTTGCCACAAATCCCTCAAAAATATGTTTCATTGACTTGTGTAAAAACTTGGTTAAAATGGTAAAAACTTTCAGAAAAAGTTCTGAAGGTTAAAAGTGTAAAAAATGGTTTTAATTTGAATAAATGAGTTTTTTCCAAACTTATCTAATTAATAACGCCCACTGGGAGGGGCTAGGAGGGGTTTAAAAGATGGCTGCCTGTGCCTTTCTCTGAGTCTGGAGTTTGTTACATGGAAGGTTCTGCCAAACTAACTTTTGTAGTGCTGCTGTGGTTTTTTTTAAATGTATTTATTTATTTTAAGTAAGAATCTTGAGATATAGTGGATATATATATTTTTTTGCCTTGTACATTTTTAAGTAATATTTGATAATTTTTTTTATGCTTTAGTAAATATTTTTGCACGGCACCTTGGAAGGCCGGCTGAAAATAAAAATAACCGTCACCGTATTTCTCTACTACACCTGTGTTTTTCCACTATATTTTAATTCTTCGATTGAGAACCCTGTGACAGGGGGCCTCGTGCATATTTAGTAAAATACTCTGGGTGAGGAAGCACATGTGAAAAAGACACTTTTTCCCCTTTTTTTTTTGAAAATAAATGACGTCAGTATGTGGCGAAGCAGCACTGGTGACGCTGTTGCTATTTCAGTATGATGGCCGAGCGACATGGGCATCTCAATCCAAGGGATAATATAATATAATATGATAATTATCTTTGTGCTTTAGCAACAATGAAATGGGTAACACAGTTGGTTTTCCGCCGTGTGATCTGTCAGCAGAACAAAATATCTGTCCATAGAAATAAAATCCACCATCAACCCTGATTTTTTTGACAGCTGGATTACTGGGTAAAAGATGTCTGGATCGACTTTCTTCGACTGCTGCCTCCAGAGCCCATGCTCAGAGTAATGCCTGGGCCAGGATTAAGCATTTATTAATCATTGTTATTACTGTTTTTATTATTTGCTCAGGTGAATCTCAGAGGCAGTATGAGATATCTCACCTCCCTCCTCTACATCTGACCTTTGAACTCCCTGAGAACTACCCTTCCTCCTCCCCTCCCTCCTTCACTCTCACCTGCAGCTGGCTGACACACACTCAGGTAATCAGTGGAGGTAAAGTGGGTCAATCCAAACACTATCTGTCACATTTACTACAGGGTGTGTGAAGGTGTCATAGTGTAGATGAAAGGTTACATCAGTCCATCTCTACTCTCTTTCCACAGCTCTCTACACTGACTGCTCAGCTCAATGATCTCTATCAGGCCACTGGGGGCGCTGTGGTGCTCTTCACCTGGATCCAGTTCCTCAAAGAGGATAACCTTGGGTTTCTGGACATCAGTTCTCTACTAGAGCTCCCATCAGATGAGGTGTCCAACCTCTCTGTACTGTCCCCTGGAGAAAAGCATCAGACTGGAGATCTTGCCAGTGACCAGGATCCTCAACCATCAAAAGTGAGCAGTGTAGATCCTCAGGAGGCTAAGGAGCTGGGCCGAAATAGTCCAGTATCTCACTACAGCTCAGCTACTCAGAGTGGTCCTAACTCAGAGTCTGATGAGGGGGGATCTGAAGACCAGAGGCTAGAAACCTCAGGATTAAAGGCTGTCTCAGAGGATGACCACGAGGACACTGTAAATGGAGGTGACTCTTCAGCCTCATTGCTACCCTCCTCTAACTCACCACACCCACTGGATCCAAGTGGACCTGCTTCTGTGCTGGTCCACTCTAAAGAGTTCACACATAAAGACAACCAAACGCCCTCTGGTCCCTCCTTAACTCCGTCACAGGTCCTCCTGTCCCAGATCTTAATCTACAATGCATCCCAGAAACAGAAAGAGTTTTCCACCACTGTGTTTGACTGTGGGGTGTGTTTCGTGGGTTGGCTTGGTTCTGACTGTGTGCAGCTGTTTGAGTGTGGCCACATCTTCTGCAGGGGTTGTCTGGGTGAGTTCTTTAAGCTCCAGATAACAGAGGGGAACATCCGGGGCGTCAGATGTCCTGATGGAGGCTGCCCTGCAACCCCTACACCTGCACAGGTACAGTCATGAGGTTTCTGTCTGTCCTCTCTTTAAAACACTCAGAAGGAATACGAGACAGATTTTACCATGAATTAAAATGAATTTTAGTTAAAGCATGAACTCTAAATTGGTACGAGTGTATGTATTTTTAATGCAATTTTAAACTTTTTTCGTTCTTGTAACTTTACAAATTTCAATCAATCAATTTTTATTTATAAATCGCCAAATCACAACAATTGTTACATCAAGACGCCCTCCAAAAAACAGGTCCAGACCTAACTCATTGTTTGATGTATTACAACATTTGAATTCCTAAGTTAATAGTTAGTTTTGTGTAGTTACATCTTCACAAAACACACCTACAGCTGTTGCTCAGGTTACCTCTTGAATCTATTGAATTTCATTGAGAGTATACTATCTTATTTCTTTTGTTATTTTCATATCTTTGAAGGTACAGAGTTTGGTCGGGGAGGAACTGTTCAGCCGCTATGATCGTCTCCTGCTTCAGATGACTCTTGATCGCATGGCTGGTTTGTTTCCTTCATATTTAAATAAACTCAAGCACATATCAAATGACTTTAAATAAGAAATATCACCTTTAAGAATTTGCTTAACAGCTGTAAAATAACCTACAAAGGCAAAACAAAGAGAAAAAAAAATCATCTTTTTGAAAACAAACCTAAACTCTTTTCTCCTCGTAGATGTGGTGTACTGTCCTCGACTTACCTGCGCTGCCGCTTGCATTATGGAGAAGTCCAGCAGGGCGGCGATGTGCTCTGTGTGTGACTTTGCCTTCTGTGTGGCCTGCAACAAAACCTACCATGGAACAGACGACTGTCAGGATGAGAAGAAATGGGAGGAGGAGGAGGAGGACACAAAAGACTCAAAGGACCCTTTCAAAGCACTGCCACAGTCATCAGGTAAAAGACAACACAAACTAATGCATGCATATGAGACTCACATGTTTGCATTGATGGGGTATAATTTTGTGTATGTAACAGAGGTCAAAGGTAACCTGAAAAGATTATAGATAGCTTGGTACCACTGTAGAAAAGACCCCATCTAAAACGACCTTTCATCCACCTTTAATTATAGAGTTACACTGCCACTGGGTTGTTTGCTCAGTTTTTCTATATGGAAATGTGTATCTAAACTAGTGATCTTTGTGTGCATATTTGTGTCTGTGTGTGGACATATCTCAGAGGGGAGGGAAGCTCTGTGGGAAGACTATTCCAAGGGTAGTAAGGAGAGGAAGAGGCTCTTGGAGAGCATATACGGTCGCAAGAGGCTGCAGCTTCCTCTCCTGGACAGGCTGAGTAAAAAGTGGATTGTCGGTAACAGCAAGAAGTGTCCTCACTGTTTCTGCAACATAGAGGTATTTATATCCTCTATGATCTTCATTCAAATACAAAAATCTGACTGTATAAGACAGCTGGTTTTGCTAACATATGTTGTTGTGTTTTTAATTGTAGAAGAACGGTGGATGTAACATGATGGTATGTGGTCGGTGTAACCAGCGCTTCTGCTGGGCCTGCCTCACTGCAGTGCCATGGGATGGTTCACACTACGATGACAGTCCTGGCTGCATAAACCCAGTCTAGTCCCTGTGGTATACTTCTATCAGTCACAAATTAAGTTGCTTACACAAAAATATCACTATTATTCTATTTTTAAATGTGTTTTTCTTTGATATGCCGTCAAAACTGACAATTTGTGATGCTGCTCGTTCTGAAAACTGATGTGGTTAAATATCATAACACTCTCAATATGAATTATTTTGCTTAAGGGGTAGCTTTTATTGTCAGACCTCAGAGGGATTTTTGAAAAACTAATAGTAATTGAAAACTAATATTTTGGACCTTTTACAGTCGAGCTGATTTTGGTTCATTAAGGAAATCAAACATCTGTGTCATTTACAGTAAAATGATCAAATTATGCACCAATGAAGTTGGTGTTTTACTTGTTTGTTTGCATCTCTGGAAACAAGTTGAGAAAGATATTTTAAAAAAGTCTGCTCAGTGTGCTTCTTTCATTTTTAAATCAAAGACTATGCATTTGTACCAAAATCTTTTCTTCTCTTCCTTCGCCTTCTACCCACTAACAGTACCAAACAAACGGACTATTATTTTCAGTATATTTTAGGCTTAAACCACGCGTTAAGTATTTATATATTTGTTGCAACAGCCTCACATAACACAAAAAAGGTATATAAAGTCAATGATTTATTTCATGTTCATTTACTAACAAACAACTTCTAACTGTATGAACTCATTATAGTCCCAGTGTGCTGTTTTCTATTATCTACAAAATTTGCACTTTAATGCTGTGTTTTTTCCAAATGTGTGACTTTACACTTCAAACAGACTGCAGACTCAGAGATATAATGTCATTTAAAAACACAAAACCCTTATCACCTTATGGAAGTAAATATCTTTGTCCTAATGTGTACCAAAAATACGAAAGTTGACAGTGAGTTACACCACATGCCATAATGATGTGTGACCAGCAGGGGGCACTTGATAACAAGAGTTCCACTCATACTCCTCTGTAATTTAACCAGAGATGTCATCATAACGTTATTATGAAAAGACTTTAAATTGAACATATTTATCATGAACAGTTAAATAATCAAACAATCCAGTGATTAAGTTCAATATTAGATGAATAAGTTTTGAAAAAAGGGCAGTTCAACCCTCAGGCTTTACGCAGTAAATCATCCCCTATGCCCTCTACCTAGTTTTCTGTATTACTGCTGTTACTGCTCAAAAATAAAGCTACAACTTAATACAGGCTTGACCTCTCTCTGATCAAATGAATATTTTTTGTTACAGCTGGAGCCCATAGGAAGTCTCTGTTTACATTTTAAGTGTGGTTTTGAAAGATTTTGTCTTTTTAATTACTTGTTTTCGAGGATTTTTAGCTGCGCAGGACTTTGATTTCTGGATCTACACAATGCTATGGGTAAAAAATTAGTGATAAGGATTTATATATACAGTACATGAAAATAATATGCTATGTGGTACGGTCAGCAAAGTGGCTTTGTGGGTTTGATTGTTCTTACTCAGCACTTGTGAGGTTTTTGACAGGTAATAAATCAGACTGGCCGCAATATTGACAGTGATGGCTGAATTAATGCACCTTTAACAAAACTGACAGCTGCTTTAGTGTATTTTTAATGCCTTTAACTCCTGGGAGGGGTTCAATGTCAGACCAGATGATTGACATTTTATTTTATCCACAGTAAATATTCACAGTAAATTATGTATTTCACATTTAAAAGACGACAGGATAAGATTTTCCTGTCAGCAAACACTTTTTACTCAAGATAATGTACATAGAAGATCAGCAAAGAAACAAGAGGTGTTTCTTTGTCCACAGGGGACAAATAAACCTCTGATTTTTCCCATTGTCGTGAAATAACTAATAAAGAAAGTTGCTCTAGGGCTTCAGCTCCTGAAATTTGATGATCATAAGTGCACATTCAGCCCATATTCTGCTGAAGCGTGCAGTCCACTGTTTACATGTTCTGGTGTCGTTCAAAGGGCACCCTGCAGGTAGTCATTGTTGAGAATGCATCTACCCTCTGATTTACTTCCTGTTTTTTTTTTTTTTGTAAAAGCTTCCCTCCCTTCCTCTCTTGTTCTGGCCAAGCAGCAGAACAAAGACCACTGTTTCAAGTCCCCAGGCTCGGACATGATCGGAAATCTGCAGCTGTCTTTAGTGGTGAGCCAAAACATACTGTGGCCGTTGTGTGTGAGTGTGTGTGCTTTGCTGTGTAGGTGTATCTCTTCTAGGAAGAAATCCAGTTTCCACATTAGGGTCATCTCGTTCTCATGGCCGTCTAAATAGGTGTTTGTCTTATTGACCCACAGTCTAAAAAAGCTAGTATAGTTTGAGCAAAGCACTGTAGGTTAAAAAAGGGTTTGCTTTGTCGCAGTTATCAAAAGCACAGAGGCCACTAACAGCTTTTGTGAATGATGAAAAGAGAAGATGTGGAACATGTAGTAATAATGTTTTTATATGGTCTTTGTTTAATGTGGTTATAATTATTATTTTAGGAATAACTGTAAAAAATGACAGTAAATTGTGTAAAAATGAGAGATGAGTTGCTCATAAATGAACCTATAGAGAGTTACTGGTGCAAAGCTAATGTTCAGGCTGTCCTTTATTGAAATGAAATCTTCAGTTGCTTGAAAAATTTCCTAATGGACTCAAAGCCCATTTATTTGACAGCTAACAATCCCTCCAGTATTAAAACCCCTTACTCTAAAACCTAAAACAGCTGGGATAAAGAAGTATGACATGACATGGAGCCTTACTTCACTTTCAGTTTGTTTGCTGTCTCTGTCCATGGTGCTGAAATCTGGGGGCGTGCTCTCTGGACTCTCAAACTTGGGAGGATCCTTGTTTACACAGTGCATACCAAAGACCTTACCATCCCAACTCTCTGCCTAACTCTAACCCTGACAGCTTTTAAATATAAAATCATAAAATACTAGACTCAGAGTTCTCAGATAGGATCAAATATTGAAATCTGGTTGGTCATTGGGATGAAAAAAAAAAACTAGTCAAATTTCAAAACTTTTCAGAGGGATTGGTTAAACTATGATTTAGGAAGTCAGTGTTATCCTGAATCTAGTTAAGTGTTAAATTCTCAAAATTAAAATGTCAAAAAGCTTCTAGATTTCATACAACATGTTTTAAAAGGTGTGAAAAGATATTGCATTACCTTTGTGTCATTGTAGATAAAGCAAACATCTTGATTGTAAAAAACTAGTTGTACTTTCAATTGCAGAGGTATAAAAAAAACATCCATTTCCACTTGAAATGGAAACCCTCATTTGGTTTAATGCTGAAATACCCCATTTTGCTGTAAAATTGAACGTATTAACATCCTAGTCTAGTGTATTTCTTTGTTTGTACACACTGTGCAGAAATTAAAAGTCTTATAATCCATCCATCAAGATAATTCAAAGGCCAAAATGATGCACTAATTCGACATACTTCATAAAAAGTATGGTTGGGCAACTGCATGGTTTACATTTAGCCATCCATATGGTCAAATACTTGTTTTATTATGTCTTTTATCATATTTTTGTATTTTCTCAACTAAAAAACTAAAGTCAAAGATGGATAAAATCTTCGGGTGGTGTATCTGTTTTTCATATCGACTTATCAAAGGGGTTAGGATTGATATTTGACAGAAGGAGGACACTCTGCCCTGTATACTATAAAGGTTTTGATCTTAATGCACTAATAAGAGCTCATTCTGCACCAGCTCAACACAGAGTATATAAAAAAAAAAACCTCTGCATGAACAGATCTCATTCTGAAAGCCGACAGCATTCTTCCTGCAGCATTTTGAGGACATAAAATGGCGCAGTGGAATTATTAATTGCCAAGGTGCAAGAAGTCCCATGTAATATGAAGTATTAAAAGTAATTGATGTGCACATATAACAATTAAAATGTGATAAAACACCCTTTGTGAACACTTGATAGGGGACGAAGCAATTTGTACCTCTTGCAGCAGCTGCACATTTACGCCTCTCTGGTCTGAGGAGAAGAGCCTAGGGACTAATTTACCCGGCACTCACGATAACTACGACTAACAGCACCTACATGCGGTCATCAAAACTGTGCCACTATATCCCAGTACTCTATGTGTGCAACTACTGGCCCAATTCAAGGTCTGATTTCTTAGTTGCAAACCAAAATGAGTCACCCAGTGGCAAAAATCCAAGTGATGGATCCTCTCAAAAACTAACAGAAACCTGAGGACAGAGGAACACATTTTCGGCAATCTGTTCATGAGCATCATGAGATATCCTGCTGACAGGCAAACAAACAAACTACCAAGGGCATGAGAACAGTTTTCTTGGCAGAAGCAGTTTGAAGAATAATGAGTAATTCCTGGCTATCAGTGCAGAGGAAACTAGGCTATGTAGGGCGTCTTCTCCCAGTGAGCCAATAACAGCGTCAGCTAACAGAACGCTTATTTCCCCTGGAGCAGCACGAGCTGAGTCTTGGAAGAGAACAAATGAGACGCACATTCACTGAAATGATCATCAGCTTGGATTTTTAATATTATCTTCATGTTTATTCATCTGTCAGAAAACATACACACACACACACACAGCCGCAGAAACCAGTACATCAGTCATCCAGGCACCCATTCAGTCAGTCAGTCGGTCCGTCAGTCAGTAACGGTATATTGGCAACATTGTTCAGAGGCACTGAGAGTGTGCTGAGGTTTTCACAGAGTACAGGAGTATGTATTGTCCTGCAGGGGGGAGGTTTGTGGCTCCTTACAGTGGATGGAGGTGAAGGGTCCTGATTTCTGTCAGTGTACAAGAATGACTAAGTTTGTAGACCAGGGTACATGGGCGTTAATGTAAGGCTAAGTATAATCAAAGTGGACACTTTAACCACGGTGGCAAGAAAAGCTGCTCCTATCTGACTTGTTGGAGTTTTATTGCAACCCAGTACTCTTTAAATGTCCTCTTTTGGCCCCAGACGACTGCTGAACACTGTTACCAATCATTCCTATTCCACTCTACATTTATTTTATAGGAGTTATTAAGACAAAATACAATCAGAATTTAACTTTATCTAGTCACCAAATTAAATGTGAAAGCCTTTCTGTTGATATCAGATATTAAAATTTCATCTATACAGTCTTGTTTGAATCTGTTCCTGTTTGAAGATTTCCATCGTGTTCAGCAATGTCCGGTTTCTCTACAAATGTGTAGCTTTTATAGTTCCATCTGTTAGTTGGTGAAGTATGGACAGTTAATTACAACTTTGCCAAGACTCCCTCGCTTCCCCTCTGCTGCATGGTCACTTACTGTCTTAAACCGCACCCTTTTCAGTCCAATTAACACTTTACAAGATGTTCCTTCTGCGTGTGCATGCTTTGAATGAAGGGGTGGTCGCTTTTTTCTTTGAGCAACAACCATAGACTGTATACAGAATGGACGCTATTTGCTTCCACGCTGGGTGAAGCCACTGCGAGAACAGCACCCTCTGGTGATGGGCTGCAGTATAGGTCATAAACCCCGCCTCCTCCAGCAATCCCTATGATGTTTAAATCTGGTTAGTGTTAGATTTGTGAATTTCCTGGCAAACCTCACAGTGTCGCCCATCTACCCTGGTCTGATCAGTCCAACAGTGATACACAGAGATACAAACACATAATTAAGATTATTATACATATCCATAAAAGCTTCAACTTCTCACTTCTGTAAACATCAGGATAAAAATAATTCAGAGGCAAAAAATGACAAAGGTTTCGCTTAAACATCTCATGAGCATAATTCCCTTTTACAAACACGACGAGTGGTTTCTTTATATTCAGTGCAAAAAACACAAATGCTATCCAATGCCCTTTTATAGATTCTGCACAGCATAAAAACATTCCCAAACAATCACTCATATAAAACAGCATCCCTTTTGTCTCTCTATCATAGAAATGTCTCAACAGTTTTGTTTTTAAAGTATGACTTTAGTCATGCACAAAATAAATCAGATAGAATTTATACAGTGCAATATATAACACTTCTCCAGTATTTACAAAGAGGAACTGAAGTGTTAGTGTAAGTTTTGGTGCTGAAACACATCAGCATTGAGATAATAGCTTAGTTAATAAGAGAGAATCCACTGGATATAACAGAATTAGTGGTTCAGAGTAATACTTATACTATTTGAAAACCATTATAGCCTCTAAAATCAGCTTGATAAAAACAAACACAAACAGTACCTCAAATATTCGGACTATATCAACATATACCAGACCCTACACTAGCTAAACAGTCTCCTCAGTTCAGTTCAACCAATTTAAATGAACAAGAAGAAAATAAAAGTGAAGGTTCCCAAAATACGCGACCTCTCAGCAGATATGGCTGTATGTAAATGCTTTTAATGAACACAGTGTTTTCTAGATTTAGTTTGCACTTCACTGCTTGAAACAGATCCTAAGATGCAGATCGGTGTATTTTTGCACCAATATAGCCCACAACAACAGCAATAGACAGTGGTGTGTTTAAGCCCCTGAAATACAAATGGTGGCTTGTTGTGTAATTTTTCAGACTTTATAATTTTTTTAAAATTAGAGCTCACTGGTTTGACTATTCTCGTCAATGGAGCAAAAACAAAAAAGGAGATAAACTAACACTTTGTGGGATTTGAAAGATTATTTTGCTCTTTCTGTGTTTCTTTTTGTTGGTGTTTGCTCTCACATACCTGCCACTTTCAAGTCTGGCATCAACAGTTCCCAAGGTTCATGACTAAATGAAGCCGTTTTAAATGCCACGGGGCAGAAACTAAATACAGGAATTTTGGTATGTGTCCTGTTGTCTATCAAATTGCAGCAGAAACTAACGACCGATCTGCTGGAGTGGAAGAAAAACAGGCAGACAAAAAAATCCTCCTGTAAATGTTATATAACAGGAAACTTTTTCTGCAGTCATTTGCAACTTGTAGAAACTTATGAAGGTCCTTAAACTTTTGACAGAAGGTTCCTTTATCAAACAAGACAGCGAGCTTCATAAATAATGCAAAACTTGCCTCATTTGATTAACTTTAGCTCCCAAGCAAATATTCGACCTATTAAAGTAGAATAATGAAACATAATGAGGTGGACCTGGGACCTGTGGGGGCTCAGGGGTCACGGGGGTTCTGATTTCTCACTTGTATCGTAAAAGGAATCAATCTAAGGATGAAAAATACATCTTTGGTTGTCCATATTAAGACTAAATCTAGTAGATATTGCCACATCCTAAGAGATTCATCAACCCAGAGTTTGAGATTCAGTAATTAAGAGGAACAACAAGGTTATCTAGAAGGTCCTGGCGGCAAAGCTTGTTATTAGCTAAATTAGGCGTCTTGAAATAATGTGTTTTCCTCCATCTTAAGATTTCATGCATTCATTGAAGGTGTTCTGCACTGAGGTGCAACCCTCATTTTGAATTCAGGAGCCTGTCAACATAATAAAAGGTTGTGCCTTCCATGCTTTCAAGTAATACAAAGCATGTTATTTCTTGGAGGAGGAGGAGGAGGAGGAGGAAGGAGGAGGGAGGAGTGCTATTAACAGACTGAAAATGTGTCTCATGTTAAGAATTCCTCGACTGGTTGTGTCTCACCCACAGCTTCGGATCCAGCTCTGCTTTCAACACCTCTCCTTTGTTCTTGTTTGATTAAAAACATACAGCGCAGCGGGGCTAAAAAAACAACCTATTTTTCTATTTTCTACGCTCTGTTTGCTCCTTTTCCTGGCCGTCAATCCAGTTACATGTTTTAATTCCCCCAAACGCCAAAGCATTTCGTCCTCACAGTGTTTTCTTCCGAGTGCCCCCATGAGCGTGATCAGGTGTGTGTTCATGCTCCAGAGACAAAAATCTAAGATGTGAACAGCTGCCTGTCTCCAGAGACGACTAAACACACCAGAGAGACAGCCAGAGTGCTGCTTCATTACACTTTGTAACACATCTAATTAAGGGGGCTGATAAGGCCTTTGACTGCGTGTGTGTGAGAGAGAGTGAGTGTGCATGCAGTGGGAAAAATAGAAGATAAAGTGAAATGTTGTGAGTGTTTCCCCCACTTTAAAGCCTCAGATTTTCCTTTTTTTTTTTTTTTACTTTTCGGTGAATGTTTTGAATTCTGGACGTTAAAAGGAAAATCTGCTTCACTGCAGATGACTTGCAAATAACTTTTAACCCTTTAATGCCTTGTGTATCATATTTGATACATACGTTTATATACTTGTATCAAATCAATACGATTAACAAATTACAAAATAATAAAAAAACATGAATACAGTCCGATAAATTATAAAAATGTCCTCTTCTAGTTTATAAGTTTCCAAAAACATCTACTGTATCACACAAGACAAATGGTTTGCATTAAATAAGCTGTTGTTAAATGAAAGTAAAAGTAAATTTATGTTGTTTGGTGGTAAAAGGACTAACACTGAGGTAAAACTGAATTTGAACAATGTTGAAATTGAAAGAGTATATGAAACTAAAACAGAAATTATCCAAGTCTGTTTCTATTCTTTATCAAACAAGAGATTTACTGAATAAGAACTGCCTTCATTTGCTGTACTTTTCACTTGTGATGCCTTATATGACACACTGTGCTGAAATTAGGGGAAATGCATATAAAACGAATTTGGATCCAATAATTAAACAGCAGAAAAGATCTATTGGGATAATAAATGAAGTTGGATACCGTGATTCTACAAATCAGCTTTTTATAAAATCACAAACAATAAAATTTCTGGACATTGTATATTTAAAAACATTAGAAATTATGTTTCAAGTGGTAAATAAGACAATTCCTGTTGTTTAAGCTAAGGCAGGGGATTTATAACTTAAGGCGGCTGCTAATGTTTGAAACTTACAAAGTCAGGACTAATCAGATGTGTGTCAGTTTGGGTGAAACGATGAAATAAAGATGTGTAATTCTGTGTTAGTTTTCAGGAAGACTTTAAAATCTAAAATTATCAAAGGTTACAATGAAATTGGATTGAATTCAATTTTTCAGTTTAAGCTATTATGGGCTCTATTTTCGTTCCCCGCTGGCGGCATAGTATAAGCGCGGCATAAGTCAGGTCCGCCGTGCCAACAAGGTGTGCCCAAGCACATTTTGGTATTTTGGTGAGCGGTGCAGCCCGGCGTAAGTATCCCCTCTCCCTAGCTCAGCTCCTCCCAGCGGCGTAAGTCATAGAGAGGGTGTGGTCATTCATTCATTCAAATGAATATATTTGTTAAATTTTAAGGACATTTTTATTTTTGGGGGTTTTCAGTCGTAAGTGAAATAAACATTTCAGCTCCAAAAAAATTTGAATTTTCTGGCCATAATCTGTGGTGTCAGGCATTAAAGGGTTAAATCACTTTTTAAATACATGATTTATTTATTTTTTTTGCCTCACTAATTTTGTCTTTTCTACTCTGTTACGTCTCCTAAAAACATTTTAGACCACAGCCACGATGAAGGCACAGCGCACACTTTTAGGTAGTCAAGTTATGACTGCATACACTGCATTGTGATCACCTCAGTGCAACTAATTAGTTCACACAGACAAGTGAACAGAAACAGAAAATCACCTCTGATTCCAGTTATATAACCAGTTTTTCCACAGCGGGTTCAACGATAAAAAAATAAAAAAATAAAAAAATCAGGACCATGAGCGCACAAGGAGAAAAACAAACAAACAAACAAGAGAAATCTGCCTGAAAATCCAGACAAAATCTTTCACACTCCTCTGCAGCTGTTTCTCACTGCAGTAAAACCTGGTTATGTCCCCTCCGGGCATCAACACTGATTGGGAGAATTTAATGGTATGTCTTACAACCAAAAAACATCCAGGAGCTCAGCACACGTTCATTTGCAATTTGCAAGCTAATTACTAGTCTGGATGTAACTGCTTTCGGCTGCTTTTTGGCACCCTGAAGAGTCCAAAAGGTGTTTGTGTGTTTCTACCTCTCAGTACCATTTGAGTTGTTCCATCGTGACTAAACTTCAGCTTAGGAAATCTCAGCTTTAAAATAATGATGAGGAAAGCAGCTTTTAACTACACATGAATGTTACCAAAGTTACTTCACAATCAACTAAAAGGTCAGCTAGAATGAAGTATGAAGGGCTTAGAGTACAGTCCAAACACACACACACATACAGTGCTTATAGGTAGACATTCAGTCAGTGCACACTTTGTACAAGATTCCTGATAATTATTAAATAGATCATAAATATTTACAATATAAGCTCGGCTAATATTAACTAAAGAAGTGTTCATGTCTATTATAGCAAATCTACATCTACAATAGAACTGTAAGTTATATTTACACATTATTTATTTATGTGGGTTTGATAAAAGAAGGATGACACAGTATAGAAAGACACCAATCAATACTGACGATTGGTTTTCACTATGATTCAAAATGGCTAGCCAAAGCTAACTCTTTAGCCTAATTTTCACTAAAGGCACAAACAAGGCTAGCAGGGGTGAAGGTTTCAGCCTGATACATGACAAAGGATCACTTAGAGTTTGGCGTACAGATCCATGTAACACTGTTTCTACTGGATGATGTTTGTTGTGCTTTGTTTTGATACTAACTAACAGTGCTTTGTATTTTATGACCTCTATGAGGCTATAAACATATTCAATTTTGCTCTTTTGTGCCCTCTGTGGCTCTGTGGTCACAACTCAGACCAAAAGTCCCAGATGTAGGGCTCTTAAAAAGTACCTGCAGTGATCATTTTCACACAAAGTAAAGAAACAACTTCAAACCTCAAAAATGATTGTTTTCCCACATACAGTATGAGACCTGCTCTCACCTCGAGTGTTTGCCTCTGCGAGCCTTTTACTTCTATCTATGAAGTCTGTCTTTGTTTGTTTTCCATGGACTGCTTTTTCTCTAAATGCCCAAACCCTTTACCTGACCTCCTTTTTCCGAGTATTTCTGCACCTTCTCTCCTGTTTCGCTGTGCACCAGTAGTCCCCCTCCTTTGGCCCGAACAACCTCAAGATTTACTTGCAATTCATTTGCATTGACCTGGATCCTGAGTCAGCGTGCCACCCACTCAGCGCATCGGAGGGAAGTTGATCAGGAAGAGATAGAGGGTTAAATGTGAACTGATTCAGAGCAAAAGACGAAAATATCCAAAGTGCACACTCCTCTCGAGTGCAGAAATGTTGCAGTGTGGTTCAATACTTGGACTGGTTTAACAAAGTAATGCCCTATCAAATCAACTGAGCAAATCCAATTATAGCTTCATACTGAGGATCATTATGTCAAATATGAGGATTTAAGTATTTGATTCATTTATCAAATGAATTGCAATAATGTCTTGAGGCCATTAGGGCTAATCCATCACTAAATACGCCCTTCATAAAAGACACCGTCTTCCCTTCACTGCACTTTGGTCTTATTTCTGCTGTTCAATCTCTGTATTTTCCTTCCCCACCTCTCTCCTCTTGCGTCTCTTAGCTGTAGCCGAGGTTCTCCATCTCGTGACGGTATCTCAGCTCGGACACTTTTGCTTTGTGCTGCTTGCTCTCCAAGTGCTGCCTGAAGTCCGTCTCTTGCTCGGCTCCGCAGTTGCACATGGAGCAGTAGAACTGTCCGCTGGGAGTGACGCACATGGCCAGATCCCTCGGGATGCGCTGCCTGGGTCTGGGGTTGTAATACGGCCCTGAGGGGAAAAAGAGGGGAGAGACGGAGACAGCAGAGAAAGATAGTTAATTACAGCTGCACATTGAAGACCTTATTCATACTACATATATCTACCATGACAGTTGGAATGTCGCTTCAATATAGGACACACTTCTGATAAATATTATACAAGAAACAGAGCTTGAAATTCAATTTTGAGAAAGAAGTCGACGCTTGCTTAATTGTGGTGACACACTTTTGCAAACTGTATTCTTACTGTAGCACAGATTCATCACTGCTATAAAAAGATCAGAGACTAAAAATATTTTCATTTGTGTTTTTTCTGATATCCATGTGACTGAAGAGAGCGAGAGAGCGAGATGGCTGAAATTGAACATTTCTTTAATGACTGAACACACACTTCTAATGAGTTCTCTGAAGTTAGCTCGGAGATGAAGACACATGCTTGTTACCGATGTATCATGCGCTGATATACGATAACGAGAGAATGAGATTTGTTTCTTTGAAGTTTGAAATTAAACATATATGATTTAAACATATATGGATTTCCTGCTTCATTCTTGATAATTGGACTTCATTCTCGTCACTTTGACCTTTTTTTTTTCAAACTGAGAAAAAATTGTAATTTGAGTCTTTTCCTCATCCTCGACCCCAATATGTTGCCCATTAGATATGGTTTGATGACCCTTACCCATATTCACATAGGGTCCATGTATTATCTATCCATACAATTATTCCATTCAATCTAGTAAACGAAAAAAAACGAAAAAAAAAAAAACAAGTCAATATTTTGTTTATTGTTTTTCTGTGTAACCAAAAAATAAAAGATAAGTGTTTGTTTTCGTATTTTCAGCTCAAATCAGAATATATAATAGAGAAGGAAACGAAAGCGAAATAATAAAACTTATTTACAATTATTGATTTTGAGTGCGCCTGTTTTGAGCATACATGCATGATCCTCAGCGACAGTTACCATGGCGAAAGATGCGACAGAGCGATTCGAGCGCCAAAATCTTATGTTGCTTCAGCGTGACCCTCCTGGCGGCTTTGAATAATACGTAGGATGTGTCCATCTCCATGACAGCAGGTTAGCCTTTCTCTACCGCTCTGGCCTGGAGTTTTTGGTCCACGTTGCACAATGCATCAATTACCCGAAAGCGAAAAGTTGATTAATTATTTTGTTTCCATCTCTATTACATATGCTGTTTTGAGCTGAAAATACGAAAACAAACACTAATCTTTTATTTACACAGACCACATAGCTACCATTTACCTCTGAAGTCAAACTCAGATGTTATACTGCCAAAGTGCGAATTTCTATGTTATTATCCATATAGTAGTTCTGACAACTCTTATCTATTCAACACTACAACATAGGCCACAGTAAAGAGCTAATTTAAAGAGAAATCTGATCAGACAACAGCTATTGTTCAAATCCACTCACTTACAAGACTCTATCAGCATCTGCAAGAAAGTGGCTGAAAACTAACATTATATTATGTAGCGGTACACGATACAGAAGACAGTGCTCAAGGTCCCTGAAGACCTCTGCAGAAACTAGGAGGCTTCAGTATCCAAAATCTTGCTATCATGTTACAGATTGTGAGCTCAGAAGTTGTTTGAGGAAAAGCGAAAATTTGCAAATTAGCCAAATGTTTACACTCAAGCTAACAGACTGACACTACAGCTAGCATACAGCCGTTTGTAGGTCTGTTGGTTTGTCTGATATTTACACAGGGCTGAAGTATCTCTATATATGACATTTGGTCCTGACATTTTTGTTCCCCACAATCGTGTTCACTGATCCTCTAGTGCCTCCATTGGTGCGAACAACTAAAGTGACTAAACTGTGGTTTCTGTTGGCTAATAATGCACAACATACCACAATATTCAAATGAACAGCCTGTTTACATCCTCTTTCGTGAGCACTAAGACGCTGAGGTTAGCACATGGAACCTCAAAGACACGTCAACATACTCAGTCAACTGCTTATTTCCACCTTAATTACAATCAACACTGAATGTCTGAGAACACATAAGATTTTTCACACAAGTCCTCGTCATTCCCAAAACCAAGTCTAAAGACATCACACAAAAACTGCTCCTCTGTTTGTGATATAGATACACAAGCATGGAATACAGTCATCTGGTTGATCAGTGGAAAGAGCTGTGTGTGTGTGTGTGTGTGTGTGTGTGTGTGTGTGTGTGTGTGTGTGTGTGTTAAGGCAGAAAAACGAGACAGAGATAGGGTGAGAGATAAAAAGACAGCGAGAAGGATACAGCAGAAGAGAGAGCGGCTATTTTTGGGTTTGTCCGTCAAGAAAAAAATGATTAAATCAGCAAAAAAAATGTGTGTGAAAGAGAGAGCAAGAGAGAGAGATAGAGAGAGAGAGAGAGAGAGAGAGTGTGTGTGTGTGACAAAGACAGAAGAGGGGAGAAAGTGAATTTGCTCTACTTGATGATTTGCACGACCCAATCTTGAGCCAAGGTGCCACTGCTTTAGTCTGTGGAAAAACAGGGAAAGAGATCATGGCTTGACGTCAGCAGAAGGTCTGACGTTACCTGCTCCTGCTCTGTATCTGTTTCTCTCTCTCTCTCTCTCTCTCTCTCTCTCACACACACACATTAGGGTAAAAGCAGACGCTCACACAAGCAGACAGAAACCATGGTGGTGGAGGCTTCAGCAAACATTGTAATCTGCTAACTGTGTCTGCTGAACAGTGACGCAGCAGCTTTTGTGTCCACCCGAACAGGAGGAGGTTGATTACTTTACGCTCCATCGTGTAATTAAAACATCTTTAAGAAAAGAAAACACTGTTAACATAATGCTTTCTTAGTTTTTCTACAGCAAACAAATCCAAACCTCCAACAAAACATGCAGCTTCTGGTAAAGCGCTCAATTCATTCATTCATAACTTGTGTGATAGTCTTGTCTTAGTCATGGGGTGTTTGAGTGTTGGGTTGTGCAGGTTATGCAAAGACTGCAGACCCTCGAAGTGTCAGTCAAGAGTGTAAAGTTTTGAAATAATCCTTTCAGACATTTAAAGCGGGGTTAGCCTGCATCAAGAGCAGACTCTGTGCATATGTGACACCACCTTCTGTCTGGGACTGAGAGTGTTACCCACGGGAGTTCACACTGATGGACTAGACTGGCTGACTCGTGGGCTCAGTGGATGGTTGAGTTGACAGAACTGCCAAAGGTGGAAAAGCCTGACATTTACACTCAGGACTGTTACAGTTCAAAGTAGTGGTCATGAGGAAGGAAAGACAAACTGAGGTTGTGTAAGTACTTAGATGCTCATATAGCTGTGTGTGTGGTCAATCACTATGGCAACCGAACAAAAGAAGAGGGCAACAAATCTAACACCAGTCCATGTGCTGTAAAAGGGACCCTAATGGATAGGGGTGTTAGTGATGGACATGGCAGTTCTTTTAGATGTACTGAATCACTAGAATCAGTTCACTAAAAAGATTCGTTCAAAAGATTCGTTCACCAAATCACCGAATCATGTAGCGCTTGGTGGGAGAAGCCTGCGACTCCGACCTCCTGAACTGATACACAGCTGAACGGTTCAGGATTCAGTTTCTGGGACCGGGAGACGAGAGTGTTTGGCTGTGTTGCTTTGACAAACAGGTTTGTAAAAACGAACTTGTTTATAAGTCATGATGTTGTAAGTGTACTTTCCAATGGTATGCTATTCAAACTGAAAATGCACCGTTCCCTCGCAAACCGCTGCAGTGATGGGATGCTGTGGGTTTAATGCTCTACTTGTTACATGCTGTGTCCTATTGTATGCAAGTTGTTGTGGTGGCGATTTAGCATTGGATAAAAAAAGGTAGTTTTGACTGACAAAAATGATTCCAGAGAGTGTAGTTCAATGCGTGATTCGTTCGCGTCGGTGCATGCGGTCCCTTGTTCGCTAGCAATGCTGTTTCTCAGTTCGGTTCAGAACGTTCACTTAAAAGATTTGGTTCTTTTAAACAAATCGTTCGTGAATGACTGAACACTGAAGGGTGTCCCGATACAACTTTTTTACTTCTGATACGATACCAATATTGTAGCCTGCAGTATTGGCCGATACTGATACTGATCTGATATTGGCACAAACCTTTGCCTAACAAGTTTTGCACTCAGCTGCAACATCTTTTCAGACTTAAACATAAAAATACTGCCACACAGCCGACATCACTCCTACTCCTTCCTAATTTCAATATCGGATTGGAACATCCCTACTAATGGAGAAATTCATTCCTCTCCTATTTCTGATCAGAACGTAATGACAACCTCTAATGGACGTAATCTCTTGTGAGCTTAGCTGAAACGAGGTTGGTCATTTTAAAAGTACACAAATGTAGCAACTACATGGTTTCTTTGTTGTACTGGCCCTTTAAAATTACACTGTCCCCTATTTGTATTTTCAGCAGATCAAAGTTTTAGCAGCACTGATGTACTTACCTGGCATGGTAGCAGATATCTGTGGGCTGCGGCGGTTTTTCACCAGTCTGTATTCACTGCCATCTTTCCTGCTTCTTCTTGGGGCTGCCTCGTTGTTTCCTTCCCTAAACAGATTAAAAACATCGTTAAATCCAGATTAACTTAACTTTAGCTGCTTAAACTTTTACTTTTTATTCAGAAGTATAAGTTTCCACAAAAATCCTTGGTAGTTAAAGACCGAAGAGAAGTACAGTATTGGATCATTCAGGTATTCAAATGCTTGTATTTTTCTGGGCCTCTTTTTATCATTTTTAGATTCCTCAAAGCTGATGCTAAACCCAAATTTACTTCATACACGTCTTCTGGACCTAAACCTACATGTTACTGGCGTTCTGTTGGGCCTCGGCGAGTCTCAGTTTCTTGGCGTGGTTCTTGCCCTGATAGTGGGCCTGAGCAACTGCTGGTGAACTGAAGGAGGCGTCACACAGCTTACAATAGTCATTCTCTGTGGCGAGGATGACCCGGGTTGCTCCCTTGTAGAGTGCCTGAGGACACAGGACAAAGAGACGCAGTGTTTGTGCTGAGAGGAGCTCTGGAGTAAACAGTGACTGGAAAATGAAAACAGAAATACAACAAAACACAAATCTTTTCGACACATGTATTATTCATTTGAATGTAAATTTAGTATATTTTTAAGGTGAACAAAAATGACAAAAGCACAGGGCTGCAACGACAAGATTAAACCTTAAACCTGATGCTGGCATCAGGTTTAAACCTGATGTTTAAAGGTTTAAACCATCAAACCTGATGCTTAAACTCAGTGGTTAAATTGCACAGTCCATGTATAAAGGCATTAGAGTCCAAAAGTAACCTAAAAAATGTAATTGGCTGTTAAAGGATGGTGTGTATAAGCTACATGATCATATAAATCACACTTAAGCAAACAGCTTCAAAAACTGTAGAATTGAATTTCTGAGTTTCTGCAGAATATTAAGATAATGTTGAACTCTTTGGACTGTTTCGGTCTCCTGCAACATGGTCCAGTTTGGTTCGGTTCTAGGATTGATAAACAAAAGATATAAAAACTGATATTTCTCTGACTTCTCTACTCCTCGTGGTTCTGACTGTGCACGTGAAGGCCCAATGAATCCCAATACATCTCTCTGCATCTCAATTACAGCACCCTGCTGTCATTATCCAACAAAAGCCTTATTCAGCAAAGACAGAGTTATTTTTCACACTTAACAAAACAGGTGAATCATTTCATTCAAATCAGGTAACAACTTCTTGTCATCTTCTGTGTGTGTGTGTGTGTGTGTGTGTGTTATGTCCAGCTGTTTGCACAGCAGTTGTGTGAAATGCTCCTCTTCTCATATTGCTGCGTCTCAGTAAATTAAACGCCCTTGTACTCCTGCTTTGTTTGCATTTTGGGACTCTAACGGTGTGTAATACTTCATAGCAGCCTGTTCTCGGTGTAACTGCAGTTTTGGAGCAGAGTTATGCTTTGTCCCCGACCAGCTGCTTGGAGGGAGAAGAGAATCACAATGTATTGCACCTGAGTATCCCTAAATTGTTCTTTATTACTTCTTCAATGTCTGTGAGGCAGACTGGGATTTTTTTATGGACCGTGCAGACACCACCCGTTTGGACTTGTGCAATATTTTGTGCAATTTAGTGCTTAATAATGCACCTGCACCTAATCTTAAAGACCTTAAAACCAAACTCAAGACATACCTTTTTAGTCTTGCTTGTTTAAGTGTTTTAGCATCTATCTCTGTCTAGTTTCAATGACAGGATCGTCTTTTATTGAGCTATTTTGGTGCTCTTATTTTAGTATCTTTTACTGTTGTTTTTATTTCATTTTATTATTTCTTAAATTTTATTCTATGTTACTTTGTCTTTAGATTTTAACCTAAACCTCCAGTGTTTCCTTATCTTAAGTTTTAAAATGGCGTTTCCTCAGTGCGCACATTCCTGTTTCCATGAAATTAAGCTCTTTTTAAGTTTATGCATTTTAATACTGTTCCTGTTGTGTTTAGATTATGGGGTGGGAATGAGGGGTTGGGTTGGGGTAGATTTGGATAATTACCTCCGCCAAGGAGGTTATGTTTTTGGTAGCGCTGGTTTGTTTGTTTGTTGGTTTGTCTGTTAGCAATTTTACGGACAAAGTTACAGACGGATTGACCTGAAATTTTCACCAGAGGTGCGTCTCAGCCCCAGGAGGATCCCATTAAATTTTGGTGGTGATCCGGACAAAATTCTGGATACTGTGATCCAGAACACACAAAAATAAGAGTGTCGTTGGAATTTTCAATGCTGAAAGATAACGAATGGGCGGCAGAGTGGTGTAGATAGGCAGCACAGTGGTGTAGTGGTTAGCACTGTCGCCTCACAACCAGAAGGTCCTGGGTTCCAATCCGGGTCAGGGCATTTCTTGTTTTATGAACAGTGAACATACCAGTTTAAACACAAATAAACATTAATTAAAGACACGCAACAGCAAAAGTTCTGGTGTGAATCACAATATAAGGGGAGACAAGAGCTGCTTGGAGGAGGTCTGCGCTCTCCGAGTGCTTTTCTAGTAGTTGTTTCTTTTATCCCTTTTTCTGTGTAAAACACTTTGTGTGACATGGTTGTGTATGAAAAGTGCTATATAAATAAAGACTGATTGATAATACAAAGACAAAAATAACACTGTTACTTTAAGCTCATGGTAGTTAAATGAAATCATGTTAGAGAGAACAGGTATATCCAGTGAAATTTTAAACGCTTCCACTGTTTGTCTATCCAGGCTCTGCATTTCTCTGCCACCTCCTCTAAAGAAAATTACCTCTATCTGCACGTTGGCTCCCTTGCAAAGACAGCAGCACATCCACCTACTCAACTACAAACTGTAACATTTAGGTAGGTGGGTGCTGAATTTCCAGGTTTGGTCCTGACCTGTCTGCCTGCGTCATTGTCGTTGGATCCTGAGCTGAGCGCTGTCTGGCCGGCTCCCTCGAGTGCATCTGGGATCCTGATAGCTGGAGGCTGTTGACTGCCGGCGTAGAAATTTCTCAGCTTTTTACTGTGATTCTTCCCCTAGACACAAAGATAAAGAAATGGAGGTTGTTGTAAGTATTTAGTGAAACATTAAACATGTTTTGTACACACTTAAATGTGAACTTCCGCTGACCTGGTAATGAGCCTGTGCCTGCTGGGCTGAGTTGAGCGTAACGTTGCAGAGTTTACAGTACAGTGGTTTACACAGTTCCCCCAGTCCCAATGAGTCCTCCTGCTCCTCCACACCCAGTGGAGAACCCTCATCCTGGGGCTGCTCGCTGGCCTGATCCAGAAGAGGACCACCAGGTATGACACAGGACATCGGGTTTGGAATGGGTGCTGGTCCAGGGGGTCTTGGGGGTAGCTGTGAAGTATCAGGGCCTGGAACAGGAGGGGAGGACAAGGGGCTGGGAGGGAGGGGGAATCGTCCCGCTCCAGGAGCCACTACAGGTGGGGGCACTAAGGCCTGTTGAGGATTTAAAGGAGGAGGCCCCAGCTGTTGTGTAAGGTCCATGGTTCGAGGCACTATTGCTTGGGAATGATCTACAGGTGGGGGCAACAATGTGTGCGCCATTGGTGGAGGCCCAAGTGGTGGAGTCGGGGCCATCGGAGGGGGGCCTAAGCTATGTGGAGGGGTGATGTGAGGAGGCCTTAGTGTGCAAGGAGCAGCAGTTATGGGAGGGGGACATAAAGTCTGTGTGGGAACCATAGTTGGGGGTCCCATTGCCTGAGCAGGGGCCATAGGGGGTGGGCCAAGAGGTTGCACTGGTGCCATTGGTGGAGGTCCCAGCTGGTGTAGAGAGTCCAAGTGATGAAAAGGCTGCTGGGGGTGACTGAAGAGACTCAGAGGAGGCTTCAGCATGGTCTCTGGGCCTGTGGACATCAGATAAAACAAACTGTGTTTATTGCACAGTTGTGTTAAGATACTTGATTCTGATTGGTCGTCACACAACAGTATTAAAACATCAAAGCGATCTGCTACCTCTCGATAGCAGACCTTACTCCAAAGAAAAGACTGTAAACCTTTATTCGTCCCACGGTGGGGAAATTTGCAACGACCAATGTGAACCTACGCCTGCTCAAGCCTTTTCAAACCTTCAGTGTGCATTTGATTCAGATCTGTCATCTGGAACCTATTTAAAATGCAGAATAAAATAAGCTCATGTTCTTCACACCTTCAAAAGCAGTGAAAACAGCATTTTCTAGTAAACATGTTCGTCAAAGACTGGAGTAGACAGATATCGCTTTTTCAGTGGCCAATACTGAATATTTACAGATACTGTGAGAGATGGACGATATGTAAAGCTAAAATCTTCCTGTTACTGTTTTTCCTCCACTTGACAATAAAAATAATTCAACATGACAAGCAAAAAGGGGGAAGTTTTAGTACTAAAATGAATATCTTATTTGACTAAGGGGAAGCAGAACCATGGAGGCAGTATTTGGCTCAGTAAAATGCTGCCACAGGGGACTCTTAGATTTCTGTCCAGCTGTCTGAAAGAGTTCAAAAAGACAAAAATATGAGGCAAATATCTTTAACATTCAAATACAAAGGGAGAAATTCATGTAGGAATCCATTATTCAACGTACAATAACATCTAAAAGGTGGTTTTCTTTGCTAGCAACATGCTTTAGATGGACTTTTGATGAAAAAAGTAATACACTGGGTTATGCCTGATAAAAAGGTCAGAGGCAATATAAAACGTATATTATCATCTATTTAATAACAGCATTTATGATAGACAATAGCCAGTTGATGTTTTAGATGTGATTTGCTGTCATTTAGGATAGGATGACACGTGATTGACAGACTCTGGGACAGCTGACTGCCCCTTTAACTGGCTCTCTCCTGCCAGTTTGAATCATAAGAAATCCAGTCAGATAGTTTCAAATCATTTTCTTCTGGTAGCTACAAGGGTTGAGTCAGTGAATTTTTGTCATTTTCTTAAAAACTGCTCCAGCATCGACGTTTCATAAGCGCCTGCGCGTGTGTCAGAGATGAGAAGCCCAGCCGCCGACAGCTTCTCTGCTGTCACTCCCTCGAGCCCTCTCACCACGCTGGAGGTGTGCACTCAGACACCGACTTGAGCGTGGGTTTTTCTCTCTCAGGATAGTGTGTTTTTAAAAACCACTGGCAGAGCAAAAGTCAAAACAGCCTAAAAAAAGAAAATCACCAGAAACACGAGAGAAATGGAGTGACAGGGAGTAGCAGAGTAGAAGGAGGGAGAAAGTTCAAGCCACACTGGAAAGACCACTTAAAGGTGGGGTAGGCAGGAATCCGTTAAAGAAGCATCTTTTTTTGTGGTGTATTTACAAAAAAGCTTTTAATATCGGTCAATAGCTATTAGTTATTGATGACATTTGGTAATATAATGATATTGCTGTGTTCCCTTATGTCTGTATAGTCAACATTTTAAATTTTTTGGGCGGCCATTCTCAAATCCATTCTCTGGCTCCCCCAACCTGATTGGTTGTGAGGTAGATGCAGCTCCTTCGTGTTGTGACGCATGCTCCATGTCCTCCGATAATGTTCACGAGCCCAAACAAAGTTAGCGTGCTACAATATTGAACAGTAGAAACCAACCAGAAAGTACAGAAAATTGTCTGAATCCTCCTTTGGCCATGACTGCCAACACAAGCAAGAAAACCAAGTAAATACCGGAGACTCTGGTGGAATAACGGGCGCTTAAAAAGGAGGTAAACCGGACAAGAGCTAAAAAGTCGGGTCAACATAAGTGAAGCAAAAACGAAGGGGGACGCTTCGGGATCTTACGAACCCTGTAACCTTTCTGCTGGACAGGTCAACCGCTTTAACAAAGTAAGGTAAGTGTCTGTAACAGAAGTGTTCTTGTCAAACGGGACCTGCTACGTGTTGTAGCGCCGCTAAACCGTTTACCTCGGGTCCTGGACTATGTCACTTTATCCTAGTTGTAGAAGTCCTACAAACATTGTGTTTGCTGGTAGTCTGTTGACATCTACGGTAGCACCAATGCTTTTTACTTTCACGTTGACTGGGCCCCATTTGTAATTATCTGAAGTATTTATCTCCATTATATCTGAATTTAATTGGAACGATACGAGCAAGCAGGAGCGTCTGTTTGTGGGCGGGGCTTTCTGGAGCAGAGAGGGAGGGGAGAGGAGGAGCTGAGGGCAAAACTGGTTGGGAGGGGTAGAGTTTACATTCAAGATTTCTCCCAAAAACTGGCACTTCCTCAGATCCTGCCTACTCCACCTTTTAGTTGGCAGGGATTTAATGTCATCTTTAACTAAATCTGCCCCTCAAAGCAGGTGTAAGTTCAGTATGGTGTTGTAGGATTTACACGCTCCACTCTTCTTATTTGTAGCTACATAAATCGAGAGATGTGATAACTCAGCCTGCAGTGTGCTATAACTGATCTGCCGCAAAATGAATGTTATGTATGATTACTATGTTAGCATAATCCCAACGCAGGGCTAACAGGCTATCAACCGTTACATAAAGCTGCTGACCATGATGAGCAAGATGATAGGTGGGTTCACAGCCAAGGTATCTAAAAGATGCAGAACCACCAACGGACTGAGGAGGACATGGTGGAAAGACTACATAACAGAGTTTACAAAATAAAGTAGACTGCTTTTGCATTACATCTAATGGTTTTCTTCATGTTGAAAGTGAACTCTTGACTGTGATTTTCCATATCAAAAGCTATGTCCTCGAGCCAGCGGTTACAATAGTGAAGCCAGTGATCTTGAAAGGCCAGTGACAGATTTAGCTTGATGTCAGGCCTTGTGTCAGCTCATGAATGCCTCTGCTCAAAGTCTTAACAGCCTGCACAGTGTGTATCATAGTACACTGAGATTTATTAAGAACTGTGGGTTTCTTATTCACTACTGCAGGCTACTCGATATTCCAAAGTCTATCTGATGGTGTGTGAGCTCAGAAGTAGGTGTATCTTCTTCTATAAAGCCAGTCTGGGAAAAAATCCAGATAACATTTCCTTCCTTTTAATCTAAAAGTATGCAGTTCACAACCTTTGTTGCACATGTGCAGTTTGTCGTTGGCAGTCTGCTTCAGTTGCCTTATTTTTTCATCGTGTGTTTTGATGTTTAAACTTTGTGCAGCTGCCACACTTGGCCAGGTCGCCATTGGAAAAAAACCCTCTCATCTCAATGGCACTAACCAGGCTAAATTCAGGTTATATAAGATAGTATAAAATCAAATTTAAAAAAGACACTTTTAACCAAGCCATGCGTATTTCAAAATCTCAAAGATTACCAAGGAAAAGCATAACAATTTTCAGTTATTTACAGTCTGCAGAGGATAACTTCTAATAACTGTATTGATCTGCTCCCTTTTCATCTGTCACCTCCAGCAAGCAAAGTTTTTACCTATCAGCACAATACTCCAATTATTGGATAGCTACAGAGTTTGAACACATCAGCAAATTTCAAAGACAATGTATATGAATTTATTTTCTGATGATCTCCTGGATTTTTTCCCCTTTGTCATCAGCAGCAGGTTCAAATGTCTTAATGACTGTAAGAATTGTAGTGAGTTTTGGCACAACCTTAAAGAGTCTTTGGCTCCTGATCTACAGCTTTAAATTAGAGATGCAGTGATCAGCTGGTTTCACTGTCAACCACGCTTTGAAATATCATGCTTCTTTACAATCTTATTAATCTAAAAGCTCATCTACTCCAAGTGTTTCTGTCTTGTGCAACCTTAAAGGAACAAAAGCTCAGTGATACCTGTGATGCACCAACTCAGTGTGCTGCTGTGTTCGTCATGAGATGTGGAGGCGATGCAACATTAGCTCATCTGAGGCACCACAGAGACTGAGCAGGAATGTTTTTCATCCACTGAGAGAGCATGTGAGTACACCAGGAATGAACAAGGAGTTATTGAAGGCGACAGACCACCCATCTGTAAAACCTGCTGCAAAAAAAGTTGTCGCTAAAAGGTCAAACACATCAAACTTGGTTTACCATCTGAGGGATCACCACCCAGCACTACACCATCAAGTAAAAACTACACACAGTAACTGAGTGACATTACATTAGTTAAAAGTAACCTAAAGAAACATAAACGGGAGATCAGATATAAGCGTGTCAGTAACAATCAAGTGTGAAAGTAAAACACAGCAGAAAAGCAGAATAAAGTCTAGCATTGTAGGTTAAAATATCTGGTTTAAACCATTAAAAAATCTACAACTTGTACTCTTAAAACACTCTTCCACAAGATTTAAAGCTCCTGTGAGGGACTTGTTTGTGGGACACTAGTTTGTGTTAATCTTGGCGCCCCCTGTGGACAAAGCAGTCTTTGCTGATTTTCTCCTCGGCATGCTTAAGTAGTTTCTCCTGACAAAAAAAAAATCATCATTCTTACTTTTTACAGTTAAATGTATCATTTTACTTTTTAATATCTGCTTTTATTTTATCCATTGTTTTAATTGTTTTTTGATTGTTTTTTATGTTTGCATTGTTTTGTCTATTTATGTACAGCACTTTGTTCAGATATGGTTGTTTTAAAGTGCTTTACAAACAAAGTTGAGTTGAGTTGAATACTGTATTTTTCGCACTATAAGGCGCACTTAAAATCCTTTTGGCTTGTTGGAGCACTGCAGCTACCGTAGCCTCACAGAGTTATTGAATGAGTTAAATAAAGTTGAGCTTATCTGACTGTTTTGTTTGGCTTGAAAATAGACGCGAATAGACGCGTTCATTGATGGTGCGCCTTATAATCAGGTGCGCCTTATAGTGCGAAAATACGGTACGTGGAAATTATAATAAACAAGTCTGTTTCTTCAGCTGCTCAGTCGACACTGACCCCCTCACACCAGTTTCCAGATGTTAAGATTTATAGTATGAAAATAGTAAATCTTATTACTGGTGTTTTTTTGCTTGTTTTGGTTGGCATATAAAAGGCTTCAGAATGAATTTCTGGCTGTTTTATAAACATCAAAAAACTCCTCATAGGAGCTTTAATTATTGCAGTTAAACCAATAACACAGTGTGATAAATAAAGCATTTTCACTGGATTTCAAACAAATCAAGAGCTAGTATGGACAGGAGTTTCTTCAGCCGATTGCAAGATTAGATTAGTTGTTAAAGAAGAGGATTGAAAACTAGACATCAACACTTCTCCCACATGAATTCGACCCTGCAAAGCTCATCCTATCTGGTACAAAAACAGGATAGTTGACTTGGTATATTGAAAATCAAGCGCATGCATTACAATATCTGTAAAACTCAATCCTTCAAATGTCTTATCGTTGCATCCTGTCTTTCCACACATACATTTTCACCATTGTCAACGCTGTTTTATGATATGTGCTAACTTTAATCAACATTGCATGGATTTATAGGAGCAGTGATCTAAAGACAGTGCATTCAAACCAAATCTGTTTAGGTGGACACTTTTGTAATGCTGTATGATTTGATCTGATTCTGTCAAATGCGTCTCAAAGCAAAGGATTTAGGAAATAAAAACACTTTGACACACAATGCTATAAATGGCACCAGAAGCTAGACCCACATTGCTTGTCTCTAAAACAACCTTTCAAAATAAATGCATGATCTGCTTTGAGTTATAGACTTCTGAAGATGCTTCAGATACTGCAGGCTTAAGTGCACATGGTGTACTGGCAGATCATCATACGGACAATGAAAAGGAATCTGGTGAGAATCCAATGCCTAATGTACAGTAGCACTAAGATTATATCCTGAAGCCCTCGGGCTGGAGAGATGTAAAGAAATGTTCGAATGGGGACACATTCTTGGACAGAGGAGATTTACACTCCAGTGGGCATCAGGAAGATTAAGCTGAGCCCGCAGCGCCTGCAGCCATGCATACGGGACATTACATACACATGCATGTACGCACACACCCAAACACACACACACTCAGTCACACAGACAGTGACAATAAAATCCTCAAGCGTCCCTGATTACTCGGCCTGAAGTGTGACTGCTTGAATAGGCGCGTGTTTGTGTAAGAACCAGAAATAAATAGCATGATGTTAGGTATGTCACTGTGCTGATTTGTGTGTGTGTGTTGGTTTGTAACACTCTAATGAGCCATTATATTTGTGTTTGTGTGTGTGTGTGTGTAACTCCATACATTGACAGGTCAGTAAAAGGCCAACAGCTGTGTCAAAACTCACTGCGCTGGAAGCTTTTATCTGGAATCCAATTGGACACCCAATGGGAGTGATTCATGGCCCCAAAATAACACCCTGGGGTGTTTGTGTTTCCGACTGCTGCTTTCTGTCAGTCTGTCTGTTCAGTCCGTCTAGCTGCCTCTCCGTCACCTGGCCTGGCTGACCTCAGCAGAAAGGTATGCTGGATGACTTACTGACCTTACTATCTTATACTGAAAGATGACTCTACAAGCATGAGGATGTTAACAAGAATACATTAATAGAGTCCCTTTATGGAGCAAAACATATAAACGACTCTCAGTTTCACAGCTCATTGGCAAAGATCATTTCTATTAATGCCGTTTTATCATACTGTGATCGGCTGTTTTTGGAAGCTCCCTCTAAAAATGAGATTTTTCCGGCATCCGCAGGGAGCAGCAGCAGCAGCAGCAGTAATTTATATGCAATGAACCTCATAGGAAGTGGGATAATATTGAAAACTGCACAAGCCCTGAAGGGACATGCATTAATACATTTTATTTACCTCTGTTTCCAAATATAATGAGTAAGTTCCAGCTGCCGCCTTAAGATCTAAACTTAGTTTCGTCGCTCTCTCTCAAGAGAGAGACAACGGCTCTGGGGATACAGGTCATGATCATTTAATGTTGAACCAAGATCACGAATAAACAACTGAAGTTAAAGGTATAGATTCATGTCCATGTGGAGTTCTGATTTGTTTGGACAACCCCGTAAGAGTAATTTTGGATCAATTTTGACCAACTTACATGTCATCTTACACTTCAAAAATATGGTGGACAAAACAGGAAACACCTGGTTTTCATTTGCAAACATAAACACACAAATTGCTGAGAAATTAGTTCATAATGTTAATAAAAGGATACGGGAATGTCCAAAAGGCATTTGAGTTGATGCAGTTTAAGAAGATTGTGTTACTAATATTCATGTTTTTCACTTAACTCAAAGCAGTGCGACATCTTCCAATCCACTTCCTCATTCTGCACGTAATCAATCTCATCAGCAGCAGCCTCAGGAGAACCCTTCAGCCCTGATTGAGACAGCCTGCACCTCACTATTTCAGCAACTCAAACAGCTAAGCTGATTGCAGAGACATCATACAAAAAAAAGCACTTTTGCGGCACATGTGCAATTACTACTATTACTTAGAAAGTCAAGTCAGCCTGGTACGCCACTGTCAAACTCTAGTACTTTTTATTATGCTGCATGGTGTAACAATGAAGTTTGCGTTATCTTTACATCAGATACTAAAAGTAAACAAAGCCCATGAAAAAGGTACATCTACTGTCATATTATCAAGCCATAGCTGCTGTGAGTGGCAGAGAGAGAGGAGAGGTGGTTGAGTCACCTAAAGATAAAGCAAAGTGAGTATGCAGTGCTAATGAAAACAAAGCGGTAAAACAGAAAAAAGACATTAATCAGCTTGTCATATGTTAGTCTCTTTTAAGTGTCTTTTTCTAAAGCAGCACTGTTCAATGTGTGGTGATAAAAACAGAGAAAAAGAAACCAGGTTATGGCTGCCCAGGAGTTTCATTATTATCACTGTGGTTCTGACACACACGGGTAAGGTAAGGAGTAGACATTGTCTGAGTTTTAATAGTGTCGTCTGAAAGTCTAAAACTCTGGTATCGTAACAACCCTCCTCCACACACTGTAATTTTTTTCTGTCCTTGGTGATACTGCCTCATTTAAAATGACATTGCTCTGTGATTTATTGCTGCTATCAGATTTCTACGACCAGTACAGGTGGCCAGTGAGGATCTATAATACACACACCAGTAATGTGATGTTTTTGTTGGAGTGACAGTAATCAAGTTAACCGTGATTTAGCTTCATTTTCTCTGTAAGCGGCGCCTTGGGTTCACTAAAAAATTCGCTTTACTAAATCACCCCTACTCTTGAAAACAGGAATCTACAGCTAAAGATTTAATAATGACTCTATAGATAAAGGTATCAAAGGCTATTACTGCATTTAGTTTCTGCTTTTAATTGTGTTTTTCCCCTCAGATTAGGACTACATGATGTTGGGTAAAACAATTATTGCAATATCTGTTATCTTAGTGATTTTATATCCTACACCAGATAAATGCAGTTAAGGGTGTTTTTTTAATGTGCATAACAGACCAACAAGATATGGAAAAATACTTCATGTGCCATTACATACGAAATAATATGCATAATATGAAATGCGCCATGTCATAAATACATAAAATATTTAAAAGCATGTTTTCACACCACTCAGTCGGGACCAATTAGTCTGGGAGTGTTTAATAGTGAGATTGAGCTTCATCTGGCTGAACAAAAACAAGGTAAAAACACGGCCATTATACCCAGGCCTCTCTCCAGCAGTTAATATGATATCATTCAGAGTGAGAAAGCATTGACTGTTTGGTTAATGAGATATAATTGTACATATTTTGTGGGTTTGCTACAAAGACTCGTACAACTGCAGTATATTCAGATTATGAAGTGTGCTAAGATGAGACCATTTTTTCTTAATTTTATATTTTTCTATAACTCTATACACCCATGCACTTTGCATTATGTTTCTTTTAACACTCTTTGCACTCCTAACCGTTGCACTATTGTCTGATGCAGACTTAATTTTTTTACGTTAACGTAGACCATATACTGTATAATGTCTATCACATACATAGACTGTATATAGAATGGACGCCGTCTGCCTCCTTGCTGGCTGAAGCCACTTCGAGAACAGCACCCTCTGGTGACGGGCTGCAATATAGGTCGTAAATCCCGCCTCCGCCACAAAGCTTATGGGGCTGTGGACAAACTTTAGAAATTTATTACACAGAACATAAATTTTTCTCCCCCCTGCTTGTGATGTTGACATGTAGTTACAGTAAGACTGGTTTGTGCTCAAGTCCTCTTTTTTCTGTAAAGCTCAGTTTTTAAAAGTTATTAGGGGGTTCATGTTTTCTATGATTGACACCTGATACAGCCTATGGTCATTCAGGGATTGCATAGCTCACCCGGGGGATACACTGTTTGAGCCGAGCGTCATCACAGCTACTCTGCCGCCGAATGCGCACAACGCTACTGCGCAATGCTGGTTTCAGGAAATGAAGAAAAATCCTGGAAATGTCAAGAGCTTTTTGGCTTCAAATCCGTATACAGGCGGGAGGCGGAACCAAGTTGTCCACAGTATATACAGTCTATGCTCACATACGAAGAGAGCAAAGTCAACAAATCCTGATAAATACTCTAATATCCCTTGAAAGGCAAAGGTATGGGTTATAAAAATTTACTGATTTTTTTTTTTGATAAATATAAATGGCTGTTCTTTTGATACCTATTTAAATCAAAATTATTTCCCTCAAGGAGAGGAATCATTGCAGCAACATCTCATAATTGTCGAGATAGTTCTCAAGCCTCAGGGACAGTACAAGGGCGAAATTGTGCCCTTGCGCTGTCAAGACTCAGAATCCGTCTTAAAACTCTTAATTTTAGCTCTGACTGTGCAGATCACAAACTGTTACAAATCCACACTGCGGTAGATGAAAGCATCTATTTATATCTCCTTCTATTAAGACACAAAACAGGTCCAGCTTGCAGAGACGTCAGACCAGATCAAACAGCACAGCTGTTACATATACAGAAAAATAAGGCAGATTTTTCTGTCTTCCTCTGACAAAGGACAGGTGCAGCAAAGTCAACGTCTGTTTTTTATGAGGTCTTTCCAAATTTCTGTGTGAACCACAAAAACCAACAAGGTCAGTTTTCTCCCTCCTCAGAGACCTGTTTCCAGGCCAATAGATGTCAGCGTACGAAGATGCAGGACATACTCAGAAAGTAGACCTTGCTGCAAAGTCAAAAAAACTTTTTGTATCCGAGCTTTGGGGACAAAATCATCTTTGCGAGTCAAAACCCGGCTTATGTAACGTTGCTCAAAGCACGAGGCGGCAAGTGATGAGTAAACTGACAGCACAGTAACACTTGAACATGTTTCTGGAGAGATCGCCATCAGTTTTTTGGGGGGGGCTTCACTCTGGATTTTTTGGCTTTTCTGGTTTAGTAACAAACCACACACACACACATGCACACAAACTCCTGTCCTGAAGCCTGATCATCTCCTGGCCTCCACAGAGAATCTCTAAATAGGCCAAGTGTTCATTTTCTCTTGAGTTTTTCTTGCCATACTGTGCTGTATCACATCAATTATGGAGCAATGAGGAGCACATGCCTCCTGCACTTATTCCATCTGCTTCACTGGGCACTGGACGAAAGCTGAAAGCAGCCAAGACCAGATAGACCAGTGTCTTCCTGTACTTCTTATGTACTTGTATAGTCTTCCTTGTATAGTCTTGTATATTTTATCTATTTTTTGTATTTCTCTGTATTGCTTGTATCGGCTACTACAACAACCGAATTTCCCCTCGGGGATTAATAAAGTTCTCTATCTATCTATCTATCTATCTATCTATTATCTCGTACATGCAAAAACAAAAGTTCTGAATGACTGACAGAGAGTTGGATCCATTTTCCTTTCGAGACAAAATGATCAAAAGTTGTAAAAATCAAACAAAATGCAAATAAATCATACATGTTGGTTTGCATTTCGTCTATCTCTTGATCACTAAAACAATCAATATGGCAAGAATGCAGCATGTGCAATTTCATCCTGACAGAGGGGCTGATTTAAGATGACATTTTGATGAAGGGTCTGTAACCAGGTGGACAGATCAGCCCCATGCCATAAATCTAGATCATCTTTGTAGCAACATGATCCCTCTCTATAGCCTCAAGTCCCTGTTACCAGCAGGGAAAGCCTGTTTTCTCTCTTTTTGGCAGGGACTGTGCAGGTGCAACGAAGAAACCCTCAGTGTGAAATTGCCACATGCCACCATCAGCTGTGCAGAGCAAGCAGTGCAAAAGGCTACGAAGTGAAAGGAGCAGCATTTCTTCACTTGACAACAGACTGCATTGAGGGGAGCGTATGATTGAGGCTGTTTTAGGTTGAATTCTCACATCAGATCGAGATGCAAAACTCATCCACTCTACAGGGACAGTTAGAGTAGCTTGACATCTTTTGGATTTTGCATCGCAGCATCTTTGAGCTGAAGAGAAAGAGGGCTGATGCACCCCATTAACGTGACATTATCATGACAGCAGCACCAGGGCAACCAGGTTTCACATCAGCCTTCCTCTGTGACATCTGAAAATCTCTCTAGGTGATCGTTTTTCAACACAAACCCCTGCACAAAAGCGCATCATCACACAGCTGGGAGTCAAAGGGGAGATTGTGAATGGCATGAGCCTCTCCTTACCTGGCAATCGGGTGAGATAATGGCTGCTGTTCCCGTAGCTGACAGGCGGTGAAGTGTAGTTTCTGCAGTATTCTGCACTCTGGTAGTACGCTGCATCCCCGGTCTTTAGCTGCAGCGCCATCATCGCACTGACATCCCTTTGCCAACTTCTGCTCTCCAAAAAACCGGGCGATCCAGGCAGGATGACAGACCTTACCACACGCTCAGACACCGCGGCGTTCACCGGAGGGGGGATCTCCAGAGGTAGGAGAAACCCAGAGAGGACCAAAGCGCAGGAATAAACTCTTATCCTGAGTAGTTCATCTTATCTTGTGATTTGCATTCCAATTTTACATCGATTAAGACTTTCTCGCCTGTGATGCTTCAATTTTACAGACGGAAGCCCTGCTGGGTGTCCTCTGGCGCCCCCCTCTTCTTGGTACAGTCCATTTCCGATGCCACCGCTACTGATTTGCATGGGTGGCAATCATGACACATTGTAAAAATATGTTTCACCTCTGTGGTACACTCTGATCACCCGAGAAGGCTATTTATGAGTGACAAATCTGCTGGGTAAACAGCCAGTAGGCGTGTTTATAAAAATGATTATAACATGAGGGCAAAAAAAGAAGGAAATACAGTCATTTAGTACAGCAAAGAAGCAAGAGAAAGCTGATATCAGAGTTCAAGAGTTGTGTTTATGGCAGTGCAAGCAGCCCAAGAGGGCTTTTTGTATCAATTATATATTGGAATTTATTATATTTTAATGTATGTATATGTGTAGGCCATTACATATTAATTCAACATCATTTTAATATGTGTGTATGCTATGTTTTCATACAGCACTAATACATATTTTATCACACCTCCTGCTCACTATATCAATTGGGCATACCTATAACTAGGTTACATTCAGCATGTTCATATAATCTAATGTACACAGGCAGCCACTTTGTATTAGATTTTACATCATAGAGCATAAAGAAGCATAAACAGAGAGAAATAGACATTAACAGCAACAATAAGTAAATAATAGTAATGATTTAAGATTATTAAGTTCATTATTCTGACCTTTTGCGTACTCTCTGTACACATAGCTATGTACAATTTAACACCAGTTAATTTAATTCATTTTTAATTTCTTGGAGTTTCTTATTATTTCTTTTATCCATAAGTTCAACATCATTTTCTCTAAACGGCAAATTTCCTTTAACACAGATCATTTATGACTGACCACTTTGCATAAGCCAGGGGTGTGTCCACAGGGGCGACCAAGGGTGGCATTCACCCCCACTGAAAACTGATGGGCCACCCCAAATCTAAAGCATGTTCAGCTTTGCTTTGTCAGAACAAGACAAGTGTTTTGAGTAACTGGCTGGTTTTCACTTTGTTACGATGTAGCACGTTTTCCAAGACCTAAAGACATATATTAGTCCATGGGCCCAACAGTTATTTGGTACACCTCAGGGTGGCAAAGGTTCAACATAATTTTTGAAAAGATACATGTCTGTAGATTCAATTTTTTTACACTGGTGTATATCTGTTTCAGATTCATGACAGGGACATTTCTCAAAGTTTTACAATAGACTGTTTGGTGTCATTTTAAAGAGGACCCTCTTGGCATTTAAGCCTTTATGTGGCCATCTTAGACCAACATGGAGGTCATATATATATAATGTGAAGTGGGGACATCATACTTCCCCATAAAACTGTGTTTAGGTATATTGTAGTGGGATATTCGAGACTGGATTTCACTAACTGGTATCTGAAAATACGTTCACGTGTATATTTCCCAACCTCATGATGGGAAGAGGAGAAAAGGCAGAAGAAAAATGCATTGGCTTATTGCAAAAATTAATGTAATTTTTTTTTGGCAGTAATACTGTGTACAGAAGTTTGCTTTTATTTATTTAAGATTTTAGACGAGCTCCTTGTGAGTCTTGAACAAATTAGCTGTGGAAGAAATGAATACATTGCCACTTTGTTGTGTTAGTTTCTGTTTTACTGGTGTTGAGAAACAGAGATGGTAAATATATGACATACACATGGGTGTGTGTGTTTTCTCATATGTCTCACCCCTGCTTGTGGTGTCTCTAAATGGGCCAGTGTCAACATGTTCTCAGGAAGATACCACATAAACACCCCTATTCACCGTATCTTACAGCAGATTTTTCTAAAGGCCAGGAGATCATGAGTTGTCACATGTCTGATCACATTTTCAGAAATGTCAGAGGAGCTTTCAAAAAGCTTTTTCATTTGAAAGCTTCAGGCTTACACATTGTGATACGCCAGATGAAATTTTCAGAAACAACGGCGCCAAAAGAATCGTGTTTCATGTGATTTTATGTTACTGACAGGATCTGGAGTTACTGAGTGAAGCTGGTTAGTGCTAGTGAAAGCAGCTTATACAACATAGCCATATAGAGCAGTGGTCTCACTCTGGGACCCACATTTTCCCATGGTCCTTAAGTCGCAACCCACTTTTATAGAATTCAAAACAAGCGAATTTATTTCTTGTAAAAAAAATTAAAAATTATAGACTTTAATCTTTAACATAAATCCACTTGTTTTATTGAGTAGAGTGCATTTCAGAACACATGAAGGGGACAACATGGGGATGACAACTACTGTAGTTGCATATACCGAAAATATCAAATATCTAATAAATATCACATTAAATACTTTTTTGACCAGCTGTTCGTGACCCATTCAGAATGTGTCCGCGGCCCACTTTTGGGTCAGGACCCATCAGTTGAGAACCACTGATGTAGAGGACCACAAGGAGCTATGGCAGGTGTAAAGCTAGATCATTAACTTTGTGGACTTGTTTTTCTATATGGGATTTCAGTGCAAAGAAATAATGTACTTTTAACTTTTTCAGATAAAAGACAATATGCCTTACAACAGCTTTACCATTTGAACATCACTTCTTTCATTAACACACCTTCTCAACCTTAAGAGTTACACTTAAAAGAATGCATTAAAAAGTCCCCCCAGTTGGGCCATCAGACTTTAAAAGATATAGGTACGCCCCTGGTAGGAGTAACTAGGTGCCACGCCCACTAACATTTACATTATAAAGCTAGTTTTATTGTATTACGTACTGTGGTGATACTGTGTGCTGCTATATAAACGTTTTAATATGGTTTCCTGTGTTGGAGCATGACCGAGACATCACGTAGACCACAAATTTGTCACACTGATGAATCACACACAGTTTCACTCTTTGTGTTGGAGTGTGTGTGTGTTGGAGTGTGTCTGTGTGAGTGTGTAGGAAGGGAGGGCCTCAGACAGACAGCGTGGCTGCAGTGCTGCAGCAACACTTCATGTCCAGTCGACCAGCTTTACCCGAGAGCCCACAGCTGCTGCCCACAACAACATCCTCAGGGTTAACACTTCAGTTAGGACTTATTTCTAAAGAAAAAAAATAATACTATTTTCTTAACGAGCCTATCGCTTCAAGAGGATCTAATGACGACGCGGAGTAAGGACTCCTGCCACGGTTAGCCCCGGCTCATCACAGCCTGTTCGCCCGGAGCCGGGACTCACCAACCGCCGGCCGCTGGGATCCGGAGCGGCTGGACGGCTAACTGACTGGCATTAGCCGGGGGAGAGCCTCCAGACCCAGCATCCTCATACACTCGGCTGCGTTGACGCCCACTAGAAAGGGTAAGCTAGGACGTGAAAATACTCATATTTTAATCCTTTTAATAGGAAAACTACCTGCTTTTTAGGTTGTAATATGTATTCACCAACAAGGGCTCACCGTTAGCTGCTAGCTTGTGAACAAGACATATACAGCTACCGTTATTCATTTCTCAAATTGGATGATATTAGGAGGAAATTGAGCTTTTTCGAGAAGAGTGTTTTCACATAACTGTATAGATTACTCATTTATCCTCTGAGGAGTCATAGTATGGTGTAGCTGTCATTCCCAAACACCCTGTTAGCTAACCTGCAGCTAGCCAGTGTAGTAACCTGTCATATATATAAATGCATATATAGATTGTCTTCTAATATCCTTCTCTGTGTGTGACAGCATGAAGATGGATTGAAACATGAAGGGCGGAACTGTCCCATCATCCAAATAGGAGGGCTTCTCTCTTGGGTATGCTTCAAAAATTCCTCTCGCCATCTGTTTTCAATACATAGTTTATTATGTCCAGTAGAGATGTAATCTACACAGACATGTTGTATCCCTGTTGGCATACAGTACATCTCAAATTGGCACATCATAAGTTGGTTGCAGGAGCTGATCAGCTGTGCTATATGATATACATGTGTAGCCATAACATTAGGAACACCTGGGCAAGCCAATACAAAATACCATTAATTTAGCATTTACCAAACCTCTACATTTTCATTTTTTGACATGGTCACACAGTTGGTGTTTATTTGTTAAAGTAATTGTGTATATTGGTGGCGCATTATACTTCTTCTCATTTAAAGGTGGGGTAGGCAGGAATCTGTTAGAGAAGCATCTTTTTTTGTGGTGTATATACAAAAGAGCTTTTAATATCAGTCAATAGCTGTTAGTCATTGATGACATTTGGGAATATCACAATATTACTGTGTTTTGTTATGTCTGTCTAGTCAACATATCTGACTGTAAACAAAGACATTTCCCGCCTCCCTCATCCTGATTGGTTGTGAGGCAGATGCTACTTCGTGTCGTTCAGGAGCCTAAACAAAGTTAGCGTGCTACAATATCGGACAGTAGAAACCAACCAGAAAGTACAGAAAATTGTCTGAATCCTCCTTTGGCCACGACTGCCGACACAAGCAAGAAAACGAAGTAAATACCGGAGACTCTGGTGGTGTAACGGGCGATTAAAACGGAGGTAGACCGGACAAGAGCTAAGAAGCCAGGTCAACAATGATGGGGGATGCTTTGGGATCTTACGGACCCTGTAACCTGTAAACTGTTGACCTCGGGTCCTGGACTATGTCACTTTATCCTAGTTGTAGAAGTCCTGCAAACATTGTGTTTGCTGGTAGTCTGTTGGCATCTACAGTAGCACCAATGCTTTTTACTTTCACGTTGACTGGGCTCCATTTGTAATTATCTGAAGTATTTATCTGCATTATATCTGAATTTAATTGAAACGATTACAAAGTGAGAAGGAGCGTCTTTTTGTGGGCGGGGCTTGCTGGAGAGGGAGAGGAGAGGAGGAGCTGAGGGGAAAACTGGCTGGGAGGGGTAGAGTTTACACTCAAGATTTCTCCCAAAAACTGGCACTTCCTCAGATCCTGCCTACCCCACCTTTAAGTGTGCACAACCACCAACCGATAAATCTTAATTATTGTCTATAAAATGCAGTAATCACCTGTCTGATCACGACAACAAAAACTAAAAACAAAGAAGCCTCTTGACAGAGTTTGTGTCAGAGCTTTTGTATCGGATTGCTGTGGTATTCATAAAGTTCAATGAGGTAAGCCGTATGTTTTAGCCCATATTTAGCCCCTTTTTTCCCCCCACTTTTCCCCCAAAAGTATTGTTTCTGGAAACTGGTGACCTTAAGAATCCCACTTTGCTCACAGCTGCATGTAAACACGAAAAGCCATTCCAAAAATAGACAATTGAGCAGCACCAGTAAGAAAAACAGCCGAGGACCATACATTATCCTACAGTAATTCAGAAAAGACTGGAGTTAGAAAAAGCAGTTATCTCTGGATATATACAGTTTTTGATAAGCAGATTCACAGGTGTGTTGTTGAACATCTGTGCGTGTCATTCTGGGTCATTAAAGCTTACTTTATTTAGCAGGTATGCAAAAGTTAAGCTATGTGCACATGTTGCTGTATTTCCTGTACTGCTAAGAATTGACCTTTTAAACTGTTGCTGTTATTCTGTCTGTATTACCCCAGGGGTTGTGCGGTCATGAAATAAGGAAGAAAATGCATGACAGATTTCTTTATTTGTTTATATATATTTACAACAATGGAAGAAATACATGACTTTAGATAATTGAGAAATGTAGCTCTTATTTTGGAAAGCATCTCCTGCCCCTTAATATACTAAGAAGAAGAAGAAGAAGAAGAAGAAGAACTTTATTCATCACCGAAGGGAACTTCAATTGTCTGTTGTCTCACATAATATATCTCTAATAGTTATCTTCTGTTTACACAAGAGTTATAAAGTCTGATGGCTGTTGGTCCATATGGTACATATTACATACGTAATATGTCTCACAGCCCTCACTTTGGGAACCACTGCATGAATATATTTATAATTTGAAGGGTAATTTGGGTTCTTGGCTCAGTTGACAACAGCAAAAAAGCAACAATGGGCTAGGTATCCGAATCTGCTGTCGGCTAAACTGTAGTTTTAAATACAGAAATCAATGTTGGCCCAGATTCTTTGAGTGGGTGCATCCATAATATTCAATGTTAGATTTTTTTTTGAGCTGAAAAAATAATTAAAAAGCTAAACAAGTGGAGAAATGATGCTGTAAATCAACCGCGTTTCACAAGTGATCTCTCGAAACCACTTTGTTGTGTAATGTGGTGCAACTGGCCAGACCTTCTGCTAACAACAGCGTGTTATGTACTGCAGAGACTGAGCTTATGTGTGAACTTGCCAACCTTCCACTGTTGTGTTTCAGTATTCAAAGCAAGCTCGTGTCTCTAGGCCAATCTTTCCCCACTCCCCACATCCTGTGTTGTGAGGAAGCTTCCTCTTTTGTCCTAAAGTGCTTAGCTGCATCCTGATCAGGGTCACAGATCTCAGAACAGCTCAATAGCTGGTTTGTTCTAACTCAGGGGTTTTGAGTTTAAGCTAGTTTTTGTCCATATTTAATGCCACCATTCTTTGTAAATGATGTTTGCTCAATTTCATGCATTTTTGTCACAGTCGCAGCTTTTAGCGGGTGGAAAGTTTGAAGTTAGATGAAGATAGATCCAAGAGTTTCAGACGGGGCTTTCCCTTTCCTTTTTCTCTCTTTTATTCCATGTCGAAGTTTTATCCAACCACTCATTCAGTCTTTTCCTGGATACTTCACCTAAGTCTGTCTGTTTTCACATCATTTAGGTGCAGTTTGTGTAAAGGAACCAATGATGCTATTCAGGCACATGGACAAAAGAGTAAAACAGATTGGAGATTGTGTCCTGAACAAAAATGAGTGATTGACACGAATAGAAGGATATCTTGTATATTTTTTTCACTTTCTCATTTGGGAAAAATACACACGGTTTGCTTTCAGTTATCTCAAGTAAAAAGTAAAAATCAGGATAGGAGGTCTGAGGTCTTATAGTTGCTCAGTCTTCAGACTACTACATGGTAAAAGAGTAGTGCAAGCTCTCAGATGTCTCAGAATGAAGGTTTTGGTCTCACACACTGAGTTCTGAAGATTTCCAGAAGTATTTCAATCTCTTATTTACATCTCATTGTGATCTTTAAAGTAATTTCCACATGAGCAAAATTAAAACGATTGAAAAAAAGGAACTCAGATTTAAGTGTTGTCATGCATGACCTACTTATACCCTAATGTTAGAGCAGTGATATTAGCCGTAAAGCTCTTGGGAGGAACTTTTCATTTTTGACAGTCAAATATATCATTTACTCTAAATATTTCAAATGGAAAATGTTACTTTTGCTGACACCTACCCCTTGAAATATCATTAAAAGGCTTCAATATGAATTCTAGTCTGTTTCGTAGATGTGAAAAAACTCTTCACAGGAGTGTTTTTGGATTTGTTTTTATTAGCAGATATATTTTCTTCACATGAAAGCTGCAGCTGTGCTTTTTTAACATAGTATATCATCTTTGTGTTATTTGCATATGCCTGGTGCTGTCTGCTCTCATTTGCCTGCATTAGGTGCTAAAATGAGATCCTCTTCTTTTAAGCGCTCTAAGGGGTGAATTGAACAGCAGATTTGTCCACCTCCTCTTTTCTGGGAGTAAGTGTCCACCCCCTTTTGGCTGTAAACATTGATATTTTACCTCTTATGCCTCAAGACTCTCTCCCTCTGTTCATAAAGATATATCTGTAGTGATGTTAAGTGATTGAGCAGTCAGTTATTGTCTCTCTTCAGTTTTCAGACAAGGTCTAGGGAGGAAATACCAAGATGATACATGCCTGTATTGTCTGAGCATCTTCTACTCAGAATATCTTATCAGTAAAGTCAACCAGAGTATTTATAAGAAGTCAGTGTAAACCGTATGATACAGTAATATTAACAGCTCTTTGTGTCTCCCACTCTGATTGCCTTTTCAGGGAATTGTTTGTGTGGAGGTTAAAGGTTTCACTAAAGCATTATGTTGAAATTTTCAAAGAACTCACACAAACACATTCTTTCCCATCTCTGTGTCACAGTCCACAGTTGAGTCACTGACTGTGTTGTTCCTGTCTGTGTGAGTGTTGGACCTCTGCAGTCAGTCAAAAATAGTTGTGTCACTGAAGTCCCCGAGGATCCTGCAGTTTCCTGGTATTCTGTCTCCTTAAAGTCTGACAGTGAATTTAACGACTTAAACCTCGACTACAGATGGTAAACATTTTTTTACTTACATAACGCGGCCACAGAGCAAATGAATGGGATTTAATGAGCACAGTTTTAGGAAAATTAATAATGGGAAGTCTGAAAGAGTGCTGTACTTCGTCAAGCTTATATCCATCCATTTTCTACCGCTTATTCCCGTTCCCGGGGTCGCAGGGGGGCTGGGGCCTATCCCAGCATCTTCGCGCGAAGGCAGGGGACACCCTGGACAAGTCGCCAGTTCATCGCAGGGCTGATATATCGAGACGAACAACCATCCACGCTCACATTCACACCTATGGGCAATTTGAAAGTGGCCAATTAACCTAACCCCACTTAGGCATGTTTTTGGGATGTGGGAGGAAACCGGAGTAAACCCACGCAGACACAGGGAGAACATGCAAACTCCACACAGAAATGCCCTGAGTCAGATTTGAACCCAGGACCTTCTTGCTGTGAGGCGACAGTGCTAACCACTACACCATTATATCATCATTTTAAAATTGATCATTGGACACAATCCTTCAAAGATTTATGCAAAAGAAAACATTTTAGTGTTATAACTTCGATTATTTTCTTTTTTATTTTTTTTATTTTTTTAAACTCTTTATTTCTCAGAATTTCTTTTAACAACAAAGGTGTGAATAGGAAAGTAGATGGAAATACAAACAAACAAAAAAGACTAAACAAACAATAAAGAGGTCATGGGGTGTATATCACAGGCATAGCGGGTAAATATACATTAAATACCTATATATGCTGGGGCTGTACAGTCGCAGCAAGACCCGTCTCTTCATTATTATTAATATATGTATACATACATACATACATGCTTCGTATTTATTGTTCTTCCTCCCCCTTCTATAATGGTGTTACAATGTTTTGAGTTACTAACACTGCATTAAAGTCAGACCTATGCTTGAGCAGCGATGCTGTGCATCGGCCCAAGTATCAAAAGGCAAGTCAATATACACACTGCGCAGCCCCATCCTATCTACAGAATATTGTCAAGTACAAGAAGTCATCTTTTTTTCTTTTTTCCTTTCTCACAGTTTTCATATGAGGTCCGAGACACCATGTAGATAGCTCACCCATTTCTCCCATCTCCTTTCTCCTAATTCCTTCTGAAGTCTAAGGAAGAAGGTCATCTGTTCCAGGAGATGTAAATGATTCACAATACTAACCAATAGATCCATAGTAGGAGACTTTTCCTGAAGCCAGTTCCTGGTAATAGCTTTTTTAATTGCCACAAGTAAGACCTTGAATAGATAATAATCATCCTGAGAGAGTCCGTCCGGGAGTTGACCAAGATATAAGGATTCAAATGTACCACTGACGGTAAAACCCATCACCTTCGAAATCAGTTCTGTCGCTTCCTTCCAGAAGGGTTGCACTACAGGGCAAGACCAAAACACATGTGCATGGTCAACTTCGATTATTTTCATGGTAAATTAACATTTGTTTGATTTATAAACATATTTATCAATTGTAGATGTATGCAAGGGAGAAAAATTCTGCCTAGTGTTTTAAAACACATGTTGTTTCATTCCAATCTCAGGCGGATAAAGAAACCCATAAACATCTAATCAAAAAAGATAGGAGCTTTTTCTAATGCTTCAAAAAATTCTGTCTCTTCCCACAGACGTGTTTATCTTCCCCCACATGATCAACAACCATGTCTGATTGTTGAGCGTGCTTCATTACATGTCAGGCATCTTCTCTGTTTTTGGATTTGTGGGTGATGATAAAAGAGTGGCTCGACATATAAACTCCGCTGAGTTCTTTAACCTATTTTTAACCAGACAGCAGAATAAAATTATTAGAGAATTTAGAATAGCAAATTTTCCACTAGAAACTGCTGGAGATCTGACTTATTTCCTCTACAGTTTATAATAACAACAATAATAATAACTTTATTTTTATAGCACTTTTAAAAACAGAAGTTTACAAAGTGCTTTGACAAACAGTCGTAAAGCACAAAACATCAGCACATGGAAATAAAACCAAATCAATCAATCAATCAGTCTTAATTTATATGGCACTTTTCATACACAACCATGTAGCACAAAGTGCTTTACACAGAAAAAGGGAGAAAAAAGAAAGAAAGAAACAAAGAATACCCAAATCTACCCTAACCCAAGCCCTCATGCCCACCCCATGATCTAAATGCAACAGAAACAGTATTAAAATGCATAAACTTAAAAAGGGCGTGATTTTGTGGAAACAGGAATGTGCGCACTGAGGAAACCCCATTTTAAAACTCAAGATAAGGAAACACTGGAGGTTTAGGTTAAAATCTAAAAACAAAGTAACATACAATAAAATGAAATAAAAACAACAGTAAAAGATACTAAAATAAGAGCACCAAAACAGCTCAATAAAAGACAATCCTGTCATTAAAACTACAAAGAGAAAAATACCAAAACACTTAAAGTGAATGATAAAAATTTTAATTAAAAGCAAGACTAAAAAGGTATGTTTTCAGTCTGCTTTTAAGATCATTAAGATAAATAAAAAACAAAAACTCAGTTAAAAACAAGGCCTCTGAATTAAAGGCTACAACATAAAATAAGACCATGGGGACCAAAATAAAGACATAAAATAGGTGAGAAAAAGAAATGAGATAAAAAAAGGGTGGGTAGGAAGCAGGAAATAATGATAATAAAATCATAACAAAAAATAATTATGGTAATAGTAATGATAAGATGTAATAATAAAAATGAGCAGGAAAAAAGAATAAAATCAATAAAAGGCCCAAAAGGTTAAATAAGATAAGATTGTAAGTAAAACAAAGGCTAAAAAGACAGTAAGTCGAAATTAGATAGAGGTAAAAGAGAAAACATGAAACATTATTTCATGTTGAAATAGTTGACTAGTAATCGAGTTGTTAATATTGTTGAAGCTCTGAGGACTTTTGTATCAATGCCCAACAGTTGCTCAGGATGTTATGATATGAATGCAGCAAGACTGAGTGGGAATGATAAGAGGCAGGGTTTATTTTTACTCTCTCTCCCACCATGACAGAGGTCACCCTCCACAAACAAACTTTGATGCTGTGTTGTTGACATTTTTGGACTCCTGTGTCCTGAGTTTAGGTGCTTCTGGTAAAAGCCACTCTATCAGAATACTGTGACTTGCAAACATCCTTCTGCTTTTATGTACAGATATGATATCCAGAAAACAAAGACACCCAACTAATTCCCTCTCAAAGGGACTTTTGCACTGAGCAGCTGGATTGAATTGCCATTTAGCTTCTCTCAAACTCTGATTGAATTGCTGAAATAAATAGTTTTGGCAGTTCAGAGGTCTGTTATTGTTCCGGGCTTCTTCACTGTTCATCAAGCAGATAAAATGAAGCAATAACTGGCTTTGGTGTAAAAAAGATGAACAGTGTAGTCTGTTATGGATGTGCTGAATATCTAGTACAAGCTGAAATAATTCCAGTATTAATATTTGGTCCTATGAAGAGACTGTGTCGGTGGCTCTTTATGCACAGCTGTGACTGGAAGGGCAGGCTTGTGATTAAGGTCTTTTGGTAGATCTGATATCATCATCCTGTTGCGTGTTACTCAGGCTGAATTTCCCCAAAATTAGTCAGCTGTCTAGCATATATTTTCATTTTTTAAATGACTCGTTGAGGTCTAAGGAGGTCAGTCACTTTGCGGTCAGCATTTGTTAGGTAAATTCCCCAAGAGTGTGTGAACAAGCCTTACCAATGCTGTAAAAACAACATCCCTGTGTCACAGACATGAGACGCTGATATGAAGAGGCACTCTGACTGAACCGACGAATCTTTGCATGAGGTTGTTGGATACAATACTCATTATATGCAGGGTATGCAAAGGTGTATGTGTTTGTTAAGACCAGTGGGGTCTTATCTTGTGTCCGTCTGCAGCTCAATGTTCAGTGTGAAAGTACACAAGCTTGTAAAACTGCTTCTCTGAGATACAAGTGAACTTTAGCTGATTCAAGTCATTATGCAGATTTACTTTTGTTATATTGAGCCCTTAATTTGGGTCTATAATGATATTTTCAAATTAAATGATGCTTTAAATCCGTACGAGAGACTAAACAGCATCCGGACTGTGAGTGCAGCCTGTTGGTAAGATCTGCTGTGCCAGTTTTACACATGTCATCGGTGCTCAGCAGCCAGTCCAGTACTTGTTTTAGTCTCGCTGCTGTTTGGATGACTGAGCATGCTTGTTCTCTTAAACTCAGTGAGCACAGCTGAGCCTCGGCTACAGCGGGGAAGCAGAGCTGCAAGTTCACTGAGCTGTTCTGCAGACTCTCAAACCAAAAGTAAGTCATGTTGAATCGCATTTTTCAAATGAAGTTGACCAGATGAAGAGAGAAGTTGACAAAACAAAAGTCACATTATTTTTGTATTTCCCCCTCAAGCTCTGAGCGTTACCAGAGATGATTGTGAAAAAGGACAGCTGCATAAAAAAGATGCTGCACTAAAGTCAATTTATGAAATGCAGATTTTTATGAGTTTTGATAGGAAGTGTCAGTAAAAGCAACATTATAGTTTACAAAAAAGGAACCGGTTTAGCCATGTTGTACCTCTTTAATAAAGTCACAAGGCCCACAGACAGTTGCTCAGTTGGCAGCACTGCACTCCATGTGCGCCCATTAGGTCACCTTGAAAGTGTAGTACACGCACCTTCGAACAATCCCAGTCAGCTCGTCAAGCCTGCCACTGAGTGAGATATTAGACAAACAGCAGAGCAGAAGCATCAAAACAGCAGATCAGTAGTTCTTCTCATACTAGCACCACCGCTGTAGCTGCAGTTTGAGTGTATTTTTGGCTGGTTCTTTTACACTCGAGGATTAGACCTCCGTTTAAAAAGGCGTTGTTATCTTTCAGGTCTGGCTCTGCAGCTTAACTGTGTGACTGAGCTGGGAGACAGAGAGGAAGATGCCTCCCAGGCCGTCCTCAGGAGAGCTATGGGGCATCCACTTGATGCCCCCCAGGTATGATCCAGGAGATTCTTTATTTAACATTGTGTACGCATGAACTTCATCATAATTGCAAACCTGAAAATTGTAATGCTTAGATGTATGAGATAGTTATTCAATCATTGCGTTATCCACTATGTAACGTGCGTTTTATCTTAGTTTTTGAGCAGTCAGTGAATAATGATGCCCATTGTGTCTTCAGGATCCTGGTGGACTGCCTGCTGCCCAATGGGATGATTCTGACCCTGGAGTGTCTCCGCGAGGCCACGCTCATCACCATCAAACATGAGCTTTTTAAAGAGGCCAGAAAATATCCTCTCCATCACCTCCTACAGGAGGAGACTTCCTACATCTTTGTCAGTGTTACACAGGTATGAACTTTCAATCTCAGCTTTAATATCCGGCAGCTCGAGGTGTCCGTCTAAATGAGTTAACAAAATGGAAATCCATTTATTAAAGCTCTGGTAGAACCAGACAGCTATTTATAAAGGAGAGCAGATTTTAAACCATAGGTTGTGATAAAAAAAAGCGAACAGCTCTTTACTCATCAGATACTGCTGCTAAAATATGGCCAGAAGGTTTCTTCTCAGCGAGAACGTGTGGGAGGCTGTGCTTGCACTTTATTGTGAATGGAGAGCTCACATCTCACTCGTCCCTTTATAAAACTGAACACAGCTCAGCTTAGGTTGTCTCCTATATCCTGTATTTGAAATTACGCCACGCTTTTCCGAGACATTGTTTCTCTGCCTGAAGGGAAGACTTGGAGATATACCTTTTGGATTTTAGAAAAAATGAACTATACTGCACACAACCTCTGTGCTTCTTTTCCCTTTCCACAGGAAGCAGAGCGGGAGGAGTTCTATGATGAGACCCGGAGGCTGTGCGACCTCCGACTTTTCCAGCCCTTCCTCAAGGTTATTGAACCAGTTGGCAACAGAGAGGAAAAGATCCTTAACAGAGAGATCGGTGAGAGGTTCCTCTCTTCTCTCAGCGTTGTCATTTTTTGTCTTAGCTATTGTTAAAGGATCCTGCATTTATCAGCCGAATATCAATTTAATTTTTAAGGTTGGCAAATTACTGATCAATGTCTCAAGCTCTCAAGGGCAGTATTTAATATCTGTTGGGATATGGAGAGACAGTGGATTTGTGGATATCTCTGAACCTCATGGTTGCGTGTGATGAAAAGATATTGTGTTCCGGGCTGTTTCAGTGTTCAGATTATTGTTTTAGAAACTACAAACCATAAGGAGAGACCTCAACACACCAGTACAGCTTTAATTGTGTGCCTGACTCTGCTTTATGTTCTGGTAGGTTTTGCCATTGGTATGCCAGTGTGCGAGTTTGATCTCGTAAAGGATCCTGAGGTTCAGGACTTCAGGCGAAACATCCTGAATGTTTGCAAAGACTCTGTGGAGCTGAGGGATGCCAGCGGGCCCCACAGTAGAGCCCTGTATGTTTACCCACCCAACGTAGAATCCACACAGGAACTTCCCAAACACATCTATAGCAAACTGGACAAAGGTATGCAGCCTCTTCAGTCTGTTTCCTTTTAGTGCGTCATGAATAAAAGACGAGAAAAGAGCAAAATAGCTGCCCGAGTAAAGTAAAAGGTATGTCTTTTAAAATAATAATAAAGACAAAGAGAGCGCTAAGAGACAGCTGGAGGAAAACAGGGAGCCAGAGGTAAACATTTTAGCCTCCCATCAATATTTAATCGCTGCCATCCAGGCTGCACAATAGATGAGAGCTACAGTAATGAGCGCGGCTGTCAATGAATTGATTGTGCTGCTATTAGCGTGATGCTATTGTGTTGAAACAATGCTTTGAAAAGAGGACAGTGCTGAATAAATGCAGTCAAACCTTGGTATGAATGAAGGAGGGGGTTGTTTTTTTCGGCTGCTGCTTTAGTAAAATTTGATTTATTGACTTTTTCTTTCTCAGCCTCCATCACAATCTGTGTTTCTCTCTCCTTATGAAGGTCAGATTATTGTTGTGATCTGGGTGATTGTTTCTCCAAACAATGACAAACAGAAATATACACTGAAGATCAACCATGACTGTGTGCCTGAACAGGTAGGGAAAACTTAATACACAGTATGAATCATGAGTCACTTTTGTTTTGAAATTCAATATGAGGGGATGAAAGCATGTCTGATGTAGGCTGCTGTGCATGTATCTCAACTTAAAGGTGATTGCAGAGGCGATTCGTAAGAAGACACGCAGCATGCTGCTGTCCCCAGAGCAGCTCAAGATGTGCGTGCAGGAATATCAGGGTAAATACATCCTCAAAGTTTGTGGCTGTGATGAGTACCTGCTGGAAAAGTACCCCATCAGCCAATATAAGGTAGGAGATTCCACCTTGTGAGAGCCTTGCTGTTAAGTTAGAACTGTATTAAAAAGTATCTGGCTTCATAACTGTTCTCAATTTCCGAATGGAACAAGAAAGGACATGATAAACGTACACCTCACACCTGCTGTTGATCTGTATGCTATTCTAGGGCTGGGCGATAAACTGAAAATTTACAGATACCGAAATTCACGTCAATAACTGACGTCATTTTGCCCATATCAATATATTTGGTGTCGAAAAAACAAATAAATGAAAGTTGGTTTTGGATGTGTGTAGGTAGGCTATGGTCACATGTCCCTTTAAGACATTGTCCTATGTTGGAGACGTCATTTCACCCCATCTAGTCTGTAACTAAGAGGGAAAGACAGGTGAGGAGATGGAGGACGGTTCAAAAGTTGTAGAGGCTGAAGTAGACGAAGTTAATGAGGGAGGGGATGAGCAGCTTGTTGAGTAGTTATTGTCTATTTAATCGTTGTCGAGGTGAACTGCTCAATATATCATGATATTGATTTGAGACCATATCGCCCAGCCCTATTCTAGTTAGTGACTGTTTTTGGTTTGATTTGCTGTCATTTAGAATGAGGAAAATGTTTTTTTTACAAATTGGTCCAAAGGGAAGAAATATTTAGCACCGTTTTCTCTGCTCAGAATCTCTTGAACAAAACAAGACAACAGCACTAGTCTATCAAGCATTTTGGGATTACTACTCATATGTTCCAAAGCTGATAAGAATGGATCAGGCTCTGAGATGACGCATGTGTTTTTTACTCAAGTCAGCACCAGGATACAGCCTAAGCTGGATGAATTTCAGATTCGTTATTCATTTGAACCAATCTGCAATGGGTCAAAACAAGGTGTAGAAGAATATGTGCCCGCAGTGAGAGTCAGGAACAATCTGGCGCCAGGTTAAGGAAAGAGATATGAACTGTCCCTGTTTGCTCCTGCAGTAGCTGGAAAATGACCAAATGGCATCAGTAATCACAGTTATGCATGGTGTAACTCAAGCAGCTCTGTACTTTGGTTCTCATCGTCCTCCTGGGTTATTCTTCTCTCCGTCTCTTACCTTCTAGTATATCCGTAGTTGCATCATGCTGACCAGGATGCCTAACCTGATGCTAATGGCCAAGGACAGCCTGTACACCCAGTTGCCTACAGACAACTTTGTCATGCCGTCATACTCTCGACGCATCTCCACAGCAACATCCTACATGAACGGAGAGGCAGCTGCCAAGTCACTGTGGACCATCAACGGGACTCTGCGAATACGAATCCTGTGCGCCACTTACGTCAACGTGAATATACGGGACATAGACAAGGTAGGGGCACACAAAGGGTTTAGAGAAGTGTACGCAAACACACCTGTGTCTGAGCTAATCGATCAAATTTATTTTAATTTAATGTTTGAAATCAAGAACTGACAAAAAAGTCATATTTTCAAGCACTATCAGCAGACTATTTTCTCTGAAGTTGCTCCATTCTCCAACTCTCTTACTCCCTATGAAAACACACAGTCAGTACCCAGGTCTCATGTAAACAGAGAGTTGAGTTAGCTCATCCTGGCTTGCTGTCATGAATCATTAGTGTAGATGTAACCTGTCTCTGCAAAAGTGCTCGACTGCATGCCTCTGAAGTGTAAAGGGCATTTAACATGACAGCTGTTACATGCTATTAATTGTATACTTCTATGATAACCTGACCTACATACCATTGTTTATAACCTTACAGTGAAGATATATGACATGATATGGTTTATGTATTTGCCCTCGTTGTGTCTCTTTTATAGATCTATGTGAGAACAGGCATTTACCACGGAGGTGAGCAGATGTGTGACAATGTGAACACGCAGAGAGTACCCTGCTCTAACCCCAGGTAACGATCCCCACACCTTTTAACCGCTACAAAAGCCCGTCAGTGCGGGCTCTTATCAAATTAGGTAGTGTGTGAGCTACAAAGGGCTGAAACAGTGAGAGTCAGGGATTGTACCGTGACACTAAACTGCTGTATTATGTTACTGCTTATCCAAACTTGGTCTTCTCTTATGTCCCTGGAGAGGTTCGAGGAATGCTGTCAATACTGTTCTGTATGTGTGAGGGCAAAAATGTTAAATAGGTTGACATTTCATCCCTGTTTTTCAGCAGTATAAGATATCTGACCTTTAGTTTTGTGCCTTTTTAAGCACTTAAGATATACTGTACATCAGAGCTCAAAGTGGCACATCTCCCTTTTAGGATTTCTACCACTCGTCCTGTTTGCCTAAATTTGGTTCTTCTTGTTTGTCCCTTTCGAACCGATGACAATCTGTATGTCTTTATCCTTCACAGGTGGAATGAGTGGCTCACCTACGATATGTACATCCCAGATATACCCCGCGCCGCCAGACTCTGCCTCTCCATCTGCTCTGTCAAGGGCAGGAAGGGAGCCAAGGAGGTAGGATATAAAGCAGGGAAGGAAATGACTCTGCACTGCAGCTTTAACAAATAACATGAACTCCGCTTGCATAACAGGAAGTGTTTTACTAGGCCATTTGAAAGGAACCACTTTCATTTTTTTTTTGAACAGGAAGAAAAGTAGAGCAGTGAATGCAGGTTCTGAATAAGTCAAACAACTGAACAGTGTCCAACTCAAGCAAATCCCCGTACATCATAGCATAAAATCATACGAACACCATTGTTAGTATTTGCTATTTTAAAAAGCCACAGTTGTCTCAGACTAAAGATAGCAAAGAGCAGGTGTCCAGATCTTTTAACACCGACATGCTAACCCATCCCACAGGGACCTCACTGTCCATAGTATGGGTGCCTGCTGTGTGTGAACTGACCCTCCTCTTTGAATCAGTCTGGGTTTAAGTGTCGTCGCTGAATGGGAGCCGCGGTATCGTCTTTGGTTCCGTTTAATTACTAATCAGTCATTGACGGCGTGGTGGCAGACAACATCAACAGAAACCGTATCAGCCAAAGGGACTTTTCCATTCATGTGAGGATATACGACTATATGCTTGTGGAAAGCCACATCGAGTTCTTCCCTCTAAAGTTTTACTATTTGAACTCATGACTCTGTCTGCAGAAAAAAACGTTCTCATATAATTCAAGATTCAAACTAGGGCTGTAAAGGGAAGTTCCAAGTAAATATGAAACTTAGTATATTCTAATATTGTACTTTATATTTAAATCAGTTATTCTTTTATGGAGCGTGACATGTAGTTATTTTATGCACTCGGTTTGAATGAAGTTTATAACAGCGTGGACATTTATCTCCATGTTTAGAGCTCTTGCTATACACTCAATCAAACACTTGACAAACACCCACACTCATTGATTTTTCTTCCATCTCTCTCTGCGGTTGAAAAGATGGAAGACAGCGATAGTGTGGAGAGTATCACTGAGTGCCACACATGGATATTGTAACAGACACCTTGGGGGATGAGCCTTGTCCCATTACGCGCCATGCTAGGCGAGGTCAGGTTAGCGGATGTTCTTTCATGCCTCGCCTGAATTAAAGATAAACACTTCTCAACAGCAGCCTTTTGTTCCAGCACTTACTATAAATAGGTGCATTTTGACTAGCTGTCTGCATGTAACTCTGTCCGCCTCGCTGTGTTTGCCCTTCGTCACCCCAGTCCCATTGTTAGCCCGTAGTAAAGACTTACTCTAGCATTGAGATGTTATCTTAAACATTCCCTTAGCCTTTGTGTAGGTTAACATGTATGCTGTCGAAGAAGTGCTGCTGTTTAGGGAATGATTGTACAGAATTATAAGGTAGAGTGACTTGACATTCCCTTTTGCACCAATTAGGTGGCTGATAATACATCATACATCAGCATTCAGACAGACAAAATCTGACTTGCCAACACTGAATGATTTTGGGCGTCTTCTCATGACTGTTTTAGGTGTATTCCTGAATCTTTATAAAAGGCTTTTAAAGAAATAAAAAAGAGTAATGAGCTATTAAATCACACAAACATCATCTCAGATGTAAGCTCACTTCAGAAAATCAAAAGAATTGTTTTTAAATCTTCAGGCAGCCAGATGAAGTTTATTTCTCTTATGATGCGATATGATGCGATACATGATAACACGCAGAAGGATGCATGCATTTGCAAAAAAACAACCCATTTACCCAGAGACTTGCTTACAAATAACAACCACAAAGAACTAATCCCTGCAGTTCCCTGTTTGAGACGACACTAGGTATAGACTGCACAGAGGATATGATATCCTACAGAAGAGGATCAATAATATGATTAATGTCAGTATTTTTGCCCCTCTTCTAAGTGACTTGTTGGTTGCATTTTGTTGTTCATCTCCATGTGATAAACCTCATCAAACATCATCTATTGCTGGATGGTGGAAGGTCATGTTTTTCTCTATTTCTCCGTGTAAACTGTTACCATGCTGTTGTATCCATCGGCCAATATGTGAAATCTAAACAATGTTGAGATAACCTGTCTCAGTCAGCAGACACTGAGTTTCCGCTGCAGTAATTGAAACTGTGTAAGATGGTACCACACACAAATCACTCTCAGGATTCATATGTAATGTATATTACTAACAAATTGCACATGGGCCTCGTAATACATAACATATCAACTGAAAGAGATGGCAACAAAGTGAAGCTAACGCACGACCCCCACAGCTTCAAGAAGGCTGCACAATCGTATATCACAAGTCTCTGAACTGTTTGCTTAAAAAACCTCATGATTTTATTCTCTATCTGTGTTTGTTCCAATTTTGGGCCGTCTGACATCTCTCTTTCTCTTCTCTTTCTCTCAGGAACACTGCCCCCTAGCTTGGGGTAACATTAACTTGTTTGACTACACTCACACTCTGGTGGCCAACAAGATGGCTCTGAACCTCTGGCCTGTCCCTCATGGTCTTGAGGACCTCCTTAATCCCATAGGAGTCACTGGATCCAACCCCAATAAGGTATTCAGACATGTAATTTTTCTGTGTTTGCTCAGCTCTGTAGCAGGTTAAATACTGTTAGCTAAACCAAACATACCTGTCACATACAGGAAACCCCATGTCTGGAGCTGGAGTTTGACCACTTTAGCAGTCCAGTCAAATACCCAGATATGAATGCAGTGGAGGATCATGCAAACTGGACCATCTCAAGAGAACTGGGGTTCAACTACAACCTCTCTGGACAGGTAATTACCGGCCTACTGGTCTCATACAAGTTGGTTAAATCAGTTCCATGAGTTTTTGTGTTATGTCTGTATATCTGTCAAGAAGGTCTCATGGGAATCTCCTTGAATTTTGTTCACTCAAAGTTAGCGATGCTTTGATTAGATTGTGATATTTGAAGGTAGAGGTTGTGTTGATTCTTGATTCTTATATCAGAGAAGGAGTTTATTCATAAGCCATCCTATGAACCCTGATTACTCCCTGGCTGCATCTACCTTTAATAGTAAACACAAGTAGACTGCATTGTAGAGACTGTAGTGATTCTTTTATGTTTGAAACTTTAATGCATGTGGCACGTAAACTGAGTCCTCAAAGACCACCAAATTAAAACAAAAACAAATTGACTTCAAATACCTGAATTTTAAAAAGCATATGAGTTTAACTAATGTGCTGCACAAATACAGCGAATAAGTTTGACTATTTATGGTGTTTAAAGTATGTTTTCATAGATAAATATTGCTCAGACAGTTTTTTTTTACCAAGTTGAGGTAAGGTGCTGATGAATTTGTATGAATTTTATCAGACCCTGATGTTGCGTGTGATAATTTGACATGGACTTATGAGACCCTGATGAAGGGTGTTATGTCCTTGTTTAAGGCTCCACATTTAACGACACCATCTGCTAAATGAGTGCTGATAGTAGAGTGTAATTAATGGAAGCAGATACACTATGTTTGATGTGTAAAACACCATGTCTAATTATAGATCACTGGGATCTTTTATTAGAAAGTGCGAGAGGAGTGAGTGAGGTGCTTGATGAAGGTTGTAAATTTTCAGCCAAACAAAAGTCTGTAAAAGTTTGTTCGCGACTCGCAGTGTCCTCTGTAAACCGAGATGACCCCCGACTCTTCATGTGACTCAGGAATGCCACTGTGCCCTGTTGTGTTCAGTTATTTATGATGGTGTTGATGATGCTGCCTTATCAGATTTCTTGGCGATGTTTGGCACGACATCGCCATCGCGGCTTCTGATGTGAGAGGATGTGAGCGGTGTGAGACGACACTTTGGGTTATTCATGATGTGTGTGTCAAATGTGACAAGTGCCAAACCAAATACATGGTGTGATGAGAATTTATCAAACATATCATTAGACTCAGACGTGGCCATCAGACTGGATGACCTTATTTCATCTGAGGCTGAAAACGGAATTCAAACACATTTTTATTTCTAGGAAGATAATCAGGCAATTAAAAGAATATTTAATGCTCTTTGCTTTCCCAGAAAAGAGACTCACAAATCTATGATTAGCATTTACTGTAATGGTTGTAAGAGCCTGAGCTATAAACGGATGCGCACAGCATCTGGCTGCATTACTGTCCAGCTGTGCTCCTGCTCTGTCCCAGTTTCAGTGTCTGCTGGAAACATTACAGAAGTGAAGTATGGATAATGTGCAGAGCCATACTTATCAAAAGTCATCAATATATTTGCAGTGTCACGGATTACCGATAAATCGGCCGATTTTTTAAAATTTTTGATTAAGTTATAAAAAATGTATATATACTGTAGATATACTGTAGGCTCCACGCCGACAGAAAGACCGACTGATCAAACTCGGACCAGAAAAGCGTTTTCAACTACCCCACCCCACCCCACCCTCGCCGATCGGTGCCTCTGCGTCTTAACCCACGTTACTCATTTCCGGTCCGGTCTCATCTGGAGACATGCAGCTGCCTCAGTAAGAGAAGTAGCTCGATCACGTCATGTGTACTGATGTTTATTCTACCGTTACTGGCACGGCTAACAGTGTCGCAAGGCTAATAGCTGATGGCTAACTCTAACTTTAGCTTGCATATTACATAGTGCTTCACCGTTAACTCGGCGTGACCGAGACCAGCACAGCGGGGAACATCGTGAAGTGGGTTGAACTGAAACTTGTTGACTTATTGTGAATTTCACAAACTGGTTTATTCACCGTTGGGGCGGACCACTCTCCTCCGTGCGTCCCTGAGCTGCTTCTGATCCGTCACTCTGCTGCGCTGTGAGGTAGTTAGTGGATGAAGATTGTCATGAGGTCGCTGCGCCATCTACAGGATAAGTCGGGGGGACTTTTCAAATGGCGGAACATTTTCAAAGTGAAACCGAATCTTATTCTCCGCATTTTATCTCTGAAAATATCGGCGAAAATCTGCGAGTTTTGGCTGATTACCAATTAGTCTCAAACTGGCTAAAACTGGCCGATTTAATCAGCTCGCCGATGCATCGGTCGGGCCCTAGTTAAGAGCACAAATACACATAAGCAGCATATTGCATTGTGTTCCTTCAGCAACATCTCTATCTCATATGAAATACACACACAGCTTCTCTGAGAGTTTATCCTCGATCATTAACTTTGATTTTTTATTGATTTTTGTCTGACTGTATTTTTGTTTTTATCTGCAGCTTGATGATGAATTTGTAATTTTTATGTGTACTCTAAATGCTCTTATGGGGAGTCTTTGGGCTTTAATGTAATCGACTGAAATTCATATTGATGCCTTTTTATGACACAGTAAAACAAATGACACCATCACCAGTTTTTTACTGTAATTTTTAATGCCTGGAGCCGCTGAGAGTGGGTAGGTGTCAGTGGAGCAGCTGGAGAAATAACCTTGTTTTTATAGTTTTCGCATAAAATATTCATGATAAATGGTTGATCGTGAAAATTCAGCAGGATAAAATTTTGTATTTTTTCCAGAAGACACTACCTGAGTGTGCAGAGGACAGGATAGGGACAAACTGCTCTGTCCACAGGGGTGCCAGACTGTTTACAGCTCATGGTTGATATCTTTTTAGTCTCTGTAAGGACCTTTAAGTTGGTGTCAGTTATTTTCTTCTTAGTTATCAGACAGAATAACATGAAAGAAAATAGAGAGTAAGAACAGACAGAATAGAGTCAAAGTCAATTTCCAGTGTACCCTTTGTGCTCATTTGGAACTGTTGCCTAACCCTTTATGAAACATGACGGCTGAAATTTGTGTTACGAGATGATAAAACTAGAGCGAAGTTTCTGTTTGTTGCAGGACTAACATCAATGATTTACATATGGCTCAAATGTGGCATGTGGTTTCAGTCTGAGTTAAGCCGGAGAGCTTGACCATAACGTGTTGATTTATTTATGAGGTTAATGTGGTCTGTTGAGTAATGCTTTATCTGTAACTTGATTTGTGTCAGAAAACTTCTCTAACAGTAATGGGTCTTAATGGATTACAACTGTTAAGGCTCCAGGCGGGACCGTCGCTCTGACTCCATGTTTTGCTTTGTTTTATTGCCGCGCAAAATGTGGAGTTTTGCAGTAACCAGACAGCCGGCATGTTAGTTATGACATGTTTTGTTATGAAGTGATAAGATTTTTTTTTCTGCCTGATGTGTTTCAGAGCAACCGAGTTGCCAGAGATCACGCCCTGACAGAGAGCGACACTGAGCAGCTCAGACAGCTGAGTAACAGGGACCCTCTTTCAGAAATCACTGAGCAGGAGAAAGACTTCCTCTGGAGACACAGGTAACAGAAACAGTATTATACAATGATGGTGGCTGATCAGTCAACAGACAAGAAGAGTTAAAACACTGCAAATATCGTCAACATATATATATATTGATGCCACATGCTAAATATGTACATAAGTCAGAATACCACCCATTAAAAGTAATGTATTACTCAATATCTAGCTGAGCAAAAGTACAATTTCCAAAGTTTTGACAAAGCTGAGTTTAACATTTTATTTACCATAGGATGAAAATAAGGGTGATATGGTAACTAAAATTTAGTTTAGCTCCCAGGACTTTTATTGGAGTGTACATTTTTGCATCCTGATTTTAAATTGAAAAAATACTTTTTTAGATGCAACTTAAAAAATCTTGTTTGCAATCAATGGCCTACATTTGGGGGGGGGGGGGTGTTTTGTTGTATAGTCTGACATAGAAAATGTTGATTTTGAAAGGAAGCTAAAGGTTTTCTGACAACTCTGAAGGGGTGTACTTATGCTGAGCACCGTATAGTCTGGGACACACTGTATTTTTTCTCACCCTTCTTTTTTTCGTCACAGGCACTACTGCATGAATATCCCTGAGATTCTTCCCAAGATCCTTCTTGCTGTGAAATGGAACTCCAGGGATGAAGTAGCACAGGTAAATATACCTGCCATGCTGTTGTTAATAATGACTGTCTCATAAAACTCACCTGACCTTGAGTCTCCTGAACGAGAGCACCTGTAGGTAAAAGAAAACATCTTCTACTTCTACTTCTCTCAGTGGTTTAGAAAAGTCGTTTAACTTGAACCTTTTGAAAGATGGAAATACAAGTTTGAATTAAAAATGCACTTCCCATTAAGTCTGGTACTTTGCTTTGGCTTGCAGAGGACACTACTGCATCTCTTGCAACAGGACCGCACACTTGTACTAAATTTGTATTTATGTAATAAATGTACAAATAAGTGTATGAAGAATTCTGGTTTATTTTTTTTTTGGCTCTGTGTGCCTCCAGATGTACTGCCTGTTAAAGGAATGGCCGTCTATCCGTCCTGAGCAGGCCATGGAGCTGCTGGACTGTAACTATCCAGACCCCATGGTCAGGCACTTTGCCGTCCGCTGTCTGGAAAAATACTTGACTGATGACAAACTGTCCCAGTACCTCATCCAGCTTGTGCAGGTAGGACTAATGGAAAACTTGGGTTGTTGGCTGGAATAAAGGACTGAGAAAAAAGGAGCATATTGAGAGACTAAGACAAACCCAGACCCGTGCTCTCTTCATAGTAGCTTTCTCTAATCCTTGACAGACAGTCAGATAGTCTCATAACTGTCAGAAAGCAGCTTTTATTTGGACTGTTCATTTGTGCTGAAAGATTTCTGATCTCTGATGCCAAAAGCTTTGTTCAAAGCTTGGTCAAGGCTTCATAGAGTCTGAAACGAGTTATCTGATCCTTTTCCATTTGTGCTTTCTTCCCCTCTCTTTCTTTCTTTCTTTCTTTCTTTCTATGCTAGGTATTAAAATATGAGCAGTATCTTGACAATCCCTTGGCCCGTTTTCTCCTCAAAAAAGCCCTGACCAATCAAAGGATAGGCCATTTCTTCTTCTGGCATCTCAAGTGAGTCACCCTCCAGATTTCAGACATGCCTTCCTTTCTCTTCCTCCATCTAAAAGGCCAAAAGCCCACCCTGTCTCCACGCTTCTCACTCTCTGCCTCCCCCTCCTTGTCTTCCTCTCAGGTCAGAAATGCACAATAAAACTGTGAGCCAGAGGTTCGGGCTGCTGTTAGAAGCTTACTGCAGGGCCTGCGGCATGTACCTCAAACACCTGAGCAGGCAGGTAGAGGCCATGGAGAAACTCATTAACCTCACCGACATCCTGAAACAGGAAAAGAAGGATGAGACGCAGAAGGTAAGGAGGGCAGCAGCACTCACACTCACACACAGAGACAGAATCACCTGCACTATGTCCTCAGTTATTCCTCTTGCCTTTAAAACTGTTTGGAATTTGATTTGCTGAGATGCACCTGAGCCTCACTTATTGCCTCATGCTTTGCTGCCACTTGTAGTGTTTGCTCAGATGAAAGTACAATAAACAACAATAACACAGCATAAGATATGCAGGACGGATAAACAGTTAAAATATATTCTCTCATGCGTAAAGAAGTTGTCTGTTCTTTTATAAGTTTAACACAATTTATGGTTAAAGTAGCGTCTGCGAAGAACTTTAGATTTAAACAGATGAACATCTCTTAGGTGAGGAAAAAAAACATGATGTTGCTTCTCAGAAAACAGCTGGTTTAATTTTACTCCACCGCACTCCGCATTTGTTGCATGAGCTGTGAGGAACAAGAGGAACAAGAGTGGAGTTTATTTTTGTTTTGTTGTCCTGTCTCAAGAAGACGTAAGAGATTTACTTTTAACAGGATTCTCACGCAAGTATGGAAAGTATGGAAGTGATTGGATTAATTTCCAGGTCTTCAAAAGTTTGAAATGAAAAAAAAAGTATGGACAAATACGTAGGTCTCCAGACTGTTATCAAGGGTAAAAAAATACAGTTTTTCTAAGATAGCAAAGTGTTTTTTTCTAAAAATAATTTTCAAAAGTGGGGTATGGAGAAGTATGGAAACCCCAACTTTGTAGGAACCCTTTTAAGTAATTTAACAAAACCTTTCTGGTAAAGTTTTTGTTTTTGCAGGCTTTGTAGAGAGCGTAGAATAATTAGGTAACAGCAGACCATCAGTTTGTCATAAAGGGAAATGCTACCCCTCTGCTTTGAAACACCAAGTGGGTTGGTGGCTTTTTCCGCATGACACATATTCATGAAACACGATCACTTAAGCATAAAAACGTCACTATTGCATCAGTTTTCAGTTGACTGATGGCCGCTTTGTCAAATTCATAATTTATCGTCACGGCCAGAACAGCACACAAAGCAGCTTTTCCTTGAAGGATGTTTGTGCATGTGGTTGCATTCACGCACATTAATGTGAAAAGTGCTTTTGTGTCTTGTGGAGGTCCAGATGCGGTTTCTTGTGGACCAGATGAAGAGACCGGACTACATGGATGCCTTGCAGAACTTCACCTCGCCACTCAACCCTGCGCATCAACTGGGAAACCTGAGGTTGGAAGTAGTTGTTGATAAGTGGCATGTGTATTAGTGGATCTGTGCAGTGGTTTTGTGCGAGTGACTGATTGTCCTGATTTCTCCGTGCGCAGGTTAGATGAATGCAGGATCATGTCGTCAGCAAAGAGGCCACTGTGGCTGAACTGGGAGAATCCTGACATCATGTCTGAGCTGCTCTTTCAGAACAACGAGATTATCTTCAAAAATGGAGATGGTAACACTCATGAACTTGCATGGCGTGTTAAACCTTGTACTTCATTTCTGTCTGATCCTGTAAATACGTTTCTCTGAACTGTGTGCCTATAATCTGTCAGTATTAATAACTTTAAGTGTCTCTATTGTGTGTGTGTTTCTGTTGCAGACTTGCGGCAGGATATGCTAACATTGCAGATTATCAAAATCATGGAAAATATCTGGCAGAATCAGGGACTGGATCTGCGGTAGCGCTCTTTCTCCTTTTATCACATCTGTTTTTATTTTCTCTCTGCTGTATCACTCGCTTCAGTTTATTCATCCTCTAATACTCTCTACCTCAGTGCACAGCGGCTTAAGAGTGTCTGTTTTGTGTGTCCTCAGGATGCTCCCCTACGGCTGTCTATCATTAGGGGACTGTGTGGGCCTTATTGAGGTGGTGCGCAGCTCCCACACGATCATGCAGATTCAGTGTAAAGGAGGCTTGAAAGGAGCTCTGCAGTTCAACTCAAACACGCTGCATCAGTGGCTAAAGGATAAAAACAAGGGCGAGATGTGAGTGCTCATTTTTAGTGCATCTTTGCATCATTACACAGCTATGAACAGTCTGTATGGATGCAGAGTGAACTGGACCTCAAAGGAAATACCACGTCACTAAAATGTGGTTTTATTGAAGAGGAATAACCAGTTTACTTCTGCCTCCTTTTGTTTCATTTTTAAAGGGATATTCCGGCGTAAAATTAATTAAGGGTCAAACACACGGTAACACCGAGTTAGACGCCTCCTTGAGAGATGAGTGTTGCCGACCGTTTGCTTCTCTAGTTATACCAACTTTGGTAACAACTGCATGATAGCAATACACAGCGGTCTCAGGAGCCACGTGCTCAACCAACACGCCACTCTATAGCCACAAATAATGCTCAGAACAGCACCTAACTTCTTCAACAGTACATATAGGGTCCTAGCCACAGTACTAGCCACCAAAGATCTTTTTAGCTTTGCCTAATTTCTTTAACAAAGAGACCAAACACAACTCACCTACTCTCTTCCAGCAGCCACTTGTTTGTAGCGAGACCTCAGACTTGTCCATCACCAACTGCAGTGGAGTTTCGCAGCCCAAGGAAGAACATTTATGATAATTTCTTCTTGGAAATGCAATCAGACCAAGACTCTAAGGCAGAAGAACTACCGCGTCTGCAGTGCAAAATGATAATTATGGTGATTATTACTTTTAGGAAATGATAAAGAAATGATCATAAATGTTCTTCCTTGGGCTGCGAAACTCCACTGCAGTTGTTGATGGACTAGTCCGATGTCTCGCTACAAGCAAGTGGCTGCTGGACGAGAGTAGGTGAGTTGTGTTTAGTCTCTTTGCCAAAGAAATCAGGCAAAACTAAAAAGATTTTTGATGACTAGTACTATGGCTGGGACCAGTTATAGGTGCTGTTCTGAGCATTATTTGTGGCTATAGAGTGACTTTTTGGTTGAGGTTTGGTTGTGTGTTGTGTGTATTGCTATCCCGCGGTCGTTACTAAAGTTGGTATCACTAGAGAAGCAAGCAGTCAGCAACATTCATCTCTCGACGGGGTGTCTAACTCGGTGTTACAGTGTGTTTGACCCTAAATGATTTTTACGCTGGAATTTCCCTTTAGATCTCTATATATATATATATGAGACAATATATGTTGTCTCATCGAATGTGTGTTTGGACAGGTACGACCTGGCTGTAGATCTGTTCACAAGGTCCTGCGCTGGCTACTGTGTAGCTACATTTATCCTTGGGATTGGAGACAGACACAACAGCAACATCATGGTGAAAGATGATGGACAGGTAACTCACATGATCTCGCCTTTGCTTGTCGGTGTACAATATATATGTTGTCTTTAGAGGGAGTAGGTCTGTGAGAGTGACTGAACTTTGACTCCCTGCTCTCTTCCAGTTGTTTCATATAGACTTTGGCCATTTCCTGGATCATAAGAAAAAGAAGTTTGGATACAAGAGGGAGCGAGTGCCCTTTGTACTGACACAAGACTTCCTCATCGTCATCAGCAAGGGATCTCAAGAGTGTGCAAAGACCAAAGAATTTGAAAGGTACTGCAACATCTGCTCTTTTCTCATCATACTTTCTGTAGTTTTTTTCTTTTATCTGGGACCAACAAATACTGCCAAAAAAGGTTTTAAAGGGTCGGTTTCTTTGAATAGTTTAAAACATTTACTTCCATAGTCAGTCCAAGAGGCCAAATATGATTTGACTTTGGCGATGCATTAAAATGGAAAATAAGTCTGGGTACATGCAGTTACAGCTCACATTACAGTGGGTTTTTCTCGACTCACTTCTCTCTGTTGGGCAAGTTTACACTCAACTTGCCCAACTTACCCAACCATGCTAAGCAGCCTGAGAACTCTGAGACCATTTTGCATCACTGCCTTATTGTGGAGAGAGACAGAGAGAGACAGAGAGAGAGAGAGGAGAGTGAAAGAAACACAAAACACAGAAAGAGAAGAAAATTTTAAAAAAGAAAGAATAAATCTTCTTTCCTGTGTGGGAAGATCTTCTGTGGCATGTTTCACCAAATTTTCTACAGGCATCTGCAGTTTTACGATAGTCATGCCAGTACCTTTTTTCTTCTTCCTATTTTTTTATTAAAATCACTGACTGTAAAGAGAGAGGACACTCCGGCTCCATTTCTGCCTGTTGTGTAATATGAAGCCAAAACACTTCCTCAGGCATATTGCACTTGTGCAGCCAAGGCATGCACTGAAGTGACCGGGCTAATGGAGCTGTGAAGCTGACGTCAGACCCTTTTCTGCAAACCTGAACACCAATTTGACTTCAACTAAAACTAGCGCCCCGCGGGGCACCAACCGGCCTGAGCTTCGTCGTGCTTTATGATGTCCATTTTTGTAGACAGTCTATGATTAAAACAAATTGTCGACTTTTAAGTCATGAATTTACTCGTAGCTTGTATGAAAAAGCAGTTAGTTTGTTTAAACTTTCTTCTTCTCTTGTTTTTATCCTTATTTTATTTCTTTTATTTTTATTTTGTATATTTTTATTTTTATTTTATATATTTTTTCGAACATGTGCGTGCAACAAAAGGACATGAACTGAAAACAAACAAACAAAACCATTAAGAATATTCCAAACAACAATAAAAATAATCAAAGCAAAAAAATAAATAAAAATACTAATAATAATGCGAACCCAACATGTCTGAAAAGGAGTAGGATGAAGCATGATGCTTATTTAAACCCACCACTTCTCCGCTACTCAATTAACAGTCAGTCTCTCCAACATATTGACATTATATTTACAAAAATAGAAAATAAATAGAACATAAATCCGTCTAATTTTCCCTCTCACATTCCCTTTTCCATCTCACTCCAGGTTCCAGGAGATGTGTTATAAAGCGTACCTGGCCATCCGTCAGCATGCTAACCTCTTCATCAACCTGTTCTCCATGATGCTGGGCTCCGGCATGCCTGAGCTGCAGTCGTTTGACGACATCGCCTACATCAGAAAGACTCTGGCTCTGGAGAAAAGCGAACAGGTAATAAAGTCTTCCCTTTGCTCATATCCTCTTTGTTCTGATTCTATTCTGGGGTCTTGAGATAGCGTCTCATACTTTGTGCTTTCAAAAGACTCCGCAGCATTGTCTGATAACGTATCTCCTTTCTTTATCGCGTCTGCTGTCCGTATAGGAGGCATTGGACTACTTTATGAAACAGATGAATGATGCTCACCATGGAGGATGGACCACTAAGATGGACTGGATATTTCACACAATAAGACAGCATGCACTAAACTGATCTTCTGCACACACACTGAAACCCACCAGTCCCGCCGTGGAGGATTCTGTCAAACAGCTGTTCGTCTCACACCATGCAGCAGCACTTGTCCTTTAAGGAATTTCACTTTTCCATTACTGCTGTCTGCGGTTCTGAGAGTTTGCAGCTTTTTTATTTTAATATACCAGCACCACTTTTGTTAATCCGAACGAGGTTTCTGTTATCTGTCTGATCCGGAAGATGCTCTGACATACCGTACCGTCCTCATGAATTTGTGCCCTACCCGTCCGATGCTCGCACCCTTCGCGTCTATGCTTCCTCTTCCCCCCCAAGGAAAAACAAACTGGGTTGAAAAGTTCACTCATAACCCCGCTGCTCTTGTGGATCATTCCGACAAAAACAGCACGAAGATGTTTTTTTCTGCCAATCTGAAAATGTAGCCACAACGCGTGTTCATCCTGCTGCTCTTCTGCTGTATCAGTGCTGCACTGTGGCTCCACCCCAAGGACGGAAGTGCTGGAAAACTTATTTCGATTTCCCGTCAGCTAAGAAGACAGAAGGCACAAGGAACTGTCTGAGTTATCTTACATGAAAAAAAAAAAAGGAGTTACTCTTCTTTATAGAGTGCAGGACCACTGGAGTATGAGAACAACGATGTTGACCCCCCTCTGCACAGTCTTCCACCATGTTTATGGTGAAGCTCTCCCCATCCTCGTGAGGAAAATTCAAGAGGAAAAGTCTCGGGGTTGTTTTGCACAGCCCCAAACTCTCCAACAGCCTCAAGGAAAAAGCACTCCACCACTTGGGAACAGATGTTGGTGGTGCAGCTTACGTTTTCAGGGTGATGATGCCTCTCTATCAATATGAAAAAAAAAACAAACAGCACTTAGATACACAAGAATAATTTACAGATTTATTATGACTTTTTAAATTTATTTATGTATCTAGTTTCTTTCAGTTTCTACTCAAGCAAGAATTAACTCTCCAGAAACACAATCTCGTGCTGTAAATATATATGTATTCGTCTTTTGTGTTCGGGTTTACATATTTGCTTCCTTCCACTGTCTTCGGGCCATGAGTGCAACAGCTTCACCTTATTTTGAAAATCTGCCGATGCCTTTATTTTTCGCTCGACACGTCTTTAGAGTCAAAAAATCTCATCTGATTTTATCCAGAGAAGACCAATTGTTTTGTTTGGGACTATTTTCCAGTCCTACTTGGAATTCAGAAACATACTCGTTTGGGGGAAGCAGAACAAGAAAAAAGTGAAAGTGCCAATCTGAAGTGTTCTGAATGATGGGACCTATTTTAAGCCTCTGGCTGTCTGTTTTGACTGTGAGCAGAGACCCGGGGGAATGTCACGTCTTCCTGTTGATAAAATGCCTTGGCGTCACAGCACAACATCTACAACAATGCACACCGCTATGCCCCACACCGCTATGAGTAGACCCACAGTTTTATTTCTGTTTACAACTCTGTAAGATTGATAATCATGTCCCTCATTTTAGCGCCTTTAATGTGACTCCTAGAAAAAAGTGCTTTTTAACTCGTGTTAATTATACATTTTTTAGGTTGTTTTATCTCTGAGCTCATGACCCTGGCAGCATTTGAGCCATACTTCCTGCTGCCAGGTCCTTTTAAAGCCATGTTTTTTTAATATTGCAGTTTCCTCGACAGGAACATGACAGTACATGTAGCTTATTCCAACACCTGAAGTGGGAATATGTGAAATGACAGTCAGTGCATCTTAAGTGGATTAAGCAGAGCATCTTTGCTGGACTGAAATTGAGAGATTGATTGTAAGAATTCTAAAAAAAAAACAACAAGTCACTACCTTTGTTTGGTCAGATGACTGAGAATTACCTTTAAATGGAAGTAGACCTCATCACTTGCTACTCCTCCCACAGATCAGCAGTAGGCTCTGTTTTCCAGCTTGATTTTGTCTTACAACAAGACATTACAGAGACCATAGAGAAGGGTTTACACTGACGTTATGAACCCTGAAGTTATGGTCAAAATTTCAGCAAAAAAGAGACATGAATTCAGTGCATTTTATCCGCTTTTTAACATCTGTGTCCTTTTGTTCTTCCACATCTGAACCGTGCTAGTAAGTTTTAGCAGTCTCTAACAGTGTTGGGGAACATTGCATCCCGGGTATGTAAGAATAACCCGCTACTTTGAGCCACAAGCAGGCAGCCAAGTGTAGTATGGGCGGGCGGGTGAGTTAATGAACCATTTATATTCCCCTGGATTAATGTGTGTAAAGTGTTTAATGGACAGAAATAGAGAGTGAGATTTTAATGTAGATTTACTTCAAGTTGCTTTTTAGTTTTGCTTTGTCTCTAAGTCAAACTATAGCTGTCAGAAAGTTTTACCAAGAACTTTGAATGGTAGTAAACTAGGGCTGGGCGATAAACCGAAAATTTACAGATACCGAAATTTATGACAATAACTGACGTAATTTTATTCAGTCACAAAAAATAAATTAAAGTTGGTTTTGGATGTGAGTAGGTCGGCTATGGTCTAATGTCCCTTTAAGATGCTGTCCTACATCAGAGACATGACTTCACCCCATTCAGTCCAAAGAGGGGGAAGACAGGTGAGGAGATGGAGGACGGTTCAAAAGTTGTAGCGGCTGAAGTAGACGAAGTTAATGTGGGAGGGGCTGAGCAGCTTGTGGAGTAGTTATCGTCTATTTATCATTATCGAGGTGAACTGCTCAATATGTTATGATATTGATTTGAGGTCGTATCGCCCAGCCCTATAGGAAACATCACAGTTGTCTGTTAGATTAGGAAACTCTTGTAAGCTGTGTTTGACTGAGGATAGAATGTAACTTTGTGTAGGAAAAGGTGCCTCAGAGCAGCCCCACAAGCCCCCGACGCCCTCTCCAATGTACCGAGGAAGACATTTGGATGTGCACTAAATAATAGTTTCAGTAATTTCCCTGCAGTTTGGAACTCAATCTGCATGTGCAAAAAAAAAAAAAGTCAGCACTTTGCCCGTTTGGTCGTTGATTGTATTGAAAAGCCAAAGCTGGGTTCTGTTCTGATACGGTGTTGGATGTCCAATGATCGGAGCATTAATGGCGAGAATGTATTTCACTGCTAAATTGTGCACTCATTTTCTGTGTTTTTCGATAGTTACATGTTTTCCTCTCTAAAAGTCAGATGCAGTGCCATGAATTAAACTGTCGGCTCCTGTTAACTTTTTCTCAATGTGCCAAATCGGGCGCCACTGAGGCCTGTGAAAGTGAATGCTGGAGTCACATCCCGCAGTAATCAGTGTCAGACTTTTAAAAAGAAAAAGTATGCGCTTCAAAGTTTCAAGTTCTCAATGCCTTTTTGTCCAAGAGGACTCCGTAAGAAGAAAGCTAGCCTAGCGTGCATGTTCCTCCAGCTGCATTAGCAGAACGTCTGATGTACATTTTGAAGCGGCGTGTATGTACAGCTACCGTCAATCCTCTTTTTCTACAATCTGCTTCATGTGCGACAAACCTGTAGTGTTGGTTCCATTTACATTTATCCTCCAAACTGATTGTGTGTTTGTGTGTGTTTGCTTATATGCATTTACTGTACAGGTTGCAGAGCTTCATTGGCAGGCCCCAATGAACACACTGTATGTTTGTGTACACGTTCATGTGTCTGTGTGTGATGACACTGAGCTGCTGAAGTGGCGGTGTCCCTAAATGTTTTATATGCCTTTTTGTTTTTGTTTTTTTGCAACATTTGTAATGAAACTTTTTTCATACATAAGTTGTAAATGTTTTACTTGAAGTATCGGGAATCAGAACCACAGCTGTATTTTGGTGGTCTAAAAGTGTAAAGGGGGGGTTGCGGGTATTGATTTAGTGCTGTTTGTGATTGTGTGTATTGTATTGTATACAATACAACCTAAAGTTGAAGTATTTGAGTCCAGCATTTCAACATGAAGATACAACTGCTAACTGCATCAATGAAGGATTCTTGAGCTCAGATTGGAAAGATTAAAGAGATATACCAGCGTAAAATTAAGTTAGGGTCAAACACACGGTAACACCGAGTTAGACACCCCGTCGAGAGGTGAATATTGTCGACCGCTTGCTTCTCTAGTTATACCAACTTTAGTAACGACCGCACTATAGCAATACACAGCGGTCTCAGGAGCCACTCGCTCAACTGAAACGCCACTCTATAGCCACAAATAATGCTCAGAACAGCACCTAACTTCATCAACAGTACATATAGGGTCACAGCCATAGTACTAGCCACCAAACATCTTTTTAGCTTTGCCTAATTTCTTTAGCAAAGAGACTAAACACAACTCACCCACTCTCTTCCAGCAGCCGCTTGTTTGTAGCAAGACCTCAGACTCCATCACCGACTGCAGTGGAGTTTCGCAGCTCAAGGAAGAACATTTATGATCATTGCTTAATGTGAATGAAATCAAACCAAGACGCTAAGGCAGACGAACTACTGCGTCTGAAGTGCAAAATGGTTAATATGGTGATTATTACTTCAAGGAAATGAAAAAGTAATGATCATAAATGTTCTTCCTTGGGCTGTGAAACTCCACTGCAGTCGGTGATGGACAAGTCTGAGGTCTCGCTACAAACAAGTGGCTGCTGGAAGAGAGTAGGTGAGTTGTGTTTAGTCTCTTTGCTAAAGAAATCAGGCAAAACTAAAAGATGTTTGGTGGCTAGTGCTGTGGTTGGGACCCTATATGTCCTGTTGATGAAGTTAGGTGCTGTTCTGAGCATTATTTGTGGCTCTAGAGTGGCGTTTTGGTTGAGCGCTTGGCTCCTCAGACCGCTGTGTATTGCTATCCTGCGTTTGTGCCTAAAGTTGGTATAACGAGAGAAGCAAGCGGTCAGCAACATTCATCTCTCAACGGGGTGTCTAACTCGGTGTTAGGGTGTGTTTGACCTTAACTTATTTTTATGCCGGAATATCCCTTTAAGCGGGGAAATGGTCCAATCAGGAACACTTATAGATATTTATTTGCATGCAATAATTTATACGTGTGTCCATGTCATGGTGAAGTCTCAGACTGGGAGAGCCCAGTTTACCTCCTTAGAAGTGCATATGTAAAAACCAAGGCAGAGAGAGCAGCAGCAAAGACAGAGTTAGAAGAGCAGGAGGAGATCTCTTCTGACTGTTTCCAGTTTGGGTGCAGAGAACAAATCTGCTGAGCTGTCAGATGATGCACTGTGGGCTGAGCTTTACGTCCTCTCAGTTTGCTTCAAAGATCTCTTACTCCCTTACCTTGAAACCGCGTTGGTGCAAGATGTCCGCAAAATTTGTTGCACTAGTTATTTCCTCCCTTGCGTGAAGGCACCAATCCTAACTGTATGAAATCACAACAATGAGAAAATACAAGGCTAAGTTAGCTAGTTAGCCTGACTTTAAGGATCAACAATCTGCAGGAGGCTGATGTAAACACAATGACGAATGATCAAAGCGTCTCCTGTTGCACTGAGTAGAAGGGAAAGTCCATTAGAGTTTTTTTTTTATATGATTGTGTGCAAAGAAATGCTGATTTTGTTTCAAGTTTAATGGGATGTCCCTCTTTTTGTGCAGTAAATCCAGTTAAAAGAAAGCTTACCATGTCTGTCTTCATCCCGATATACTTTGTTTTTGCTCCTGCCCGTTTACTTTATGGACAGGTGTTCACATCATTGCGTCCTCCTGCTGAACGAATGACCTGATATTTTGTAAAGTTTACTGCGGTTTTGCAGAAAACAAAATATCGAGAGAGAAAAAACACAATTTCAGACTATCCTTTTTTTCTTTTATTAAACAAAAAATGTGTTTTTAAAAGCCTTAGACTGGGCTTTAATGTTGAAGGTTTTAAACTCCTCTGTGTGCAGAAAAAAGATCTGTCACACCAAAGAGGAAAACATGACGAAGTATTTTCTTTATTGATCATTTGTGATCTTTTTGGAGCCCCTGAGATGTCCCAGAAATCTTGTATTTTAAGAGAAATACTGACTAATAGTGCGTAGTTCAATGCTCTCTTCTGTATGCAGTGCTCTGTGTGTCACTAATATATTTCCATAACATACCATGCAGTCAGAACCTTAACCTATACTATGAATGAATGTACAACGGGCCAATGTAATGTTTTCCACAGCCTACCTGCATGAGACTGGGTGAAGATGAAAATTCGTCCTCTTCCTACATGTTTTGTTTTTCACTCTTTAGTCTGCTAAGCAGCCATACAGATGTTTATATAAATTAATGCCTTAAGTTCGCTCCCTGTAGGAACAGTTTTACACAATAACCTGCATTTTTTAATTTTATTTATTAATGTATACTGTGTTTTATTTTGGTTTCCTGGTCACAGATTAAAGGTCTGTACCCTGACTGACTGACAGACTGACTGACTGGTCATCTGAGTGTTCTGTGAAGATGTACAAATAAATTTGTTAAACATTCACCGTGCTGTGTTTGCTCTTTTACTCCACCCCAGCAATTTAACAATACAGATGCTGAGAAATCTTGTATGGTAGAATATTTGGATCAACATGTGCAACCAAACTAAATTTCTCAATTACCAGAAATGTCAAAGAATTATAAAACTATGTGGTGTCTGCATGCGGCAACCTCTGCTGTTGATAAATGAGTAACTGCAGTTCCTCAAGTGTCCACTAGGGGCTGTCTCACAAATCCACTAGGGTCCGTATTAAAATATAAGTAATACATTATTTTTAGGTCCTGGTAATAAGCATTGATAAATAGTTAATAAGCCATTTATAAGGTGCTTATAAATATTTATAAGTATAAGTTTATTAAAGCAATATTGTTGCAATTTTTTTTTTTTTTGCCTATAAGACATTTATAGAGTCTCGTCAGTTTAGGTACCTGTCATGGACATCAACTGGGTTTTAATTAACATTTAAAAGTCTTTATAAGGGTGGAATAAAAATAAGTTCATATTTATTATGAGCTTATAGCTCTATTATGGGGAGTTCACTACTAACTACAGCGTAAAGACAGCTTTTGAAGGTTAAGTAGATGTTTATTTACATAAATATGACTGTATGACTATTAATGAAAACATTGATTAATACTTGGAAGCTCCTCTTTCAGCACTCAGTGGACTCTTAACAGTGTTAAGACCACTTACTCAACTCCACCTCTTTGCTGGTATCTAGACTAACCAAACTAACTGATGCCAACAACTCTCAATACGACTGAGATGGTGTCTGTTTTTATGCGCCCTTAATGTCGAACAAAGCTGAATATTTTTATGAAAGTTTTTGATTCAAGGAGAAAAAAACAAAGAAACAGAACAAGGTTTTATTTTTGTTTTCTTGAACATTCCTCCTGATGAGTATGGCAGATTTTCGATGTACTCGTCTGCATTTGTCACATCTCTGATAACCAACAGTGTGGGTAGCTAACTGCTCGTTACTCTGAATCATTCAAAGAAACTGGATATAGTAACAGTGAAGGCTCTTTCATCACTTCAGTCTGTTTCCAGTGCTTTCAGAGGCCCTAAATGTGTTTGTCAACCTAGTTTGGTGGTATACATAGTCTACAAAATAAAAAAAGGGTATAGTGATTGTGATCAATCTGAATATTGATGTGATTTCTTTGAGGAAAACTCTATGCAAGCAGGTCTGTGTCTTTAAAGCCCCCTTCCACAGGTGTGGCCTCTGTGGCATCCTTCATAGGACCGGCAGGATAGATGGGGTTAAACTGTTTCCAGGGTTTGGACGGGCAGTGGAAGGGGTTGTTGTTGACAGCATCAGCGGAGGCAGATGGTTTAATGGCTTTGGTGTCCTCCTCGGAAGATTCTTCTTTGGCGTTCGCAGCCTTAGATGGGGCCGGCGGGGTTGAAACTACTGGAGGCTGAGTCGTAGATCCTGGGTATTCAAGATGTCTGAGCGGAGACCAGCCGGGAGGACGACGCCTCAACACCTGGAGAAAGGAATACAAAACGGTTATAGGAAATACCTTTCAGGAGCTCCAATGATAAAGCATCAGAACATGTTCTTCAGGCAATCAAATGAGATGTTCACGAATAGCGTTTAAACTGCATATTTCTAAAACTGTCAAAAACATCCAAAATAAACAAACCCTATCTGAAAAAGATATTCAACTTAGATTTATGTGCTTAATTAAGAAAAATGATTCATGCTCTGCAGAAGGATGCATATGAGAGGCAAGTTAGGGTGATGTTAGCTAAACAGCTGATCCAGCAAAGTCATCAGGTAAAGTCTAGATATACCTAAAATCAGTGCGAGGAGGCTAGGTGTCAGTCAGGCAGCAGAGGAAACAGCCCCGTTTTTGACATTTCCACAGTAAATATGATACATTTGGCTGTTATAAGTCAGCAGGATGAGATATTTCATCAAAAACAGCTACCCAACCATTAAGGAAAAGACTTATTTGTCCATAGGGGGCGCCTAAATCGACGATAAACAAAAGTTCCTCATAGGAGCTTTAATTAAGACATCAATGGTCTGAAATAGGAGATTCCAGATGTCCACAAAAACATCTTGTTTGCCTCATGTTGGATGTTTAGATCATGAATTACTTCATGGCTCTAGGCCAATCCTAAATCTATAAGATACAAAGTGCTCGCTGTCACATTTAGCTTCATTCTGTTAATGGAAGTGTGTCAGGGTTGTAAGGTGTTGGTGTCTCGAGGTAGACCCGGACAGTGCCCCCCCTTGAAATCTGATTGGCCACACCAAAATACTAAACCAAGAGCCCCTATCAAGACAGTGTCAAAGTTGGTGACGGGGGAGAGAGATGAGGTGAGCGGCAAATCACGACAGAACAGGGAATCGCTCCCATGACCATTGTTACAAAGAGTGTCGATATGAGGTGCTGCGCTACCAACTGAGCTAAACAGACACCCTGGTGATCTGGTGATGACAAATTTTACAACTTTTAGAAAACAGGAGCAAACAAGTTTAACCCCAACAGAGAGCTGGGCTATTTTATCTTGATGAATTTAAGAAGAAGTTTGGAAATGCTTCCAAATGTTGGATGTTGGTTTCAAGCACTGTCTGTCGTCTGTTCTTAAAGCTGCAGTGTCAGTAAAGTGTGATTGTTATCTCTGTTTTCTTTGACAATTAACCCCAAAAGCACAAGTGAGAGTTAAATGTAACTTAAGCTAACAAATGAGTAAAAAGTGGGACTCACCGAGGGAGGCATTGGTCCTCCTTCACACTCTATGTGGGCTGTTGGGGGCTCGAGTCTCCATGGTGCGACGTCCACTGTGGAGTTACAGTTAGCAAACTCCTGCACACACACACACACACACACACACACACACACACACACACACACACACACACACACACACACACACACACACACACACACACACACACACACACACACAGATATGATGGGAAACCAGCCAGGGAGAGAGTGCATGCTATGGTAGGAGCAACATGTGTTTCAGTATTTACCAGGTTGTTGTCATCATGGGCACACAGTTCACTGAGGTCACTGTGTTCAGCCTTAGCGCACACTGTCTTCTTCATATCAAAACTGAGCTTGAACCTGAAACCTGCGACCACCTGTACCAATACAAACAGAAAGCATGAGAGAAAAGACGCCACCTAACATTTATACCACCTTTCCTCTCGCCGTGTGACACTTCCTCTACCTGTCTGGTGGCGTGACCGACGGTGTGCAGGGAGAACAGGTGAGTGGAGTTGGAGATAGAGTTGTACTTGGTGATGGAGGCTGAAAGAGGACCTTTAAGGTCCTCAGAGTTCTCATCGATGTCCACGGGGCAGCCCAAACAGGAAGCTCTCTCTGGCATGATGAAGTTATCTGAAGGGGAAAGGGATGGTTACAAGATGGCGAAAAGGCGACTCGATCAAAGAAAGGTAGCAGTCCTATTGTTCCCACTGCTTATGCACACTTTTATAAAAGCCGTATCTTTACTGGTGCTGATGGGAACTGAGTCTAGTCCAGAGGGGTCACCTGAGTACACACAGCATGAAATCTCCACACAGTGCCTTTAATTTACAACTACTCCATGCTTCTTTGAGTGTAAAAAAATACATAATTAAAATAAACTCAAGCTCTGTCAGCATTTACTTATAAATCTAAATTAATAATACATCATCTTAACAAACAGACTTCAACGCACTGGTCTGTATTGTCTTTACTGTTGGATTTATGGGTGATAAATCTTGGTTGTTGGTAGTGTTCTGATCAGAGCTTCACCTTTTTGGGAGTCTAACGGTTAAAACCAGGTATTTTTAACTGTAGGCAGACAGTGAGCTGCTTCTGCAAACAGATTAAAGTCTAGACTGTCGCTGCCTTTTATGGCTCGATAAGTTAATATTGTGCTCTCTCTGTCTGCAGATAGTGTTGATATGTTACAAAATCAGCCCCCCTCTGCGTCCCCTACGCCCACCAGTGTACATTCTCCTCAATGACTCATTGTTTTCTTAATGAGAAATATGCTCTCCTCTGAGTCATGTTGGACTCAAATCAACAGTGTGGCCAGAGTTTTCTCATGTACAAAAAAGAGCTCGCCATTTCTGTTCTTTTATGTTTTTATGTTTCCTGGAAGTTCCAGAAACAAACTAACTGTGGAAATTATTCAGTTAAATTTTCTCTCATTGAATTAGACTCCAAAATTTCCCGGCTGGCTGTATCACATGACAAGAGACGTAATGAGTATTAATGAGCCATCGCTTCAGCTGTTAATGTCTCCAATGACATTGCTTTGCCTTTTTTTTTTAATTGTAATCATCATACAAAATCTCTCTGAGATTATCTCACACCGCAGAAAACAACAAAAGCCTAATCTGTTCTGGCTTTTGTATCCTTTGTTTAACAACCCTAGTTTCATAAGAATGGGGAAGCTGTGTTGAATGATGGAAAAAAAACAGAATCTGATGGTCTGTTAATCATTTTACTCCCACATTTAATTGAAAATTTGTGCAAATGCTACATATTAAATTTGATTGTCTTAAAATTTGGTGCCAGAAACAGTTGGGACAGAGGCTTTGTTTGCCATTGAGTTGCATCAGCGCTCCTTTTCAACAACACTATGTAAACATTTAAAAACCTAAGAGACCAAATTTTAGAGTAACAGCGGTGAATGGTTGTCCTGTTTTTGTCTGATTATTTAGCTTCTCAACAGTTTAGAGTCCTTATGTGTCATGGTGCAACAAATGTTCCTCAATGGTGCAACAAATGTTCCTCAATGCTGCATCTTGACCAGTTTAACACATGGACTCATCTCCTATAGATCCATGCTGCTGTAGTCCTTTGCAAAATGTAACCCTAGCATGTTTATGTGTGTGTAGAAATGTGCAGTTTTATCCTACACCTGTGGATGCAGGAACAAACTGTGTTCACAGGCCACGTTTACATGGGCCGAATTTCTTCATCCGATGAAACATTTGAGGGATCGGATAATCTGAATCCACTGTTTATATGAATGCAAAATCAAATAATCCGATCATGACATGAACCAAGTTTTATTCAGATTATAAGCATTTGGACATGCGCAGAGTTGTCTAATTTCGCCAAAACAACCGCAGCAAAAGAGTTGTATTGACGCCTGTGCTGCCAACAAACCAACAAACATGGAAGTTGCTCACTTCATCCTAAATGTTGTCACTAGATGGCGCCCTTGCTCACTTATTTTACTGTTCTGTCAGAGGTTGCACTGTGCGTGCAGATGTGACATCATTACGTTGTATGTATGCCTTGTTATGTTACCGGAAGAGCAGACACGGCTCCGGCGGTTGTGTTTTATGCCAGAGTGTTCATATTGAAACTTCGTGTACTGGCCTCATTGAATAAACCAAAAGCTAAAGAGAAAAAATCGAGTCAGGTAAGAGAGTCATGTTCAGAATAAGTGTTGACATGGATGCGTTTCGGAGTAACGATCGGGATAAACCGCTCCTCTCGATCGGAATACAATTTCTGAACCCGAATTGGATCAGAATCTTCCGATCGACATATTTACATGACGCATTTTTATTCCGATCGGGCATTTATTCCGATTATTTGTGCCCATGTAAACATGGCTGCTGACTTTTGGTTGTAAACCCATGCAGTGATTAATTCAGTGCCACCTGAGGGCCTAAAGATTACATCCATCCTGTATCTGTTATCAGCCTTTCTTCACTTTAACAGAGATTTCCCCAGATTTTCTCATTTTTTTGACAGTTTCATCTACTTCAGTAAGTGCTATCTTTAAATTCTTGATAATTTATGCTGAGGATCATTATCCTGAAAGTGCTAAACTACTTCCTCACCCACTCTCTCTCACAGAGTGGTGAAGAGACTTGACCTCTCTGGAGTGCTATTTTTTTTTTGTGCCCATTCATTTCACTGACCTTTTTAAAAAAATAACCTGATTAGTTGAGAGACTTTTTCTCCAGTTTATATAAGTTATACAACCCCTTTAGTGTTTTATTGTCTCTGTGGCAACTGCGTGGGAAAATAATGAAATAAACGAGAGTATGCATAGATCACAATTCTTTTAAAAATAGGGTTGTTTGTAGCTTTGATGTAAAAGAGTCACATGACAAGATTACTCTAATGTAGTTATGGCAGCAATAAAACTGCAGCTGTATCTCACTGATATGATTTTAAAGATCTTCTGTTTAAAGTCCTAATGTTGGGGTTTATGGAGGATTATATGTCTGTTTGTTATGGCAACAGTTGCCATGCAACCAGGAGTCACTTCAGATAGTCACTGCTGCAGTTTGAGAGCAGAGCCTCATTTTACCCTCTGTGAAAACAAAAGTTGATATTTAAGCTCTTACTAACCATCCTAACCATTCTCTGTAAAGATGCAATCACGCAATTTTGCCTGTAATTCCAAATATTATCTTCAGTAAAGGATGTTTTAAAATCTAATTTTGCTCAATCATTCACTCACCCAACTGGCAATCCACCTGTGTGGTGTCTGCGTCCGTCTCTGTCATGTGGACGGTGGCGTTGCATGCAAACGGTTTCTGGAGGGACAAAAACGGAGAAACTGTCAGACAACCTGATTCCTAACAATTTCAAGAAAGCTCTTCCACTATTTGGATACTTGACATGAGAGTTTTTTGTCTCCACAGATGAGTGGAGGACTGTTATTAAAATTATCATATCATTATCAGGTCATTATCATAATGACCTCTTGTCCATAAGGCAGGTAGTCGCAGTCCGTCCAGGGTTTGTTGCTTCCAGCGAGACAGTCACTCCTCCTGGTGGTGAATTCCAGCGAGTACACCGAGTCTGAGCCCGTCTCTGACTGAGGAAATACACATAAAATACACAAACACTCAATCAATGTGTGCACCAGAGGTCAAAGTATCTAATCATGTTTACCAGGAATTTCTTAGTAACCATCCCACAGGTTCACTTCCTTCTCCGCTCTCACCTCCCAGCTCTCTGTCTGAGCTCTGAAATGTTTATTTAGTTAGTTTAATGGACTAATTATAGAACAGGCACAAACCAACTCTTCACTTTAGCACCATACTTTGTTTTATGTGGAAATATATGGTATATGTATAGGAGAAAATAGGATTTGGCTGCATCTTCTTTCACTTGAAGATCTTTTAAAGGTATTTACTGCTACTCTTCTTCAATCATTGTACCTTGCTGGCTGAAAGCATCTGATAGAGAGCCAGAAGATGTCCGGAGCTCAGCCGCTCATTGAACTTGTGCACAGCACTGTGGACGGCCCTCTCCACGGACGGGTCATCACAAAAGATCAGGACACCATTCAGGGACTCCACTGCATCCTGAAAGAGTGGTATCATAAAGAAGACAAGATCATCGATTATATTATGAAGTCTGACTCCTCGTGGTAGTCAGCTTTTGTCAGTTCGATAACTCTCAAAGTATTTCTAAGATGGGACAATAATCCTAAGGGTTCAGTGGTGGACTGCGGTTGGCACTGTTTCCTGCAGTGAGAAGGTTCCTTGTTCGGATCCCCAGCCTGGCAGGAACCTTTCTGGTGGAGTTTGCTCCTTTCCTGTCATCTATGCGTAGGCTCTCTTTGGCTTCCTCCCACGGTTGTATCACACGCCTGTCAGGTTAACTGAGGACTCTAACTTGTCCGTAGGTGTGAGTGCGTGAGTGAATGGTTGTTTGTCTCCAATTGTTAGCTCTGTGACGGATTGGCGACCTGTCCGAGGTGTAGGCCTACCCTGCCCTCGTCCAATGACAGCTAAGCTTAGCTCCAGCCCCCTGCAACTCAGTGGTGAGTGGTAAAGATGAAACACGGCTCCTGCAAGTTTTTACTCATTCAGAGAGAGTTTGTAGAGCTGGTGCAAAGAGCTCTCCTTAAGGTGGATTAAGATAAGAATGAGTCTTGATATTAGGTCTTAGCAAAAAAACATGAAAGAGTAGAGTCTGGACCAGAGATAGGATGACTGATTGAATCTGGTGCTTATTCGCTTTTTGACCTAATCGGCATCATATCAACATTGAACCTTGCAAGACTGATAACACTATTATTCAATAAAATGTTCACAAAAGTTTAGTTTAACAATTTTATTTTACAGTATTATCATGTTGATTTTACTACTGCTGTATCGTATTATCACGATACAGCAGCAATTGCCAAACTGCTCTCTAGTAAACTGTATCAGCACCATATAAATGAAGACGCACTTATTGGTTTATTGAATGTACGACATATAACAGGGAGTGGTTGAAGTTACAGTTAATCTGGTATACTTTTATTCTCACTTTTCTCCTTAAAAATCTTCCAAAGCAGATTTCAGATGAAAATCATGAATGTTTAACTGTCGAAGCTAAAACTTGTTGAATTAGAAGATAATGTATATCCTTGAGTTTTCATGCTCTGCTTACGTTTTAATCCCCTATATACAACAGAGCAGCTGAACCACGTTAATGCATTAGTCAGGATATATTACATTATCCTGTTAAATGATTAGAATAATCCTATAAGTAAGAGGTTTTCTGGGTATTTTAATCACAAAGTTTTTCTAATTATGTAATCCCGAAGTCTGCCAACCTGTGATGTAAAGCGTCACAGGTCCACTCACTCAGTCTGGAGAGATAGAGAAAAATTTAAACTGTCTGTAAAAGTAAGTATGAGAAACTTTATGCTTTCTCAAACTAGATCTCAGTGGAAAATATTCACCTTTTTACTCAGCTACTTTTACCTGAGAGCCACAAAAACTTTACTTTAACTAATCTTCATCCATTACGATAATACAAATTAAGATGCACTGATTTTTCTGCAGGCCAAGACAGTACATGTTAATGTAAGTTATTTTACTGTTGTGATATACTAAGAATAAAATAATCTGCAAGAGTTTATGAGTGTATGTAATTTTTGATAAATTGAGAAAATATTGCTGAAGAAGGTTTGTTATTTTATCTGTTTTGTTTACCCGGATCAGAAAACCAGCGAGGAGAATATGTGAGACTTCGCTCCTTACCTGCCCAAACACAGCACTGTGGAGGCACAGCAGGCCCAGCGCACACAGACCCAATCCGCTCCTCATCATCTAATCAGATCAATGCTCGGCTTAACTCTGCTACAAGATAAGAAATTGTAAAATATCACCTCAGTTTTTCATCATTTTCAAGTCCAAAATCAAAATCCTTGCGATGTTTTACTTACACCACCTCCAGATAGAGAGCCCTGCTGTCAGTCCTGCTCCGCTCGAAGAGGAAAACTGCACTCCTCTCCACACAGTGATGGTCACCTGAGCAAAGTTCTCCTAAAACTTTGGGGCTTGATTCCTGAGAAAGATGATGACACACACACACATTAATGCTCAGAAAGCTCAGTCGGTGAAAGGGGAGTAAATGTTTGCTCTTCTGTTTGCCCTCCTACTTGTCGGGTCAATACAGCAGTCAGTATCAGAGAGAGGAGAGCATGTGAGGAGATGAACCAAATGCCTCTAACAATGGATGTAAAGAACAAACACTCCTACACTCGCACACATACCTACAAGTTGAATCACATTTATTTGAGCTGGTTAGCACTGATTACATGGTGGCACAAAAATATCCAAATTGTAGATATTTAAAAGTTCCTTTTGGTGTTTTGTGTGCATGCTCAGTGTGTGTTTTAACAGGTACTTTGTCCCTGTCGACCTTTAGCCCGTCACTCTGATTTCTTCACTGCTGCTCTGAAAACTGAGGTAAAATCTGTTCAGATGTTAAACCTTAAATGTTTCACGCTGACATTGTGTTTACGTGATTACAGAATCCACCATGACAACAAGGTCAACACAGATGAACATGCCAAAATCTTACATATTTCCTTTTTGTTAATTAGTTCATTTTCACTTTGCTTCAATCATTTGCTTTATAATAACCCCGACGTGGTTTTTGTGAACCCTTGACTTTATGTGAGTCATACTGTCAATACAGATGAGAGTGGATTTATTCGAGCACAAGGCTGCCCTCTTGAGGTCATACTGTGAAATACCATTGACATATAGTTGAAACCAGAAGTTTACATACACTATATAAAAAGGCACATAACCTTTTTTTTCTCTCTCACTGTCTAACATTAATTCAGATTAAAAAATTCCTGATTTTGGTCAATTAGGATTATCAAAATTATTTTTATTTGCTAAATGCCAAAATAATGAGAGAGAGAATTTTTTAGACATTTTTTTTTATTATTTTCTTGAGAGTCAAAAAATTACATACACTAAGATGGCTATGGCTTTAAACAATTTGGGAAAGTCCAGATGATGATATCAAGTCCTTGGAAGCCTCTGATAGGTTTCTTGACAACATTTGAGTTAAGTAGAGACACACCTGTGGATGTATTTTAGTGCACACCTGAAACACACTGCTCCTTTGTGTAACATCATGGTAAAAATCAAAAGAAATCAGGTAAGAGATCAGGAAAAGAATTGAAGACCTACACAAGTCTGGTTCATCCTCGGGTGCAATTTCCAGATGCCTGAAGGTGCCACTTTGATCCGTTCAAACAATTGTACACAAGTATAAACACCATGGGAATGTCCAGACATCATACCGCTCAGAGAGGAGACGGGTTCTGTGTCCTAGAGATGAACGTGCTTTGGTCTGAAATGTGAATATCAACCCAAGAACAACAGCAAAAGACCTTGTGAAGATGCTGGCTGAAGCTGATGAGAGTGTGTCACTATCAACAGTGAAACAAGTACCGACATGGGCTGAAAGGCCGCTCTTCCAGGAAGAAGCCATGACTCCAAATTGGGCGCAAATGGGTTTTCCAAATGGATAGTGATCCTAACTGGTCAATGTTTTGGAGTGGCCATCACAAAGCCCTGATCTCAATCCTATTGAAAATTTAAGGGCAGAACTGAAAAGTCATGTGCAAGCAAGGTGGCCTACAAACATTGCTCAGTTAACACCAGTTCTGTCAGGGGAAATGGGCCAAAATTCCTGAAAACTAATGTGAGAAGCTTGTGGAAGCATATCCAAAACCCAAGTCACACAATTTAAAGGCAGCTACCAAATACTAATAAAATGTATGTAAACTTTTGACTCTCAAGAAAATAATTAAAAAATGTTAAAAAATTCTCTCTCTCATTATTTTGGCATTTAGCATATAAAAATAATTTTGATAATCCTAATTGACCAAAATCAGGGAAAGTTTAATCTGATTTAATGTTGGACAGTGAGGAAAAAAACAGTTAGGTGCTTTTTTATATACTGTATGTAAACTTCTGGTTTCAACTGTATTTAACCTCCAAACTGATGATCTGACATGATGCAGGAAAATAACCTTTACTTTGTACTTTAGTTTGGATTTGTAGGTCCGTATCAGCAAATGAGAGTTTTTAATACAATCATGTAATATTGTATTAACATCACAGAATCACAAATTATGTGCAAAATAGATGTGCATGATATATTTTTATTATATGATGACTGAATCAGCAGGTCAGTGACATGATTTTCTGGTGCCATCTGTTCACTTTAACTTCACCCTTGCCTTTCCATGTGAAAACAAAATCATTTGTAATACAGTACCCAGAGTGATAATCTTATCACCTGGGCTCTGTACATCTCTGGGGCTATAATTGGTTTATGGTAGATGGGTTGTACTGATGGGAAACTTGCAAAATAGTCTTTTGTCAGTTTAACTGACAAAAAACTTCCCATCAGAGGTGTTAGTTCAGACGTCCCGCCTACTGCAGCACTTCACTTCCTCTGCAGGGTCTTCGGGGTGTTCGACAGTTTCACATTTACAAACCCAACCACAGCTGCAGCTCTCGACCTGCGCTAATCCCCCCTGGTGCTGTAGCTTTATTCTGCTCTACTTTGTTATTTATTTGACTAACTATGGTGCTGAGGACTCAAACAGGTGGATGGTTTCTTTTCTTCTTGGCTGCTGTCATACCAGGTGAGTGAGATCATAATTAAATCTTATTTCACCCTCAGAAAGTGCACTCTGAACCCTGGATTAGACTTTTTAGTGAATTGAAATGTTGGTTTTCATGCTGCTGACATGTCCTCCTTTTCAAGAGTGTTTTTGTCCTTGTACTTGTCGGCCGTGAGTGCTCTTCTAGTGTCCTTTCCCACACATACATGATCATTTAAGTGTTTTTTTTTCTCTATCTTGGTGACTGTAACCCCTACATCACACTCAGGCTGTGGTTGTGGTTTTGTTTTAGCTGAAAAACAGTCAAGCCACTGCTGAGAACAAACTTTTGATCATGTAGTATTTCACCTGCAAATTCATTTTCAGATTTTGGCCATTGTTTTAAACATGTTTTATAACATTGTTGAAGTTGTTTTGTTTGCAAAGTAGAGAAAGTTTAGAGCAATAAGTGCTGATTGTTATTTTTCCATTGGCTTTACTCATTGCAACATTTATTATTCCAGGAATATGTTAAGACATTTTGACGGCATTACAAAGCGAGGCTCTACAGTGCATGGCCTCAATTTCAGCACGTCATTTGACTATTTACGGTGAAAAGGACTTGCAACACTGAGTGAAAATAAAAAGCAAAAGCTGATGCTTCATCATCTTAAATTTTGCATGCACTCTCTTTTCCTAAAGCTCTTTCTCCTGGCATGCAGTATCAGCTGATTACCAAGCTGCATGTGCAGTACAGTGCAGAGCACACTCTAATAGTTGGGAAATAATAGCAGTATTACATGCCAAAAATACAGATTTGCACAAAAAAATGCAAATCCACACTTTCCTGGATTGATTCCCCAGGATCAATCAGATCAGAAATGCTACCTTTGTGAGAATATAGGACAGACCCATGTGAGAATCAACTTTACACCAACACTGAATATTCAGACAACACTGTAGCTGCTGACCTTATCGTGTCCGTCATCTCATTATATTGTATCTAACTGTACTGCATCATATCGTGTCATATCATGTTGTGTCTTGTCGTATTGTCATGTTGTATCGTATTGTACAGTATATACAGGTCTGCAGCTTTCCCTCTAAATCCACCGTGAACAAAAATCAACCTTCTCTCAGTAAAAAACCGTCAAGTATTTTTTCGCACTCACAGCTGTCTAATTTATCACAATTGTCTTGTTTCTTTCTTCCAGGTGTCCACCTTAATTACAGCACCTCCATCCAGCCGACCATCAACAGCTCTGTGGAGCTGACCATCAACAGCTCTGTGGGGCCTACCATCAACAGCTCTGTGGAGCCTACCATCAACAGCTCTGTGGAGCCCATCAACAGCAGCTCTGTGCAGCCCACCGAGGCTGTGACTCTCCTGCCATCTGAGGCCATGCCTCCAATAGGTACACACCTATAAAATACAGGAAAGATCATTTTTGTACAACAAAACATGAAACCAGAAGTTTCTGTTGCCCATTTATTGTAAAAAGAGTCTCAAGAGTTCATGAGAAGTGACGTGTCAAGGCCAAGGCGAGTACATATGTCCAGTTTGATGCCTCATTCAGGCAAGTAGACAGACCGTTCCTTGATTAGGGCCCATTTGAGTGAAATTACCCTTTACTTTAAGTCTAATACCCACTCTACAGACCCTTTTTATCCTGCTCTGGGTTTGAACTGCTGGAGTACTGAGAAAACCAAACTCCTGTCTCATCTCCTCAGTCTGTAGGCAAGTCTGATGTTACTCACCCACAATGTGGATTCAAAAACCCAGAGAAGGACTGTTTGATATAGTTACTCAACAATTATGTAAAAATATCACCAACACTGGATCAGAAAACTTTGCCCAGCTGTGCTGGTGGTGTCTCAGCCCCCTTGAACCAAGTTTTAATGTGTGTGTTTGATGCATAAGTTCTCCCTCCAAATCTATCCTGCTATTATACAAGAACGCCAAACCCGATAAAATACTGCCTGAGGAAATGTTTCATCATCTGTTGACACGTATTTTCTCCACCAGTTGTTCAGGAGAACAGCAGCTCCATCCAGCAGATCTCCAGCTCTGTGCTGCCTATTGAGGCTTACATCTACCATCCGGTCCTTCAGCCCTCTGAGTCCATACCTCCAATAGGTACAAACTTACACTGACAAAACACCAGAAAAACCTTAAAACATGATCAAAACCACCAGACTGAGATCCAAAGAGGGCAAATGAGGCTGTATTGCAGTAACATGAAGTGATAACATGCAAAATTATGTTATCTTTGGCTTGCAAGTCTGTAGTTGTATGCAGGGTTGTAACACTTAATAACTTAAAGGTCCAATGAGGAATTTTACATTCAGTGTCACTTTTGGCGCCCCCTGTGGATAAAGCATTAGTGTCTAAATGCTTCAGTCATTTCTTTTAACATAATAATCTCATCCTGCTGACCTTTGACAGTCAAATGCTTCATTTATTGTGACTGTTTGATGTAGAAGTTGTGATCAGGGCTGCTTGGATTACACCTACCCCCCTGCACGAGTTTCAGGCGTTGAATAAAACGTTGTATACAGATCATCAGTTTTGTCCCTGACAGTCTTGTTTTCTTTTGGATAGCATGAAAATGCATCAATATGAATTATAGTCTATCTTATAAATGTAAAAAAAAATACTAAGAACCATGAATTTCTCCGCAACGACTCATGCATTTTTTACAGTTTTACATATTTAACATCCACTTGCACACCAGTATCAGACATATCTGGCTTTTCTAAGATTTTACTTGCATATAGTCCAAGTTTTCAGTCATGACCATACCACAGTTAACAGTAATCATAATGTTGACTTTACTGGGATTAACTTGCAGTTTACCTGTAAAATTAAAAGTTGAACTTGTTGTGTGCAGGAACTTAATAATCATTGTGTACTCCTTCTCTTAACTTTAAATAACTTCATGTGTGTCCACTTTAAACAAACACAAACAACTGGTAATGTTATGTCATTGAGTGAAATGTTAAACTTACAGTGTGCTTAGTTTTTCTGACGTGTCTGCTTTTGTGTAATTGTATATATTTCTGCGTATTTTTGTGCACAGCGACCTACACACTGAGGGACCGTGCTGGGATACCGTGCATCAGAGCCAAGATGGGCGTGGAGTTCATAATCACTGAAAAGAAGGTTAGAGGCTGAGACTGAGTCAGCACTCTATGAGTGTGTGTGCGTGTGTGTGTGTTTTATATTGTTGAGTCTTTTAGCACATTTTGTTGAAAGTGTGTGTGTATGTCAGCATTTGTTTGTGAAGTGTTATTAGTTGGTTTAACTGTCAAACTGTAAAAATGTTTTTGTACTTTGTCTGCTATTTTTAACATGTGCTTAGTCTCACTTACCTCCATAAAATATAAGAGTGAAGATACAGTCAGCTGTGGGTACAAAAAAAGAACAGAAGAATCAAATGTGTTTCTCTTGTTTTATGCTTTCTGTAGACCTGGTACTTGAGTTTGGACCCGACCAGAGTCAAGGTCACCGGTTACTGTGGTGATTACTCTGCTGCTCTCTGCCTCACGCTCCCGGACGACAGTGCCAGTCTACTGTTCAAATTTTGCAAGGTACAAACAAAACATTCATTAAAAACGAACAAAACCTGCTATCGCTTGGTGTTGGAGGAGTCTGAATGTTCTCAAGTATTGTAGGCATGGATTTTTGAACTTAACCTGAGTGTGTCCTTTTTTATGCAGCTTGTTATTTCTCCTACTTGTGCAGATTGAGGTTGCTACTCTGACAGCTTTAGTTTTATTTTTGAAGGCCAGAATGTGAGATAAGTAATCCTTTATGGTAAAAAAAGAAAATCCGCAGGAGAGCCCTGCCAAGATAGCAGCATAAAAAGTGCAAATAAAAGAACAAACAACAGACCACAGTAAACACAAATTAGACTAAACAGCTTAAAGTATTTCTGGTTCTGATTAACAACGTTTACAGGTTAAATATTCATCAATCCTGCTTTTTTTTAATTGGTGTCATGCTCGGTGAAGGTTTTTTGTTCATTTAGAGTAACATAATGTTGGGTCAGGTACGGAGACAAGAAGACGATTGTTGGTTGTAAATATTACAAAAGAAATATTAAAAAATATTACAAAATAAATATATGAAATTCATAGTATGTTTGTTATGAGCAAATGATTAGGCAAATAGGCTTCTATACTGACAAATATCTGCTCATACATGCACATTGTCATGTATAATAATAAAGAGTTAAAACATTTCTTCATATTGGCAAGGAAAGCTAGTAGGACTGAGTGATGTTTCAAAAGTTTTCGACCAAGTTTTCTCATTCGTGATCTTGAGTTTTGTGGTAAAAACTCTTTTTGCACTCATCAAACTCAATCTTTTTGTTGATACTTGGTCATTTTTTATTATTTGCACCATCCAGAATACATAACCTGGGGTCCAAAGGGATGTTCTCTTGAATTATTGTGGCTGAAGTTCATGTAATTCACTTCCAGAGTATTTGTAATTTCCTGCATTTCCATAACATTTGGTAAAATAGGCCTTTCTCCACAGTGCTGATATGTATTTTTATTATTATTTAAGGCATAACTTGAAACTTTCAAAAGGCATTAGCTAAAATGTTTTTTTTTTTGTAGAATTTTTTATCTGCAGAATGAGAAATTCTAAGTAATTTTTGCCAAATATTGGGATTTGTGGGTGTTCCTCTTGGATCTCCTTCGAGCACCTTTACTTTTGATAATTTTATACATAGTGGTGACGGTGTGAAACATGTTCTTGTGGTGTGAATGAACTAATACTTAAAATTTCTCTTTTCAGCTTAAACTACCCTCTGTTTTTGTCACCTACTTTAAATTCAAGGGCAGGTAAACAGGAAAATATGGTAGCTACAGACACAAGTGGGCCAAGGTAGAGTGTTTCAAAATATGAGCGTCTCAGCTAATTCCCAGATTAAACTGGCAGGTTGAAGTGCAGGTTGAAAAAATAGCTGGAACAAAAGAAAAGGTTTGGATTTGCATTAGGAGAACAGCGAGAATGGTGCAAATGTTGAGTTTGGTGTTTGAGAAATGTTCAGAAAAGCATGAAAACAGAGGAAACAGAGGTTTGTAGGAACGTGTTAAAAGAAGGCATGAATGATTTTAGATGATCCATCATTTCGAATTATGGATCCAGATTAAAGACAGCGAGTCCTGAATGGATTTTTTTACTTTGAAGACGTGTGTGTAAAAACTAGAGCTTTAAAAAATCAACATCAGCCTTTTTCATCCTGTTTTCCTCTTCAGGGAAAGAATACCTTCTGGGTCAAGGAGCTGACGGCTCACGTGACTCCTCTTCCGGTCTGCCCCAATTGTGCCAGTAAGACCGCAGAGAGACACAACACATACATCTGTTAAAAAACACACAAACACTAATAACAAACCTTTGCCTGTTTCTCTTTCCTCTCTTCCCCCCTCAGATAAGAGTTATGTGGGCCTAGTGGCCGATGACAAGCTGTTCTGTACGGCTACAGGACGGAGCTACATGTGTAAGTCTGAGAACGTGCTGAAGATGTCCTCAGAGCTGAAGGTGAAGCTGGTTCCTCTGCAGCTGCAGGCTTTTGGTCTTCCCAAAGGAGAGTTTGGAAAAGGTGAATGAACTGATAGTTTGTATCTGAAGATGAAAAAAATACAGCGTGTTTCTCAGAACTTGGAACAATAATCATAATATTATAGCTGCTGAAACTCTTACACACTGAAGGTGAATGTTGGTCAATGCTTGCACAGGTCAGATAAGTCCGTCCAAGTTTACTGGGTAAAACTAGGGTATTATTATTACTCAGACTGTGTTGTGAAAATGAAGTGCAACCTTATGAAAAATAAATACATCCACTTTCAGGAAGTGTTTTCTGTATTAAAAATGTTTTGTTTTCCAGGAGTCTTTGATGCTTTAAAAACGCATTTCTAAATCTACCTAAAACAATTTAAAGCTGTACCTTAACTCTGTGTTGCTTCTACGTAAATGTCAATGAAAAGTGATAAATCTCAGGGTTTGATTCACAGAAAGATTGTTCGGTTTTGTGCCAGCAAATGAGTCAAAAAGACCATCCAATTCATGAAACAAGTGCAAGAGCTTAGACATACGTCAAACTGTGCTGCAGGGTAAATAGCACCACTGTGCAGAGTTAATGTGAATTGATTTGGGGTAAAACAGACTGATAACAATACTGCTGTTACATAAACAGCAACAAATGTAGGCATTAAATCTTAATATCAACTATAACTGGCATGACACAGACATCTGTAAAATCACTGCTTTTATTTTACATCTATGTGTTTCCTGTTTTTTATTCCCCTCTTTTCTTCACTTTCAGGTGTGGAGTGTTGGGCCGACTTTTATAAGCGAGTCGTACCCATCATCATTGGAGCTGTGGTGGTGTGTATTCTTCTGATAGGTGTGATAACCTTTCTGGTCATCAGAGACCGTCGGACAGAAGGTTATGACCGTCTCTGAGCTCCTGAGAAACTTGATAGAAAAACAATCCAGCTTGAAGGATTTTGCTTTTTTTTAATTATTATTTTTATTTGTTGTTAAAGCTTTGTCAAAACTTCTCAACTCGACTTGAATGTGACATTTTGCATCTGGGACTCAAAAATAAAAAAGGTCTAAAGGTGCTAATTATAAATGCAAACGATGTTGTTGTTTTAAATACTATTTCTTTTTTTTTTTTTTTTTAACTTTTATTCTTATTGTGTATCTTCCACTCTTTTTTGGTTTTATTGGTAACTGTGTGTCTGCGTGTGTTGTGTTTCACTTTTTTGTAGTTTCCCAGATAACTGTTTTATCTGGGGGTTTTTTGTTGTTGGTTTTTGTTTGTTTGTAATAATCTGATATTTTGCATTTTAAACAATTGTTTAATGAAAGGGAAATGTGCTTAAAATTACCCACAGAGCTCTTAATTGTTATGTAAATAACTGAACCAGACTGTTACTTGATTATTTATGGTGAAAGTCGTGACATTAGAAAGTCGTGAGACTGAAGAATGAATTTATTCAATAAATTATATTCAAGTTTTTTCTTTTTGTAAATTAGTTACTGCCTTATCAATCAGTTTTGGTAATTGAAGGTTTTTTTCAGAGCATTGGGATGCGTTTGTTCAAAATAGTGGTTTAAAATATATTTGCGCTGTAGACATTTCAAGCTGAAGTGTTGAAGTTGATGTCTGTGAGGTTTCTGCTTTGCGATTAATGTTTCTTTTTTTATTAAATAAAAGAAATTGTCTCAATTATTGTTTTTTTTTCTTTTTACAGTTTTTCTCAGTCCCTTTGTTGCATTTCTCACATCATTATTGAAAATTTGTACAACAGTTGGTGCATTTCTCAGAACAATTAGTACAAACTGCAAAACCTAGTTGATAACCTGCAAAAATGCGTCACTTCCTCAAAGTGAATAGTTGATTCCTCAAAAGCAAGTATTCATGTCAATGAAAGCATCTGTGTCATCAAAATATTTAGTCCTGACATCATGTTTTCATTTTGATAGTTCACTCTCTCTGTTTTCCAATGCAAAAAAGTCAGATCTTGATCTTGCCCCTGTTTTGTCCCCTTCCCCTTCATCCCTGCATTCTCACCCCTCCTTCACGACGATAACCTTCCATTTTTGTGTTGCAGAATTGTGGAAATAGTACACAATATGTCCTGCTTTTGGGATTCAGCTCTGAGTGGCTTGTCACTGGTTACAACTAATGCTTTACACACCTCCTCATGAGTGAAAGCTGAGGTTCACCTGAGAGCAATTGTTCAATTTAGGAGACATTTTCAGGAAGAAATGATTAAGAAATTTATTAAATTGTCTTGACAGATTTTGAGAACTAGTTCAAAAATTTTGTATGTAATGAGTCAAGCAATGAAATGAGGATTATTAGTTTTAGAGGGAATGACTATTCAGCATTCATACGTATAGTTCATTCTGACTGACATGACAGAAGCAAATGGTAATGTTATAAAACAGCAGAGAATTGTATGAAAGTAACTGATACATGTCCAATTCTGTTCAGAGGAATGAGAAACTGCTACCATGATGTGTACATGATGTGTATGAGTCAGTGTTGTGGGGATTGAACTAATAGTTGTGAGAACTTTAATTTTCACCAAAGCGACTGAGAAAAACTGTAAATATAACCGGATTATTTACGGTAAAATGTCGCCATTTGTTGGTGATTCTTGATAACTGCATCTTCCTCTCCGCCTACATATCCTTCTTTCTCATTGGCTGTCAGATCTACGGGTCCTCGGAGAGATCAAAACCAACGACACCCAAAATTACAAGGGTGTTTATGTGCTTTCCTTGTAAGTTTACAACTTTAAGTGTCGTACAGAGATAAATATCTTGCTCTTGATGTGTTTTTGCTCTTAAGAACAAATTTAAATCCTTTATGGGCGTTTTTAGTAATTAACCACTTCGCCTTTTCCTCCATAGCTAGTCAGGCTGTTAGCTGTCTGGCAGCTTGAAGCCATGGCTGCAGTTATCCTGAGTTTTCCAACTCTGCAGGGTCTGAGGATATTCACACAGTGAGTACATCCCAGCAGCACACGGCTACTTTAACCTCATCTAGAAATACGTCAACCACGTGATATCACCAAACACGGTTAATGTTAGCTTCATCTGGACGTCAGCTGGTTGCTATCTGACAGTGAAATGTTGTTATCTGTCATTGTAACATGTCACTTTGTAAATAACCAGCTGATGTTTCTAACCACTATAGACAAATACATTGTTTTTCCCTTTTATCGGGAGATTTTCCTCCATGTTGTGAGCTAAAGGCTTGGATTAGATCTGAGCAAGGTTAAATAAAGGTAGCAAACCGAGCTAACGTGGCTAATGTTGATGGAAAAACACTGACTCTCCTCAGGCTTCATTTCTGAGACAGCAGTCTGGTTTTGGGATTTCACACCTTTACAGTATTTCACCTCTGTATTGTCAGACTAAGAGGTTTGTCTCTGTCCTCCCCTCAGAAAACTGACATGGACCAAAAGAGGAGTGAGGCTGGTTTCAGGAGGTGAGTTAAGATTACTAATAGTGGTTATGGTTTTCCTATCACCAAAACTGACGTTGTACATATTGATCTCTCTTCAGAAATAAAGAAGTGACCCAGTTTTTATAATGTCAGGGTCAACTTCTACATTTCAGTGGAAAGCATTTCTATAAATATATCAATTGAAAGTATAAATTTTCAGTCTCATGGACCATAAATAATAGTAATCAGTATTAGGGCTGGGCGATATGGTAAAAAGTTTATCACAATGTTTTTTTTTTACATCAGTCTATATATTAAAAAATGGAATTTAACAGTGTTTATTGGTTGCATGTTTTTTGCAATACAGTAAGTACTGCATCTGTGATGTTTTTGTAACCTTTTGCATTGCACGTGCTCTGCCGCGTGGAACTGCTTCAGGTGGTGAAAAAGATTTTAGGTATTCCCAGACTTTGCGAGAATATGTACTTGACATAATTTGCAGTGCACATTACTCTGCTCCATGTCCGACCTAAAAAAAACCAAAATATCTCCACACCGCCGACGTTTTCGTGCTAGAGTTGTTAATGATGTCATCATCTGCTGACAGTGCCGTCATCTTCACATGTTAAAGTGCTATGGTTGCGTGTAGCTGCAGCCCGCTACTACACGGTTGTTTGCTACTTGGTTGTAATTCAGCACATGATTGGTTCAACGCGAAGCAGACCCAGAGCAACTCCCCTTTTCATTGGCTAATTGTATAGTCTACCAAAACATGGAAGAACACAGAATACGAAAAGGATATTGACCATGTTTTATATTGATATTGAGGGAAGTTAATTTTCGATATATTTTGTTATCGTTTTATCGCCCAGCCCTAATCAGTATCTACCCTGAAAGGCTAAAATCAGTCAACCCCTAATGATGGACAACAGGCTTTCTCTTTTTCTGAACACCATGTGGAAAAAAACCTGTTTGTAAATGTTGAAGAGTGACAACAGTTTATTTCTAGATATAAGGAAGTTCTTTAATGATCATTTTGGTGATAAGTGTGTTTCTGTCTTGTCAAGGTGTGGGGAGAATAGAGAAGGTGTTGATTGCCAACCGTGGAGAGATCGCATGTCGGGTGATGCGCACGGCCAAGAAGATGGGCGTCCGCTCTGTGGCCGTGTACAGCGATGCAGACAGAGACTCAATGCATGTGGCCATGGTGAGATCCTAAATAGCTCCGTGTTGATTAAAGTTAATGACATGGCGCTGCTAAAGTGATGTTTTCTTTTTTTGCCTTGTGGTTTTTTAGGCGGATGAAGCATTCCACATCGGCCCTCCTCCCTCCCAACAGAGTTACCTCTCGATGGAGAAAGTTTTGGAAGTGGCTAAAAAGTCTGGATCACATGTGAGTTGTCCTCTTCTTGTTAACACTTTTGCTAAGCTTTGAATCAGCTGAAGACTTGGAGATTTGTAATGTGATCATTAAGAAAAGCTCTACTTGTGTATGTGTGCAGGCGGTCCACCCTGGCTACGGCTTTCTGTCAGAAAACACAGAGTTTGCAGAGGCATGTAAACAGGCAGGCATCATCTTTATTGGACCTCCTTCCTCAGCCATCCGAGACATGGGCATCAAAAGGTAACACGCATATTCAAACTAAAACTACACATCAGCATTTCCTCCTAAATACAGACTAATTTTAAGTGTTTGTGGAGGTATTGTTGACAGCATGACATTTTAATTTCTTCGTCTCCTTTTTTAGCACATCCAAACACATCATGTCAGCTGCTGGGGTGCCAATCATTGGCGGTTACCATGGAGAGGACCAGTCAAACGAGAGGCTGCAGGCAGAGGCTGCACAAATAGGATACCCAGTGATGATTAAAGCTGTGCGCGGAGGAGGAGGGAAGGTGAGAGGAGGTAGAAAAAACAAAATAACTCTTATAAAGCTACAAAAAGAATCATGGACCAACGTTTTGTGTGCATGTGCTCCTGTGTTTATGCGTGTGTAGGGGATGCGTATTGCACGGTCAGACTCAGACTTCTTGGAGCAGTTGGAGTCAGCGAGAAGAGAAGCAAGAAAATCCTTTAATGATGATGTCATGCTGGTGGAGAAGTTCGTCGAGGACCCCAGGTAAAATTATTTTGTCAGCGAATTCACAAGCCCCAGCACCCAGCACGTCTATCTACAACATGAATTTGTACTTTTTCTTCCCTCTTTTTGTTGTTCTGTAGACACGTGGAGGTTCAGGTGTTTGGGGACATGCACGGTAACGCTGTGTATCTGTTTGAGAGAGACTGCAGCGTTCAAAGAAGACATCAGAAGATCATAGAGGAAGCTCCAGGGGTGAGTTATGACAGTTACACTGATTTGTTATTGTATAAAAGACTAACTGGACTTTTCTTTGAATTTAGTTCTTTAGATCATTTTCTCTTACATGGATAAATCTATATATTACGCATCCAGCTGCTGCCCTAACTTCTGATTAAACTTCAGGATTTGTTAAACCATTTCTCTGGAAACATTTATATGTAAAAGTTTTATTGTTTGCATGGAGGAATAATTTCCAAAAGGAAAAGTATAAGCTCATGGGACATTTAGGGTCTCCTAAGAAGTTTAAAGCTGAAATATTGTGAAAATTTCCTTTTAAATTTAATTTTTTGGACGATGCACTGAGATCAAATGTCCAAGAATTCTAAAGTGTAATTTGAGACTCACTGTTCTGTGAGCTAAAGATAGAGAAGACATCCATGTGCTCAACTAGCAGAAAGGCCAGTTCATGTGAGGTGAAAACATGACTGAATGTGCTAAAAAAACTGTGTGCAAAGAAAACATGACCCTATATCTTGAAGGTTATTTCTTAACAGATTAAACTGTCGGTGCAGTTGTAACAGCAGAGGGATATATTCATATTCATATTCATTTTGGGGCTTATATCAATACATTTTCCCAAAGTTCAGACATTAAAGTTTAGGAATGTGTATCTATACACCATAGGACTTGGCTTTTTTATGTGGAGCGTTAAAAGTGTTTTCATGTTTCTTTCAGCCTGGTATTAGTGCAGAGGTTCGGAGGAAACTTGGAGAAGCAGCAGTCAAAGCGGCAAAAGCTGTTAACTATGTGGGAGCAGGTGAGACATCCAAATAAACTCTCACTCCACCTCAGACCCAGAAAACTCAGAGCTTATGATTTCTGACTGTTTGTCTTCCTGTGCAGGTACGGTTGAGTTCATAATGGACGCCCAGCACAACTTTTACTTCATGGAGATGAACACTCGACTGCAGGTGGAACATCCTGTCTCTGAGATGATCACAGGAACCGACCTGGTGGAGTGGCAGCTCAGGGTGAGGAGCTGATTCAGAAAATTACATTTAGTCATCAAAAAGTTTCAACTTTCAGTAGGGCTGATGTTTGTGTTCATCTCCTCCAGGTGGCAGCAGGGGAGCGCCTGCCTCTCCTTCAGGATGACATCATACTAAGAGGTCACTCTTTCGAAGCTCGAATCTACGCCGAGGACCCAAACAACGACTTCTTGCCGGGGGCGGGGCCTCTGCTGCATCTCTCCACCCCTTCAGCTGACCAAAACACACGCATAGAAACAGGAGTCAGAGAGGGTAGGAGATCTGAGAGTCTGGATGTGTGATTGTAAAAGGAAAGATATTTGAAATTCTGAACAGGACGTTTTGTACAGAATTGACCCGTCTGTCTGTAAAAACTGCACCTAACAGCCTCAGTCTGTTTTCAATATTGAAGGAAAAGTTTGAGGAGAATTAAAAATTTCATAATGCAAAAAGAAAACAGTATGCGTGGTTTCTATTCTGTATGTTTTTGTTGTGTGTTTTTTAGGTGATGAGGTGTCGGCACATTATGACCCAATGATCGCCAAGCTGGTGGTGTGGGGAGAAGACCGATCTGCTGCCTTAAAAAAGCTGCGGTATTGCTTACGGCAGTACAATGTAAGACACACTACTGGAAAGTACCACACCATGCAACATGTGATATAAGATTTAAATAATCTAACAGAAAACCTCCTTTCTCTCCTCAGATCGTGGGACTGAACACGAATATCGACTTCTTGCTGAGCCTGTCGGGTCACCCAGAGTTTGAAGCTGGGAACGTGACGACCAGCTTCATCCCTCAGCACTACGCCGACCTCTTCCCCACTCCGACAGCCCCCTCTGGAAGTACGATCTGCCAGGCGGCCCTGGGCCTGGTGCTGCAGGAGAGGAAACACACACAGGAGTTCACACAGACATCCTCAGGTGAAGGGAAGCATCAGCATGGGTTATTCTTTTATACACGCTTACATGATAACATCATCACAAACAGAGCTGAAACAGAAAGAAAAATGAGCTCCCATCAATGAATTGAAAACAAAACAGACATTATTCAAAAATTACAATCATTATCACGTCCTCAAAATTCATGTTTGTTCTTGAATTACTGTCTGCCTACAGATAACATAAACACATACAGTCTATACTTATACAAACATGCAAACATTTTACATTTAACCAAACAAGCCTCGAAAACGCTGTTGGAATAAAAGTTTGATCTTAAATCAAATACGCTGGCAAAGCCAACCACAGCTCTGTGCAGGACTGATTTTTGTTTTATTCCTGATTTCATCTTTTTTTCTATTTTACATCTTTTTTGATAATTATGGCGCAGAAACTGAGAGAATTGTCTTTCATGTTCAGACTGTCATGCATGCCTGTAAGCTCTGTCAGAACATTATGAAACACAACAGAAAGAAACTTTTATTTTGAATTTGTTTTCGCTTATTGAAGTCTTTTATTGAAACAGTTATTCACACCTGGAGGCAGAAATTTACAAAACATGATTAATTTTTATGTATTTTTATGTTTCAGACCCCTTCTCCCCGTTTGGCTCCAGCAGCGGCTGGAGAAGCAACATCCAGTTTCACAGAAACATGACACTGCAGGTGGGAGACAAAAGTAAGTACAACAAGAGTCTTTACTGCCCCCTACTGTGAGAGAGAGGTTAGGATTTTAGTTAAAGGAGGGAGGAAAAATCAGAACCACATTTTTGATTAACAGGATCAGATCTGTCAGAAGTTTGAAGAGGTTAAAACTTGAATTTGATCTACTAAATACACTATAGACTTAAAATGTGAGCCCTCTACTAGAGACTTTAGATAACTGTGTCGAGGGCGTAGCAGCAAAATGGAAATGCAGACATACATAAACAGATTATTCTGGTCTCTGTGTTTATCACTTATCTTCAAACAGGATCATCAAAAACACATCTTACTTTTCCACTTATTTATTTATTTACAGTTAATTTGACAGGGACAGATACAATACACATAGACAGACTAAACACAGCCATCCGGTGAAAGTGTATTTATAGCAGATGCTGTGGCAGCATCAGTCCCTGGAGAGCTTAAGTGAGAATGAAAAATCAAAACTTTTAAAAGAGATAAGAGAAACAGTAAAGAGGATGCATTTAAACTTACATTCAGTAATGACAAAACTTCTGAAAATCAGACGAGTTCAGGATTATTGCTGAATGATTCTTACAAAAGGAGGAGTTTGTAATATGTTGTTAGTGATGAAGGGTGAGCTGCAGGATTATGGTCCTTTCACAGTAAAAAAACTGTCTAAGCCAAAGATGTTTTTCTGAATAAAACTTTACAATCACCGCTTCTGTGACTGTGAATAATGAGAAAGTTAAGAGAGGCTTTAAAATATGTTAAAACAGCAGGAAAATGTCCTAATGATCACAGGATGACTCCAGTAGGTTGACGTCCGAACAGTGGATCCAGCTCTAATGATGACTCTGAAGAAGTTTAGAGCTCCGCTGCTCTGTGACAGTTTTTTGATGAACTCTTATAAATTATTCAGTGTGTCTATTATTTATAAAGAGTCAGCTGAAGGCCAAAAAGAAGTCCACTGACTGCAGCTGTGTCAGCGCTGACATGAGGATCTTATAACCAAACAACTTTATCTCGTTATTTCTCTGTTTCTCTGCTTCTCGGCGTCTTTCCTCCTCTTTTGAATGTTTCAAACCTCTCCTGTTGGTTTTGTGTCTTTAGAGGTGGATGTGGTCATCGTTTACAACCAAGATGGAAGCTACTCGATGCAGGTGAGCACGATGGAGACCTTTTATTGTATGTAATGAGTAGCTTGCTTTAAAAGTGCAGCATAAATAAAGTTATTATTATCAATATTATAAAGCAAATTAAACTCAGAACAAGCTTCAAATAAGAGGAGAAAGTAGGAGTAGACCTTCTCTTTCACCTTCAGTATAAATGTGTTAACCTCACAGATTGGCGAGGAGGCGTATCATGTGACCGGTGAGGTGGAGGTGGAAGGAGGAGCATCATTTCTGCACTGCTCAGTCAACGGTGTGAAGTCTCGCCCCAAACTGGTGATCCTGGACAACACAGTACATCTCTTCTCCACGGTTTGTTCCCACCATCACTTATGACATTTATTTTGTAATTTATTCCTTAAGCAACATCTATCCTTTTATAATCATTATTAAGAGATCAATACTCCATCCGTGTGATGCTGGAGTCTCTGTCTGTTATCTTGCTTTCACAGGTATATGTTTATTTGAAATGACTGGAAAGCGAGCAGTACGGTCATGTTTCAAAATGAGTCAACAAAAACACATAACTTTGGACACAAAATAAAAACGTGACATAAGAAAAGCTGAAACTGAAATATATTATCGTTTGGTGAAACATGAATGCTCATTTTGAATCTGATCCCAGTGACAAGTTTCAAAACCGTTGGGACAGGGACGAGAAAACACCAACCTGTGCTGTCCACGTAGATTCTCATTCATCCAGGTCATGGTTTTTCTTGAAATCTCCAAAATCCGGCAACTGGACTGTGTAGAGCTGAGAAGACGTTTCGCCGTTTATCCAAGAAGCTTCCAAGATTTTGGAGATTTCAAGAAAAACCAACCAGTAATGTGGCGGCTATGACCTTCATCTTGCACTGTGGCAAAACAAACATGACTCTGTAGTTGAAATCTCTGCATGGGATCAAAATCACGTCCAAGACTCCAAGGCCCAAAACTGTTGAGCAGCTGAAATCCTTTTTAAGGCAAAAATGGGACGATAAGTCATTTTGAAAACTCCAGAAACTGGTCTCTTGGGTCCCCAAATGTTCTGGTTTAAAGCGTATTTCTGGCATCAGTTTTTAAAATGAGCGTTTCTGTTTTATTACCTCCTTTGTTTTATGACTCCATCAAACTCTCAGATATCTTTTTTTAACTCTGTCTGAGAGGGCCTCAGAAATCTGAGATCAGTATTTTGTCTAATAGTTAGTCTGTTCTGTTTTCAGTCAATATAATAACGAGAACTCCAGCTCCCCAAACACCGCAGAGACCATCCTCGATTCCCGTCTTTTGTGTCTCTCAGACTGGTGGTCGGGGACAAACGCTCTCCGTCTCTGACATCACGGGAAATTAAACCCTGTTCAGATCCTCTTACCTCGGCTGCCAGTTAACTGTGGCTTCACTTTCTGACATGCTTGTATCTTTTTGCAGGAGGGAAGCTCTGAAGTGTCTGTTCCTGTGCCCAAATATCTGGCTGGTGTGAGCGGCTCTGGGGCTCAGGGGGGAGCTGTGGCCCCCATGACTGGAACTATTGAGAAGGTGGGTTCAGTTGTGATGGTAATTGGACTTTAATTGGCTGTAAAATAAGGTTAAACTCTTTGTTGCAGATGACCTTGAAAGAAAAACACTGTAAAAAAGTGCCAGACAGAGTGATACTGAGCATGTAATACAAGCTGTCTTAATATATATGAAAATAATGGATGATATGCAATAAGAAGAAAATATTGGGTTTTTTGTATCCTCCAGTAAATAGTCATCTTTAGTAGGACCCCTGAGAGCACACTGTAAAAGCACTGTCGGCTTTAATCATCGGTGATTTACATCAATCAAAGTTATAAAATCTGGGGAATCCACTGACATCATTTTGGTTTGTTTGTATGAAATATGCAGCGACAGCCTGCAGGCACTCGGCGCAGCTTAACATAGTCTTCCAGCAGATGTCTCAGTCTGAATGTGACAAACTGTTAGCTGGCATAAAAACAGCGTCTCAGTTATTTAACTTCTAAAAATGTTTTATAAAGTTTATTTGAGTTTAAGGGAAAGCAAAGTTACCTGCTTACATGTACTTCCAGTCTTTATTCTGCATTAATTCCAACACTTTGTTTCTCCATCTTCATATTTAGTCGAACTTTGCGGGAAAGTTGAAAGTGTTTTCCACAAACCCCCCAACCCCTCATGCCAGTTTTATTAAAAATTACAACATAAAAATTGCCGGTGACGGTCTTTCTTGCTTTAGTTTTTCGGTCAGTCGCATCACAAAACTCCTCACAGAAGCTTTCATGTTGTAGGGGCAAAACATAGACAATAGACTTGAGAGAACTTGTTGAAAACCAGGATGCAGGCCACCGCCAGAGAGGTCATGTCGACCTGAACTTGTCACACATGGCAAAATTCGGCAAAACCGGCCATTGAGCAAAACAAGTTTACAGAAAAAGTCACATTGTTGGAGATCAGACACAAATGTGAAGACCAGTTACGGGAAGATAAGAACAACTACTGACGTTATTGGACTGTATAGATTGTTTGGGATTGTTTGGCTGTGGGTCCGTCTGATTGTCATGCTGTGGTTGATGCTGCAACTACAATAAAATCCTGCGAGAGGCTGCCAGCTTGATTCTGTTTTTGAGTAGTTACTTTTTGCACCTTTGCATCTATGAAATCTACCATAAAAGTGGCGAGCCAGCCAGGAGTGGTTGATGCTGCAACTACAACAAAATCCCGTGAGAGGTTACCAGCTTGATTCTGTCTTCGAGTAGTTCATTTTTGCACCTTTGCATCTATGAAATCTACCATAATGTTTGATTTTTGGCACATTCTCCTGTAAACAATGGTGAAATTCTCCAGCTCAGGACTCCAGGACTTGCATATGCACACGTCTGCATACTTGTCCTGCTTTGTTTAACAGCCCACAGAGTTGACTCATGTGGCTGGGACTCCATCCGTACTTGACTCTGATTCTTCTTTAGTGACTCAGACACTTGGGACTTGACTGAGACTTGAGGTTTGATGTCTCAGATATGACACTGCATGAAAACCAGTATCCAGGCTGAAGCACAATTAGAAGCAGAGCTACTATTAAAGATGAGCAAAATGAAATATGTGTATGAATAATTACAGCAAAGTGAACTTATGTGGATTATTGCATTAAATTGAGAGTCTGAATTTTGATTTTAAGATTATTTGCTGAATGAATTTGAATAACTGATCTCTGTTTGTCTTCAGGTGTTGGTAAAAGCTGGAGATAAAGTGGAGGTAGGAGACCCGCTGATGGTCATGATCGCCATGAAGATGGAGGTAAAATACTCAGTCACACACATACATCAAACTAAGCTACCCTCAGAAGAATAAAGCCAACTTTCACTCTGTCTCCTCAGCACACGATCCGGGCGCCCAAATCCGGCGTGATCAAGAAGGTTTTCTTCAGCGAGGGCTCCCAGGCCAACCGCCACGCTGCTCTGGTTGAGCTGGAAGAGGAGGCGGAGGAGTCGGAGGGGGAGGGGGGCAGCCAGTAAACAGACACACAAATAAACACACACATATAACACTAGGAGAAAACTGCAACTGGTACCTGACATCTGTGACATAGAGCAAAAATAGAAGCTGGTGTCCAGCACTCAGCTGGTGTTTCTAAATCCGCCGAGTCTGGACCTAAAACACATCAGTCTGGAGGCTGGTCCGGGTCAGTCTGGCTTCACAGACACTTTCACCCTGGGACCTGTGATGCATTTAGAAAGGTCAGACACAGGTCTAATGACCTGAAGCTTCACCGGGTTTGTCAGCAATGTGAAGTCTCAGAGGCAGAGACGTACTGTTGCCTTTTCATCAAATTACTGCCTTTCTGTTGATTGTCAAACTTTCTGCTTTTCTTTAGTTAGTTTCTATCTTTGCAAATATCAGCGAGGACTCTGGAAGTATTAGGGTTTTCAGATTTATATTTCCTTTTTCAAGCCTTTCCCTTTTCTATGTTGGTTTCTGCTGGTGGTGTCTGTCTTTGTCTGATAAGGGTGACAGCTGAGCATCCTCTGTGAACACACTACGTCCTTCTTTATCATCATAAAGCCACAAAGTTAAAAAAAGAATAAGCACATCTGAGGCTAAAGTAATAATAAATATGTGGTGTGTTTACGAGAAGTAAAAAAAAACTGAATAATGTGTCAGGGGGCAGTGGAAGTACAATAAATATCACAGTTACTGATGACTGAAGGGGGAAACTTCACTTTTACTGTCCAGTGATAATTATGTAGCATAAATTGCGGCATTAATGCATTTCCTGTCAGTCTCTTACATGATTTAGTACATCACTGTCTGCTCTAGCACTTGTAAATATCATAGGACCTGTCAGTATTTAAAATACATTTTCTCTGAGCTTAAAGAAAAACACTTTTCTCTTAAAAGATCCAGTTTAAAGCTACATTTCTGTCACTGGATGGTGATTTGAATAGAAAAGATGGTGGTTGTATATTTAAATTTCTTCTTGGATTATTCTTTAATTTAGTTTTGGGGTTTATTCAGATCCATCTGTCCTTCAAACGGACTCCAAACTCTTCAAATTACACCCGCAGAGAGATTTGCCTTATTTAAAAAAAGCAGAAGTGTGCTGCTGAGGATATATTATGAATTATAACGTTGCACTGAAACAGAGGCAAACTAACACTCCAGATTTATGAAATGATTCCCAGTTTATAAGACTAGATCAGACTCAAAAGATCAAACATCAGTGGAAAATCCGACAAGAGTGCAAGTGATCTCAGTCTGCCTGTTCAGACTTTTCCTACTAACCGTGTGTTCTGAGGCCTTGTAGACTAAAACTGATCAAACCTGTGTTCATTTTGTAGATGTGTTACGGATGATTTTTCTCTTTTTTGTAAGAAATTTAAATTAGACTGGTCTGAAACTGTAATAAACTGTTTTAAAAGTATGCACAGCCTCATGTTTTACCTGATTGATTTTCCTTAAAATTGTTTCTGAGCTTGGATAGTTGGATATATGAGCATTTCCCCAAACAAAAAGTTCCCTTTTAACCTGGGAGAAGTAAAAACTTTTTGGTGATAAAGCTTCAGATTTGCCTCTCTGCCTGTTTTGAAAAGCTAAATAGATTGCTTTGCTGCCCCCTGTGGTCATTCATTACAGGAAATATTTATGAGACGTGCTGAGTAAACAGTTGAAGCTCCTGTGGAGTTTTTGATTAGTTATATAACAGACTGAAATGAACAGTTTAAAAACAAACCTGACAGTTTCTTTATTGTAATTGTTAGTGCCTGAAACTGCTGTAAGGGGGGAAAATACACTGAAGAAACAGCCTTTGTGACCTTTTCCACAGCGAATAAACACAGGGAGTGATAAATTTCACAGTAGAAAGACAACAGGAGGAGTTAACATGTGTCAGTTAATATCAGACAAAAATCAGCAACAATAAAAGGGTAACCACTTTGTACACAGGGGGCGCCAAAATCAACACAGACAGAAAGTTCCTCACAGGAGCTTTAAATGCGTTCATTTACAAATATATTAAAGCTCCTGTGAGGAATTGCAAGTCTGTGGAGAAGGTCCTCTAGTGACCTTTGGAGGGGGGGTATCATCCTACTAGTGTGTCACTCATTTATTATGAATATTAAAAATTAAAAAACAGGGCTGGTCAGCTGAATTTTTTGACACAGAATTTTATTTTATGTTTATTATTATTATTATTATTATTATTATTATTTTACAGTTTTTAAAGTCAAATTTTTACTAAACAAATATTTTTGAGAGACCTTTTTTTCCACAGTGAATTTATTTCATCATTGTGACAAAAGTTTGTGTCAGAAATAAAAATGTGTGCTTGAAATTTGATGGTTTTGAAATTCAAAGTCTGATTTTGATGCAAAAAAGAAAAAAAGAAATCAGCTTTAGAAATTCAAATTTAAAATCGGATGGCACAGATTTACTTCCATATGAACCTGTCATCCAGGAACAAGTTACCATGTGTGCATAAGATAATTACTTATGTGCACAATACAGATATCTAAATACTGATCAGAAATATAAATACACAGGGCTTCATTGGGATGGAACACAGGCATTTATATTGGCAAAGCAAGTGAACAAAACATTTATTCATTCATTCATCCAGATCCAGCTTTCTTCACCTTAGCACACTTGTTTGTTATGCGTGGCAGCAGGCAGACAGGCAGGGGGCGTAGGGAAGCCGTCAGAGAGCAGCCGGTGTCTGCACAGAGCCTCACACAGCCTCACCGTAGAGCCTCATAGAGCTGTGTTCTGTTTGCTGGCAGTGGAAACTGGTCGTGGCAGAGCAGAGATGTAGCGTAGCTCACTGGGACTCCGTGGCCAGCCGTCTGTCACTTTTACCGGGGGATTATTTGTTTGACATTACCGCGGAATGGAAAATACTGGATGTGTTTCTTTCGCACATTACACGCCATGAAAGTGACGCGTAATGCGACTGAAAAGAAGTACCTTTGGGGGGAGATATTTATGGTTCAGGACGGTTTTGTTGGAGTAGCTAGTTGCTAGCGCTGGGCTAGCGACCGAGCTGGCTACTTCGACTGTATTTTGCAAGGATGCTCCGGTGGATACGACAACAGCTGGTAAAGACTGCTCTCATACCTTTCTTACAACGCTGTTTCCTCTTTAACTCAACATAGGAGTCACTAAGTACAAGGTTTTGTCCCCGGGAAGATGTATGAACTTTATTAAGCAAGCTAACCCTGGAAATTAGCTGTTGCTGTTGTGTACAAAACATTGTCCGAATTGCTCTAATGACAGCCAGGTAGAGGTTGCGTTAGCTACCTTACCAGCTAGCTTCCTGTAATTTACCGACAAAAAGGCAGCGTGAATCGAAGAGTTGTTGACAATAAATCGAGTTTTAGCTGTTCTTTTGAATTGTTTAGAAGTTTGCTAGCAATTTAACCACGGCTCCCTCCTGTACCATTGTAAAACTTGAATTAAAAGTTAACCATTAAAGCTCCTGTTGGCAACTTGGAGCTTGTTGTCAACTTTGGCGCCCCATGTGGACAAAGCAGTCTTTGCTTATCTTGTACCATAAGTTCTAGTAATAGTAGTAAAAGTGCCTTCTCTTAAAACTCGTATTTTTTTTACTCCTGATACTTCAATACAGGGCTTGATACTAACTTTTTTTAGAAGGAGCACATGTGGTACTAAGTTGAAAAAGTAAGGAGCACGCAAAGAACTTTAGGTGCACAATAAAAACTGATCGAATAATTTTTGTCTTATTGGTGGACTTAAGTTTTATCATTTGGAATCAATTGTCGGTCTTTTGGTCACATGACATGGGAGCTACTGAAGGAAAACAGCCTTTTTTGAGAACATCAACTGGTTGATGGTCCCTTATTCAACCCTAGACGTTAACAGTGAGGATGCCGAGTAGATTTAACTGTGCTGCTCGTGGAGAGTGAAAAGACACCAGTAGATCCGCAGTGAATGTCCGTCGATTATCCAACCTAAAACTAACTTCACTGCGGTAATTACATGAAAAAACATCTGTCGCCTCGGATGATTGTTTTTTTTTTTATGCATACATGTGCCCCTAAAAACGTTTTACAATTCGCACACATCTAATTTTAGCCGCAAATGCGAGTGAAATAGTCGCACTGTCGAGCCCTGCAATGTGTAATTTGTAGGGGAATATTTATTGTGAAAATCGTGAAGACAGGGGTGTATCCTCAGCTGCTCCACTGACAACAACTCCCTTACAGTAGTTTCAATCTCAAAAAAGTTTTTTTTCTTGTCACTGATGGTCTTATTTTTTTTGTATATCATAAAAAGACATCAATATGTATTTACTCTATTTAAAAATAATTACCACAGAAGCTTTAATGTGAGTTAGCTGGACAACAGCTTAAAAAGTAATTTGAGTAACTAAATATTCACGAGGAGCAACCTTTATTTGCTGTAATCACCTGCTGTTTGCCTACAAACATGGCTGTATGTTGATGTGTTATTTGGCGAAGGCATGAAAGTAGCAAGACCGGTAAATGACAGTCATTGGGTCTAGAGCCTGCATAATTGAGATTTTTAGCCTTTTTTCCACCTGTCTATGAGTCTTCGGATAATTCTTTCTGATATTAAAAAACCCCCACAGATTTGGTATTATTTCTGAGTTGTTGATGTGACCAGATAGTTCATTTTTGTACTTTATTCATAAGTGAAGACATAGTGGGTGGTGGGAGCTTACTACTGGAATGTGTTACAGTAAAAGCTAGTTATTATGCTTAGCCGACTTCATAGACAAATATGCAGGGAATTAATTTAAAGAACAGTTCTCACCAATGCCAATAACAACTGAACACATGAAACCTCCGTAATGTAGAATTTTAGGGTAGAGCTTGTGTAACGGGTTGCTTTAGATTCCTCAAGTTTTTTGAAGTGTTATGGCTGGTTGGTGTAGAAATTGTTGAGTTGTGTGATAGTAGAGGAGGTGTGTAAGCATGTGAGGTGGACACGCCCATGTGAATGAATGGAGGAGTGCACGCCGTACATTAGTCATAGTTTTCCTCTGTCTTCTGTTGATGTCACCATCGCCTGAGAGGAGTACAGGCGTTGCTCAGTTCCCATGTTGAGTCCTCCTTAAAATAACTCGATCAGCTGAAAGTTATTCTGGATGAAAAAATATTCTTTCAGCTTATAAAGGTTAAGCCTTAAGAGAGTAAAAAGTGGTGGCCCTGCTTTGCCCAATTTGAGATAGCCCAGCCTATTTGACCCATACCATATAATTGACCTGTCTTCTTAATTAAAAGTGTAATTAAAATGCATCTTAGTGCAACATGGCTTAATGAAAAAGTTCGTGGGTAGGCATTTGTCTGACCCTGTTATCAGCTGGAGGGCAATACAGTTATGTTTATTCTCGTACCGAGCGCTTATCTGTTTCTTTCATGTGACACTGGTGCACTTATTAAAAAAAAGGAGGAGGAAGAAGAGGTGAGAAAGGCCTCACTTAGAGTCAGAGAAGCTTTAATGTCAGGCTTCCTCCATCAGCAGTGCTGACATCATGTAAGTTATGCTGCAGTTACATCATGAAAAGCCAACGGTAATCAAAGTACAAACAGCAGGAGCAACCCGGCAAACTCTTAAACATCTTGTTCTTTGAATATTTCCCACGGGGAATTACAAATTTCTGGGTTTAAATATTAATGCGTACTTTTTGCAAAGCACATCTAGTTTTGATATTGATTTGCTACTTCCAGTGCAGCACCAGGTCATCGCCCTGAGCCCTCATAGTGTTTATGTCAACCTAGATGTACAGAACATCTGACATGTGTGACGTAAAGGCTTAACAGCTGCTATTTTAGTATGAGGAAAGACCAAATTCAGATTTTGTCCTAAAATATGTATGATATCAAAGAGTATTACAGCTCTTATTTTTTTCACTTTGATTTCCCAAAGGCATACTTTGCAAATACAAAGCTTTGCTGCAGCACTGCTTTATTCAGCTGATGCAAAATTATGAATATTGCTTCAATGCTCAAAGAGAAGAGATTTTAGTCAAGTCATTGCTTACAACTGAATAGTTAGCAACTTTTTTGAACAAAAGAAAAAAAAATCTTTAGATAAAGGCTATTTCAAACTCTTTTTGAATGACCTAAATTTTTGTGATAAAACAGTGAAATTCAGTAAAACTACACCTGAGAAAATGAAAGAACAGGGAAATCAAAATAGATGTCTGCATACATTTTCTTATCTTTCATTACATGTACTAATCTCAGTCCATTCAGTATTTTATAGTCATTATCTGTATTCATCTTCCACATTGTTGTGACAACTCAACACATTCAATAAAAATGTCTGATACTTATAATAGGTGGTCTATTCCACCCTTTGTGAGAGTTCCTTGTAATGTTTAGCTCTACTTCAGGCGACTTATTTCATGCCACATGTTGTCAGATATCTGCTTGGCATGCCTGCAGCTACGTTAGTATTGGCGTTGTCATCAGTAATATCATCAAAAGCAGCACCTACAGCACATGACTACAGTCCACTGCTCTCACCATCTCTCTCTCTCTCTCTCTCTCTCTTAGTCTTTTACTTCATACGTGACACCCTCTCACAATCTCTGATTAGCTTATCCCGTTTGATTAAATGCCTCTTAGTCTATAATACAACTCACTGTGTTGCTGTGGTTGTGCTGTATTAGTCTGTCCCCCTCCAGACACTGTTTAGGGCAATGATTCCCCCAAGGCACTGTGGGACTTGTAGGCTTTATGGGGGGAGTAATTACCTGTTGGCCTAAAAATAGATGGGAGCATGAGAGTCGGTGGGCAGAAAGAGTCTGATATTAGCTACACTGTGGTACAACAAAGCCTCATTGAATCATGACTTGTCAGTATTTTTGTGTTATATTCATCGTATACCTGCTCTAAAGTTTTTGAGAGCTCTGATATTGATTTAATACTAGATTGATTTTTTTTTTTTTTTTTTTGGGATCAGTGTTCCTTTTAATGGGTGAATTAAAACAGACTGAGAAGGACTTCATCTTACTGGTTTACTAAAGACCTTTAAAATGTCCCAATTTTTTTATTAGGTACAGTGTTAGTCTGATTTCTACTCTCCGTAAAAACTTCCAAATCTACACATTAGGGGTGTGAGAAAAAATCGTTACGGCATAGTATCGCGATATTTTGTCTGGTGATATATCGTATCATCTCACTTACCTAATATCAATTTTTATTTTCAAATTAATTGTTAATATAAAGTCAAATCTATGATAATAGAAAAATAAAATCAACTGTTTGTCCAGTGAGGTTAGCTAAAAAAATCAACTGAAACAGTTGAAAAATTGTATAGATCGCAATATATTGTATAGACACCATGGATGAGGAGATGCTGATTCTAGAAGTCTAGAAGTAGATTTCGTCCTCTGGAAGGACACAATCTACTGCTTATATCCTTATATGGCTATAGAGACAACTCGTTATTGCGTGATTGCATATGAATCCGTGGGTTCTTGTGGGTTCTCGCGATTCGCTGTCCGTAATCCACCACGAAATTTGCCTCACAAACAGATTCGGTAGGAATTGTCGGCAAAAGTCGCTGCCGTTCTTGATCGGAGCTGTTTTGGATGGGTTGGAAATTCGGGGTTAATCTGATACACCGCAGACGACAAATCCTTTAAATAACCGACTTTACATTGACCTCAGGAAATATTCTAATTAAGATTTTTGATTTCTGAATTTCATGAACAGCAAGCCAAAATCTTTACAACTCAAAAAAGGGCCTGAATGTCAAAATATCAAACTTCTCCTTTTTTTAATTTAAATTACTAAAAATAAAGATAAAGAACTAATTTTGAGCTGTACCCGCACATACAGAGAGTGTGTAATGGGAGGTTTAAGAGGCATTGGTATTGTTCCTGGATGGTCAGATATGTGTGTATGAAGATGATGCAGGATGTTTACTTTCCCTTTTATGCACTTCAAAAAACACGCAATTAGACTGCAATTGTTTGGCGATCGTGTTTGGACAAAGCTCTGGCTCCGTGTATGGGGAACAAATAAAGTGGCGTCGAGCAACAGGTAGCGCCACGCTGATGTGACGTCTGCCTCTGCCAGCTACTCTCCTCCTTCATCCACGTTTTTGCTCATGAGGAACACTGCCACAGCACTGGCACTGACAAATGCTTCCTCTGTTTGCCCTTGTGTAGCAGTGCACTAGATCTCACCGTATCACTTGCTTTAGTTACCAGATAAAGTCATTTCCTTGGCATGCTTGCCCATGAATTAAGTGAGACTAAATGTTTGAAGGATAGTAGATCAGAGGATTTTAAGTAGCAGGTTTAACAGAAGGAACATTTCTATGCATAAAAAAAAATAACATTCGCTTTGTTTCACAAGTTTTTAAATTTTGCAATAATCTGTTCATGTTTTATTGCAAGTTTCCTCACTTATTCATAAAGATAAAACAGAAAAATGTCAAGTAGAACTGAAACATTTTCTTAGACTCGAGCATTGACAACCTAAAGCTGCATTGCAGTGCTCTCAGAAACATTGAGTAATCTGAATCCTTAAATGTCACAAGGCTTCATCCTTGTTACAGTAAACCCTGGCAGTTTTGTATGTACTCAACCTGCAGTTAAGATAACTTAAGCTACTGTGTGCAAAGACATTAATGATTAAGCAACATAACTGATGGTGTGGGGTGAAGCTACAGTTTCTTCATCTCTTTGGACTCTTTGTCAAACTGGGTGGAGAACAGCTAAGACAAATGTTCATTCACCATGTTTTCCACATTGATCATCATTAAAAGGTGCGCTGAGTAAGATCCTTTATGCCCCTTTTCTCAACATTACTGTGATCCCTTTTAAGGATGCATTAGCTCCTTGGTCAGTGCCAATGACTCAACAAGTTCCTTGTCAACTGTGTGAATTTCTGGCTTATTAAACTCTCCCTGGACAGTTTGTGCAGTAGCTGTTTCCAAAAGGGTTGAAACTTAGTATGACTTCATATCTTTTTATATGTCTCTGTCTGATCCAAATTAGTGTTGGGCGGTATGAACAAAGTCTTATATCTCATGAGTAATTTCATATCATGGTATATTTTTTCCCCATGTAAATTCAATTAGTGGCTTAAAAATAACAATACTGTCACATTTGTTCATTTTCCTTTTATTTTTATTCAGATTCGTATACAAATGCAACAAAAATGCCAGACCAGTCCGGTGATTTTTTTTTTTTATCGTATGATGTACCTTTGGCAAAAGACTCGGCCAAGCTCTTTCGTGTGAGAGGAGCTGCTGCAACTTTAGTTTTTGGTGCAGCGGGTGTGCCACACGTCTTTTGGCTCTCATAATAGAGCTTGTCGTGTTTCATCTTTAGGTGGTGGAAGAGGTTGCAGGTGTTTCCACCTCCAGCAACAACAGCCACATGACACTCTTTACATTTTTTTTTTTTGATCATTGTCGGATTTCCTAAATCCGAAGAATCTGCGACTTGCGCCCCTCTTCGTAACGAGTTCCTCCTCCTCCTCGTGTTGGGTGGGTTGGGCTGCCTCCATTTGCTCGGTACTGCCACTTATCTCCGTGTTCCCCATGACCATCACCAGTTGAGCTGTTTCTTCTCTGTTAAAATTATGCCAAGCAGTCTGCTGGACATTCTGGTGATTATAGGGAGTGCACCCAAACCTGACCTATCAAACAGAGCAGGCGAACTCCGCACAACATGCTGGTGAATATACAGAAACGCACCCAAACGAATGCGCTCCGGTTTTCCAGTGAGCGAGCGTAGACAACTACACATTGACTCAGAGAGATGCAGCAGACATCTGCCCATTCTCTCTGGTATAAAGGGTATAGCAAAATTTCTACCAGTAGACACTTTTATACCCTCACACGTTATATACTGTTGTACTGCCCAACACTAATCCTAATCCACTAAAACTAGTTGCAGAGGGAATTGTAGAGGTGTAAGTGTACTGTACGCAACTGGAAGGTTTGGTGTCCTAGATTAAAAACATACTAAAAAGTTTCATGATTTATGAGCATTTTCTTCCAAAACCAATCACAAGAAAGTTTGATGATGATCTAAATGTTAGTTTTGCATGTTTATCCTTGTGACTCAGTCTATTTAAGAAGAATTCATTGCATTTACATAGTCCCCAGTATACTAGTGCAGGATATTGTGAGCAGTTTTTACACAGGATCCTTCGTTTTCAGCCTCAATGCTGATTCATTTCCCTTTTATCAGGTTTCCATAGTGAGGTGAGACCGTTTCCCACTTCTGAGGAGGTCGTACACTTATCAGTCTGGTGTGGTTAATGTGGCTAACTCTCACTAAGCCTCTGTGCTTGTGAGTGGAAATTCTTAATAAGATAAAACAAAAAAGAGAGTTAACACTTCCCCTCCTCAGGTCATGTCATTTGTGACCAGGGTCAGTGTTGCTGCGTCTGAAGACAAAGGTTGAAGTGTAACTAATTTTGGAGTGTAGCCTGCTGCCTCCTTCACTTGAGGCCATGCTACCAAAATTACAGACCTGACTGAACAAGGCAGCTGAGTTGCATTGCAGCCAATAAAGGCAGCATGTTTTTAAAAAGACAAATAGAACAAGAAAAACTAAACCCCCGGGTTTAATCCAGACTATGAAAGAGGTTCAACTCCAAATTATTCATCAGTGGTCCCTCTTATTTGTAGTATACCTTCCTAACCAATCTCCAGACAATATTGCATAGATTATATATGCTTGCATTAGGTTTATTAGAGCCGGTTTAAGCAGGCTGAAAAAAGGTCTTAAAGCCGTAACAAAAAATTGATTTTTTTATCATGTCTGGAAGTTATCATTCAGTAGGTTCTTACCTTTTTTAAAGTCCCACTCCGATTGTTTTTTTTTTACTACTTAAAAGTGTTCTCAGTGGTCTTTAAATTGTGATTATGATTATGTTACCTGTGTCATTTTCAAGTGCTTTTCTTCTGCAGAGCTCCAGTAGTTCATTAGAAATTTGCCTCTGAGTCATGGGCGGAGACAGCGCTGCTCTGCACACTCCTCTTCACGCTAGCTTGCAGCCTAACATTGCGGGCGTGGTAGAAGTGGCAGGTAACATAGGAGCTATTCTGCTCCCGGGCACTAATGTCTTTAGGGACATGATGAAACTAATATCATAATTAGCTTTCTTACAAGCATTTCAAACCGCTAACGCACACGCTTTTTCCGCGATCGTCCTCTCTTTTTCTCAGAGCCTGGCCTGCATAGCGAGGCTCCAGAGGTGGAGCTTGGATTGGTTACGTAGGAAATGTCTCTCTATCTCATACTGCCGTTTGGGTCTGCCAAAAATTCATAGTGATTTGAATGCAGAAATCCTAAGAAATGCAATTTCACTCTTATTTTTCTCATGATGTGTCCTCTAGTTTCAGAAAAATGCCATATGAACATGTAGACAACAAGAAAAACATGATTTTCATCAGAGAGGGTCTTCAAGTTTCAGCAGCAAACGAAGGAAAGCTCGGGTTAATACCAGCAGCTTTACACAGATCCATCATTGCTGGAGGCAATCAGTAAACAGCAGAAGTAGACCATTAGGTGAATGTTCAAACAGCAAAAGGAGACTGGACACCAAAGGAGAGATTTAGTGAGTGCCTTTGAGTGTCCCCTGCTGTTAGATTGTATTGGAAACACATGTCATCACGTCTTGGCTTTGCACGTCAAGGCTAAATTAGGCTGACCCGGGCTGATGGAAAAACCCTTTTAGAGCTTGTTGTTGAAAGATGAGGGTTAAGAAATTTCATTTGGTGCTGTATTTGAAAGCTTTTAGGAAAGTGAACAAGAAGCGATCAGGGAAAATAGAAAACCTTGAGGGTCCTTAGAGTGGATCAGTGTTTGGTGATGACAGAGTCCGGGCCCTGTTCAAGCAAAGTGAATGTAGAAAATTGAATTCTCCTGTTGGTTTAGTAAATTGAGCGTAGGTACAATACCAGTCAAGACAACAAGGCTTTTTAACTTTGACTACAGGGAGAAATGCAAATCCACTCCTGTGAAGAAGCATCAATGTCTGAGTGATGTTAGCTCAAAGAAAATGCAGTTGCGTAACAGAGGTGCAGATGTCTTAAACCTCGCTGTAATATGTGGCGCTTAACTCTAGATAACAGGAAGACAGCAGCAGCAAGGACAAGGAGCGAGAGCTGGGTGCAGAGCTTTAGAGAGCGAAACAGAAAGGCGGTAATAGTTTACATGTGTCCCTGAACAGAGGTGAATGTGTGTGTGTGTGTGTGTGTGTGTGTGTGTGTGTGTGTGTGTGTGAGCAAGTGACGTGGCCCGGATGCATTCTTCTGTGTGTGTATGGGTGTGTGTGTGGGACTGACGTCATGCAACATTTGCAAGCGACTGTGTGCGCTAGCTTTTGCCTTCTCAGTGTTGCAGTTTTGCAGGGTGTGACACACAGGACATTGAAAGACGATTATGTTGGGGATAAAGCGGGAGGTTATGAGATATGATGATGCAGTCTTTTGTGAAATAGCTGCAGGAAATTTGCTTGGCTTCATTTTTGGTTCAAGATGAAAAGAAAAAAAGACATTTACAGATGGTATCGATAACTTTCCTTTTGTGATCCAGTGCCTTCGATTCACAAATATTTGCTTACAGGACTTTCAGATATGTCTTTGATAACACTGATGAAACAAAACCTGTTTTTCTTTTGAGTTAGAAAGATAATTAAGTTTGTTTGCATGAACTTTTCAGACATTTTTGTGCCATCTTACACCTTAATAACCACAATTCAAATGCTTTATTCACCTGAATTAAACTTTATTTCTCTAAGTAATAGGAGACTTGTCAAAGCCAGCAAGTAATATTGTAGATTTTTAAAGTGTAGACGTTTATAATTCTGGCTCTACATAAATCAGGCAGTTTTTTGTTTAAGCTAGAACTTCTGTTTTCTTCTGTCTTCATGGCAGATACTGATCCAGATCCCTTTTCAAGTGCAGCACTACCTCTGGAAGTCTGCGTCCTCCATCACCCCAAAAGTTATTAAAAGCAGTTACATGATTTTTTTGTGAAGCCACTTAAAGGGATATTCCGCTGTAAAATTAAGTTAGGGTCAAACACACCGTAACACCGAGTAAGACACCCTGTCGAGAGATGAGTGTTGCCGACCGCTTGTTTGTATGGAGATGTCAGGCGAGTCCATTACTGCAGCAGAGTTTCGCAGCTCAAGGAAGAACATTTATGATGACTACTTAATGGAATTTCAATCAGACCGAGACGCTAAGGCAGAAAAAACTACCACGTCTGCAGTGCAAATTATTAATATAATGATTATTACTTCAAGGAAATGATAAAGTAATGATCATAAATGTTCTTCCTTGAGCTGCGAAACTCTGCTGTTGTAATGGACTCGCCTGAGGTCTCCGTACAAACAAGCGGCTGCTGGGAGAGAGACAGTGAGTTGGGTTTAGTCTTTTTGCTAAAGAAATCAGACAAAGCTAAAAAGATGTTTGGTGGCTAGTGTTGTGGTTGGGACCCTATATGTACTGTTGATGAAGTTAGATGCTGTTTTGAGCATTATTTGTGGCTGCAGAGTGGCTTTTTGGTTGAGTGTGTGGCTCCTGGGACTGCTGTATATTGCTATTGTGCGGTGAATGTTGCAAGCGGTCGGCAACATTCATCCCTCGTTGGGGTGTCTAACTCGATGTTACGGTGTTTTTGACCCTTTAACTTTGTTGTGGTGTCTCTGCCAAACTGCACACTGAGTTTTGTCAGTTAACTTAACAAAATGCTGCCAACAGGTTTTTTTTTCTGGCACCAGCACCCTTTCATTCTTACTTTTAAGAAATTTGTAATGCTTCACAGTGATCGTTCTTGAGATGCACAGCGAAATTGATACTGGTAGAGAACTTTTTGTTTTCCTCCTTTCATCACCTACGTTTAAAAGTAATGCAAATAGTCATTTTTGTCTTTTGCAACACTTTGAAATACTTCCATACAGCTGAAAGTTGAGTGTCTTGTTAGCGTGCATAAACTGTCTTTGCTGAGCAGAATTCGTCACCTTATCGGCTGTACACATCAATATTGGCAGAATTTTTCATATACTAAATAATATATATATATATTTAAATGTGTCTCCCCAGCCTGTCAAACATCCTCTTTTGCAGATGTGTTTGTTTCTGATCTTTTAAATATTTACACTGTGCCCATGTTTGTACTTCAATAATGTAACACTTTTAAGTGTTTACTTTCCTGTTTGTAACCGTAGCCTCGACCTCGACCTAACTTTAGTTGCACTTAACAAACAGAGAAGGGATGTACACTCTGAACTATGTGGGAACTAAAACCCTGCTAGACGCACATAATGTTAACTCAGGTGGATTTAGGTGAGGCAGAGACTTTCCATGGTTTGTCATGCTTCTCATTGACGGCAATAATATAAATGGGATTATTAGGTGTAAGACTTGACTGCATTCTGATCAGTGCTAGTTCACACCATTAATTATGAATTAATTCACGTTTGTAATGTTTTAGCAAAAATCAGCATCTATAAATACTCCACACTGAAGTGCAGGGACCTCCCAGAGCGTCATTGCTTTGAAATAAATGAAATAAACTTTATTCAGATGTGATGCTGAGAGAGTTGTCGTGTTAATTATTTGTTGTTTTCTGTTAACACGTGTTTTAATTGTGCCTCCAACCTCAATCCCTCTCTCATTTGTGTTTCCTCTCCCCAGGGCTTCGACCCCCCTCATCAGAGCGACACCAGGACGGTTTATGTAGCAAATCGTTTCCCCGAGCATGGCCACTACATACCACAACGCTTCGCTGACAACAGAATCATCTCCTCGAAGGTATGAAGTAGAATTTAAGCCAGAGCTGGAATCTTTCATGATTCTCTGATTAATTCAGCTTCTTATTTTGCTGTGTTTGATAAATATGTTTTGTCCTTGTTAGCGAGATATAAGGAGCTGCAGTCAATTCTATAATCTCAAGTGTCGTGAATTTAAAAAAAGAGCATGTTGGGACTTTGCCCAGAAGCACAAAACACTCCAGCAGAGGCACTTGACATGCAACTTGACATTGAGCACAAGTCTGAGCCGTGATGGCAACCACGGCAGAGGGGAAAGTGTCATCTGAAAGAAAATCTGATCTCTGGCACAAGCTTGACCAGCAGTAAAAATTTCATGATGAGCTGCGGTACGATCATCTCAGACAACAACTTCAGTCTTGATGAAGATTAGTCAGTCATTAGCTAGATTGAGTGGTGAAGCTGGGCAGTATGGGAGTTAATCACGTCCTCATGGGAGGGATTTACAACTTCCTCACTGAGAGACAACAGTTTGTTAACACCCATGGATTGCTGTCAGGAGTTATCAGCACCCACTCTGGGGTGTCTCCAGTTTGCCTTCCCTCACTGTTGTTGTTTACACTGTGTACTAATGACTGTGTTAGCCACCAGGTTAACTGCTCAGTGATTACATTTGTAGATGATGTGGCACTGTTCTGTGAGAGCTGAGATAAACCGCTTCTACAACGCAACTCATTGATTTTAAACATGCATAGAAAACTGATCAATAAGCAATGGCATAGCTATTAGATGTATAAGTATCTGGGCACAGATTGACATCTTGACAGCATTTCTACTAGGGGTGGGAGAAAAAACCGATGCAGCATAGTATTGCGATATTTTGTCTGGTGATATATCGTATCGTCACATTTGCCAAGTATCGATTTTTTCAAATCGGCATAAGTTGCACTTCTGCAGTCAAATAAAATGGTATTTGTTGTTTGAAACAAAGTTTTGACTCAGTTTGTCCTTGGATCAGTATCCACATTTATAGCACCTTGTGTTTTTGACTGATTAACAATGTCAAATAGCACAATATATTATTACTTTGTTGTGATATGTCTTGTATCACGAGTTCCTTGCAAATATACAACTGTATTGTATTGTATCGTATCATATCATATCGTATCGAATCGTGACACAGGTATTGTGATACGTATGTACCGTATTGTATCGAAGCTTTGTTATTTTAATTTTGGGCACCATGTTAAAGTTATTTAACGACAGCTTCATTGAGAGTGTGCTAACCTTCTGGATCCAGTTTTTGGGGTGAGCATTGTCTGTATAAAACAGGAATACGCTCGTTAAAGTTGTTAAAATAGATAGAAAGATAACTGGGACACAAAAGTGCGGTATCTCTTTACATGATGTTCTTGGTATTGCTCATAAGTTACCATGCAATTATCCAACAATATACCTTTTAATTAATTCTATGGCTGTTGATGTCTTGGTCATATACACTCACCGGCCACTTTATTAGGTACACCATGCTAGTAACGGGTTGGACCCCCTTTTGCCTTCAGAACTGCCTCAATTCTTCGTGGCATAGATTCAACAAGGTGCTGGAAGCATTCCTCAGAGAGCTTGGTCCATATTGACATGATGGCATCACACAGTTGCCGCAGATTTGTCGGCTGCACATCCATGATGCGAATCTCCCGTTCCACCACATCCCAAAGATGCTCTATTGGATTGAGATCTGGTGACTGTGGAGGCCATTTGAGTACAGTGAACTCATTGTCATGTTCAAGAAACCAGTCTGAGATGATTCCAGCTTTATGACATGGCGCATTATCCTGCTGAAAGTAGCCATCAGAAGTTCGGTACATTGTGGTCATAAAGGGATGGACATGGTCAGCAACAATACTCAGGTAGGCTGTGGCGTTGCAACGATGCTCAATTGGTACCAAGGGGCCCAAAGAGTGCCAAGAAAATATTCCCCACACCATGACACCACCACCACCAGCCTGAACCGTTGATACAAGGCAGGATGGATCCATGCTTTCATGTTGTTGACGCCAAATTCTGACCCTACCATCCGAATGTCGCAGCAGAAATCGAGACTCATCAGACCAGGCAACGTTTTTCCAATCTTCTATTGTCCAATTTCGATGAGCTTGTGCAAATTGTAGCCTCAGTTTCCTGTTCTTAGCTGAAAGGAGTGGCACCCGGCGTGGTCTTCTGCTGCTGTAGCCCATCTGCCTCAAAGTTCGACGTACTGTGCGTTCAGAGATGCTCTTCTGCCTACCTTGGTTGTAACGGGTGGTTATTTGAGTCACTGTTGCCTTTCTATCAGCTCGAACCAGTCTGGCCATTCTCCTCTGATCTCTGGCATCAACAAGGCATTTCCGCCCACAGAACTGCCGCTCACTGGATATTTTTTCTTTTTCGGACCATTCTCTGTAAACCCTAGAGATGGTTGTGCGTGAAAATCCCAGTAGATCAGCAGTTTCTGAAATACTCAGACCAGCCCTTCTGGCACCAACAACCATGCCACGTTCAAAGTCACTCAAATCACCTTTCTTCCCCATACTGATGCTCGGTTTGAACTGCAGGAGATTGTCTTGACCATGTCTACATGCCTAAATGCACTAAGTTGCCGCCATGTGATTGGCTGATTAGAAATTAAGTGTTAACGAGCAGTTGGACAGGTGTACCTAATAAAGTGGCCGGTGAGTGTATTTGTTTTATGCAAACAAAAAGAGTTTTATTTATTCATAAAACTTAACATTTCCATTTATTCATTCTAAAGGACAATAATCCTCAAAGGCTGCTTTCTGACACAAGACTAAGGTCTGCCATTGATTGGCCAGTGATTACATGATTGACAAAGCTTAAGTCACTCGGTGGGTTAGAATTAAATTGATTTTAGGACAGGCTTTGTAGGAGACAGCAACAGTTCAGGTAAAGTTAAGATTATCTTTTAAGCAGGTTTGTGTAGCTCCATCAAAACACGACTGTTAGTAAACTGAGGAAACAAAGAGAAAAGATTTTCGTCTGCTGCAGCTTTTATTAGCCTGTTTTTACCCGCCCTTTATACTTACATGGTTTTATTGGGTTTGAATTCACTTTCATTAAATATTTTGATATGATTCACTGAAACCAGCAGAGTCCTTTCTCCAGTTTTTATTGTGCGTTCATGTTTTGTTGTTTTTCTTCTCTTTCAGTACACAATTTGGAATTTCGTCCCCAAAAATCTGTTCGAGCAGTTCAGAAGAATAGCCAACTTCTATTTCCTCATCATCTTCCTCGTACAGGTAAACACACACACACACACGGATGCAGACACACAGCTCTTTCTTTTTCGGTCCATGTTTTCTCTAGTCTGCTGGTGACAAGTTCAGTGTGACCTCAGTTCTCCTGCCCTCAAAACAAATGCATGTGTGTTTGCCATGAGTGAGTCATCGACTCTCAGAGAGAGGGACAGGTCTGCCTGTGCATTAAAACATTACACCCACGCGGTAAATAATATGTGCGTCGTAACAGCCAGCCTTAGGTGTAAGGCCGTCATTGTGCATCAGTCAACCGGCGCTGAAGACGGATTTTGCTTTCAGATTTTCAGTCTTATCCTGATTTATTTGGGTCTGTGTAGTGAAGCCAGAGCAATCGACTTGACTCGGTGTAAAAAGGCTTTATTTTCACCCACTCATCTTGTCAGTGCTGCTGAAGTAAGCTTAGTCTCAAATCACTGAGAGGAAGACCTCTCCTGAGCTTGACATTGTGAACATGACATTTTCTTGGATGGCCAATTTAACCATTTTTAGATGGCATGAGACGATACCTTGAGTGTAACCTAGAGTGTAAACAATGTCTCAGAAAGAATAAAAATGTAGCTGTTGTGTTGCTCTCAAAGATCTGTGCACCCATTTACAATAACAGTGTTTTTTACATTGCTCAAATTGAATAAAGCTGTACTAACCTGGACAATACTTATTATTTCGCAGTGACAGTAAACACAACACAACGGCCTGTTGATAACTGTGCCACATTTAGGCTTTTACAAGAGGGTTAGGGCTGACTAAGGGTGTCAGTGACCACTATAGAGAGCCATCCAGAAATGTACTGACACTCCCCTATAGAAACACTCACTGGAGAGTCTCTAAATGCGGCTCAGCTTTCTCAGCTGCAGCGCTGGTACCTTCACAGCGACTCTCCCAAAAGAGCTATAAATGTGCTAAAAGTGACTGTCAGAGCTCTGCCTGACTCCCTGTCTTTTATTGGAGAAGCGGAGAGCCTGACAGTGGCCTCTTATGGCTGATTAGCTCTGACTACCAGCGTAACACTATATGGGTGGCATGAATTTAATTGGAACGAATTGCACGTTCACACTTGACTTTTTGAAATTCTGACAGCCCTAAGCCACAAGGCCAAGTCTCCTCTGACCATCGCTTGCTCAGTCCTCAGATGCATTTTCTAATTTGCTGAGAGGGAGGTTTAATGTTTTGTCTTTCCAAGAGATGCACCACAACTTTTGATTCTTAAATAGACCCCAGAGCCTGTGTGAAAAAGTTAATTTCCTGTATATCATCATGTCTGTTGAAAGTCAACCACAAAGAAGCAGGTGCAGTTTTTAAAAAAATGAGTCAACACTCCTCACAGCACAATATAAATTTGTATTTCTGCTTGATTTGTAGGGGACCGTGTATTGAAAAACAGCTCTGAAAACATGCTGCAATCTGCAGTTTCCGGGCAATAAATAAAAGCACTGCTTTTAACAGAAAGAGCAATAACAAATGCACTCGGTGATGCAGTGAAAATAACCGGAACAAACAGAGTATGCACATGATAGGGACAGAAACTAGATACACGAGATAAAGAGCATGACAAAACTTCTGACACCTGTGGAGTAACAGTCAATGACAAGTTAAAATGTAATCAAGGAAGTATGAGAGAAATTTAGGAAGGTACGCAGTTGCACTTCTGTGTGCTGTGCTTCCCTTAAATGTCACAAACTTGTATGTGGTGTGTTTTTTTTTCTAGGGCGTCCTGGTGTCAAAGCGGCTAAATAACCACATGCTGAATACCACAACGCCTCTTTTTTGAATGCTTATCTCTCGCTGCTCTTTTTCTGACTCTCCGATCTACTTACTGCAAAAAAGCTGCAAAAGACAACGATGAGTGAATGATCCGAGGTTATGAAGAAGTTTAAGTGTAGATTTTTTTAAAAAGTGTTTCGTGGAAAGAGTTTAGTTTTAGTTTTTGATACGAGTTCAAAGTCAAACATGCTCAAAACTTTTACTAAATGTTGTATTTCACTGATTTTGATCTTCTCCAACATAACTGTACATGTTGCTTTTAAAACTTGTCACTAACCCTGTGTTACCACATAAATGAATGTATGTGTGCACAGTCCTGAAGTGACGGTTTCCTGTTTGATGCATCAGTCACTTCTTCTCTGCGTTTTTCTTTCTCTCTAATAAGACACACCCAGACTCGCTCAGCCTCTCTTGCTTCTTTTTTTTTTTTTTTTAAACACAACCTGAGTTCATTTTTTCAACCTTGCCCCTGTGTATTTGTCTCTCCAGTTAATGATAGACACCCCGACTTCCCCTGTCACCAGCGGTCTGCCTCTCTTCTTTGTGATCACGGTAACTGCCATAAAACAGGTGAGAACACAAACGCACAATGGCTTCCTCTTTATTGGGCTGAGGAACTAAAAATGGAGAACTGATGCAGTATCATTAAACCTTGTTTAAATGTAGACAGAAACTTGTGATATCCAACCCATGATATGATTTTAACTGAATCAATCACAATACATGAAGCTGTCTGTAGCTGTTTTTGATTCAGAGGACTCCTTTCTCTAACCAGTAATGATCCTAACAGGAACATAACAGAAGTGTGTGTGGAATAGATATGAGATATTACATTGATCGATAACTAATCCTGCCCTGCTGATCAATACAGCTTATCCCACTGTGAATCTAGCAGCTGTCCATCGCTGTATATAATCTGCTGCTGAATTAATTCCTTTAAAGGGCTACGAAGATTGGCTGAGACACAAGGCAGACAACGAGGTGAACGGAGCTCCAGTGTTTGTGGTTCGCAGTGGAAGTCTGGTCCAAACAAGATCCAAGAACATCAGGGTAATAATATGGCAAAAACCACTAAACTCCAAGTGTTGTATTCTTCAAAAAAACTGCTTCTGCCTGTAGGAACATCCACATGTATGAAGTTTAAAAAACCTAAAAAAAGCCCTTCACACCTCAGAGCCAGCAGCCATAGCTAACTTTAGCGTGGATGCCAAATTCCTGGTGCTTGTGGCTTTTCTGTCGAGCAGCGCTGCACAGACAGACAATATAAGGTGGTGTTTGTGGGTAAAAAGAGAGCTGCTCTGTGTGTCAGTATTGAGGGAAACTGGGGCATTGGTTTTCAACACAGATTGGACAGGAATGCTCCGTGAATGATGCATTTGTAACACAAGTCTCCACAAACACAGAGCTTGTTTTATTCCTGTATTATCAGTTGGAGTTGTTTGTCTTTACTGGCTGTCTTTTTCCTGGTTGTCACAGATGTGTAATGTGGATTAATGTGAAGTTATTTGCATATTTTCAGCCGGTAGTTGCTAGGAGTAAATCTCTCTCTATCTTGCATTTCCTGTCTCCACTGAGGTGTCTTGGAGGCCTGGATATTCCTGTTACGCAGAGTTTTGTAGCGCATACAGTACATATCCTCTGAGGTCAGACACTGTGTCACTAGTTTGTCTGGAGTCAGTGCAACACAACCTAAATGATATGTTTCTTTTTAAGCCTACTATAAAGTCAGTGTGTTTAAATACACCAACAGTTTTAGGCTTCTCTTTTCTTACTTTTAAACGTTTTTAAGAGTTTACAGGTAATCATGATGCGATCTTTGTATCTACACCTCATCCAACACCAACATAAGAGATAAACATATTTCTTTTGTAATTATCAGGCCAGACAAATCTTGTTCAAACCTCATTAATAGCCATAAATAAATAAAAATGAAAATGAACAACATTGGTTTAAAGTTGATGAAAACATCCTCTTCAGAAATACCTCAGTGATAGATTGCTGGGATAAAACAGAGACAGTGTTTAAACCTCTGCGTGTGCACGTGTGTGTCCAGGTTGGGGACATTGTTCGTGTGGCTAAAGATGAGACGTTCCCCGCTGACCTGGTGCTGCTGTCGTCTGATCGTGCAGAAGGCACCTGTCACATCACTACAGCCAGCCTTGATGGAGAAACCAACCTTAAGGTCAGTGTGTGTGTGTGAATGTGTGGAGTTGTGAGTCTGTGTGGTGTACTGTCGACCAGTAACAGCTCAAACAAGCGTGTAATTGAGTAAACAGGACAGCTACTTATCCCCAATTTGTGCAAACCAATGGCTCCATCTTAAAAGTGCCATGTTTGGTGTGAACAAACAAAATTTACATCTACAAACTTGAACATGTCGTCAAGAAGTTTGCATTCAGTGTTCATTATCAAACACATCGTTGGTCCCTGAGGCTTGACAGCCGTGTCGGATGCATTTACTTGAATAAATTCCCCTTTACTAGCTTCTGTACTGCCCTTTATTCCCTTGCTTCCAGTTACTGTAAACTTGTTTACAAATGGTGTGCAGCAATGACAGAATGTGAATCATGTTGCTGAAAAATGACATGTGTGGACCATGAGTGTGCACTGTTCAAACAAAGTAAGGACACACTCATGACAAATAAATATATTGTAGTCTTAAATGCTGCGGTAAAACAGACTAAAATTAATACTGATGACGTTATGTAAGTTATTAAAGAAAATGTACAAAAGAGGATTAGGACCACATGAAGAGAAAAAAATAATCACAGGAAGGAGATTAAAGTCGAAATTTTGAGATCAAAGTCAACATGAATAAAGACAAAATTTTGTGAATTAAGTCGAAATTACGAGATTCAAGTCAACGCAAATAAAGACGAAATTTCGTGAATAAAGTCGTAATAATGAGATTAATGGTATTAAATCAACAGCATTGTTGCTCTTCACTTTAGCACACAAACACAGTAAGTATTTGGACTCTGAAAAGGCCATGAGGCTTCATAGCCTATGAAGAGGCTATGTTGTATCGCAAGATACAGTAAGACAACTGGTCAAGTTGATAGATCATAAAGGCATGAATCACAGACGAGACCCGCATCTGAGACCCAGGCATTTCCGAAGCCGAGGACCCAATGCGCTCTGGCACATGGTTGGCTACGACAAACTTAAGCCATACAGCATTTCATTCAGACTTTTATAAATTTTGACTTTAATCTCGAAATGGAAATGAAAGAAATCTCCCACCTGCACTTATTTTTTTCTCTTTTTGTGGCCCTAATCCTCTTTTGTACCAAAAGACCATCAGCACTGATATATCATCATTTTTAGTGTCAGAGCTGCCTTATTTTACAAGCCTTAAATATTGATATTTAGAAAATATGAGTGAATAAAACCTAAGTAAATAGTTTACACAACTGTATCAATACACAGAAAAGAGGTAGTGGTTGAAATTCTTCCGTTTTTTAAGCCTGGCTGTGTGAGGTATTTGTCATTATTAAGTGTGTTAGGCACAGTAGCCTGTCAGCTCAGCCCCCTTTTGGTGAGAAACTGGCTTAAAGTGCTGCAGCAAAAGTTTGGCTTTGAACTGCTACAGCTGTGGACATCTCTTCCAAACAGCCAATTTCAACAAACTCCAGCTGAAACACAATTCTTGGTTTAGGTATGAACGTTTTCTGAAAGCCTGTTCGTTAGTCCCTAATCATGGATTCAACACACTCTCTTCCTCTGCCTGGATCTGCAAATGAGTCTGTGATGTACGAGTCATTGATGGATGGGAACTTTGATATTTTTGCATCTTAGTTTAATATTATTTCAAGCACCACTTTTTCAAGATTGTCCAGCGGACACATATGTCTGTAGAGTTTGTTATTTAAGGTCAGTCTTTGCCTTTAGCGGCTAAGACAGCGTATTTACATATGAAGTGTGCCATGAGTTGTGTCACAGAGGAAAAAAATGGTATTAGCGACTGGGAAGCACTTGCTCTTCATTAAACATTTACCTTTTTTAAAGATGAACAGATTAAATCCATCCTACAATGTTAAGGCAAAAGTACCCCCCTCCCCCCAGCAGAGCAGTAGCGACTGACCAAACCAGTTGTTTTAAAAATAGAAAGCTTTTATTGTGTGTCTGTTGGTTCAGGAGTTTGCGCTGTCTTTTATACGAGATCTCTCCCTCACATTTGAAACTGTATCCAAGTGTCCAGCGTGTAAAATGCTTCACTTTCATCATAGATATTTTTGTGTTGTGTGTGTTTGTGTTTGTAGACTCACTACTCTGTGGCAGAGACATCAGTGTGTCAGTCAGTGTCCCAGCTGGAGGCTCTGCAGGCGGTGGTGGAGTGTCAACAACCTGAAGCTGACCTGTACAGGTAATCTCCCCCCTTGTTTGGTTTGTAGTCACAAGGTTCGAGCACCAAACTCACGTTAAGAAAAGTTAACAATACTTGATACCCAAGATGAGAAACCTACAATATGTGAGGTGAATTCAAAAACAGCGCTGCTAGAAGTAGACGGAAGAGGTTGTTTTTTCCCCCACTTTAAAAAGCATTGTGATAAATCCATGGTCAAAATACCCGGCCAGATATGTGCTATTAAATGGATGATGGGGTGAGATGGCTTCGTCACCTCTTCAACAACCCCTCTCCCTCTTGTCTGTCACAGCTGGCGACTTCAGAATCGATCAGAGTATTTTTAGATCAGGCAGTTTGTTTCGGTGGCAGTTTTCTCCCTTCCCCTCCCCCGTCTCTTCAACTCTCTCTTTCTCTTGACACTCGCCGAGTTGAAATTCTCTTAACCAACCGAGCTGTTTTTAGCTCTCTGCTGTAATCTGATTCCTTCATTGTTTTTATTAACCTGTAACATAACTCCCATAGTTAAGACAAGATATGGTGAAAAAATTCTCCTTCAGGAATTTGATTGTTTACACTCAAATAGTTTCATTTGCTTGACTTTTTTGTCATAACTCAGTCACATTTTCTCAGCTGAGAAAAACTGTCTTACAGATATAAGATAAATGGTCATTAATCTATGAAAATAAAAATATATCCCTGGATGAAGAGTATTTTTATTCACTTTTTCTACATTGACCAGATTACTGATGTTTCCTTTCTCAGACTTTTAGCCTCGTTTCCTGTTTGCATGTAAACAAATGTGTCGTCTCTACTATACCACTCAGCTAAAATGCCCTTGGTGTTTTCCAGGTTCGTTGGTCGAATCACAGTGACTCAACATGGAGAGGAGATCGTCAGGTAAGATCAGTTTTATCCCGCTCTTATGACTAATTATTAAACTAATGAGTATACTGTCCGATGAAAAATATGTATCTCCACTTTTTTTTAATACATGTATGGTCCATAGTCTTCCCTAACAACCTGTAGCTTTTGGTATCCAAATGACCGGTGGAAAGACATTTTATAACATCATCTGTTAAACACGAATCTCCATTGGGTGTTGGAAGTGTCAACAAAGCACGTATCTCCCGCCCTGGCCCTGCATTGTCATGTCAGCAAACAGACTTTACACTGTGACAGACTCGTTACAGTCCAGGGTAACGCTACACTAATGTCCTCACATCGACTAAAGCCGACCTAAAACTTGGTTCTAACCATGACAGTGTTGCTTACCTGAACTTCATCCCCAGAGGCGAAGCTGCAGCTGTTTTCTCTCCTACACTCGGTCGCGGACACTAGTAAATGTTCAATCGGGAGTCAAGACTCAAAAAGGCTGACAACCAATGTGCTAGGTGGAAATGTAGGATAGCTGCTATCAATAATTAAATAGTCAATCGTTTATCAACGTAGTGGGACATAAACAGGATACTCAAAGTTAGAAAATAACCGAACGTCATTGGAGTGCATCATAGAAAAAAACACTTATGTCCACTATCACTCACAACGCAAAGCATGTATGTCTGTTGAAAATATTTAACAGGTCACTGATGACTGTAAATATAAATTTTGATTTTGGGTCCTAATTGTGCCCTAATACAGTGTTTGGGGTTTATTCTGTTAGGTAGTTTATGAATAAAGTTGTTTTTTAATGTTCCTAAAAAAAAACACATTTTGGAGACACGTGTTTTTTATTGGACAACAAAGATATGTTTCAGACAAAATGCTGAATAGACCTCACCAATCAATAAGCACTTGAGTTGAGGGTTGGTATCTAGGTTATGCCTGCAGGAATTAAAAAGGAAGCATCTCTAGGTGTCTCGTTTTTAAAGCATCGTCAAGGTTACAAAGCAGGAGAAAAATCCAGCAGCTAAATGAATATGATGTTTCAGTCCCACTGTGTCTCATGCAGTAAAGCCACATTCAGCTTCCTTTGAATTCATGATGCCTCTGTTTGCTCTCTTGTCAGACCTCTGGGTCCCGAGAATCTGCTGCTGCGAGGAGCCAGGTTGAAAAATACCAAAGAGATTTTTGGTGAGTCAATACACTCATAGTTCGGAGAGAGAAGTTCTTAAAACAGCGAGGAAGCTGCCGTGAGGGTAAACGATGTCTTCCTGTCAAGTCTGAAGATGGATTTAGCCACGGGACAAAATATAGCTGCTGAAGAAAAGCTTTTATAAAGGTTGAGAGAGAGAGGAAACACAGTCACGGAGCAGCTGTGACACTAATAAGCCAAAGTCAGATGACAATTACGGAGAGCATGGACTGCTCATTACCAGGCCAGAGATCTGATTATGTAAACTCCAAACTGTTTCTGTAGGCTGAATCTTTACAGGGCCAAGTCCAGATGTTTCACTGTTATGTCTGTGTGTGCAGCTGGACCAGAGCCAATGATCTACCATAAACAAACTTCATAATTGTGCTCTTTTTTTTTTTTTTACTGTCATGAATTCAGACACAAGTTCATCTGATTTCTGACATGCCTGCTGTTATACTTGCTGCTGCTTTAGGTGTGGCGGTTTACACGGGGATGGAGTCTAAAATGGCCCTAAACTACAAGTGCAAGTCCCAGAAACGCTCCGCAGTAGAGAAGTAAGCGTGTTAATCCAGAGTAAACCAAATATTGAAGTCTATGACTATGCTCAGCGTCACAACATTCCACTCTTCTAGGTCCATGAACACCTTCCTGATCATTTATCTGGGCATCTTACTGTCCGAGGCCGTCCTCAGCACCATCCTGAAGTACGCCTGGCAGGCTGAAGAGAAATGGGACGAACCTTTCTACAATCAGAAGACTGAACAGGAACGAAACAGCAGTCCGGTTAGTCAGCCTCACATACATAAAGCATCGAAAGAATGTCTTTTCATTGATTTGTTTGTCTAAGTGAGAGATATGAGCCCCAGAGATGAGATTAGGTGAGATAGAAGTCGACATTCCACTTCTGTCTGTCTCTTTTTATCCGTGCTCGACCTGCTCTGTCTCCACTTTCATCTCCTTGTAAATAATAATTGACATTTTCCCACCACTGCAGATAGAAATTATTAGAGTGAGTTTGTGAAGTTATAAACAAGAATCCGCACACTCACTCACACACACTCAGGGTCCTAGGGAGGGTGAAGGTAGGGTGGTTTAAGTGTCTCTAGATTTTGTGATAAGGCATTAGAGAGGAAAGGCCAGTCTGCCAGCCTATCAGCCTACCTGCCAACACTAATCCGTCAGAGAAAAGCCCTGCTGGGGAGGAGGCAGAGTTTTACACTCACTTCCCTTCTCCCTGGAGACTGAGAGAAGAACAGCAGCATCAAATTAATGACTTTGTTTATGTATTTAGTATCAGAGGTGATCCAGAAAGCTGCAGGCAGCGTTACAGTAGAAACCCTGACATCCTTAGTTCAGACGCCAACTTCAAACAGCGTTTCCAACTACAAAGTGCAGAAATATTTGCTGTTTTTTTCTGCCTGCTCACACATCAGAAACCAGCTGAATTTAATAGTGTATTTATTTCCTCCTTGTTTGTTTAGATAGTTATTCAGAGCTTAATTCCACTCCTGATGTAAACAGCTTTTTTTTGTACACCTCTTGATACTAGTCTTTCAGTCTAGGGTCCTCCTCACTCTCCTTTCCTGTCACATACAGTAATTAAATCCTTAATGGGAATGAATTGCCCTGTCTGCTTTGATTTAGGAGGATCAGTTTTGAAGTACCATCACTCTCTGTGAGGCGTAGATGTTCTATTTTTGCAATCCTAATATTTTCTTTCATTTTCTTAGAGTTAATTGCTTCCAGTTTGAGTGCAAAATGGAGAGTGATGAAATCCTCAAACAGAGCGGAAGGATCTTGTGCAGGCCTTAAAGAAAATTTTCAGAAATCATCGACTTTATTTTATAATTTGTTCAGTTGAATTAAATACGTGACAATGTTTTTAATTTGCATTTTTGTAAAGCTTTTATTTCAACGTTATTATTTTTCCCATTTTAGGCACCCATTAGTCCCCTGCTGGGTTGTTTTGTTAGCTTTATTGTCATTCTTTCCCTCTTCATCTCTCTGTTTTGCCACAATAACACCTAAAATAATCCACCCTTGTGTGAGGTTAATATTTAAACCCTCCTCCTCTTCCTCCTCTTCTGTCTTAGTTTAATAAAATTAATATTTTTTCCCTCCGTAGATCCTGAAGTTCATCTCAGACTTCCTGGCATTCCTGGTCCTATATAACTTCATCATCCCCATCTCGCTCTACGTTACTGTGGAGATGCAGAAGTTCCTGGGCTCCTTTTTCATTGGCTGGGATTTGGACCTCTACCACGAGGAGAGTGACCAGAAAGCTCAAGTCAACACCTCTGACCTCAATGAGGAGCTGGGACAGGTACGGTGCATGAGTGCAGTCGAACTACATGTAACAGAGGGTTAAAATAGCACACATACAATAAAAGCAAACACATCTTTGTGTAATATTAAGTACAAAACAATGTTTCTGTAAGTCAAAGGGAAAGTCAGAGATGATATGTGCTGTAAAATGTGAGTTAATTCAAACAGACTTCTTTTCTCTGTTTTTATGATGATTACAGCACATGGTTGTCATATAAATGTTATTCTAGTGGGATAAAGCGAAGCTTAAACTCTGCGTGTTTCTGTTTTTGCAGGTGGAATATGTGTTTACGGATAAAACAGGTACGCTCACAGAGAACGAGATGCAGTTCCGCGAGTGTTCAATAAACGGAACCAAGTACAGGGAAGTCAACGGCAAACTGGTACCAGAAGGAATGACTGACGATTCACCAGACGGTTCAACGCCTCAGCTGGTAACTCTTTAACAGACACGTACTGTACTGATGCAGTTGTTTCATCGCAGCCATAAAACTAGCAACCAGAACATCAGAGCAAATTAACCTCATGTGTGAGAGACAGCTCTGGCCTCAGGTCATCTTTGTAATTAACATTAGATAATTGGATTAATACATTCATGCAACAAAGAAACTGTCTAAAGGCCAAAGCTGAGAATTAAATGCATATTATTTATACAGTGCAAGTGTAATAATCAGTGTCTCTCCTCTTCTTGCCCTTCCTTGCGGTCTCTCCATCCAGATGGGCGAGGAATTGTTGTTTCTGAAAGCGGTGTCATTGTGCCACACGGTTCAGATCAGCTACGACCAGCCGGACTGTCTGGTTGGGGGAGGAGACCCGTTCTCCCAAGTAAACGGTTTTTCTTCCACCCACATGGAGTACTACGCCTCTTCTCCGGATGAGAAAGCTTTAGTCGAGGCAACAAAGAGGTAAAGTTACACCAAGAATACTTTAAGCGACTTTTGTCTACATCTGGAAAGAGTTTCACGTTATTACTTGTTGAAAACTTACTTGCTCACCCTTCCTAAGGTGAAGGGTCCTGGAGTGTTATATTCAGCTCTGCTCTGTCAGCGAACTCACACCACTATATATGCAGACACATTTGATAATTAGATTGCATTTGCCTCTCTCTTCAGCAGACAGAGTCACTGTTATTACTTTGACTTGAGGCAGGATCAGCCACATACCTGTGCCTTGAACAAATGAATTTCTTCCTATCTGAATATTAGCCGTAAATACAGTCAGTGGGTGTTGATGATGACACAATGAGGTGTTAGAAAGAAGAGAAGTGTTACAGGAATAACATCCCTGCTCTCAGGTGTATTGCGGTCTTGCACAGTACTTTCAGTAGAGCTCGCGGTTGCATAAAACTTGTGTGAATTACAGTTGTCATTTCGCTGCCAATGTGTGGGCCCCAAAATGATGCAAGAAATAAAAATATAATGGTAGATGTTACGTATGTGTGATTGCCAGAGCAGCTGAAGACGGCTGTAAGATTCAGTGGAAAGTTTTAGTTTGACGACTAAACCCATTTTGTTTGATGAAACAAATCCTTGCTGTGAACTTAGTGTGATTCTTTTTGCTTTGCCCTCTGTTCTCACAATGTCAGTGGTTGTTGGAGATTGAAAGCTTATGCGGGTTAGACTGCCGGCCAAAGAGAAAGTGACACTTTTCTTACTCACTCGTTCATTTTTTTGTCACAGAAATACAGCCCAGGCAACAATTTAATGTCAGGGGAATGGTAGAAAGCCCTTTAGTGACACTGTGTGGAAAAGGCTCTGAAAGAGGAAAGCACATTAATAAAAACTGACCTGCTTTCGACTTAAAAGGTTGACAAAGGGAATCTGAAGAAGTTTGGAAACTCCTTACAAGACAACTATTATAACTCGACCAGTGAGGGGTGGAGTTGTTTCGTACCCATCAAAATTGTGCGACCGTGGTGTTTTACAAAACTTTCAAGATTCACGATGCGTGAAGCCAGCAATCCTGGCCAGTGTAGTTTTCACACCATCAAATTAAATTATGTCGAGCAGTGAGGGGCTGACCCAGAGCCGCCATGCTCTGTTGAGCCTCCAACAGTGTATCTCTGTTGATTTAAACTGAAGGGAAACACAGTTGGAATCATGACCTCAGTAAACGCTCGTGTATGTATCACTTAGCTGATGGTCGAGCACCAAAAAAGATGTACCTCAACGGATACTGAACACCAACACCGTAATATAACCACAAACAGAGCCTGTCATTTTTAAGACAATTGTATTTTTTAATGAAATCTGACACCAGTGATCATAATACACAAAAGATCTTGATGCTTGAATTTATTCACATTTCAAAGGCTGAGGAACAGCATGGATCTATACATGATCAAGAAGACAGACATATATCAGACAGACAGACAGACACTTTATTAATCCCCACAACGGAGAAATTCAGATGAAGAAAGACAATAAATATTTATAAAAACAGTCGAAGAGCCCACGACTAAAACCCCAACACATTTAGTCAACAATGTTCATTATAAAAACGAATAACAGTGGGAATGAATGATCTCCTAAAGCGCTCCGTCCTGCACCGTGAGGAGAGGAGACGCTCTGATCTGTTGCTCCTCTGAGTGGACAGAGTCCCATGCAAAGGGTGTCTGGTGTTGCTGAGGATTAAATAAATGTTAAATAAAACAAAACACTGATTGAAAAGTACTTTATGAATAGGAGAAAAAGAGAAAAAATCAATTTTTATAAGTATCGCGATTTCTTGTTTTACAATTTTTAAATCAATTATTATGTTCAAAATTGTTTTTTTTTCCAAATTTAAGATAAATCTTAAAAACGGAGTTACATGTGATGTGTATTTTTGGGCTAATATGGTTACTGGAATAGTAACGACAATCATAATCATCCAACTGTTTCACTGGTGTTAAAAATGCAGACTAAAAATCGAGAAAATCAACAATATCGAAAAATTTCAATTTAAATCAAATAGGCATACAAAAAATCTGAGAAGAATCGAATCGAGAGAAAAACATATCATCCCAGCCCTATTTATGAATATGTGTAATTAGAATATGTGTATTCTAGCAGGCCAAGAAAAGATGAGTTAGGTTGGATGGATGCACTCACTTGGTGTTGAGTCACTTATCACCTTCTTCTGTCACCCCTTTTTTTTTATTCTGTCACCTGCTTTTCCGATCAAAGTCCCATTTTTCCCTACAGCGTAACCATGAGCCATTAACTGTGGGCACTTCCCCTTCATTAGGCTGAGGAAGATTTATATACAAGTGAACCAGGGCTCTATATTCTTCTGCAAACTGGGCTCCAACTCCTGACCTTCAGATTCACTCAGCCTACCTGTGAGGTATTTTGGTGCCAAGTGCACAGGTGTGAGGAGATGTGCAAGGGAAATAAATGAGGCAATGCAAAGAGAGATGTTGATGAGCCGAGAATAGATCCTTCAGAACCTTGTAGTGCCCTTACTATTCAGACTTCTGGAAGAAGTAATTTCACATTTTTTTGCGGGGTTGTCGTCAGGCTTCACTGCGGATTTTCAAAGATGCTTCACATCCATGAGGCCAGGAGTGTGTGACTCTCAGAGGGCATGTTAATTAATCCACACAGTGTCAGAGCCCAGCCCTTTTACCTCAGCCTTTTTACACTTTGTCCTCCTTCTTGTAGATGAACCAAAATTACAGATCTGCGAGAAAAAGCCCACAGTCCATGCTTCAGAGACTTAGTACCTTAAGATAGGACATTAATTGGGTCCTTTTTTTTTTTGTCTTTAAAGGTCTGTTTACTCTGAATCTTCCATGCTCCAGACTGTATTTTAAAGGTCAAAATATGCATCCTTGAAAGATTCTTAGCTCTTACTGCTGCCTCTTTTTCCTCAGGATTGGAGTGGCCTTCACTTGCAGCAATGGAGAAACCATGGAGATAAAAACATTTGGAAAGTCAGAGAAGTACGTCTTTGCCTCTCGCCCACACGTATCTCCGAAATGTCACCCATGTCATAAAATCATGTCATCTAGACTGCAGGCGAATATGGTTGCATAAGCTACCTGTGAGAAAAATCTGACATGTCTGTCCTCTGTGAAGTTGTAACACAAGTGTTTGTCTTTGTTGTTCTGTCTTAGATATAAACTTCTCCATGTATTAGAGTTTGACGCTAACCGCAGGAGGATGAGCGTCATACTGCAAACCCCCTCAGGTAACCCAAGAGATGTTTTTAGTATTTTTTTAGGGGTGTCCCTATAAATCTTTTTGACTTCCGATATGATACCGATATTGTAGCCTTCAATACACACTGTTGTTGTGATTACGTGGGCTCAGCTTGCTGGATCAGGGTGCTGCTAGATAGAGGTGCCGGAGCGGAGCCTGGAATGGACTGCTCGTATCGGAGTGCTGATATCAGAGATGTTAGATGCAGGCCGATATATTTCGATATTCATTTTTTGCTGATATCAGACCGATTTCCGATATCAGTATCGTATCGGGACACCCCTTGTATTTTTTGATTGTATTTAACAGCCAGTTTTTCACACTCTCAGTTTAAAGATGAACATGAAAGACATTTCTCTGATCATTTTCTTACTGATTAAACTTTTGTCTGTTCTTACTCTTGGGCTTTTGACTTTTCAGGGGGGCAAGTACTATTCACCAAGGGTGCAGAATCAGCCATCTTGCCTTTCACCACCAGTGGTGAGATAGAAAAGACAAGACTACACGTTGATGAATTTGCCTTGGTAAGTACTTTGAAGTGTGCATGATACAAAGTAATAAGCCGTAATATCTCCATGAGACGTATCATAAACATTTAGTGTACCATCACATAAACGTTCCCTTTGCTTCAAATTCTCTCTGTGTGAAACTTCAAAACACTGGGCTCTGAAATGCCTCTCGTTCGGTATTATTTACAGTTGCGTGTCTCTGTGCGCCTGGCAGTTTCCAGTGTTGTGGTGATTACTTTTGGCTCTTTCGTTCTCTGTTCCCATTAGACTATAAATTCTTCACTTCAACAGCCACACACACACACACACTGTAACAAACACATACCCAGTCCCCACATCGTGTCATCAGACGTCAGTACCCAGGCCTCTGTGCTCTGGACTGGGTTGATTTGTGGTCGTCTACCCCTCAGGCTGGTTCCGTGATTTAAAGCTGAGCTTTGATAATTTGTTTTTATGTTCTTTTTTCTCTCTGCCTGCATTGCTACCCATTTCCTTTCCTTCTTTTCTTATCTCCACTTCTTCATGTTAAAACCTCCCTTACACACACACAGACACACACACTTTATTAATGATGTAAAACTGCACTTAATTAAAACTTACATTTGTTTAATCTTCCTAACTTTACTTATGGGATCGTATGTTCTGACTCATTTCTCTTTCTAATTTCCGACCCTCTTCCTCCCACTGCAGAAAGGTTTGCGGACCTTGGTGGTAGCATGCCGGCACTTCAGACCGGAGGAGTACATCGATGTGGACAGGCGTCTGAACGCTGCCCGCACTGCGCTGCAGCAGAGGGAGGAAAGACTGCAGGAGGCCTTCAGCTACATCGAGAGAGACCTGCATCTGCTGGGAGCAACAGGGGTGGAGGACAAGTACGGAGACTGATGAATAAATTGGAATTTATTTGTGTTTTCCTCCTAAAAAAAAACATCTCTCATTCTCTTATACATATTTCAGTGGTTTTTAAGTGTTTCATACCAGAAGGAAAGCATGTAGTAAAGCGTTACACTTCAGTAGGTAATGGAACAAAGAACCCTGATGCAGATTTCGGTGTACAATGAAAGAGGTAAATCAGAAAAGTACATTTAAAATAAAGATATATAGTGTTGTATTCACTCGAAGCCACTTCCATTGGCCATCATTGGAAAACTATTGCTTTATAACAATGAGACTCACTATACGGTTTGATTCAAAGTTATGTAGCTCATGTTTTCATCATGTTTGCCTCAGGCAGTCAGTAAATAACATACACAGTAGGTGCTGTGTGGATAAAACACATGTTCTTTTCTGCATGGTTAGCTTTCACAACAATCTTTATGTTTTCTTAGATATAGGTTTTTCCTTCTTTGTGTGCTCATTTAGCCGGGCCGCAACATTTCCGTATGGATGGATGGTGATGTTGACCTGGCTGTTAATGAGCCCTTCACTTTAGTCCACACTGAATTATCTCAGCAATTACAGGCCGGTTAGTCAATTTGTACGGTTCTACAAGATTGCCCCTTGACTTTGATGATTTGTTAACTTTCAAATTAACACCAAAGATCACAGAAAGTTCTGGGAAGCAAACGTGAGCACGCTAGGAAGCTAAAGTAGAGTAGCAGGGCTCGACAGTGCGACTGTTTCACTTGCATTTGCACCTAAAAATAGATGTGTGTGAATTGTAAAATGTATTTAGGGGCACATGTGCGCATAAAAAAAAAATCAGCAGAGGCGATAATGTTTTTCCATAGACTTTATAATGTATATATAGTATACACAGTCTATGGTTTTTTCATGTAAATACCGCAGTGAAGTTAGTTTCAGGTTGGATATGCGACGGATATTCAGCAAGGATCTCCCGGTGTCTTCTCACTCTCCATAACCGGTAATAGCAACAGTGCGGTTAAATCTACTCTGCATCCTCGCTGTCAACGTTTGGTTGTTGAATAAGGGACTATCAATAAATTACCAGTTGATGTTCTCAAAAAAGGCTGTTTTCCTTCAATAACCTCCATATCACGTGACCAATTGACCTAAATTGATTTCAAATAGTAGTACTAAGGTCGGACGATAAGACACACCTCTTTATTTCCCTAGTTTGTCCTCAAAACATTTTGTGTTAAATTTAAAGGCAAATTTTGAAAATTTTCTTCAACAGCTTCCATGTCATGTGACCAATTGACCTAAAACTGATTTCAAATAATAGTACTAAAGTTGGACAATAAGACAACAGACTTAAGTTCTTTGTGTGCTCCTTACTTTTTCAACTTAGAGCACATGTTCTTCTTGTGAAAAAAGTTAGTGTTAAGCCCTGAGTAGGAAGCAAAGCTACTGGACGCCGGCATGCTAGCTTTCTCATTCTGAGCCTTTTTGTAAACTAACTTTAGCATTAAGTCTAAAGAGCGGCTGTGCCTGGATGTGTTTTCACAGAACCAAAGGTAGCTCGGCTGTATACGACATCGAGACATTGGGAGCAGCTCTCGCAGACATAAAAGATAAATAACAAAACTAAAAGTAAATATGTTGCAGTCAAAGATTAAAGCAGTGTGTTATTAAAGTATTGGCTTCACATTTTCAGAAACAATAAAACCGTGGGCAGGAGAAGCAGCTACAGTGTTAGTCAGCAGAAAGAGGAGGACATCATCTCGCTGAGCCTCTCTGGAAATTAATGCTGATATGTGTTTGCATTCGCTCACCATCTGCTCCTCACATAAGCCTCTCACTTCACTCACTCTGTCTGTTTATCTCTCTGCAGCTCTCTGTCTTTTCTCTCCGCTGCTCTGTCTCTGTAACTGGAATGAATTTCTCCTCAGGCGCACATGGTCACAATCAAAGGACTTCCTTTATTATGGGAGACTAGGCTCAAATTCATCCTTTTTCAGTCTAATAGGAATAATGTAGCACTGATAGCCATGGTTATATTAGATCAAATTCATCGTCTCTATTAGCCTCTTTTGTTTTATTGAGTACGGTCATAAATAGGATAAATACTGCGAAAGGAAATCTGTGCAGCTGGATTTCAGAGTCACCTTTCTTCTCTCGTTAGATATGGGTAACATAAGGGCAGAAATAGACACTTACTTTAATGGGTTTCTTGTAAAGAGTATGAGATTTATTTTGTTCTGTCTGCTTTGAAGCAGTTTTTCATTGCTTGTATACGATAAAAATTAAGTAATTACTAAAAAGGTTTGAACTATTGAGGAAATGTCAGCTCTCAACACAGTTTTCCTCTTTGTTAGTCCGACCTGCAAAGTGATGATACAAAGAAAAACAAAGCACTCAGCCTTTTCTTTCTACATCACAAGCAGTCCAATAACATGGTCTGCATTGTCTTTCTCCCCTGTGTCTGTCAGACTCCAAGACAAGGTCCAGGAGACTATTGAAGCTCTGCGGCTGGCAGGGATCAAAGTATGGGTGCTGACAGGGGACAAACACGAGACTGCAGTTAGCGTCAGCCTGTCGTGCGGCCACTTCCACAGAACCATGAACATCCTGGAGCTCCTGCAACAACGCTCGGATAACGAGTGTGCCGAGCAGCTCCGCAGACTAGCCAGGAGGTGAGTGTGTGATGGTAACTTTTTACTACAGCTTCTAAACAGTGTCTTTAGTTGTGTCTTTAAACTTTTTATCCTTATACCATTTGCTTTTCTTACCAATTAAACTGGGAGTTTGCCTTTATTAGAACTCCACAGATTGGTTTCTTGTTTTTATTTGCAAAAGGATTAAACTTTCTGGACATTTACTTGTTATTATGTGTTCCTCCCAATCAGATTAAGTCTATTTGAGTGGTTGAATTTTCTTCCTGTCCTACCTCTCCCCTCTTAAGCTCTTTCTGACCTCCTCTCTCTCTTCTCATTGTTCTCCAGGATAAAGGAAGATCACGTCATTCAACACGGGTTAGTGGTGGACGGTGCGAGCCTGTCCTTAGCGTTGAGGGAACACGAGAAGCTCTTTATGGAAGTGTGTAAAAACTGCTCAGCTGTGCTGTGCTGCCGCATGGCTCCACTGCAGAAAGCTAAGGTATCAGTCCTCTTCAACACACACAAGTATTTACTCACACAGTGACTGAATACACGCCTCTCACTCGGGGTGTCAATGTGACTTTGTTCTCTTCAGGTGGTTCGACTTTTAAAAACTTCTCCAGAGAAACCCATCACCTTAGCTATCGGGGATGGAGCCAATGATGTCAGTATGATACAAGAAGCTCACGTAGGCATAGGTACGTACCTCTCGCTCAAAACACAGTTATCAGAGCTGTGATTAGTAACACTTTATTTGACGCCTCTCTAGGCCTGGGCGATATGACAAAAAAATGATCACATTATATTTTGTCATATTGTCCGATTTCGATTATTATCATGATTTGTTTTTAAACTGACAGATTTAAAGTATCTGTACTAAAAAGTAAAGAAACTAGAGATTAGTTCAACATTTTATCAACATACAAAGTAAATAACAAAGCAAAACTTTGAAAAATATAAAAATATTTTAACTCAACAATACAACAAATGTAAAAAATACTAAATAATACAGTGAATTAGTGAATTAGTTTACAGTCCCGATGTGTTATAATTTGCTTATAAACTTTTATAACTGTCATTATAAACACTGATTAATTAATACAGCGCTATAACGTGATTATAACACATTATAAATATATTTATAGTGCGTTGTAGAGATAGGTGTCAAGTAAAGTGTTACCCTGTTATCGATTCTGTTATCTGACATTCACTGTATTGCTATGTAAATATATTTATGAGTGCACGTGTGCCTCCAGGTATCATGGGAAAGGAGGGTCGTCAGGCCGTGAGAAACAGTGACTATGCAATCGCCAGGTTTAAGTTCCTGGCTAAACTACTGCTGGTCCACGGTCACTTCTACTACATTCGAATAGCTACACTTGTACAGTACTTTTTCTACAAGGTGAGACCGAACTTTTGATTCAATATGATATCAAATATTCAGAGGTTGGTTTTCTTGTTGCACACATAGCAAAAGTTTACTCACTTATGGATTTACATGTTGGTTGTTTTCAGGATTTTGATAAATTCACCAAATATTGTTCATGATATCATGTTTTTCAAATTTTAGTGGATATCTACCCTTAAATGTTCAATTTAATTTAAATAAAGGATGATAAGCCACAGTTTATATCTTGTAAAAATCACCAAATAGGTGAAGAGTAACATTATTTGCCATTTAGTTCCTTAGTAGAAACTGGTGAATCCATTACAACATGCTGTTCAGGTCACACAAAACTGGATTTTACAGGAGCTGTTCTCCAGCTCAGACCTCTTCACTGCAATGTTTTTAATGTTTCTCTCATTCACTCTGTCTTTTCTAGAATGTGTGTTTTATCACGCCCCAGTTTTTATACCAGTTCTTCTGTTTGTTTTCACAACAAGTAAGTCTATCTCCATCTCTTCACTCTCTCATATGTCGCCGTAAGATTTGTTTGTGGTCTTAATGTTGCACGCTCTCTCTTTTGCTTAATAAAACACCTTTCTTAATTATAAATAATATTTTAACTTTTTATTTGAGGCTCAAGAAAGATGAACTCTGACTTTCTGTAAAATTGCCTAACTTTATATTTCATATTTTTAAAGAAATTTCATGTCTAATATAATTTTAGGTTTTCCTTTTTATATTTGACTCTGACTCAGTTTCTCTGTGTAACCGAGGTCATACAGGTTTGTCAAATCAAAACCAGTTAATAGGTCGGTGTTGAGTAAAATGCCGTCTCTGTCCGTCCCCAGACTCTATATGACAGTGTTTATCTAACGCTGTACAACATCTGCTTCACCTCGCTGCCCATCCTCGTGTACAGTTTGTTTGAACAGCTGGTCCATCCACACGTCCTGCAGAGTAAACCTGGTCTGTACAGGTGAGTTTTCATATCATCCGTAAGGGGATACGACACAGTAAGGGTTATAAACTTTTAATTTGAAGCCTGTATGTTCATGTTTTGAATGAATTTGTATGTCTGCTATAAATATAGAAGAAGTAACTGTACTTTTGAGGAACTTTATGAAACAGTTGAATGTTAATCTCAAACTCGAATTAAAAAACTGTTGAAACTTTTTTCTAAATCACTCTGTCAACTATTAATTTATTCATTAGAGTAAACCAAAGCATGCTTTGATACAGTACGTCCTCTAACAAACTCTGAAACATTCGTACTCCACAGGGACATCAGCAAGAACTCGCTGCTCTCTTTCCGAACGTTCCTGTACTGGACTCTGCTCGGCTTCTGTCACGCCTTCGTCTTCTTCTTCGGGTCGTACATACTGATGGGAGAGGACACCTCGCTCATGGGCAACGGACAGGTGTGTCTCTGGTTGTTTGAGAACAGTATTTGTTTTGGTATCTTCACTCAGTTCTACAGAAAAATGAACATGCTGAGAGGATTTTAAATGATTTTAAGAAACAGCAGGGGTTGGAAGAAAGGCAAGAAAACAGCATTGTCTGTTTGTGAGTTTGTGTGACTATTATTATTAGAATTTAGTACTGATTGTGCCAGTTGCCTGCTGGTCTTTCTTCACTCACTCTTTCAACTAATCTTGCTGTTTTTATCTCTTTCCATCTAGTATTTTTGTCTAACAGCCTTTGATTCAGTCTGTTTTTCTCTATCCTAGAGCCAGCATGTATATCACTTGTGTAAAAACAACTCAATTTTTATGATTTCTTGTGTCTGTTGTTCTTCACCAAATCACTTTTCTTCTCTTTTCTTCTTGCTGCATATCTCTGCCATCTTTCTCTCTGTTTTGAAGTTTGATATTTCAGAAAGCACTCGCTCTTATTGCGCCCTTTCGCTTGACTTTTTCTTCTATCTTTTGTTGATTACTGTTTTCCTCCTCTGCCTTCACGCTGTGCATGTCTTCAGATCTTGCGAGCTAACAGGCAGCTGGTAAGAGTCTGCTCCACAGTCGAATGCATGTCTCCTTGGGGGGTTAATGGGAGGTCTGTCAGGATGATTTAACTTATTTTGTCCTGCAAATAATGTAAAAAAAAAAACATTTATACCTGTGCTCAGAGGGGCATTTACATGTGGTTGGCATGAACAAACAATCCTGCGCTTTGTGGAAATATAAAACAACTCTGTTTCCCTCTTGAAAAATCAAAGCAAGCAGTTATAAAATATGCAACAACCCATTAACTCTGATGGTTCTTGTAATTTGTAATCAGTTTTAGATTCTCCAAATTAATTGTGCACTCATACTTTTAGTAACACTCTCTTTCACATCAAACATTGAAATGCATTTAACGCTTTTGATGTACTAAACAAACAAACCCACACTGAGTTTCTCTTCACTTTAAACATGAAGCGCACAAGCCTCAAATGTGTATCTTTATGAGTATGATAAACACAGACTTTGTATTCAGATCATTTTTTTGGGGTACTTAAAGACACTATATTGTAGGGCTGGGCGATATGTCCTTAATTCAGTATCATGATATATTGAGTAGTTCACCTTGATAATGATAAATGGACGATAACTACTCCTGCTCACCCCCTCCATCATTAACTTTGTCTACTTCAGCTGCTACAACTTTTGAACCGTCCTCCATCTCCTCACCTGTCTTTCCTTCTTTGTTATGGACTGGATGGGGTGGAGTGACGTCTCCGACGTAGGACAGCTTCTTAAAGGGACATGAGACCATAGCCTACCTACACACATCCAAAACCGACTTTTATTCATTTATTTTTTTGACACCCAATATATTGACATGGACAAAATGATGTCGGTTATTGACGTAAATTTCGGTATCTGTAAATTTTCGGTTTATCGCCCAGCCCTACTATGTTGATAAAATGCTGTGTGGTTTTACGTGATAGATGCAGAGAGCATTCACTCTACAGTCCTTCAGCGTGCACTGAGTTCATAAAAGATTCAGATGTCTATGAATATATATATTTAATAGTTAGAGTAAAAGAAAGGACCGTGATTTATCTGAAACACTGTAAGGCTAAGTTAAAAAGGTGAAAGGTTAAGTTGGATGTAGTTTGTTTAAGGTAATTGATTATTTTGCAACACAGGAAAACCAAAGTGTGTACAAAGGGGGTTTTGTAGAAACTTGCATGCCATCAGTTGATATATAAGTAGAGTAGAACTGTGACCCTGACATGTCCCTCTGGATTTATCATAGTCTGCTCACCGTTTCCAGTGTTTGGACTCCAGCAGGGTCTTGAATTGGCTGGCAGCAAAACAATGCCTCCTACAGCTCCCGACCCATAAGTAGAGTGATTCCCAGTGCAATGTGAGAGCTGTCGACGGTAGTCACACAGTTGGAGGGCAAGGTCTCATTACAGGGATCGTAACACCACACAGGTTGTTAACCGAGGTCGCCGGCTTTTAGAAGTTTTCTCTCCGTTGAAAAGCTGAAACAGAGCTCACCTCGTCTGACCTGTCTAGACTTTCAGCTGTCGTACAGAGGAGTGCGTAATGTCATCGAATCCTTTCAAGACAACCCCTTAAAAAAACAAACTACGACTGTTATTTGAGTGATCTGTTAATCATTTTAATGTAAAAAATGTCAGGGACTTGAGATTTATTTTAATATGATTTGTGCCCTCACATTAATCTTGTAGAGCTGAATCAAAGAAGAGAGAATAAGGATGTTTTTAGCATTCAGAGAGTTGACAACCAGAGAAAAATAGCTCAAGGTAGCTGAACGTAAACATACCAGTCATTCAACATTAATGTGTCATATATTTACAGTTGATAATGTCAGTATGTCGAGGAGTTAACGTTTCTGTTAACAGTAAAATGACGTTTTTTTTTTAGATGTTTGGAAACTGGACATTTGGAACGCTGGTCTTCACAGTCATGGTCATCACCGTCACATTAAAGGTAAATTACACCTTCTTTAAACTCTCACCACAATCGACAACGATTCAGTTTTCACAGGTTTTAGCCAACATCTCCACACAGTCATTACTCATGGGTGTTTAACTGTGCAGCATGCTTAGCCCCACAGCCAAAATATGAAATACGGCATGTTTTGAAATATCGGGATGATGTCATTGGCTGTTATTAACATTAGATTTGTCACAGGTCGGGGTCAAGGTTGTTTTTATAGCCTAGAGACAGATTGGTGTGGTTTATTGATGCTCTACCTGTCCCCATCTGTGTTTTACACCTACTTTTCTATTTCCCTGATATGTGTGTGTCTGTGCGTGTGTGTGTGTGTGTGTGTGTGTGCGACAGCTTGCTTTAGAGACTCATTTCTGGACGTGGATGAACCATTTTGTGACCTGGGGATCGATCGCCTTCTACTTCATCTTCTCCCTCTTTTATGGAGGCATTATTTGGTAAGATGTGATTCTTAGAAGGACTATGTTTTTTTTCTTTTTAACACCACACAGTCAGAGAAAAAGCTTCTCTCTATGGTGCTGTGTCTCTGGGCTCAGCTGTAGCTTAGTGTAGGCCCAGCATAATACCTCTGGAATAACCCACTCTGTGCAGGATATAAATGCTGGGCAATCATGAAACAGGTTTGCAGAGAGAGAAAAAAAGTGTGATATGCACCAGGTCTGGATGAAAGTGGGCGATTTAGTCAGAAACAGTTGCACTTGAAATCTTAAGTCTTTGTTGGCAACTTGAGTTTGGTTGAATGTGGTTTTCAGCTGGATTTAAGATTATGGAAACCTCTTAAAGTCCAATTCCAAACCATTTTTTTTTTTTTTTTGTTACCTAAAGTGTTCTCGGTGGTCTTTGAATTGTGATTATAAAGTTTTTACCAAAAATCATGCTACCTGTGTCATTTGAAGGGCTTTTCTTTTGCAGAGCTCCAGTAGATCATTAGCAATTCGCCTTTGAGTCGTGGGTGGAGACAGCGCTACTCTGCACACTTCTTTTCACGTTAGGTTGTAGCCCAACATTACCAGAGTAGTAGAAGTGGCAGGTAACATCGGAGCTATTCAGCTCTCAGATACTACAGTCGAATATCATGATTAGCTTTCTTATGTATTGCAAACCGCTAACACAGAGGCTTGTTCCCCGAGTGTCCGCTCGCTTTCTCCGAGCCTGGCCTGCATAGCAGGGCTCCGGGGGCGGAGCTTGGAGTGGTTACATATGAAATCTCACGGTTCCTGAACCTGCCGTTTGGGTCTGCCAGAGAATCATATGGATTTGAATGAAGAAATACTCAGAAAAGCAATTTTACATTTAGTTTTCTCATGATATGTCCTGTAGCATTAGAAAAATGCCATATGAACATGTAGACAAATAGAAAAACATGATTTTCATAGGAGTGGGTCTTTAAGCAGACCTATGTGTTTGCTTTGTTATTGCCTGACTTAAAAAAATACAAACTATGTAAACAGGCATGCAGTCAGCCTCTCAGTTTACACTGTTCTACAAACTTCTATTCAATTGCAGCAGTGAGGAAATGCTGGTTATAAAGTCAAACTGTGCTTCTCTCTAATACTGCAATTAATGTCTGATTACGGAGTCCTAATCCTGTATCCTGCATCACTCTGAATTTATCAGATAAATTTTGCTTACCTTCTTGAGTCCACCTGTGATGTAAAAGTTGTGTTTGTTTTGTGGACTGTCCTTTGGGGTATCTCATAATCTTAAATTATTTTCATGTTGTTGTAAGAACCCCGGCTCTGGACTACAAAATACATTTGGCAGTTGTGCTTATTCTGGCGTATTAGCAGTGACGCATATTGCTGACATATTGATTAATGTGCACTGCTTTACGCCAACATATTAAATCTAAAATAAAGGGGGAAATCTCTCTCTCAGATTGGAGCCATCCTTTTAAAATTGGACCACATTACATGGTGTGATATTGATATTGGTTATTGGATTTTGTTTGTGACCATTTCATCTCTTCTTCTCCCTCTAGGCCGTTCCTCCACACCCAGGACATGTACTTTGTGTTCGTACAGCTGCTGTCCAGCGGATCGGCCTGGTTCGCCATCATCATCATCGTCATAACGTGTCTCTTCCCTGATGTGGTGAAGAAGGTCTTCTACCGACATCTGCAGCCCACCAGCACACAGAAGAGTCAGGTAACATGAGCAGGAAGGGCAGAAAGTACAAAACAATGATCAGAGAAGACTTTTACGGTCTTTGAGTGTTGGAAACGAAGTCCAGCCGATCCTTTTTAAGGGGATTTCACGTTTCTCTGGGACAAAGTGGAGGTACAGGTTTTCTTTTTCAAATGGGATGGGATTTAAAACGGCTCATTCAGCATTTATCTGTTTGTTTCCAACACTTTAACTGCTGGCCTGACTCCAAGGTGCTGTGTAACCTCTCTTGGACAAGGAAGTTCTTAATGAATGTTTAAGTAGCTTTTTTAGTGAAACACAACTCTACATGTCCACCCTGCTGTAATCGCTCAGAGAATTACAGATGTTTTTTAATTCTCTTTGTGCTTCGTTGTACCTAAGTTTGATGATCTAGCACATGGGAAATTATATCTACTACAGGCTGCAACTTACTTTATTTCAGGTTTTTGTAGCAAATTGACCAAAACTGATAATATGTCTGAGTAATGCTGGGCGATAAAACAATAATGATATATAACGAAAATGAATTTCCCTCGATATCAATATAAAACATGGAGACAAGTGCGTTCTCCATGATTTAGCTGGGTTTAGAGCAGCAAGGTATATGATGTATGTCCCCGTTAAAAGACGCAGATACAGATATTCAGTTTTGTGGTGTGCACACAGGTCGGAACGCCTATGGTTAGTTCACGAACATAGGACAAGTGAAAACTCACCGTACAACCCAATATACCTGAACAGTATTTACTTGAAAACACCTTTAAAACATTGGCTTTCTAACAGGCATTCTGTCATGTTTTGGTAGACTAAACGAAAAGCCAATGAAAAGGGGAGTTGCTCCGGGTCTGCTTCGCGTCGGAACCAATCATGTGCTGAATTAGTACTAAATAGCAAAGATCTCACAGATGCAGCAGCTTATTGTATTGCAAAAGACATGCTACCAATACACACTGTTAAATTTCATTTTTTATATCGATGTTGACTGATATAAAAAAAAGATATCGTGATAAACTTTTTCCCGTATCGCCCAGCCCTATGTCTATGATTGGTCAAATGCAAAGATGTAGAAAATAATTATGATAACAGAATCAGGTCAGGTAATTTGGTTCATCTTGATTTTGAATGAACTTTGTCATTTGCCAAAGATGTTTGGTGATTCACGTATTTATACCTGCCGGCTCAGGCTCAAAAAGTAAAACTCATTAAAAGTGATTAAATGTCACCGGAGAGGCTGAACACGTTCCAGTCGTTGGACTGTCTGGCGTAAGGTGTACAGATTTATCACTTATTCCTACCTGAGTCACAAAAATAGAAGTTATATTTCCTGTTATATGACTGGAGCCTGAAGGGAGGAAAATAAAGGAAAAGTCGCTGTAACTCTAGACAGAGGGGGGAAATGTTCTCGGTGGTCACATTGTTGAAATAGTTCATTATTCTCTCTGTGGTCATGAGTTACCCACCTCTTTACAGGAACTGCATGGTGTTTGATTACACACACTGCTTGACTTCCTTTCGATCCAGCGCACACATACACAAAAACACAGTGTGCATGGTCACCTCTCAGCAGACCACCACTGTTACCGTATTGATTTGTTAAGCTTGAGACTGTTTCTGATTTCCTCCTTTCAAAACTCTCCTCTCGTCTCCCGGGAAAAAAATAACAATCCTGTGGAGTGTAACTTGCTCTGGTGTGTTGTTTCTGCTGTAACCTTTGTCCTGTTTGTCTTTGCGTGTCCAAGCGAGACTTTGAAAGTGAGTTCAGTGTGCTTGACCTCTAACCTCTCTGTGTGTCTGTATGTGCTCTTCCTCCTCTCTTCCTTTTGTCCTCTCGGCGTAGATGTATTCCAACCGCGTGGCGATAGGTGATGACTTCATCGCTCTGCAGCCTCTGTCCAGAGCCAAGAGCCAGCTGGGCAAAATTAGGTAGTGGAGATGAGGCTGATTCAGCCTTGAGTTAAAAATACAAAAATCATCAAATAGATTAAGATAAAATAAGGATCCCAGGAGTGCTGCTTCAAAAGCAATATCTCTGCATAAGGAGTTTATGGGGCTGCATCTTTAGATTTTACAAACTATCATCCAAGATTTTTATGTTCCTCTTCAGTGATAATACTTCATCCAAATTTATTTTCACTTCCTTTTGCTCAAAAAGATGTATTTCACGTATTTTAACACTTTTAAAGGGTGTCACAGTGGCAGGCTCTCTTGTCTTTTTGATTTCTCACCTTTATCAACACCATAAGCAATGTTTGTAAGTAGGTCTATTAAACAGCATTATTGTGTCAGAGTTAATAAACTCAGTGATTCTATAAGGTTAGTCAAAGTCCTATTTTTTACAATATGCTCTCATGCATGATGTCTTCACACTATGAATACAAGAATATTAACTCATTCAGTGCCAGGTTCATTTATGCAGTTATTGCCCAGTGCCACCGTTGACCACAATAGAAATTTCCGAATCTTTCAGGACCCACAGAATATCTTGTGCTTGGATTAGAATTTAGTGCAATATCTCAAAAGAAAGGGGTGATTCTCTTCCTTCACCAGAAGATTAAGTTAGTGACTAACCCAATCCTGTGTTTAGTTATTGTCTGCTCAATGCAGCGTGGTCATAATCATCTTTGCCAATCTGGAAAAAGAAAACTGGGGAAAACACATTTTTACGATGGACAGACTTTCAGGCAGAACTCTGATTGTCTTTTTCATTTTACTTCCACCTACTTTACCGGTGGCATCAAGGTCCCCCCTCCTCGGACACCACTCCTCATCACTCTCAAGATCCGATTGTGATGGGTTACTTTGACCTTACGCCACGACGTAAACCACACGGAATGCTCGCGTCCTCCTCGCCAGGACTGATGCCAGTACACCAGTACCGGCACTGGCACAACAGGAAATTGTTTATTTGTTTGTCAGCTGACGATGTGAAGGTCTGGTACCGGGATCTCTACTGGATCCAGAGATGGTAGCACTGCGCCTACAGGAGCCGATGCACTGAGACCATTAGCTCTTGGCTAATGACTTCGGCATTTTCCTTCTCTCCTCATAGAGCGAAAATACTCCACAACCAGACTAATTGGCAAACTTGATCACACACTTTTGACTAGCGAGTACTTGTTTTTTGTTATTGTAACATGGTTATGACGCATTTGTCGGCTTTTCTGCGTTCAAAACGACCTCAAACTTAGTCACATATTGGGAGGGAGCGCCCTCTGACAGAAAATAAATGGCACTGAATGAGTTAATGCTGCAGTAAGACTTTACTTTATCAGATCTGCTGCCTTATTTTATAAGGTCTTAAAGTTATTGATGCAGACAGATTCAAACTGATATTTACACCATATAAGCTCCAAAAAGTAGAACTGTTGCTTCATGAAACCAGCACTCCGATCCAAAACCATATACAGTCTCTTCATACCTGGACTTCATTAAGTCCTATTTAAGCCTGTGTCTGACACTAGCAGTACACCGGTGTGTCGTTAATGTGGGAATAGTTTCTTTTTTGTCTGCATGCCCTGAACAAACCAATCAGCATTCTCCTCGATTGGGATCAAAAGGGGATTCAACATCATTTCCAGACAATGCAAACGAATGTGACATCAAGCATTTCAGACACTGCATGTGAGAGACTGCCATATTGTGTTATTGTGTTATTCTTAGACCTCCACACCTCCTCCCTGTCCCGTGTGGTGTTGTCATTAGTCTCATCGCTGCATGAACAAACATGAATGAATGGATGAATGTTAGATCAGGTGGGATCTTCATCAAACCGAGTTTATGCTCTGCCCTCAGTACTTATTATAGTATGAAAGCAATCGACACCACGACCTTAATCAGTGTCCCAGAGGTCATTCCTTCTGACTGTGACATCCTGCATCTGCATCAGTACACAATCAGAGCACCAGTCAGACCCGCTGCCTGACCTCAGCTTGTGGTTTTGTCATACGACCGCAGTCCGGCATGCCACACTCATGCTAAGTTGACTTGGAGTCACATGATGCAGCCCATCAAACCACAGCTTTTTATCTCCAGCATGATCCGTCCTCTCAACATAAACCCTACCAGACCCCCCCCCTCTGAGTGGATTCACCACTTGACGCATTACCTCACCCCCAAGAGAGTCCGCCTGCATGGTTTGAGACCTAAAGAACAAGACTGACACCTCTCCATAGCTGCATGACAGACTCTTGGACCGGTCTGGGCTGTCTGGTGCAGCAGCATGATGCTTTCCTGTTAAAGCATGACAGACAGCAGTCTTGTTTTTGACTGATGACTTGACGATCATGTGCAATCATAGCAGATGATACTGTAAACAGCCTGGAAGGAGAATGTGAGGGAAACAATGTGGAGAATGCTTTATATATATATATGTTTTAGGTATAAAATTTGCAGCCTTGTGAAAGACTTACTCACTTCAATCTGTACTTTTTAGTGGTTCAGTTGTGCAGCGTGTTAGTAGACGGATCAGAATCACAGAAGATAGATCAGAAATTAGTATGATAATGACTTCAGTGTTAAAGAAATGTGTGAAAGCCTGAAGACCAAAAAATGAGAAAAGGAGTTTTTAACATTTCTAGACTGCCAAAACCTTTCTTAAACTTGTCACAATGGTTATTTCTCTTGATTCTATCTAGTCTAAAATATTCGTCGGAGTATGAGGGCCACATTAAGTAGAAAAAATTAAGACTTCGAGTTTAAAGTCAAGAATAAAATCATTACTTACGAGAACAAAGTCGTAATGAAGTTAGTACTTATGAGAAGGAAGTCATAATAAAGTCATTATGATACTGTGGTGCTGATGTGCCAAAAGATGTATCTTCTTGTTTGAGAAACCTATACTGAAGTACATTTTCTCCGTGGCTCTCATTTCAAAAACTTTCACCTTAACACCTTTCACCTTATAAGGAATTTATTCTGACTTAACCCTGTAAGTGATTACTTTACTAAGACTTTATTCTTTTAAGTGATTACTTTATTAAAACTTTATTCTCGTAAGTAATGATTTAATTACAACTTTATTTACTTAAGCAATGATTTTATTACAAATTTATTCTTGTGAGGTAACGACTTCAATCTCAAAGTCCAAATTTTTTTTTCTTAATGTGGCCCTAATACTCCATCGTAAAAATATGACTTGGAATTGAAATGCACAGATTTTTTGACATTGCATTGCATGCATTACCTAATCTGCACCGCTTAATGGCATGCCATCTCTGATTGTTCTGCCGTCGTGGATAATTCTGCTCAGTATCAAAAAAATAAGTTTGTTTTGAAGTTGTTAAAATGAACTTAGTTGCCAGTTTATAAAAATGTTTAAAACACGCGTTTTTGAAATCAGCCCTACAGCGATGAAGTTAACCTTCAGAGAGGTGACAGTAAGTCTGCAGTCATCTGCCTCTTAACTATTGTGTATTAGAGATGTTTCTTAGTTTTTGAGAATCTAAACCGAGCGACCTTCATAAAGGTAGGGTTAATTGCCGTAGTTTTGACAATGTGGATCCGAAATGCTGGCAACTGAGTTTATGTTCCAAGTGACTAACAATGTTGGCAACGCAGGTCCCATCCGGCTAAATCAATGAGCAGAAACAAAGTGCAGACTGAAGGGAGGACAAAAAGCACATTATGCAAAGCAGCTCCTGTTTTCTCCAGTTTGAGCAAATTGTGTTTGAAATGGTAGAGCCGCACAAGATGCTCTTTACCGGACTCCAAAGCAGCATGTGTTCATGCTAATGTGCTGTATAAAACAGTTTTTTGAAAGAGTCCCAGTGTCATTCAGTCTTTTTTTTCCTAATTAGATTAGAAGGAGGTAATCAAAACAGAATCCACAGGACTCTCCTGGGTTTTCTGTTGTTGTCTTACTCTGAAGCTCTGATAGATTCACCAGCAGGTTAATTGGTTTGGATGATTACAGATTTGCTCTTATCTGCATTTGAAGGATCAGTTTCCCTCGAGATGTCTTTCTTGGGCCTGCAGCCTTCTTTCTGCTCATGTGTTACTCAGTTTAACATCATTTCAAGGCTTAGACTGTCCTGCTCATCAATGTGTTGAATTGTGACTGCTTTTGTGAGAAATTAAAGCCCTCCTCCGGTGACCTCATCATCAGCACGGATCAACCAAAGGCTGTCTTCTCAGGCGGTGATTTATGATTATCTCCCAGTCCCAATTAAAACGAGGCTTAGATCTGTCGCAGGGGAGTACAACCTCGGCTGCACTTTGGCGTCTTCTTTTAAAGAAAAGCATGAAGCAGCTCGTCTTATTTGCTTTGTAGACCAAAAGAAATGTGCTTTCATTTTTTTATTGCAACATGAAAGATTGTTTTCATGGTCACTTTTGAAGGGCTTTAAAGCAGGGACCGGCTTTTACGCGGTCCCTGCAAAATGTATGTGCGAGTTAAGTGCACACTGTAAAGTGAGGGTCAGAAGTTCAATTAACTCCCCTTCCTTACAGTGGAGCCTGACTGACTCTCTGACCGACTGACTGCTTACTAACTGACTAGTTAATGTGCTGGGAGGTAAAAAGGCGGTGCTGAAAAACGTATCCACTGTGTAGCAGTCCTTTTGTCTTTGTTTTGAGTCCATTTATTTTACAAAACACTCAGAGCACAGACCAGAAGTCTAGTCTTGTGGGACTATATATTTCCCAAATTATAAATTATTCTGAACTAAGGCCGTCACTATATTAGATTTGCCCCTCACGATTATAAATGAAGAATAACAAGACATAACAACCTTTGCCGGGCTGCACTCTTCATTTAGCCCCGTCCTGTAAGTCATCTTTAACAGTCAGATGAAAACATGTTTGTTTCGTTGGAGCAGACCCAAACAAAGCTTCACATGATCACATGAATTTAGATATTTTTCAGGTAAAAATGAAACGATGGTGTGAAGTAGAAAATTAAAACAGGCCACAGATTTGGACTCTTTGCATTACAACTTCTTTTTCTCAGAACTTATATTGTTTGTCTTCGTTTGTTGAACATATTTCAAACACTAAGAGGGAAAAGAAAATTGCATTTGAAATAATAGATTTCCTCTTTATATTACCTTAAATTAAAGTGTTATTTGGAGTCCATATAAAGAACCACAGTGGATATTTTTCCAGCGTGCTCAGCTCCTTGCCAAACGGGCTTTTCTTGCTATGTTGCTGTATCGGTGTCTGACCTGCTGACAGTCTACACGGCTGACTGACTGATGAGCTGTTGTTCCACCAGCCAGCCGGGCTCACTGTAAGCATCTTGTGTCCTTCAGATGGAAGAGGGTGAGGGTTCAGTCGGCCCAGAATATGACCCTGTTAAAGTCCAGCGGAGCCCAGGGGAGGACAATTGGCACCTGCTAGCTGCTTATCCTCCCCCTGCTGCCCCCGGCCCAGACCCCTGCTCCCCTAGGTAGTACCATACTTCACTCCCATTGTCCCCCCCCCCCTCCCTTGTACTGTCACAGCCCCAGCATTACGACTTCCCTTAAAGGACCAACCAACCCTGTGCACCCCCTGACAGCTGCAGCAAACCACATATGTCCCTATATTTGGTTCAGGCTACCTGCACCTTCAGTCTGTCACCCATGACTGTATGTCACAGCTGCTCCTGCACTGTCCCTCAAATCCATATGTGAAAGTACTATCCCTGTATGTCAGTGTTACTTCCATCCACCCCTATCTGATCACCTCAGCCCTCCCTTCCTCCATGAGCATGATTGTCCCCATCTCGGTCTGGATTTTAGAGCAGATCTGGGTTCAGAGTTTAGAGAGAGACTGCTGCTGGCATGTTGACCTCATTCAATTGTTGTTCAACCATCTGATCCCACCTTCATTGTCATAGTGCTCCACATTGAAACCTAGAAGTTATACTATAATCTGCATGTGAGTATTGAATACTTTAAGTTCCACAAAGGATTCAAAATCTAGTTTTGAAGTTTATTTCTCTTCTGGTCTTTGATTAAAGGATTTTGCTGTTTTTGTTCTTTTTGTACCGACTCTGCTGTCTGAGAGATTATGCTATAAACCCCAGATTACATTACATTTGTTTATGCTTACAGTCACCAAACAATATATAGTCAACTGTTCTCTGCTGTCACAGTTGTGTAGCACAACATAATGTTGTACTAAAAGGACAGTGAGCGTGAACTCCAGCTGAACTTTACGGCTAATATGATAAATCAGGAAGGGGATGATGCCACCCCTATAGCTGTCAACAAGGCCTCGGCCAATTTACTACAAAACCCACGATTGAGACGTGGTTTTCCTGGAAAACCTCGGTTTACAAGAGAACTATAAATCATAGAGTCTGGCGTGGTCTTGCTCTTGGCATCATATTTCTGCTGCCTCCCTCCCGAGCGAAAGAATTACTCGCAACAAACATTCCTCAGGGCCGTTCAGTCACTTCATCTCTCCTGTTTATCTTTTCCATAAACAGCGCAGGAGAACAAGTTTTATTGCAACAATGACCGTCACTAACTGCAATTTCTCAAGACTCCTAAGATTTTTAAGCCCTGTGGTGGCAGATGAATGTTTTTACTAACTCATACTCAGGCAATATCAGTCAGCCAAACCAACATAGACACACCAAGAACAGAAACACTCATGGGTTTACCATCCACAGGTACAGCTGAGGCTTGTCTGCTGTCTCTGTTTTGTCTGGGGCTGTAATCAACCAAAGACATTCTTGGTCGACTAAAACCCCAAAATTTTCAACCAAAAATCAAGTATGCAGCTCGGCGTGGTAAAAATATTATAAGAATATATATGGAAATATTTTTTTTGTAGAATGGTAGAAGAAAGTCCCGCCTCCTTCACCTCTGATTGGCTATAAAAACTGGACATTTACGCACCTCTGAATCTCCTTACCCCAACCTTAACCCAACAGACGATGACGTTTCACAACCATAAGGAATAACCAATCGGAGCCCAGCACTTCTAGCCAATCAGAGGCAAAGAGGGCGGGACCTTCCCCTACCATCCTACAAAATAAAGTTCGCCTACCGTTGATTAACGTGAACGCTCTTCAATCTTCCTGTCCCCAGCCGGTCTACGGCGGGTTGGGCGAATCCAAAATTGTGAAAACAAGGGGGGTGTTCTGAGACAGGCCGTTACCTGTGAAACGAGGGTGCTCTGAAAACACCCCCATTAGAATTTTGTATGTTCCTCCTGATGACATTAACCATAGACTCTAAATTGAATCGACCAATCAGAATTTTGGTCGACTCAGCACATATCGACCAATAAATCGACCGGTCAACTAGGACTTTGAAGCTCTACCTTTGTCCTGTGCATATTAGAGTCACCATGTCTAACAACCTCAGCTTTGTAAGCAGCATTAAAGTGGAGTCTGTGAGAAGACCAGACTTTGTTTCAAGCATGAATAAATGCAATATGCTCCGATAGAGAAAAGGAAAGCCGCGCATCAATTATCCAGTGACACCTGACACTGCCAGAATAAATCACAGTCAGTCCGTCCCGTCGGTGTTTTGTCTGGGGCTGTCAACCAAAGACATTCTTGGTCGACTAAAACCACGAAATTTTCAACCAAAAATCGACTATGCGGTTTGGCTGGCTGAAAATATACCGATATTAGCACAAGGAGGCAATCAAACACAAAAGGCAAGTTGAAACGCTTAAAATAAAAATAAATATTCAACAAACCATCGGACATTGATTCATGTGGACGCTCTTCAATCTTCCTGTCTCCAGCCGGTCTCAGGAGGGTTGGGCGAATCCAAAATGGTGAAAACAAGGGGGGTGTTCTGAGACGGGGGTGCTCTAAAAACGCTCCATTAGCATTTGGTATGTTCCTCCTGATAAAATTATCTACAGACTGTATTGAGCGATTCGATGACGCTGAAAAAAATCGAGTCGCCAATCAGAATTTTGGTCGACTCAGCACATATCGACCAGTCGACTAGGACCATGTTTAACAACCTCAGCATGAAAGTGAAGTCTGCGAGAAGACCAGACTTTGTTTCAAGTATGAATAAACGCAATATGCTCCGATAGAGAAAAGGAAAGCCGCGCATTAATTATCCAGAGACACCTGACACTGCCAGAATAAATCACAGTCAGTCCGTCCCGTCGGTGTTTTGCTGTTGCCGGCCAAGAAGCAGAAGTCTGGTTTCCTGCCAGCTGTATCTCCAGTTTCTGCTGCAGAGAAATCTTACAGTGACTGCATCAGAGTCCAAATCACAGAGGAATAAGTGCCTCACATTTTCAGCTACAAAGAAGGATAGTTGTGGGCCGTGTGCCAGAATAGAGTCACAAAATATGAGCGTTTAGGAAAAGAGACCGAAAAATTTTGAAAGAGATACTAAATAAAAGTAATGCAAAAGTTTATCACAGTTTAACTCATACTAATAAAGATCTTTGAGGTCATAGAGGAGGGCAATTTAGAGCACATACTACATGAGTGTAACTTACACTCTGTTTCCTCTCTACTCCTCAATGTCTCTCCTTCTCTCTCTGTCTCTCTCTCTCTCTCCCTCTCGGGTGCTGACTCAGTTTAACAGAGCAACCTGATCCTGCAGGTTTCTAGGCAGCAGCTCCATTCAGCTTTCACTACCTACAGTATGCATCACTGTCTCGTTTAAAAGTCTGAAGTCAGACTTGTTATTCAGCCCCTGAGAGTTTTCCTGACATTTCCTGCAGATTTTCGCAGGTTTATACAGAAGGAGGTTTCTGGGGGATAGATTAGCTGTTTTTTTTTTTTTTGTCGTGTACGTTCATGTGATAGCTCTGGGGGATTTTAGAGCGTGTGTCAAACGCAAAAGTCTAGAATAAAGCTTTTCACTGATCAGATTATTTGTTCAGCTTTTCATTCTGATGTGAATTTCTAATAAGGCCAAGGACAGACTTAATCTGCCTCACAGACACTTTAAATAACATTTATTTTTTTATTTTTTTATCGCTTTATTTTTCCTTTATTTATAGGTTTCATTAATGTTTATCCGTTCCATTTCAGGCCCCTGTGTTGCATGTTTTGGATGTTTTCCCTGTTCATCATTGTTCCTGAGACAGCATGCAGTATATCATCCCGCCATTGTCACCTAATCTGAATGTAACGGTGTTCCTAAATGGTGTTGTTGTTAATTGTTTTCTCCCCTCTCTTACGTCTTCCTCACTCCTTCCTCCTCCTGTCTCTTAAACTCGCTCTCTTCTTCCGTCTCCCCCCTCCTCCTCCAGTCTCTATCAGCCCCCCAGGCGCAGGCCCTCAGCTGTGTGGAGTCCCTGTGCTGCTACCAACATGGGCAGAGCGGCTGTTCCCGCCTGGCCCGCTTCATGGAGCAAATGACCGGGCAGTGCCAGGCCGGCGCCAACCATTGCACCGCATCCAGCCGCAGCAACAGGTGGGGAGGACGCCGACAGCAGGAAACAATGATAATGAATCCTGATGAGCGCTCAACACCTCATGGTTTCAAAAATTTGGGCTGCAGTCCTGACTGCCATAGCCCTTAATGTGGCTTCGACTCTACTGTAAGTCTTTCTTGTTCTGACCCCGTGGTTGAGCATGCGGTTTGTTGGGAAGCAGGGTTTCAGACGGTGAAGGAGACTGGTGTTAGGGTGCGGTGAGAGTAACAAACGAGGAGGTAGACCCTGAAGATGTGTGACCTCACGGACTGCACTTTTATAAATGTTGTCAGTGTATCTGACAGAGATGTGTGTGAGAGCTCATACTCACAGAGATGTACTGCCAGAAATATAACAGTACGTTTCAGCACCTAAATCATGGAGAGGCCAAAGTTTCCACAGAGCATGCTCATGATGGTGTTTGGGAGCCTAGACAGGGAGGTTTTGGTTTCCTTGAAGCCCCTTAAACAGGTCTCATGAATACAGTATGTAACCTGTGTTGTCTGTGTCGCCTCTACATACGGGCAGGTTTGTCTGTTTGCTCATGTGTCTGTGTCCTCCTAACCATGAATGCTGTAATCTCTTCTGTCTGCTCTGTCTGTCCTGACCTTTTCTTTTCCTTTAAAACAAAAGGTCGAGGTCAAAAAGGGAGTTAGCCTGATTGATCCGATCTGTAATGCACTTTAACAGATGTCTGTATGTCATTTAATTCAACCTTCTGAGAGACTTCCGTACTGTTTTTAGTAGGTCCTCTTTTCTCATCAGAGGGCTTCTCCACTTCAGATTCAGCCTGATGATCGTTACGCTGATAGAAACACACCTTCCAGTCATCAAATCAAAGTGCTTCTTATGAGATGGTTTAGCTTCGAGTTGCACTTTCTTGCATTTTAGTATCCTGATTTGACAGGAGGGGGGGTAAAGTTACAAATCTTGATTCCTTGACTCAGCTGCAACACCACTTTGTGAGAAAGAAAGATAAAGTAAGGATCACTTTCTTTCATATTTGTTTTTTTGCCTAGTGCAGCTGGAAAGAAGAGTACGCTGAGGTCAGTTTGCTGGACTGCCTGATCTGCAGATTCAGTGTTTTTGTGTCTTTTTACCTGAATCCCAGCGACTCAGAGGGGGTCATTGATTAATTGACCTATCGGCCCTTTCTGCTGAGCAATCAATACTCCCCAAAACAACGAGGGACTCCCAGTATTGATTACATCAGTAATGAAGATGTAGCATTCTTGTTCGTCTTGTTTTAGTCCCTTGCTGGGGACCTCGCACAGAAATCAGATGGCGTGGGAATACATGTTTGCTTGTCCATGACTGTGTGCGTGTTAGAGACGCACCGGTCCGTCCCTCTCTTTAGTCCCTCTGGACACAAACCTGCAGACTCTCTGTGGTCAGTCATGGATACAGCCAAACAGTGTTATTCACAGTCTCACAGCAGCAGAGACAGTAAGTTGTTACTGTGGCTCTTGCATTTTTAATTCTGTGCCAGGTCCATGTGCAGCAAATTAAAACTTCTGGCTTCATCGAATCATTTCGAACTTTTTAACAATCCAAACGCTGCTGCTGCTGCTGCGGTGGTCGGGATGTGCACTGTAAAACAATCTGTTTCAATTGATCATTGTGCTGGAAGAAAAGGAAGCCCTTTCTCTTGCTTCATCGTCAAATTACCTCGAAATGCATGATTCACTTTAGATGAATTTCTTCCTGCAGGAATGATTGATTTGTTTTCTGACCTTGGCACGAAGCAGCCGATTGGATTCCTCCAGCTGAGCGAAAACAGCAGCCAATTTGTACTCCCAGACGGATAAACATAAACAATAAACGCCGTGTTTTACACTGTAGATACAAAAAGAACACAATCGAGAGAAAACCTGGGCTTGAATTCGAAGAGTTTGTCCACCTCCCTGCTTATACACCTAGTTTGACCGTTCCCCTCGATTTCTCTTCAGCGTTTAATGAAATCAAATCAGAAACCCACGGAGGATGGATGAGTGAGGCCCAGCCCACATTTGGCCTTAATGCTACTATACTGCCATAGGGGTTATATCCTCCCAGTCCTATATAACATGCATATTTAATGGACGGGACATATATAAGAAACATATTTACCAACATATATGAAAATTAATTATTTATCTCTTATATATTGGGAGTCTTGTTGGTTGCTTCAACCTTGTCACTGCAGCCTTGAAGGGGCTTTGAGACGGTCCATGCGTGGCCGTCAAACCCCGGAAAAAGGAGGTAAAAGGGAGCAGGTTTGGTCGAGTTTACAGAGGTATTATCCGAGAGTCTTGAATATTGCACCCTGTAGTGATTGGATGCATCACTTTATGCGAATATATCAACAAACTGTATACCGTGGAAGTATTTTTAGTAACCCGTCTGAACCTGGCATGAGTATAACATCCACATACTTCAACTTTGAAGAAACATTTACAGGAAAATCGATGAAAAGATGAAACGTCTGTTCATCTCCTCGTACGCGTACTTTGAGAAAATAACCCAAAGATGGAGACAAAGCTTTGGCCTGATATTCCCTCGCTCCCTCTCCTCTTTTACAACAAAGATGACCACGTCCTAAAAACCAGAGAGGCTGCTGGGAGATGCAGTCTCAGAGAGTTTTATTTCATATGTATCTATGAGTCTTTTTCTACTGGATCCTGAAGCCTTATACGCGCTTCTGTGAAGAGGCCAACTTTAGGGGTGTGCTTGTTTGTTCACCTGGTGTGCAAAGATGGGTGGAGTTAACCTGTTAGACTCCACCTGTCTTCTGCACCGCCGGCTGAAAAACCAAGAATGCCCAGACTTTGTCTTGTTGCATGGGGGCTGCTGTTGCCTTTGGTACTTTGTATACGATGTAAACCTGTATGTATCCGTGCCCCCCTTCACACACGCTCCTCTCTTTTTCTGTCCTGTCTGTGTCTTTGTCCTTCTGTGTCTGAAATCTGCATAATGTTGCTCGACCTTCTGGATTAATTATTCATGTGCTGTGGACGTCCCCCCCACCTCCTCTTCCCGTGAGCTTCGTCTTGTCAGAAATCTGCCCGATCTGTTCTCTTCTTGGGTTCGTGTTCCCACCGGCTCATCCCAAAACAGTTCAGGTGCTCATGTTCTCTTTGTCCGGTCCTAACCCGGGGACGCAAAGATACTTTTAGCACTGAGATGTTGCCCTGATAGACGGCTTAGAGAGTGCCTCTCGTCCAACTACCATTTTAGTATTCAGCAGCAGATATCAGCTCCCCAGGTGGCCCCTCATTACCTCTTTCACAGGTCTCAAAACGGTTGTCTTCATCTTAAGGTCATGAGGATGATTCACAGATGGAGAAATATGAGAGGATGTGGATAAACAGATGCAGGGATTACAGGTCTCCTCTTCAGATTTACAGTCTTCTCTTGTTGCACACACACACACACACACACACTCCCATTTTCCTGGATTTAGTCATGCAGTCATGTGAGGATCAGGAGCAGCAGCTGGAACGGAGGCTGTGTTGGAGTCTCTGCTCCTCCCTGCTGGTGCTTTGAGGCACGATGGCAGATCATTGACTCCGGTTCTGCTTTGACGTGAGTCAGCATGGCGGTCGCAGTGGGTAGTTTGTTGTGACCTTGTAGCAGGCTGTCACTTTCATGACGCGTCCATGTTGTTTGATGTTCTTGTCCCTTTGAATCACTGGCCTTTAGTTTGAAAATGTTTGAGCTGTTTATGGACGGATGAGACCGCACCGAAGTTGGTCGTTGTTTCCAAAGGAGAACCAGCTTGCTAAGCTAAAAACAGAGAGGAGTTGTGCCACGGCCGCGTTACTAAATAAGAATATGTAGATTTTAAACTCTGTTGTTGTGTGTTTACAGGATATTTAGATCTGAGGGAGAGATTTTGTCTATTTTTTTAGTAAAAGATATTGAAAGAAGAAAACAGTCCTGGGTATCTTGAGAATGAGTATATGAGGCAAGAATGTTGTTGACGCTTGTTTTCATGATTCATTTCTCTTTACAATGTTTATGTTTTATTCTCCATTCTCACCTCTTTCTTTCTCCATCAACAGACCACAGACAGATCCAAAAAACAGAACAGAACAGGTTTAACTCAACACGGAGGGAGCAGCTTTTGCGGTGAAGTGAACAACCTTTGACTTCACTTTAAAGAGTGAGATCGAAAACTACAGTAAAGACTAATGAGCAGACCAGAAACAGGCTCATCTGTGGTAAATCCTTCAGCTGCACATGGATCTAAATTGACCACAGACTGCTGCCTTTTTTAGTCTAATTAGATATATAAGAGATTAAAGTCGATACTCTTGGATTAAAACTTATACTTATATTCTTTTCTAAACTGGTTTTCATACAAATCAGGCTATCAGTATGACTTCAAGTCTTTGAGTTTTGATGAGTATTTTTATTCAAGATGTACTGACATGATATAAAGGCCAGTTAAGGACAATCTCCAGTCGACACACTGTCTGCCTTTATAAACATGGATGGACTTAAATGCTCCTGAAAAAGTTCTTTTACTCAACTTGTTTCTTACCTCTGGGTTTTGTCTGGTGATGGGTGATCACATGCTCTGAATGCTGCAGGGAGACAAGATTGATCCCATGACCAGAGACCTACACGCCGACTGTCAACTTTGTAATATAGTTCAGTTTAAAGTTAAAACATTCATATATATATATAAATACCTGGTAATATGAAGAAGTTGCACTAGATTTTTCATCCAGATTAACAACAAAATAATGTTTAGTTATCGTTTGTAAATGTAGAAAATATTTAAGAAATCATTTTTCCATTTTCTTGACTTTTTCTTGCAAAGATTTATGTTTTAACTAAATGAACTTGAAGCTTGTTTCCAAAAATATTCAATAATGAGGAGAAACTCTGTTGTTGTTGTTTCTAACACCATCTTACTCATCACTAACTCTTCACTCCTCCATCCCTCACCTCTTTGTGCTTTTCCCAGCCTGGATGTGTCCCTACTAGAGAGAGAGAGAGACCGATTATTCAGGATGATTAACGGCATTTTAGAATAATCACGTTGGTTAATGCCGGCGGTCATGAGGCCAATAATAATCATAATGTCTGCAGACGCTGCAGACAGCCTCAGATGGTAAATGAGCAGGTTAACTTTGAATGTGTTTACCTTGATTGGCCATTTGGCTTTCCTAGTATAGGACACTGTAGTTAAATAATGCTTGAATTGACATAAACACAAGTTTAGGTGTAAAATTAAAGACATAACCCAATTATTTTATTTTCTATTTCATCCACGTAAAACATGCAGTTGGCTAAACTAACTTTGTTTATCATAGATTATGTCCATGATTTAATGCAATCATACATCCATACATACACCACCTCTTATCTGATATCAGTAAATTGATGTATGTCAACAACCACAACAAACCCACACGTGTGTTTTCTATCAGGCATCAACAACAGCCACTGAAAAAAAAACCTGATAGCGGTCCATCTCTCTAGTACCGACACAAATGATTGGACAACTGTCTGTGAGCTGGTGAAAGCCAAGCCCATCACCCCTCCCTTCAACCACACACACACACACACACACACACACACACACACACACACACACACACACACACAGACAAACACACACACACACCCAGCCAGTCCTCTAACCCTCAGTCACTGCTGCCTGTTTTCAGGTCTTGGAGCGACACGGAGAACTTCTACTCCAACGATCGCAGCATCCTGACCCTGTCGCCCATCGAGGCCACCCACTGCTGACTCCCCGGGGGGGTCTCAAACACACAGTGAGGGACAGCTACCGCTCTGTTATGAGTCATAATCACACCACCACACCCCCGGCACCATTTTATGCACCTACTTCAGTTTGTCGATGCAGCACAGATGGGATGGGAGCTGTCGGAGTCTGTAAACCAAAGGACCTGGCTGGTTGCAACAAGCTGCGATCAATCAACTCATAATACAAAAAGATGAGGAGGACCGAAGCTGCAAGTGGAAGGAAATAATAGATGAAGCATGGAATAAGTCAATACAGCCAGAGGCTGACATCTGAAGATGAAGTAGTCAACAACTATCTTCTTCCTGCTGCTCTCAGGGCGTCTGCAGCCGTCTGTGAGAAGATCATATTCATATTCAGCTCTATCTTAGATTTCTAGAACAAATGTCTTCTAACAGTTACATGGAACCTCAACCAGATATTTATTTTTCTTTTTTGGTGCAGTTGCAACCTTTTTGTTTCTTGCAACTGACATTAAAATGATCCTGTCAGAGAGTTTCTGAAACAGGACGGAGATTCTAGACAGCTGCAGATATTAGACCATGTCACGCAACAGTCCTCCTTAAAGCATCCCGGGTATTGTAAGCTGACCGACCCGGTTTGGACCTGGCTGTCAGTAATGCACATGTAGCACCAAGACAAACCCTCAAAATAAAGATTATTCTAAGTCTCCATGTGTTGGCTTACAGCTGAAGCAAACATGATGTTACTTCCATGAACTCTCTCAGCCACAGAGGACCTTCATTCCTCTCTCTGATGGAAAGGGAAAAGTCCTGTAGCTTTAGGAACCATGCTGGTTCTGTAAACGTCTAGAGCTACAGAACCTCCTCAAAACTGTGCAAGGAAATCCACCTCAACGGTGGAACCAAAGACCAAAGGATTCAGACTGGAATATAAAAGACAAAGATGCGTTTATTTTTGTGCCTGATTGTACAGAAGCTTATTTTGTGGAGGAGATGCTTGTTTTTTGTCCGTGCTGCTTTCAGGCCCCTCTCCCCCCTCGGTGTCTCAGTCTGAAGGAGGCCGGACGGGTCTGTTTGAAAAGCCATACATTTTTCAGAGGTTATATTACAGGTAGATTATCGAAGGTACTGCAGATTAGAAGCTGTTGAGCCTGTTTGTTACTTAATGTTTGGAAACTTGTTCCCTTGAATGCCTTTTTCTGTTTCAGCCCGGTTTGCAAAGGCATCTCTGCATTAAAGACTTTGTCGCTCTGGGAATATTTGAAGGTGAAAGGATCAAATGTCCTCACATCAGTACATCTGAATTGGAAAAAAAAAAAGAAAAGTGCTTCGCTCAGTTTCCTAAAAATATTCCCTGAGTAACAGATCACATAATGGTTCCATGAAAAGTGGCTCTAATGGCGAGATGCTTTTCCAAACCCCGGCTGAAGCGCGTCGACCCAGACAGCAGAATGTCTCTATCTTTAGAGGGTTAGCTAAAGCGGATAAATATGTTGCAGCTTCAGCAGAGAGGAAACGAAGAGCAGAACATTTGCACAAGTCACATATCAAAATCACTTCTTCATGTTGTCTCATTGTTCGTCTCTCACCATTGAAATCATTCATCATTTTTTCACTGTTTCTGTTTTTGCCCTCTGTGTGTTGAAGAAGTGTGTTTATGTGTGTGTGCGTCTAAATATTGGTGTTTTTGTACGTCAGCCATGCTGGTTGAAGGATACACGGTTACGATGCTTTGTTTTAGTCTCTTGAGGTCAAAAGAATCACTTGTGTACTTGGATTGATGGGACTGGTACAATTGAAGCACCTCTATTCAATCCTTTTAGGGCCCAAATCTCGACTAAATGACCCAACAAACCCTTATAAAGCTGTGTAGATGTGCTTGCAGCCAGACACTTGAAGCATTTGTAGATTAAATGTCCAGCAGATACAAGCCGTGAGGTTTTGTGTGTTAGGTTTTAGGAGATTTAGAGTTACATACAACCTAAATGTTGCAGACTGAGGCTGCGAGACACACCGGTGACAATGAATCAAATACAAGGAAGAAGACATCAACTCAAAACCTCTATCAACGTCAGATTCTGACTCCTGTATTTCTTCATTGACTGAAATGCTCCTGGCGTTTGTTTCCCCGATTTGAGCTGGTTATGAAAAATGTATCACTGAGCAATATGATAAAAAAAAAACAACAACTATGGAGAGATTTAGGGAAGTTGAAACTCGAGCAGAGCTTCACAGCCAGCAGGACTGATTTAAATATAAGCTGAGAAATATTTTAAAAAAGTCATTTAATGTGCTCCAGCTCAAACATTGATTATATTGGCTGCCGTAGTGGAATATTTATGATATATATGTCAACAAAAATCCATATCCGCCTAAGAAATCCTTGATCTGTCAGGCTGTCATAGTAACAGCATCACCCAACGGCTCGGGTTTGTTACTCTTAAATTCTCAGTCCGAGGAAAGATGGTCAAATGAGCAGAACCTGAACCAGTTCAGTCGATTTCTGAGGTTTTGCTGAAGACAAACCAGAGTGTAATGTAGGAACCTTTTGTAGACAACCGTTTTAGACTTGACATCTACAGCCTCACAACAGTGAGACTTCCACAGTCAGAGGATGTTTCTGTCCAAAATCAGAGTCGAACATGTTTTTGTCTCTCTGCTCATCGAATTCTCTGTAAATCTTCCTGACGGTACATTGTTAGAGGCCTGTTACATTCTGTCTGTTCACACAGAGGACGATGAAAGTGTCTATTTATTATTGCTGTAAGTTTTTTTTCTGTTTGTGTTGAATATTTGTTACATATCAATCTGTATTTGTCGACTGTACATGACCTGAATGCAGCAACTGTTGGTTTTCTTTTGTCTTGATTTTAGACAGCATGTCATCTGAAGGTTCAAACTCCATCCATGCTGGTTTTGGTCTCATCTGGGAACTGATAGCTCAACACCTGAGCTATATTTTATTACAGAACATTGAAAAGATGCTTCCAGTTACACCACTCCATCCAAAAACCCTTTTATACTGTTATTTCTTCTTTATTTAAAGTAGTTGGGACTATTAAATCCAAGCTGTATACACCTGCGATAGCTAGAAGGAGACGAATATACTCTTACTGTCATCAATTTCAAAAAGTAAATATCTGCTCAGGCTTAATGGAAAACTCTTCTCGGCCTGTAAAAACAGCTGTGTAATTGTCTCGATGACTCTGAAGTGAGCCGAGGAATCAATCTTCATAATAGCCTGCCTTTTAAGATGCATTATGGGAGCTGCAGGATCCAGAGTTTTTAAGCTTCACTTACATGTAAAACTTAACGTTTGCCTGTGATGCTTTTATTCGGACTGCTGTTTTTTTTTTTTTTCTATGAAACACCAAATCCAAGAGTGTCCCTTTAAAAAAAGATCCTGGTAAAGAAAAACACTGGATCCTGCAGAGGCTGTAAGAGTCTTGAACCTCGATGTGGACTCATTTAGCCCTTTAATGCCTGAAACCACAAATTATGGACTGAAAATTTAAGTTTTTTTTTGGAGCTGAAATGTTTATTGGTACTGAAAACCAAAAAAATCTAAATGTCCTTAAAATTGAACAAATATAAATATTGATCTAATTTGATACATTAGATGTTTTAGGAAACTGATGAACCACGATAGGATATTTTTATCATTTATCAGACTTTATTCAGGTGTTTTTTTTTTTTTGTTATTTGTTAGTCAAGTCAAGTCAATGTTTATTTATGAAGCACCTTTAAAAGACAGCAGTCAAACAAAGTGCTGTACATCGGATAAATAAAGGAAGTAAATAGGGAAGTAAAGGCTCTAATATGGCCAGGTAAACTGTTCCACAGTCGAGGGGCAACCGCTGAAAAGGCCCTGTCACCTCTAGACTTGAGTTGATCATATTGATTTGATAGAAGTATCAAAAAAGTATGCATTAAATATCATTCAAAAGGCATTAAAGGGTTAAACACCACTTTGAAAAAAGCCTCTAGATCACAGAAAAACTCAAACAGAGTTAAACTTTCTTGAGAGCTGAAAATAGATATTTCAAGTAGCAGATGTCAATAAAACCGGTTTTGGTTAAAACTTCAAGTTAGAAGTCTAACACACCACTCGGCTCTAAATTTTGCAACTCACCAGAGCCATTTAGAAGAAATTGTTCTATTTTGACCCCAAGTTTGTCGTTCTTCCTCTCTTGAGGTAAAATTCCTTCAAGTGTGGATCAGGACTTTCAGGATTCAGAGCTCTGACCCTGCGGAGCGATTGAATGACAGCCGAGCAGATGGCAGGAGGGGAGAAGTCTAGTCCTCCCTGGCCTCGAGGCAAACAAACAAAAAAAAAAAGTGAGCTGTGCAGAAAACACCTGCAGTGTTCGAGTCGCTCTGATGCCCCCTTGTGCTCGGCTACGGACTCCCCGTGAGCTCAAAATTCAGTGAATGGAATTTGACATAAAAATTATTACATACGGGGAAAAAACTGGACTTTAGCTAATTAAGGAGACAACAAACAACAACAGGCTGGAATAATGAAACTAAACAATCATTATTTTGGGCCTCCATATTCACGTGTTCGAATTGAAAACAGCATGAAAATGTGGTTGAGATATATCTGTGTTTTCTCTCAGACTGTGTCTCCAGGTACAGATGACTCTATTTATTTGACATATTAAATGTAATCAGGGTCAAAGTTGGGCCTCACTGACATCCTAATGCTGTTAGCGCTGAAAAGAGATGCACTAATGTGACAGAAGTTACAACAAAGACCTGATTTTCCAGAGTCTCACAGCGCTGACGTCATGGGAGCTTCATCACAGGAGAGCAGAGCGGTTTGGAAATGAGGCCTCCTCCGGGGTATTTCTGGAAGCAGGAGATTACTCAGCCACATAATTCAAAAGATTATTATTTCATATTTGATACAGAACACGGTGGAGTCATCCGTCAGAGGCACGGTTTAATTTAAGTTAGATAATTCATGAAAGACAAAAGAGCTGTTCAATTCTGCGTGGTTTCAATCCACATACTGCTGCTGGAGATACTGGCGATCATTAACCAATGAATAAATCAGTCCATGGTTTTAATAGAAGAAGTCAAGTCTCACCTGAGTGTGTGAGGGTCAAACCGCTGACGTCAGAGCTGCTGAGCTCTCTGAAATCCCAGCCAGAGCTTTACAGACGTGAATCAAATTAAGTTCTCCCTGGATCAGATCATCTGAAAAGAGGAATGTAAATGAAATGTCACTGATCAGTTTTCTGCAGCAGATTGTCCTGTGACTCAGCATCAGCCTGTGAGAGACCAGGCTGCAGATCAGTCAGCGCTGAACGGTGTGTGCTGGAATCACTTTTATCCTCTCCTGTCCTCAGTAAACCTCGCTGCACCGACGATTAACAGCCCGCCATCATCACTCTTCTGTTCACTGATATCTGTTGTCTGTCCGTCCGTCTGTCCTTCCCCTCAGTCTGTAAATCTGTCTTATAGCTGATGTTTATGAAGATGCGGCTCTATTTACGAAATAAATACATTTTTAAGAAAAGGATCCATTGAGTGGGACTTAATTTAACTGTTGAAAAGTGAGACGTAAACATTACCTGTTATATATGAACAGAGAAACAGCTCAGGTCTGAAAAATCAACATAAGAGCAAATCCAACAGTAACACTTTACTTGACGCCTATCTCTATAACACATTATAAATATATGTATAATGTGTTATAATCACGTTATAGCACTGTATATCTATAGTTATAAACACTCATAAATGATCATAATGCTTTATAGCTATAATCACAACACATTATAAAGCATTTTATCATGACTTAGGAAGTCAGGTATTAAAATGTGTTTTACGTATTGTTATAAAGACATTTATAATGTTAATTACATGTTTATAAGCTGATTATAGCACATCATAAATACATGTATAATGCATTATCCATGTGGGCATTGTTGTTAACAATTATAACACATTATAATACCCATGTTTAAATGCTTTATAATGTGTTATAATTGTTGCTATAAAGTATTATGATCATTTATGAGTGTTTATAACTATAGTTATACAGTGCTATAACATGATTATAACACATTATACAAATATTTATAATGCGTTATAGAGATAGGCGTCAAGTAAACTCGGATTCCAATATAGTGAACACAACACCAGAAAAATATTTAATAGTTCAAAAAATACTTAGTTGGTGTCTATTTCATAGCCTAAGTACAATAAATAACAACGCTGGAGTATCAGATTGGTGCATAGCCCTCTTATGATTAAAGGAATAATTCCTAAATTCCCATTTTACTAAGGAGTTTTTTGTTTTGCAAACTGCAATGTCTCACAGGGATATTTGAGTAGAATAAATAGGGTCACTATGAATGTTTTCTGGTAATGTCATTATTCTCATGACAAAGCTACAACAAGCAAAATCAAAATAATCAGAATCAGAATACTCATTCTGACCTGACAGGCCCTTTACCAAATACTCCTGTTGTTCTCACAGAAGATGTGAAGTTACAGTATCCTGTGCTGTTGCAGTCCACACTAAATAGTGATAATGCAGAGCTCTGAGTCATATCTGGATTGCCTACTTGGCACTTTTTAAACTGGTGTATACTCTTTGCCAACAGGGTGGAGACTTCAGCTGGATTTGCTTACTACAAGAGTTGTTTTAGACATCTTAAGCCGGAGGGACTTTGTTTCTCATCTTCTCAGGCAACTCCTTACCACACATGGGCTGATATACTCTCCCTTTTCCACATACACATACACACTCTTCATCCCTCAGTTATTTAAGCCCCCTCGTTTTCTTGGCTTCTGTTCAGAATGCAAAACCAGGAGTGCATCCGTGTAGTCCTGGAAATGAAATTACACTTGGCCCTTTCATCCCGTTCTCCTTAATCTCCAACTGATGCTTTCCAGTCCATTTGTTGTTCCAGAGTGTCTCTTGTGAGGCATCTCACATAAAGTGAGGTCATTCTCCCACCCTGCCATGAATCTATCCCCTCCTCTGAGACTTTACTGCAGCACATCCCAGTCAGTCGATATGGTATATAAACAATAAATGACGTCACATGGACAAAATGACAAATGCTCAAACCTTTGAAAATTCAAGTATCTTTGAAAGCTTAGCTGTACGATGTGCTTTTCTAAGATTGATCCTGTATATAAATGAAGACATTGAAGTGATGTCCCCTTTTCCATTGATGGAAGCAGCAAATGATAATGATCCTGTGTGATCAATGTGTTCCAGCAGCTATTTGTGGAGCAGAACAGCTGCAGCTGCCCAGCAGTGAAGTGGCTTTCCTCTGCCTCTCTCTTGAAATAAATGAAACATACAAATCTATTTGCATGTTTTTGCATTGCTCCTTAAAGTGGCAGAGCAACTAAAAAAATACAGTGTATATATATATATATATATATATAGCCCTACATATACTTGAGTATTTTCTTTTTCTCTTTTTGTAGTTGTACTTTTTCAGTTACTTGTTTCTCATAACTTTTCTGATATGTACACACTGTATGTTGAGTAAATTTTTCAATTGTTTAGTGTTACTTTAGGTCACAGGTGTCAAACTCAAGGCCAAATCTGGCCCCTGGAACAATTATACCTGGCCCACAAGATCATATCATACTTGTATTATTATTGACCCACCAGTGTGAAGTCTGCAGATTTCCTCCAGTATAAGAATGTAAACTTTAGCGCCATTATTTAAAATGTCCTTAATAAGCCACAAAAATCTGGGAAATTAAGTAAGGAAGATTTGATAAATAGTCAAGAATGTGCGGGAAAAATATTTGGTGTTTTATTTCATGTTTTCAATTTTGCATTTCAAGATTACAAGTCAAACATGATTGGATTTTTTAGTTCATGCTTTGATTTTATTCAACTCAGTATTTAGACTTGTCTGATTTTTATACTTTAGATTCCAGTTTTACATTTTAAGTCATATTTTGACCTTTTAAACCTGATTTCAACGTTCTCCTCATGTATTTGCTCTTTAAAAGCATTATTTTTCTTTTTTTAAAATCATGCTCTGATCTTTTGAACCAATAAATAAAAATAGAATAAAAAATAAAAATAAAATAAACTTTTCTATCTCAGATTGCCTTTAAACTTATCTTTTTTGAATTTCCAAATGATTTATAATCATTGCTGTTTTCTGTTTTGCATATTTTTTGAAAAGGAGGTTGACAGTTTCGGTGAAATGTTGACCCTGTTTGGCCCTCAGGTCAGACCTAAATCCAGATTATGGCCCTTACTGTGGTTGAGTTTGACACCACTGATTTAGATGGAGGCTTCATATAAGCCTTTCGGGTTTTCTGCCTCTCCCTGCATTACTTATAATTTATTATTTTTGTTTCTTTGTATACTTTTTTTAAACTGTGCAAAAAAATTAAAATAAAAAAATATATATTTTTAACTTCCTTAGGGTTCAGGGTAAAACACTGACTGTGCTTCAGTGTTTGCAACCTCTCGGACTTGGATCCCACTCATCAATCCCATACAATAAAAAGCGCCACGTGCTTTTTTATTTTTTTTTTGTATTTTTTTCTCAGTGTGACCAGCCAAAGCAGAAATGTCACAAGCTCATCTTAAAAAGACAGCTTTACTCTGCAAATCCTTTGGGTAATCCGCTATCTGTGTGTTTGTGTGTGAGCCCTTAGCCCAGCGGTTCTGCCCATGTGACTGCAAGGGTAATCTCTCAGTTATACCCCACTTACATAACGGGACAGCAGCAGCAACATCTGGGAAATCTCACCCCACGGCTGGACTGGATACAGTCGCACGTGAGAGGATGGCAGGCAGGAGTATCTGTGGCTCTAAGATTAAAACCTTGTATTTCAAAATTTTTCCAGGACGGAGAAAATAGTCCCCGTTATTCAGATGTAATCTCTCTTTCAGTATAAGTTTTTGAAATTGATCAGTTTAAATTTAAGTACCCCAACATAAAAATTCTCATGACGCTTCACATACAAAGCAAGAGTATGCTATACTCCTAAAATTACTGGCAAAGACTCAACTTAATCCACCAATAAGCCAGTGTCAAAAGCTTTCCTTTGACAGGCAGAAAGAGACTCTTTGGTGAAAAGCCATCTGCCACAACCAACTGGGTCAAACATGGAGACAAAAGGGATAGGGATGGAGAAGCAGAGGGCGAGGGAGACAAAAGTAAGACTAATTTTTCAACGATAATGTAGGTAGAGGGTGGAGAACAACTATTTAGAGAAGGGCCTGAATTGTTTGTACCTGCAGTCTGAGAGTGAAATATTGTATCGAGGTAAAAGTGCATCAAAACCTCTTTCAGATATTGTGCTGTCCAATTATATAGAGCTTTTAAGATTAACTTTGTATCCTCAAGACATGTAGCACAAATTAAATAACTGAATCACTTTACTCTGAGCTCCATAACGCTTATTTTATCATATCAAAGCTGTATGCTTCATGCCTCACACCTGTGTAGCCTCAGACAGGAAACCGCTGGTCAGTGAGCGACAGTGCCCTTGACGTCTGTCATGGAAATGGACGGTAAGACACTGGACAATGCTTGGCTGCCTGCCAAGATCTCCATTGAATTAATCTCTGGTTATACTGCTATCTCACAAGTGTCTGACATATTGGACGCTGTAGACTAACAGGTTGAGATTTATTGCCTTACAACACAGATAAGAGTTGACACCCTACATGTGAGGCTTTTAGACATTTAGACATTAGACATTTCCATTAAACATACAGAAAGAAAGGAGAATTTAAATTTAAAGTATAAGCAACACATTTCTGCTGTTTACTGCTATAACTTCAAGTCATTTCACAGTATATTTTAAGGGTAAAACCACCAAATATCAAGAATATATCATGGGACTACTTTTGGTATTAAAACAACACATACATTTAATAAATTGTAAATGCATTGTTAATGTGATAAAGTTAAAGTACAGGCTAAGGTTGAGTTAGAAATATTAGAAAATGACATTTCACATATGTTTATTGAGTTACAGCCCCTGTACCAACCCCAATTCCAATAAAGTTGATCAGTTTGAGCATTGAATATCTCGTCTTTGTAGTGTATTCAACTGAATATAGATGGAGAAGGTTTGTAAGTCATTGTATTCTGTTTTATCCACATTTTACACAACATCACAACTCCATTAGAGTTGAGGTTTGTACATTAACCACCTGTTCAGACTAGTTTATTTTATTTATACATATGTAAATATTTTCTATTTTCTTTTCTCTATTGCTCTTATCCTGTTGTCTCATGTTGCTGCTTTTACTCTGTAAAGTGTCCTTGAGTGTCTAGAAAGGCGCTTATAAATAAAATGTATTATTATTACTGTTATTGTTAACAAGTCTGTGAAGTTACCTCCCATTGTAGTTCGTCAGTATGATGATTTTAAAAGAGTTCTTGTTAATTGAACCTACCAGAAATGCGTTTCTTGGAAACGTGAAACCAACAAATCATTTATTTATTTATATATAAATTATAATATTATTATACTGAGGATTTTATCATGTGGTTGTACTGCACAATAGTGTATTTAATGTTTAATTTTTGAAAAATTTACCTTTTTGTGCATCTCCAGACCTTCTGACTACAGCTAAATCTCCACATCCTTGAGCATCCCAACATGAACACAGCCTTCTATTATTGATCACATATTACATCTGGGTCAACAACCTTCTACAGATGTACAAAGAGAGGGAATTACTATCCTCAGATGTAATCTTGAGTTATTGCTGGCATTTCTTTTATTTCAACAATTCAATATTAGACTTCATATCATAAAATCCAATAGTTTTTATGGGTTTATTTAGTGAATGAGTGAGTATTCCTTCTTGGCACACCCGTCTCCTCTTTCTGTCCTGTTCGGTTCCTGCATCTCAGTATTGGACTGAAGTAATCCATAAGGGCTGTTTAACCATGCTGTGGCTGATCCCCTTGGTAAATACACCAGCACTAAGTGGCTTTCAATCATTACCACAGACTATCTCTAATAGTACTAATAGGCTTAAGGCAACTTCTCCCTGTCTGCCTGGAACCCTCATTTCTATGTAAGGTTGCTCGCTCCAGCTTCAGCTACCACTTTGCAAGTGTGCATATTAGTGCCTGTCTCATTGCATTAGCATGAATATCATTCTCTCTGTGAGGATTGAGACTCCAAGCTGCCCGGCAGAGTGGGCCACCCAGGCTCTTAAGGGAATAAAACATAAATGGATTGGCTCTCAAACTGGATTGCGATGGCTGAATCAATACCAAGTGAACAGAAAATAAATAAATAACTGCGACGGTGCTTTCAAATCAGGATGTAAGGCATACATTATTGCGATTTTGTTGCACGATGATTGATGTACTTTGTAAAGGAAAATGATAAATAAAAGGAAAACATTAATGCTTGGCGTTGCTGCATTTTTCTATTTTCTGATCATTTAGGAGAGGAAGAACTGTGTGCAGAAGATTTTACAAGTGGCGTGTGTCTCCCTCTGTTGGACAAAGTGGGGTATTTCATCTGCAAGGAAATGGCAGTGTGGCAATCTTTATTAAATAACACACCAAAGGAGCACAGGATTGTACTTGCAAATACTATAAAGACACAAGTACTAATGTGCATATATTTGTGTGTCCTTGTGTATGTGTGCGGGCCAAGCTACCCGAAGGCAGCGGGTCACGACTGGATGACTCACTGCAGCTCTTCAAGTTTGGCCGGTTGAATTTCTATGTGTGTGTGTGTGTGTGTGTGTGTGTGTGTGTATGTGTGTGTGTGTGTGTGTGTGTGTGTGGCCAGGTGGATGGTATTGGGTTTCCTAAGCAGCTAGTAATTCTTCACCTAACACTCTGACCTCCTTAGTCTGTGACCCAGTAAGAGAGGAGGAAGGCAGCTCTTCATCCACTTCACTGGAGCTGGTCACGGATGACTAAATCTGTGTGTGTGTGTGTGTGTGTGTGTGTGTGTGTGTGTGTGTGTGTCACTTATATTGACATGTGTCTTTGTATATAATAAAATATATAGTGTTAGGATTCTTCCTTTCACTTGGAAAAAGAAAATTAGAAGTTAAATGTTGTGCATTGTTTTTTTGTTTGTCCAAATTCATCAGACTTGGTTTGAGTTAAGGTTTATCTGCTTGAGAATGGTGAATAGTTAACACATTTCTTACATTACATTTTATTTTACAGATGCCTTTTTTTAATCTTTTATCTCTTATCTCTTTTACTTTATCTTATTTTGACTTTCCTGTCTTTTTAGCTTTTGTTATACTTATACTCTTTTATTGTTTTATCTCTCGCTCATTTCTGTTGCTTTATTTTATCATTACTATTATTATTATCAGTATTACCTCTTATTATTTTATTATCATTGCTGATATTGCCTTTTATATTTACTATCCTGTTTCTGCTTTCGACACCCCTTTTAATTACATTTTTTTTTCTTAACTATTTTATGTTTTTATTTTGGTCCTCATGGTCTCATTTTATGTTGCATGGTTCTTGTATTGTCTGGGTTCCTAATGACTTGAAAATGGACTTCAAATCCGTTTATGTCAAAGCACTTTCTAAACTTCTGTTTTTAAATGTGCTATACAATTAAAGTTATTATTATTATTATTATTATTATTATTATTATGTTGAACTGTAAGATATTCCCATGCCTCAGATGACAAACTCCAGATTTTATTCACCACATAGAAGATGCTTCAGTTCAGCCGCCCACAGAGACAGGCCCAAACTGCTCTGTATCTGTCACAGGGTTAAAGGTTTCCCGTTGAGTCACATGCCAAAGTTTGTGAAGAGGATGTTTGTTTTTTTCCCCTGAACAGAAGCTAACACTACACTGGCGTCCTCCAGTTCAACTTCATATCGACTCAGGAGCAACATGGCCTAACCACATTGAAAAGCACACAAAGCGAAATTAAACAATAACCTTTCCACCTACTTCTTTGCTCGTCTTCTCAACATCGTCTTCTGTGCCAAGACTGTGAAACCCCAGTGCATTATTGGTCCCCTGCAGCTCACTTCCGTTGTGGCTTTTTTTTTCTTTTCTTTTTGCATGGACACTTTTTTGTTGTTGTGTTGTTAACTGCCGTTGGAGCTTTAAAAAAATCTGCACCATTTCTTTTTTTTGCACAAGTAACTTCCTTTGTGACTTTAACTCTTTTTTTATTTGCAGCAGTGGCGGTTCTCGGCCTCCGTACTTCTAGCCTTCTAGTTAGGCACGATTGGCGTTACAGTGCGGAACTTGATAGCTATCATCCGACAACAATTACGCTTTTTAAAATCTTAGTTACAAATATAAGTGGGCATCATGTTTCAATTTTGTCTTGGATATGACAAATTAAATCGGTGGCCGCAATATTAACGCTAACCCGCACCGGAAAAGGAACACCGGAAGCGGCAGGTTTGCGCCTTTACGAAGTGCACGCGATTCCTAGCTTAAAACGATGAAAGTCGCTAATGGAGTCTCTAATAAACATTCAGAGTTATAGTCTTTTAGGAGAGACCGTGTTACCTTTGATGGAGAATCCAGAGGAAAATGAAGCAGAGGACTGACTGAAGAGCTGCATTAAAACTGTAAGTAAACCGTGAGCTTCACTTCTTTCTCATGTTGTGGCCTCAGGGTAACTTTAGCCTCATTAACACTCAGGTAGTTATTGGTCAGTCAAGTCTATGAGTTACTTTATCCCTGATTTGAGGTGAAAGCACTCTGATAGTGCCATGTTTGTTTTGCTCTAGCTGATATAATTGGTTTTGTTGAGTTCTCAGTTTATAAATGTATGAATGTGTTAATTCTGTTTACTGATGATGAGCTCCTGTTGCTGTTGAATCTGACTGGAGATGGAAAGTTCAGTTTGAAACCTGGGATTTGGCTTGAACTCACCCTTTAAGGGCTTGACTTTGGGTAGAGGTTTGGGAGGTGCAAACAATCTTTTGATTTCTGACCCATGCTGCTTAAACTTTGTTATTTATCTTGGTTTTGTTTTTCAATTTGCACATGGAGAGGAGTCTATCTGTAGGTTGAACACAGGTCCATGTAGAAGTCAGAAACTCACACTTAGTTCATGCAAACTTTTATTGTCCATATACCTCTTAGATAGATAGATAGATAGATAGATAGATAGATAGAATGTTATTGTCATTGTGACAAGCAAAATGAAATTTAAAAAAGTGCCTTTACAGTCAGTGCATTAAAAAAAGAGACAATAAAACATTAGACAGTAAAACAGTAAAACCAGTGCAGAGTTAAAACTAGTAAAAAATGTAAAACTACACCCATAAATACATAGGCAACACATCATCTGGCTTTCATGGAGGCGTTGATGGAACAGACAGTGTTTGGGGAAAAAGCTGTTTTGCAGTCTTTTTGACGGTAACAGGGCTTTGATGGCCCTGTACCGTCTACCTGACGGCAGTGACTCAAACAGTGGGTGGCCCTGGTGGGATGAGTCCTTAATGATGTTTGTGGCTCTCCTGAGGCAGTAAGAGCTGTGTTTAAACATCATCCCATCTTGTTCTTGTAAAACCCAGTATTAGGTGTATCTTCACACCCTTAATTAATATACAGCGTAGGATAATGTAAACAGATCGGCTGATAATTGTATGACTTTGATTATTTTGCTGCTATTTAATAAATCTCCCAAAAAGACCTGACCCACTCTAGACCCTAAAAGACTTGAGACATGACTGAGATTTAACTCTCATTGACTGAAGGAATGACCGGGACTTGCTGTTGCTTTTGAGGACTGTGGATTTGTAACAAGAGATTTGAGACTTGACTTGAAATTGCAAAAAGTAACTTGCGTCCATCTGTAATTCTGACACAGCTATTTGATTGAGAACTGAGGATACCTTTTTTAATAGTAGAGCTGTAATTCACAGTTTTGTGAATCTAAAATACTTACAAGAAAGAGATAAATTGCATAAGGGTTATTTATCTGTTTGGTGATACTCATCCTCAGCTGTTAAACTCTTCATGTCCTGTCATTTTTATATGATGTAAAAAGATAGTGACTCTTTTCTGCCCTCTGGTGTTCGTTCTCTAAACTGATCCTCTCTCTTTTTTTGTTGAGTACCAGGAAAGCCAAGGTCTTCATTTCCCATTTGATTACACTGTTTGAAAAAGGAATTACGAGCAGAGCATACAAACAGTTCGATGAGTGACTCAGTTTGTGCTAGATACGAACCCCCCGTCTGACAACGCATTCATTCCCGTCTTGATGAGGTGTATGTGTTTTGCATGAGGTTACCTTGGTAACCCGTTAGTTCCCAACATGCGTCTGCTTGTGTGAATGCATGTGAGTGTGTGTGTTTGATGTTTCCATGGCAACGGTGGCCCCTGCCGACCTTGGTCCTTCCGGGCCCCTATCCTCTGTCTCCGTCTCCGTCCTTCTCTTGGCTCTCCAGCTCGTGTCTGACTGAACGGCAGCTGCTTTGGACTTCGGCGTCTTTATGAGTTTCGACATGCTCACTGGCAGTGGTGTGTTTTGGCAGCTTAGCCCTTATTTGTTTTACTTAGCAGACGTTCAGAATAGCCACTAAGGCAGACAATGACAAGTATTCATTTAAAAACAAGAGCTCTGCATTTACAAGCTTGACTTGTGTCAATTACAAATGATTTGATTTACAAAATACCCTTAAAGCTCACAAAAGAAGACAGTAGCTGAGTGTTAATCATGACAATCATAAGCTGTCTTAGGATATTACATTAGAGATGAAATATCACATGGAAGTTGCAGCACAGTGCTGTATCTATCAGGGTTGAACTGATTTGACCTTTGAAACTAATTTAGCGCTTATAAAGAAAGAGAGAAAAACAAACACTAAGACACAAACTATGATTAAAGCAAAGAAAACGAAAAACCTAAAAAGCAATTTAATGATGTTAAACATATTAGAAGGAAAAAGGATATGGTTAGAAAGAAGTAGAGAGACGATAGCAATAAAACGATGATAGTTAAGTTGGTAAAAATTTACAAATTTACCAAATTATAGACCATGTTTAATCTATTTAACATAGTCCATAACTACTTATATCCTTATCCTGTGAACTGAATTCTTATTGTTTCATCATTACTTGCTCTGCAACCACAACTCTTTACGAGCTGTTGTTGTTGTTGTTTTGATGTTGCTGCTGTCACCTCTCCATCTCTCTCTCTCTCACCCTTGTTCTCTTTTCTCTCTTTCTCCCTCTCTCTTGCTCATTCTCTTTCTCCTTCCTACTCTCTTGTTCTCTTTCTCTCCCCCTGCCCTCTCTCCTACTTCTCTCTCCCTCACCCTCCTTATCTCTCTGTATTTCTCCCCAACTCAGCAGCGGTGAGGTGGTTGTCTAACATGAGTCTGGTCCTGCTCAAGGTTTCTGCCTATTAAAAGGAAGTTTGTCACTCATGTTAGATGAGATGGGTCAAATTTGAACCATCTTAACGGTCTTGGTAATTCATCAAACAACAAGCGTGGTCTAAACTTGCTCTTTTTTTGGAAAGCGTCTTGGAAAAACAACTGTTATGATTTGGCGCTATATAGATAAACTTTGATTGATTTGATCGATTGTAAAATGACTTTTAAGAAGTTCTTTATAAGAGGTTCATAAATTTTAGGATCCTCATCTCCTCAGATTGTTTCAAAGTTGAAGGACCCTGACTGAAAAGGCACAGTCTCCATGACTTTGGAGCAACCAAAGAGCCACACCTGAAGACTTAAGGATGAAAATATATATGCCATATGAAATAAATCATATGGTAGATTTAGGGAGATGTGATATCGGTGTTCAAAACCAGTAAGAAGCTTTGGTGCTACAGTCCGTGCTGGTTGGAGGCATGAGAGTGTATTTGGTTCATACTGAAAAGGAGTGAGTTTAATAAATCTGGAGGAACTGAGCGCACGGACAATTGAGAGTGAATCAGATTTATTTTGGCGTTGTAGAAAGGGATCGATGACAGATTCAAACCAAGCCCATACAGAGAGAGGACTCCTCTTCTTTTTGCAGAAATACAGTAGTTTTTTTGATGCGGGGTCTGTGCTACAAAAGTCACTTTAGTGCAAAACCTATGTGTGATGCAGCAGGCCAGTCAGGTCACAGGTGTGCATGTAAAAATGTACATATGTGATAATGTTATCAGGAAAACCTTTGGTTGAACTTGACAAGGACTGAGCAGATTCAGTGTGTGTGTGTGTGTGTGTGTGTGTGTGTGTGTGTGTGTGTGTGTGTGTGTGTGTGTGTGTGTGTGTGTGTGTGTGTAAAAGACTTAGCCAACATCAGAGTGATATATTGTACCTGTTGAGCAAGACCTCGAACATTTTCTGTCCTTGCCTCTAAAACAATAAACAAATCTTATTTCTGACTGTACAGTGTAAGATTCATGCTCCAGTATTAGTGACTCATCATCACATTATTTATTTAACACCCTCTCTACCTTACAGGCCTTTGCAGCCTCCATGCCTGAGGCAGCGAACCTGTCCATCCATCAGCGTCTCTAAGCCTCCTAATAGTTGGCTCTGTTTAAATGACAGGCCTTTCATCTGCCTCTCTGCCCTCTCCAGCTACATGACTTTAATGGCCCTGACATCATGTAAGCCGCAGCAGCTGGCTGTTTGAGTACAGGAGCGAGTGTGTATGAGTCTGTGTGTGTGTGTGTGCGTAGATGGACAGGGAGTTGTTGGTACCTGCATGATGGTGTGGCTCTAATCCATGTTTGTTCTGCTCCAGCACCAAGGGAGAATGTCTCACACATATACACACATGGGGCACACCTGCAGCCTCACACACAAACACACACACATACACACATGAACTCCACCTTTGCTGTGCATCAAAAAGGAGAAGTAGATTAAACATCCTGTTTGTGCAGAAGTAGAAATTTTATCATCAGAGGCGGTGATTGTGATCTCCGCTTGAATGCTGGTCTTTGATAGTACACTGTTCTCTAGCGCAGAATTACATGCTGCAGGGTAAAAATAGCCAATTTACTGCATGAAAATAACTCGATATACTTAAAATCCCACTCCTATCATTATTTTTTACTACTTAAAGTGTCTTTAAATGGTGATTAAGTAGTTTTTACCAAAAATCGCGTTACCTGTGTCATTTTCAAGTGCTTTTCTTCTGCAGAGCTCCTGTAGCTCATTAGCAATTCGCCTCTGAGTCTTGGACAGAGACAGCGCTGCTCTGCACACTCGTCTCTATGTTAGCTTGCAGCCTAACATTGCCGGTGTAGTAGAAGTGACAGGTAACATAGGAGCTATTCAGCTCTGAGACACAAATGTCTTTGGGAACATGATGAAAGCTAATATCATAATTAGCTTTTTTTACGCGCATTACAATCCGCTTGTTTCGCGATCATCCTCTCTATTTCTCCTCTATATGCACAGTCTGGTCTGCATAGTGGGGCTCCGGGGGCGGAGCTTGGATTTGTGATGTAAGAAATCTCACTGTTTCTTAACCTGCCGTTTGGGTCTGCCAGAGATTTACAGCGATTTGAATGAAGAAATACTCAGAAATGCAATTTTGCATTTAGATTTCTCATGATATGTCCTGTAGCATCAGAAAAATGCCATATGAACATGTAGACGACAAGAAAAATATGATTTTCATCGTAGTGGGTCTTTAAATACAGACCTACAGTACTAGTTTGGAAAAACAACATACAGGTTGCAGTTGCAGTGAAGCTGTACTCTGAAATATTTAACATGCTGCTGTTTTTGCAGCTTTTTTGAGATACTAAAGTTGTGCACTTTTATCAGCCATCAGTTTAATAATTTATGGATTTCAAAAAGACACTGAAGCTCTTTCAACCTTTAAAAAACTGCTTAATTGTGGTGTGCAGTTTTTCATCTGAAGTGATTTTTGTGAGCAATGTCGACCTGAAAATACCGCTGGTGGTCACTGTTGACAGAACATGAAAAATCTGATTTCTCCAGTTAAAGTCTGACTACAGCGTCTGGCGATTGAGACACACATACCAGTCAGTCAGTAAGCTAATCTAAGGGAGAGAGGCAGACAAGAGGGGGAGACAGACCACCAACAGAGTTTTAGAGTCTATCTCAAAGTGTGTGTGGGAGAGAGGGAGCCGTTATCGCTCCACAGCTTTGATATGAGACTGAGTTTGAGCTGAAGTGGAAAGATTTGCACAGTTGGTTTCACAACTTCTCTTATCTGTGACGACTGAAGTAAGGTCTGATACTACTTTTGCTACTGCTGCTCTGTGTGTGTGTGTGTGTGTGTGCGTGTGTGTGTATGTGTATGTGTGTGAGCATGCACAGAATGGGAGAATATCAGTGTAAGCGTGTAGCCGTGTATATGTAGGATGGGAATGCATGTGTATGAGAAACATATCATAAAAGCAGTTTACATAAGTGACAGATAATGGTAAAGAAAATAACACAAACACCACCTCACAGCTGAAACCCAGAAGTCTGCAGCACAGGAACTCGTAATAATCCTTAAAGGGACACTGATAACCTTTTTTAAGCAAGTATGACTCAGGAAGTCCGACTCACAGCCAGGTGTGGGGTCAGATCTGCTTCACTGTGATGTCTGGACAGATTATCACACCAGGATGTAATCTGACCATAAAGACACTTTAAGGTCAAATCCAGCAGGAAGCTTGAATAAAGGGGATTTTTTTTCTTCATTTCTGATCCTCTTAAGCTATTTACACTAGACATTTGGGATTTTAAAATCAGAGCAGAATCAATAATCAGGAAGAAGAGACGATTCCCCATAACCCTGTGTAACAGTTTTTACTGCACACAGAAACTGAAGTGAGCAAGAGAAGAAAGAGTGAGTAAAAAATTAAGAAGTAAAGGCAAAGTAAGGGAGAAAAAGGGAAGAAAGTGGGAAGACAAGAGAAATGAAGGGAGAACGAGGGAAAAAAGAAATGAAAAAGAGGGAAGAAAGTGAGAAAAAAGAAGAAGGTAGGGAAAAAGAAGGATGAAAGAGAGAAGAAAGGGTGAATAAAGAACGAATAAGTAAAGGCAAAATAAGGGAGAAATATGGAAGAAAGAAGGGGAAAAGACGGATGAAAGAGAGAAGACAGAAGGTGAAAAGAAAGAAAGAGGGTCTAGAGAAGGGGGAAATAAAGGAGAAAGAGGGTATAAAGAAGGAAGAAAGAGAAGAAAGTAGGGAAAAGCAATAGAATGGAAGGGAAAAGAATGAGGAGAGAGAGAAGAAAGAAAGAAGGAAAAAAGGAAGAAAGAGGGGGATAGAAGGGAAAAGAAGGAAGACATAATTGATAAGAAGGACAAAAACTGGACACAAGAAGGGTAGAAGGAATAAAGATTGAAGAAATAAGCAATAAAGAAATATAAAGAAGGAAGAAAGACAAGGAATTAAGAATGGGGGGGAAAAAGAAGAAAGAAAGTATAAAAATGGAAGAAGGAAGAGATGAAGAAGGAGGGAGGCAGGGATAGAGTTGGGACAAGGTGGGGCGATAAGAACAAAGACGGTAAAGAAGGACATTTCTGCCTTGTTTTGTTGGAAGCCCTAACATCTGGAGAATCTTAAATAAGCTTTTAAACACGGTTAAACTTGTTTACAGTGTGAAGTAAAAGAGTAACAGGAGTTAATAATCTAAACATCATGACAAAAACTGTAGACAGAATACACTGTAACTGTGTTAACAGCTGTGTGGGAGTGATTTTAAAGTCAGCTATTGATGCCACCAGAGTAAGACCAAAGTGATCCGCACGCTCTTATGTATGATTTTCTCTTTCACTGGTCAAAGTCGCTCAGAATAAGAAAGGACTTTGAATACAAACGTAGCAGTGAGCTCAAGTAAAGCTGGTGCAGCAGATCATTAAATGGAGGTAAAAGGAGAAATTAAATCTGCTGGTTTCCACTGCTGCTACATACGGAGTCAGGTGTGAGTTTGGAGGCAGGCGGACCAGCATGTTTATCTGAGGCCTCTATCAGGCACAGACCAAACATTTGCCTTACCTGCTTCTCCCTCTTTCCCTCTCTTCCTCCCTGTCCCTCACTCTACCCACATAACTTTTCTTCTGAAGAGGCGGCCTGCTGCCAAACTTTGACCACTATCAAAGACAAAGACAGGGAGTGAGGGAGGACAGGGGCTTTTGAAAACTGTCTGTGTATACACACGTGCATATGGATGTGGGTGTGTGGTCTGCTTCAGACGTCTGACTTTATTTTGTTAATACTATATTAAGTTGAAGCATTTTGAAATGATCCTATTGAGAGAATATTAGATAACGATGATTGAAGGATTACATCTTCACACATGAGAAAAGTGAGTTTTCTCTTTTTTCTGCTACTTGGTTTAAGGTTTTCTAGTAGAATACAGACACAACAGGAAAGTCGGACTAACACAGGGCTCATATATGTGTGAGGTAAGTGAGAAAAAAATGACACTTTGATAATGTGCAGTGCTGGGTTACATTATAACAAGCATTATTTGACTGAATGCATTAAGGGATTAAAATATAAGACAAGTAAAATATTCTAATTATAAAATCTTTTTTTTTTGCCTCAATCCCTCAAATCCACTCATGCAAAGAAGGCAGACTAATTTTGACAATCGAGATAGTTTTCCTTTTAACCACTAGATGGCGATGCATCCTCACCAATGAGCACTTTGCAGCTGCTTAAGAATTACCTGCTGAACAGGCTTCATGTAAGATGTATAAGTGATCCTATAATTTATCATGTAAAGGTGTGGAAGAGATTTTATACACTTAAAGTTGAATAACTCAACTTTGAATAGTTTAGATTAAGAGAATTTATGAGGTAGGACGTGAATTTTACCAGAGCATTTTACTTGAACTATAAGAAACAGACTATTGAGATAACTTTATAATTTGCTAAGTTGTGCGAGTGTGACTAAGTGTGTATTTGTGATGACATAACTCCTCAGTCTGCTATCCGTTACTGTGCTCCTGTGTGTAGCTGCTCTCTTTACATTGTCCTGACAAACGCACAGCATATACTGCTTCCATGTTTACCTGCCGTGCGTCTGAAGCAGCTGCTGACTAATTGTAATGACAGTAATCCCAACCTGAAGGAAAACACACAAATGCAAACACACATTAAACACACACATTAAGCAAAGCAGAGCACCTGAATCTGGGGGACCTTCACGCTTCGCGTTTTAAAAAATTTCAGCAAATATTTGCTCGAAATGCTTAAAAGATGTTTGCTGCTTTTTTTTTCGTTTCATCTATTGTGACTTCAAACCGCTTGTACACACTGAGGTTTACTATAGAGACAAAGAGAGCAGGAGCTGGTTAAAGGCCGCTCATTGTCCGGATGTAGACATGTTGATGAATGTTCAGGCTGTACTTTCACACTCCGTCTCCCATCAGATCTCATCCAGGTGTGTTTGTGTGTGACTTTTCGCTTGACCAAGAGTTTAGATGATACACAAATCATACTTTTTTTAAGGTGATCTAAATTAGACGATGGACAGACAACCAAGGTTATAATAATTTTGGGTTTGTCATTATAGTTTAGTTTTAGTTAGTTTTGACATTGTTTTTCCATTATAGTTAGAGTGGGCATTCTAGTTTTTATTTAATTTTGATTTTTGCAACAAGGCTTAGTTTTAGTTTAGTTTTAGTTTTTTCATACCGTTTTTGTCAGGTGCAGGATTCAAAATGTCCCAGAGTAAGTATTTTGTAATACTGTTTATTTTCAAGTCCAACATAGTGCTCACTGCTCAGTCAATGCTGATACTGTACTGTTGGCTGCTGCCTTAAACACGAGAAAATGATATAAACTTAATATAAAAAATATAAACATACAGGCGGGAGGCGGAACACTGCCACCTCCTCCCAACTTTAGGCATTTCTTCCAAGTTTTTCCAACAACACAAGCTCCGTCGCAGCACAGCGCAGTAAACAAGGAAGTCCCAGTACGTCGCTATGATGGTGCCGTACGGCGCTGACAACTGCCGAAAACTGTCGTAAAATTGGTTGGGAAAATGTGTCGGATTAATTTAAATCCTAAAGGCTGATAAATATTGTCAAAAACAATAACGAAGGACATTTTGTCTGTAATTTCAGTAAGTTTCAGTTAGTTATGTGAACACGAGACACATTTTTAGTTTACTTATCGTTTTGGTTTTATTTTCTAGTTTTTATTAGTTTGAGTTAACTGCAATGTATTTTAGATTTAAGTTTGAATTTTTAGTTTCGTTTTAGTTTACTATTATAAACTTGCAGACAACAGATAAAATAATTTCTCCAGATGGATCACTGACTGCGGCTCTCATATGTCCAACATGTGCTGTTATATAGTGGACATTGACAGCGCAACAATAGAAAAAGAAAAAGGTAGCACCCAACTGTATTTTTTCCTCTTAAGATGACAGGTTAAGGCTTCAAACTGTGATGTAAAAACAATTTTTAGTAGCTAATCCTGCATTTGTCAAGCGGGGGTATGACTGCATCTTTTCTCTACGGCTCACCAAAAGTCAAAATATCAGGGTCAGATTCCATAACTGAGATTTTTGTGGAAATGCCATGGAAACTTAAGAGCTGCAGTTACAGCAAGAACCAAAAACCTTGTATTTGTTCTTGCTACTTCATATTTCCACTCTCAGTGTCACTCATATTAAATGTAATAAGAGGGATCAGAAAAAGCCCTTTGACAGTGTTGCAGACCTGGTTCACTTACCTGCTGCAGTCAGTTAGAAATATAGAAGTGCAAGTAAAATACAGTTGGTAAAAATGCATCTTGTTCTGTGCTGTGGCTATAGATATACATATCTATATTTTGCATTAAAGCAGTTAACCAATGTTTACTCCGTTTGATATAAAACAGACTTGTTCAGTCATCTCAAAAAGTACATAATCCCTTCAATGATTGATTTTGGTCACTGAACTGCACTGAACACCGTCCAATCACCAAAAAAGTTGATATTGCAAACATTTCAACTGCAGAGTAGTGTTTCAAAGCAGAATCAAGATCGGCTTATATTGACCAGTATGTGTGCACATAACAGGATTCTGACTCTGGTTGGTGTAGGTCTATGGAGCGACAAGAAATGTACAAAGGAGCTTGACATGACATAGTCCTAATCAACATGTGCGAAGTAGGGCTGGGCAATAAACCAAAAATTTACCCATACCGAAAATTTACAACAATAACCAACGTCATTTTGCCCATGTGTAGGTAGGCTATGGTCTCATGCCCCTTTAAGACGCTGTCCTATGACGGAGATGTGACTCCACCCCCATCCAGTCCGTAAGAAAGAGGGAAAAACAGGTGAGGAGATGGAGGACGATTCAAAAGTTGTAGTGGCTGGAGCGGTGGCTGGAGTAGACAAAGTTAATGTGGGAGGGGGTGAGCAGCTTGTGGAGTAGTTATCGTCCGTTTATCGTTATCGAGGTGAACTGCTCAATATATCGTGATATTAATTTGAGGCCATATTACCCAGCCCTATTGCGAAGTGAAAGTCAAGCACTTAGGGAATACTTCAAATACCATTATTCACAAATGAGTGTACGAACCTCAGTGGATGCAGGTCAGTTTTGCCTCTCTAATATGAAACTGCTGGAGATACCGGAGCAAGCTAGGCTACAGTTTTCTGCAGATGTAATTCAGCAAATTTTGGGCGGCTCTGATCCAAGCATGAATTTTTTCACTGCTTTGTTCTGCCTTTAGAGAGTTCATTTGTTTTTGCACCATGTCCAGACAGACCATATTCATATTCAAAACTGAACTCATGTTTTCCTACAGAGGATTATGGTACACTCTCACATACTTTCATAAACCATTTCCTCTGCAGTACTGTTTTCCTATCAGTCCTTTAAGTGGTTCACATCCTCTAAAGTTTATTTCACTTCTAAAAAAGTGAATGACATGTTCTGGGAGCTGGATCTGGGCCCTGTGACAGCTAACAGGAGGAAAATTAGAGGTGGTGATTAAAGATGATGGTTGTTAGGAAAGGTCTTCCTCGTACTCGGCCTGTCTTTCTCTCGTCTCTCTTTGCCTGTCTTACTCTCTCCTCGCTCTGCCTCTGCTATCAATGGGAGCTTTCACTTCGCTTTGCATGATAAATATGATGTGTGTGTGTATGTGTGTGTGTGTGTACTAGCGAGTCCAACAGTCCACTCCAATGCATGAGTGGCTTGGAGTGATGCCAGCATGTAAAACCTAGCAACAAGATTTGACTTGGCCTGCTGTGAGAGAGCGAGACAGAGCTGGCATGTGCACAGTATGGGCATATGGATCTTTGTTTGTCCGTTTTGGACCATTTAGTCATTCTGTCACTTCAACTGGACTACTTAGCGAATTGGTGCTACTTCTGGTTCTGAATTACACACACACACACACACACACACACACACACACACACACACACACACACACACACACACACACACACGTGAGCCAAGACTTGACTCTGCTGCTTTACAGTCTGTTACTGTTCACATGGCCTGAATGAAATGAAGAACCTCTTCCAAGTAATCCTTTTAACCAACATGTGTGATCCCTGGCTCTCGCTGATGTGGCCTTCAAGCTCACGGGGTTCAGGCCAAGTCAAGTCAGTTTACAGCCTCTGGGGCTTTTCCTGACCATCACTGGATCAGCTATGATGCAGGCAGCAGCCCCAGCACTGATTTCCATCCACCTCTGAGTCCAACACAATACATATTTGGTTGATTTAGAGGCTGGACTGTATTTCTCATCTGCCTCATGTGTCATGAGTCACCCTCATGAAGAACCTTTAGCCAAAATCTATAAATGAAAAAAAGGGGAACAGAGTTAACCCTAAAGGTGATGATATGAGGTGATGTCAAGGAGTTCATTAAACGGCTGTTATTATTGGACGTTATGCAATTATGGTTCCTTAACTTTTTTTTTTTTTAATTTGCACAAACATTTGAGTATATCTGACATGTGATTCAGGATCTCACATGTGCGTTTTATTATATTGCAGGTGCGATTTAACTGTTCGTTAATAAACAAAATCACTTCCTTAGTCTGAATATTGCAGACGGCAAAGTCGCTGTGCGTCAAGGATTCTGATGAGGTGTCTCCTACTCAAAACAATATCAAATGTGGCTAAGCTATAAAGTATCTCTTAGTGAGTCATACCTAACTGAAATAAAATGTTGATAATATGCTCTCTGTCCATGACACTGTCCTTCCTCTTTCACAAATGAGGTGTGCAGTGGATTATTTACATAAATGATACGAATAAAACGCAAGCACAAGATGCATATAAAACTCACATTCGAGATATTAAATCGCATGTTTGAGATAATAAGTTGCACTTGGGAGATAATAAAATGCAAGTGCGAGGTACTAAGCTGCACATGCAAATTAAAAAACATAGTTCATGTCACCTTACGGGATCTGAAGGTTCCTAATTTGATGTCGCCCAAAAGACCAATGGACAACTTTTAGGGGGTTTCCTGTGGTTGATCTTTGAAAATGATGACAATCAATGATCAGTGTAAAAGAAAAAAAAGGATGTAAATGCGAATTTATATTTTTCATTGCAAATTAGTTGATGTAACTGATGGTTGATGCTTCTTTTATTGTTTACTCATTGAAAACTCTTGTGAGGACTCTTTAGCTGGTAATGAAATCAATATTGATGCTCCTCAGTGACCTGCAAAGCAAACAAGACCATCAGCAGCAAGATTGTTATGTTAATAAAGTTATTTTTTAATGTCTCTCACTGCCGCCATGGGGTCTGTACCAGCCGGTGTGAGTAACAGCATGCGGCCAAACAACCCTTTGTTTCCATTTTCCACAGCAGAGATTCACAGTGAGAAATGCCTTTGACTGTTAAATGACAACAGAAGGAGATTGATTTTTTATTAGAAATCACATCTTACACATATAAAGGACACGATAGGACAAGAGAGAGAGGTAACATTTTAGTCCACAGGGGGCGCCAGAATCAACACGAAACCAGAAACAATGTCAATGAAGCTTTAACAGGGTCAGTGCGGGTCCCTAAAAAGTCTTAAATACATTTTTACCGATAAAAGGCCTTAAAAAGTATTAAACTGTCTTAAATTCAGAGCAGATAGGTCTTAGATGTGCTGTAGTCACTTCACCATCAGAATTTCTGGTAAGCACAGAACAAACGCTATTCTTGTCCCATCATCATTATATGGTAGCTTTACAATAACCATTACTTATAAATGGTGAAAAGACAATTTATAAATGGAAAGTGGATAGTTTATTAATGTTTATTCATCATTTATAAATAGCATACAGACCATTGTTAAATGTAAATTTTACAATTTAAAAAACCTATCCCTAACTTTACAATAACCATCTAAGTAATGTTTACAGATGGTTTAAAAAACAAATACCATTTACAAAGTGCTACTGACACATTTTAATCTCAATGTTTTATAACCAATATTTAAACCCTGTATAAACCTTTTAATAAATAGTCCATTAATAATTAATGAAAATTAGTAATCATAATTCCATTGCTTGTTAATGGTAAAATAACTTAACTTACATTAATAAACTATCTATTTACCGTTTATAAATGATGGTTATTGTGAAGTGTTACGTCAGAAGGTGAGTTATCTGCATAATCAAAAATGAGAAATGCTCTTTCATTAAAAAACACATTTGAATAATGTTCTTAAACAACTCTTTTTTTTTTTTTTCATTTTTACTTATTGTACATGTTGAACTGACATCAATGTTTTTAATTGTAAAAGAATCTATTTTCACTTTTGGTCTTTGGTCTTAAATAAGTCTTAAATATAATTTCTTCATACCTGTAGTCACCCTGTTTAATGAAAAGCATAAAAACCTAAATCAGACAGCTCCTCACACTCTTTACTCCTGAAAATTCTGCTTTTGTGGAGAAATATGGTAGAGTTGAACTTCTTCTGAAGAAAACTGTTTTTTCCCACATTACTACAAGTAATTTAAGTGTTACTGTTAATTATTAGCTTTGCACACTGACAGAGATTACAACCAGCTGTGTGTTTTATGCAGTCTACGATATATAAGAGCTTAAATTTTCATCTCCAAGAAAGTGATTTCCTCCACATCTTTGGCCCAATCCACCACTTGCTCCACGCTATTTGAAAACGCTTACTCTTCAGTGGGTGTACTCACAAAAATATTGTCAGTACATTTAAATCACTGTTGAAAAATAAACTGTTTTGTCTGAAACAACCTGGCTGTCCTGGAAAATGAAGTGGAAACAAGTTGAGAGAAGTTATCAGTTGTCATTAAGTCAACAAGGCAGCGTGTCAAACAATCCCCCAGGGTTCCTAGTCGAGCTTCAAACCCCTGCAAGAATTAAACCATTTTTTAAATTAGCCCCGTTCAGAAATACTCTAAATCTGTCATGCTCTAACGTGGTGTCACATTCCCCGAGATTACCATCATTACAGTAATTAATGCTTTAATTTCTGGGTATGTTTTGAAATGAGACCCAAAGTGCTGTGATTTTAATGTAATATGGGACTAATGTGGTGTGGAGCATTGGGTAATCTGGCTCCCGCGTGCCTTGGATCTGGTGAACGAGTTTTATCTGCTGAAAGACGGTTCAAACGCGGAGCTACAGGCAGTCAGGAGGAGTAGAGACATACACTTTGAAACCTTTTAAGGGATTTTTTTTTTCTGTTTTAAAGTGGAAAAAATATACATGAGATTTGATAATGAACTAAGTTGAAGATGATGAAAAATATAGCTTTTACACCAGAAAGATGTCACTAATTTTGAGTTTTATTTTAGTGCTCAAAGTAACGTAGATTTCATCCGGTCCGGTTTTCTGTTACTAATTTCACCTCACAGAAGCAAAATGGAAAAAAATAATAGAATAAAAGAATATGCAGATTTCATAACCTGTTATTTCTCTTTCTCTCCCAAATGAACTGACTGACCTCTGAATGAATAAAATGAATAAGCTTTCTTCTTGTCACCAACAGATGAATCGCTAACTGGGTTACAGTTTCACATAAATGACTTAATGGGCTACACGTTCTGTGAGCTCCACCTGGCCTTTCTGTGCCCTCATCCAGAGTGTCTAATACATCCAGTTCATTCAAACACTGTTAGTCATAATGAATATTGCCAGTCGAAAGGGTTCCTATTGAAATATACTATTAACAATCGAGGACAGATGAATAACCCTCTGTCTCATTCCCTGATGGAAATGTAGTCTTTTGTCTGAGGTGGTTTGGGTCTTGTTTTGGGTCTTTGTGTGGCTCTGATCTATTCCTCTCTCTGTTGTTCTGCACAATAACAACTCTGTACTACACCTATTCCCTTCAAGTCTGTCCTAATTCTCTGCGTGGTCAACAGGATGGACGGATGGGTCATCTTAGGGGACATGATAACTGATCCATTATTTCTTTCTTTTCACTATACTGAAACGTACTTAAGTTAAATTTAGACATAAAAACATATTGACAAGCATTTTGATGCTATACGTAGTGGTAAAAAGGAGACTGGAGCCTCTTTCATGCCAACTCGGCCCTCTGTAAGCATAAGGCGCTATGAATCTGAGGCTGAGCTGGTCAGAACAAGGAGTGGTTTGGCAGTGTTTTAACCTGGAAAATGGGAAAAAGCTGTGTCTGGTTAACCTTGTGAAGCACAGGTATGCAGACATAAATCTGCAAAAAAGTCCAAAAATTGGCGGTGCTAGCTCTGCTAAATTAAGCCACACTCAGCGAATCCAATTCGACATGGTTTCCCTGAAGACTCTTTGATTTCTTGTTTCATCCGTGTTTTCTAAATTGTGCCTAATTTTGTGTAATTATACAGAAACGTATTGCATTCACTTTAAAAAAGAAAGAAAGCTCTATTTTGTTTTCTGCTTTTCTGACAAATTTTTTCCCTCTGTTTTTCTGACAATTTTTTTTCAGACTCAACAAAAATCCTGTGAGAATCTTCTATTTGCATAAAACATTAACCTCCCCCTCCTAATTGGCAGGTTCTCCAGCTCCTAGATAATTTCGAAGCTGCCTGTGCAAAGTCGACAAACTAAAGACCATACCATCCATATGACTTTAAGAAAGGAGAATCTCACAGTATCTCTAACCCAAAACAAAATAAAACTGGATTAAACTAAACAAGTGGGCCATGTTTGCTTCCATCGAATAGAGCTTTTGTGAGTTTTTTGTTTTTTTAGTGATCATAATCTTAGAGAAAAGAAAAAAATAGTCCAAAAACAGAAAAAAATAATCCAAAAAACAGAAAAAAGTCCATATAACAGAAACAAAATTGTCCAAAAACGGAAAAAGGTACAAAAAAAAAAGAAAAAAATTAGTCCAAAGAACAGAAAAAATTGGTCCAAACACATAAAAAAATAGTCCAAAAATCAGAAAAAAAGTTCCAAAAAACAGAAAAAATGAGTCCAAAAAACAGACAAAAAAATTAGTCCAAAAACAGAAAAAAAATTAGTCCGAAAGCAGAAAAAAATAGTCCGAAAATACAGAAAAAAGTTCCAAAAACAGAAAAAAATTAGGCCAAAAACAGAAAAAATAGTCTGAAAAAAAAATCAGTTCCAAAAACAGAAAAAAAAATTCAGAATAACAGAAAAAGAAGATTCATCTGAAAAACAGGAAAAACCTGGTCTGGAAACGAACAAACAAACAAAAAAAATCCCGAAAACAGGAAAGAAAAAAATTTATCCAAAACCTTTTTTTTTTTTGGTTGAATGCAATATGCTTCCGTATAATTGTGTAAAATATGAATTTGGTGACATAGTTGAGAAATGCACCGACATCTCCCCTTTACAACCTGCCACACGCACAGATCCACAGACCTGTCTGTGTGCGTTGATGTGGAGACTTATATGACTCCATAAAGCCAAGGTGTGAAGTAATAACTGAAGCTGTTAACAAGGTGACACCCCCCTCTTCCTCCACTTACACAACCACACACAATCACACTCACACGGGTGCAGCAGCTGTCTGTGAAGCATCTTTTATAGAGTACATATATGTGTTTTCTCATAAGTATTGTTTACTTGAGTGGACTGGACACATGCTGAGCAAATGCTTGTTTGAGCCGTTGAATGTGTCCTTGTGTGTGTGTGTGTGTGTGTGTCTGCCTGTGTAATAAACAACTGTTTACACCCATCAGGAATTTCCTGTGCTTAACTAGGGCTGTCAAACCCTGTGTGTTGTTTTGTGTGGATTTGTCTACATGTGTGTTGCTGCTGTGCTAAAGGCGGCGATGGTGGGGTTCCAGTCTAGTAGCTCTGCACTACAGAGCAAACTTTGTATTAATAGCTGCGAGATGCCAAACAAGAACAGCGGGCCTGTTGTTTTATGTGTGTAGTAAATGTGTTTTTTTAATGGATAGACAGAACTCCATGTTGAAAGCCATGAGTTTTTCTTATTTATGGTAGTTTTTTTTTTCTCTGCATGTGTTTGTTTTGTCTTCAGATTGCTGGTTTTTCAAGGAGTCACATGAAACTATATCTGTGTATGTTTTTTCTAAAACCCCGACACCCCCTGTTAGAACTGTGTTATGTCAGTGCACTGGAGTGGATAATGAAGATGAGGGTGGTGTTTACGCTGATGGTACTCGTCAGCTGTTGCCGATCAAAAACTTGTAGGAGTTGAATTGTTCTGACCTACAGGTGCTGGTTATATTCTGAAGATGTTAGATAGTGAACACACCCCATAAGAAGCACAAAGCCTGCTCATATACGATCCCTGACAGGTTCTTTCTATGTCATGGAACTGTACTGCAGTGTGGTAGATATGCAGCCATAAACATTTCATTATTTTTCTGGTAAATTAATCCCATTCAGATGATTCAGGACATGGTAATCTTTTGTTGTTTTCATTTTTTTATTGTTTACGGCGAAGCGAGCTGGGTGAAGGGCGGGCTGTTTCTGCTGAGGAATTTGTGGCTTCAGCGGGAGGTGTGTGTGTGTGTGCTGATTTTAAACCATCCCCCTGCTTAGTACCCTTGGATGACACAGCTCAGTGAAGCATCTCGCTCATTATCATCACACACACACACTCGTACACATAGACTAACAGCTACTGTGTGCTTTACCGTCTCCCATGAGAAAAAAACCTCTGTGCAAACAAGCAGTGTAACCTCTCCGACCCCTCCGACCAGCTGGTGGCTCAGTCATCAGAAACAACTGTCATGAAAACAAGTGTTGATTTCTCCTGCACTTCATCGAGCACTAACTTATTGATACCACCACATACAATAAGTGGCTAATGGTAGCTAAATAATAATGTGGCTGTTTCCACCTTTCAGACATGTTTATTCTACTATTATGGTTAACACGTGGTCTTTGGTAGCTGTCAGTTTTCAGTGTCTAGACTTGACAGTAACAGTGTTTGAACTGATTGAAATACTGTTGCTTAAACTTGGCTCCTCTTCATGTTTCTATTTTTGATGTGGATGTCAGGTGATGTTAGGGCGGGGCGATATGGCCTCAAATCAATATCACGATATATTGAGCAGTTCACCTCGATAACCATAAATGGGCAATAACTACTCCACAAGCTGCTCATTCCCTCCCACATTAACTTCGTCTACTTCAGCTGCTCCAACTTTTGAACTGTCCTCCATCTTCTCACCTGTCTTTCCCTCTTTGTTACGGACTGGATGAGGTGGAGTCACGTCTCCGACATAGGACAGCGTCTTAAAGGGACATGAGACCATAGCCTACCTACACACATCCAAAACCAACTTTAATTTATTTTTTGTGACTGAATATATTGACATGGGCAAAATGACGTCGGTTATTATTGTAAATTTTCGGTTTATCGCCCAGCCCTAGATGATGTAAATGTGTCTCAATCTAAATAAACTGACCATTAACAAGCCTGTGCCGCAGTCAAATGCGCTCTCTAGGCCTCAGTTATGGTCATCTGACTAATAATGTAGGACAACACTGATGCTTAATTGATACTTACTTTTCAAAAGGAAATGGGTTTTAGATTTCTCACTGGAAAAATCTGGCAAAAAAACTGATGAGTAGCTGCCAAAAAGTTATGCAATGATAGTCTTAAGGTATTTTGTAAAGCACACAATAGAAAACAACAAAAACTAGGGCTGTTGTATTTATGTGTGTATGAAGTATAGAGCAGCATGAAACTACCTCTCAAAAATTCTGGACTGTAAAAAAATGTACTCTCCAGTGCTGAAAAACTTTTCTAATCCATATAAACAGACATTTGCTCTGTATTGAGAAATAATGGCAACCCATGAGCCAATCAGAAACAAGAATTACCAACCTATAAAGTATTAGACTCAAAACATCCGCCTTAAACACTTCTGGTGGAAGACGCCTCAGTTTTTTTAAAAATTTTTGAGGTATTTTGTGGTTTACAGGAGCCCGTAGGCATTTTAAAGACGGAGAATAAACTCTGTTGGGCTGTCGAGAGAAAGTGGTAGTTTCTTTGTGAGGAAAATTGCCAAAAACTGTCATTGTTAAAGAGCTCACTTTGGGTCATCACAACAGTCTCTTTTTTCTCTTTTTTTTTCTAAATTCTCACCCATTCCCGCATGCATAAGAACACACTTGCATGCACATGCACACACACATACACACACACTCACTCGCTGGTACAGACCTGATTAATGGTACCTAATTAGCAATGGTAATGACCAGGTGTCTGAGAACCAGCCAGCTTCTTCCAGCACGAGGGGCCAAGAGGGGGGTGTTCCCGGGGCTCCCGGTTCCCAGAAAATTTTTCCTCACTAACTGTCACTCCCTCACCCCTTGTCTCATTCTCCTTCTGAAGAGAAACACACACTCATATGCACACACACACAAACACACACACACACACACACACACACACACAACCAAAGGCCAAGATCAATTAAGGATTTGGGCAACTAGGATGGGAACTGAGTTGGACCGTGCTGATGGTGGGGGAAGGAAAGAATTGTTGGTGTCCGTGTGTATGTGTGGGTTTCGGGGTGGCGAGGTGGAAGCGTAATCATGGAGGGAACTTTCCGGGATTTCATTTTTTCGTTACGTCAGTAAAAAATGTCCTTGCGGATAAATCTTAAATCCTTGCAGCAACGTTTTATCATTGAGCTAAATCGATTTCAATACAATCCAGACAATAACTGTATCATCATGTTGTTCCAAAATATTCATAAATGCTGTAAAAAAGAATTTGGCGAGCTGGCAAAAAAATGGGAATCTTTATAAAATATAAGTATTAACTAGGGACAAATTTGACTGACATATAACTGACAAATTTTCTGGCTGACTAAACCAAAATTGAAATTCTGACTGTCAAGCCCATTACAGACTGCAGCTACCATTAGTAGAGCTAGCAACACCAGCTGGACAACCCTGTGTGGTTCAGACTTAATATGATCAGTTCAGACACACTAACAGCAAAGATATTACAACAAGTCACAAAAAGTTGCAACTAGCTTTTACTGTTTCTTGATGCGTTTTTTAACCATTATAATCACGAGAAAGATGCCTGTCTGTTTGTGTCATCTTCATCCTGCAATACTCTGAGTGTGTTAGTGAGGGGAGGTGGGGCAGAAACAAAAGTGTTCTTAAATGGAAGCAGGAATGTGAAAAACAAGAACCTGCATAGTTGAGAGTGATTTTTAAAGAGAGTGATGTATCAAACATTATTGATTTAGCCCTCGTTTGTTAGATAAGGATTTTTTGTGGCTTAGGAAGAAGTAGAAAAATGATATCAATATCGCTGTCTTGCATGTTCAAAAAATAAAAATGATAATAATCTTAAGGGCATCATGAACAAACTAGTGATTGAACACAGTAGTTTCCAAAGTCTGCAGTTCAATTCAGTTCATGTCTTTTCTTAAATTCCTCTCAGTCCTAAACTTTCTTCGCTTAAAAACACTCAGAAGTTTCAATAAACAAATACACACAGGCAAGTTAACTAGGCACACACACACACATACACACACACACATTTGTGGACAGACACACACACCTTCACACTGAAAGACCTCCTGCTGTGTAGGATTTGGTGATAACCAGTGTTAGGTAGACAGGTGAGAGGGTCAGATGGCAGCAGTGGGAAAAGCTGTTATCAACCAACCCTGTTCCCACACACACACACACACACACACACACACACACACACACACACACACACACACGCGTTTATCACCCTTTCCCGTTCCCACACACTCACCTTACATCATTACCTGGCTGCAGGAGCTGATCAGCCAATAGCAGCTCGTGGTTGCAGTCAGGTGACCAGATCAGGAAACTTTAGCAGGGGGATGTAGTTACACTCACCCCTGCTCTGATAACAGCTCTGTGTCTATCCCACTCACCCCCCTCTCTCTCTCTCTCTTCCCTTTTCCCTGCTCTGCAATTTACAGATCCAGTTTCACCTTTGCTTTCATGCTAAGCTGTCGGATCCCAAAGCTGGGTGAATCTGTGTTTGTGTTTGTGTTTGTGTGTGTGTTCAAGTGTGTGTTTGCGGTTCTCAGGTTAAACACTTTGACAGGTTGGAACGACCCGCTCGTTTTACTAAACTAACAGGTGAAACTTTTCCAATGCAGAAAACTGTTGCGTGTTCATCAATCTCTGTAAGACGGTCTGCAGAGATTGCAAAGTTTTTGTTGAAAAACAGTTCAATGTCATGTGCCACTTGGAACAATAAGGCAAGAAAATTTTTTAACATATGAAGGTAAAAAGAGGCTCTAACAGGAAATTAAAAGGAAAGAGGAGGGGTTTAGAGTGTGACCTTTACTTCAGGTTAAAGCTTAAAAACTGTCTTCATTTTCAGAGACGCATTCAAGAGACGCTTTTTTTCTCTTCTTACTTAATTAATTTGTCTGACTGTGCCAGGTCTCAGCGATAATTTCATTTTACAGACATCCACTCTTTGTTCTAAAGAAACACAGAGACCACCTTTGGGCTCATCTGTTGACTGAGCACAGTGACTGTGTGGCTGCCTTATTCTCCTCGCAATGTGATTTTTTTTTGGCATAGCATTTGTTAAATTTCCTCAAGTGTCGACAGGATGGAAGATGTAAATATTAGGATTATCAAGAGAAGAGATTTGATTTTTTTTTAATCTAGTGTGAGAAAGTTTAAAGGTTTCCAGCAGCCGAGGACCAGTTAGCACTAGAGGGAGACAGAGAATGAGACTAAGAGGGGACCGGCCTTAAGCCTTGATTACATAGAAGATAATTGTATATTATAGATATAAAATGTGACACAGTGCTGGATTTAAGTACACCTGCATTATCAGTTCAAATTCAATGCTCAAAAGTCACCAGTTTGTGCACAGATATTAATATTTCACATCTTAGGCTCTACATATTATAAAATTTTTCCAATTTTTTTGGAGCTGATAACCCCCATCCATTCAAGAGTATTCATGATCCATGTGAATCGCCTCTTTACTGTAAATTTGAGTTAATTTTGGCGCCCCCTGTGGACAAAACAGTCTCTGCTCATTTAGTCCCCTTAATGCTGAAGAAAGGACTGTCAGACTTGGGAGTATTTCATGTGGAAATTATGAAAGCAGGTTCAGGCTGTAAAAATAATTGTAGTCAGTTTTGTTTCTGATTGTTTCGTTAGATTTTGGATATCATGAAAAAGCAGGACCCTATTTGCACAAACCCAACAAGAGACATGGAATACAATGCAGCTCAATACTGGAGTCTTTGAGTATGAGGCGAAAAGCGTTAAAATTGTCACTGGAGTCACAAGCAGGTTGTAGAGAGACTTAATCGGGCCCAGATTCGGCCAGTCGCACATCCCTGATGATGGCTGACAACGGGGGATGCTGCTGCTGCTGCTCGCTCCCTCTCGGCATCGCAGGTAAACTCAATAACGTGGAATTTTATCGACATTTCAGTATTATCCTGATATCATATCACCTGGTAATGATGCACATGCCGTTTTTTAATGCCTTTTGCTTGTACCCAAGGACTGGAGTTCGTATGCATAGAAATCAGATTCATATTAGTGACTGCTTGAAGCCGTAGCTTTTAGATTCATACTTGCATAAAAACACTTATGACTCATATAGAAAATAATTTTTTGAAATACAAAGCTTTTATTTATGCACAAAGTTTTCAAACACGGATAAAAAGTGTCAAAGTTAAGCATGCAGACTTTTGACAGTGATGGTACTCCATTGACTTTTAGATCTTCCTACTATTTTTGAAGAAGCACACATTTAATTGTAAAAATATACAAACAACCATTTATTGAGCTGCATTTCAAATGGAAAAAAAAAGTTTTTTATGGATAAAAATAGGATTATGTCTTGGAAAAGATGACGGTTTCAAAAGCCTCTTTAGCTACTTTACAATCACAAACTCACTGAGAAACAATCTTTGATGCGCACACAGCCCAACAAAACATTTGTGAAAAGATAAGTGCTGTTATAAGTAAATGAAATGAACCAATCAATAGACAGGCAGAAATTAAATGTCTCTGCTGTAAAATAAGAAACAATCTCAAACATAAAAGTCATTTATTATTGGTATTTTAACATTTTTATTGAGTTTATTCAATCAGGAACACTCATCATCAATGTTTTAGCAGTATGTGTCAGTGTAATATGCCTTTATTAGCACAGTAGCCTAATTTCCCCAATGCAGGTACTTCCCTTAAATAAAATGAAATAATACTGAACTATCACTAATTTTGGCACTTCTAAAACTTTTTCAGCCTACATTAAAAAGGGAAAGGAGTGTTGGAGAGAGAGCATAGATAAGTTCAGTCAAGTTAGGGGAGTATTCAAACATTAGCAAACAAACAAAAAACATAATTTGGTTAAATTTTGATTCAATCCAAAGTCTCTGTCCTGATCCTAACATCTGTAACCTAATCTCAATCCATATCCAGGTTTCTCAGGTCCTCAGAGGTGCAGGCTGCGGTGCTGAGAGATTAGTCAGACAGGTGAAGGTTATGGTTCAGTGCTGTGATCTGCTGACAGTGAGTGACAAGACCTCTCTCCTGTCTCCTTATGTGTAACAAGAACCTCTGTACCTGAGCCTAGACCTGACCTGTGTGACCTCTGACCCTACCTGCCAGGTCATTCTCATGCCACCCTGACCCTGCTATGAAACTAGAGAGCACCACGGGAGGGAGGAAGCAGGACAGCATCAAACGGGAGTGACGAATGTGTTATTATCATTCTTATCAAAAATTAAAGTCTCAGTGTCAAAAAAAAACATTTGCTGTTTACAAATTCAGACTTTTTGTCATGAAAGTGTAGAAACAAACTTTTTAAGCACTTTTTAATAAGAACTTCACAACAATATTCAATATACCAGAAACTTGTCCCTGAATATTTAAGGTTTTTTTTTAATCTGTTTTATACACTTTTACACTGTCAATCAGGAAATTGGATGCTGTTTTTTGCCATTTGGAAGCCAAATAAATAAAATAATACATAAAAAAAAACCTTGACAATAATAAACTTAAAATTATACCTCTCTGTTCATGCCTTGGATAAATACTGAATGCTACAGATAATCATAAGATTAAGGCCCCGTTTATACGTACCCGGTTATTTTTAAAAACAGAGACATTAACCATTGTTTGCACGGTGCACCCTTTGTTCAGATGCAATTGGAGAATTCATCCCTAAAAACGATGCTTTTTTAAAACTCTGGAAAACTCTGTTTGCATGTAAACAGAGAAAAGCGGAGGTAATGCTCATATGCTGGTGCAATCCGTTTATATATATTTGCATTTGCATCTTTTCCAAAAGAAGGAAATGACGTTGTTGTTACCATAGACATAATACATGTAGACGCCTCAAAGCCTAACGCTGCCTACTGGTGCTCACGTATCAGCGCGGCCGCCATCTTGGATGGGTACCCCATGCGCCTCCAGTGCATTAAGGTAGGTAGGAATGCCCAACCATATTAATCATAACTCTCCAAATCTCTGCCCGATTTTCTCACTGTTTGGTTTGTTATAATGGCAAGGATGTAGCTATAATACAGGACAATGTCGCACATTAAAAATAAACCAAATTATTTTTCAATCTTATGTGTGAAATGTCATCCTATGTGATCTAGTTTCAATACTGCCTCCATGGAGTGCAAAAAAAAATGGGCATAGTTACTCGTTCTCCATTGACCCCAGTGTGGGGAGACCCATCCAATATGGCGGTGACGGTGGATTACACTCCAGCACGTAATGAGGCGTCTACGTGTATAATGTCTATGGTTGTTACTGCTATGCTGGATTCTGATTGGCTAACATGGGCTTCTTGCTACACTGCCACCTACAGGTTTGGCACACTCTTGACGGCATATACACACAAGTTAGTATAAATGAAACCTTTTCTGAAAATGTAGTGGTGTCGGAACGGAGAGGGTGAAATGTCCGTTTATGAAAATAGCCGGGCATATGTAAACATAGTCTTAAAACCCCACAAAATCCTGACAGGGTCATTATCTTTAAATTGGAGGGACTAGAAGTGGTTGAGCTTTCATGCTGTGTTGAGAGGACAGGACAATGGACAGAGAGTAGAAATATGGGGTGAGAGAAAGAGAGAGGACCATGGGTTGGACTCAAACAAGGCTGCCAACAGACGTCACATGGAGTTCCCTGATTCAACTAGGAGGCCAAACTGGTGCCCCAAACTTTCATTTAGGAACCAGAGTTAAAGTTACAATGTGCTTCTTTTATGTGAGAGAAGGAGTTTACAAATCACACAAACAGCTCGATTCTAAACTGACAGAAAACATCCGCACTTGGACAAGATGCAAACTGCATACTTAGAGCATCAGGGTAGAAGGTTACATTGAAAACCTTCCTGTGCGATGCAACAGCACCAACCATTGACCCTGTCCTGCATCACAATATTACAATCTCATAAAATTGACTGGCCAGAGGAGCAGATGTGCACTGTGTCGTCTGCCGGCTTGACATCCATCTGTGGACAGTTTGGTGTTGAGAACTGGTTTATCCACAAGTTTATGTGTAAGAGACAGTTATTATCATTTCTCTTCTGCATGTAAGGCACAACACTTGACTTAATTGACTACCAAGACCTCCGCATTGGCAAAAACATTCCAGACGATGAAGGTCTCCTATCCCAGGTGTTTTTCTAAGTAGCTGCATGGCACTGAATGTACATTGTCACCTTGAGGCGCACTGAAGCAGCCCTGGAGGATGGAGGATCTGCATCTTGGAATTGTAGGAGGCCCAAGGTCACCTGTGAGAGCTGTCGAATCTGTCCTTGTATGTGTGTGTGTGTGTGTGTGTGTGTGTGTGTGGGAGGGAGAAAGTAGTGTCTGTCAAGGCTCCTCTCTGCCTGTCCCTGCAGCTTAATTAAAAATGACAGAGGGTTTTCTTCCTTGTCATTCGTGAGCATTTCGATTTGACATACTTATTGTCTGGAGTCTTATTCTCTCTATAACTAAATGTTTCACATCACCAAACTTCAACACCAAAATGTTGAATCAGGTCCAAGCAAATCTGGGTAATGTGACTCTAAACCAGATTAAAATTGAGAACACATAGAGCACTGTCCAGTCTCACTTTGTCCTGGGATTTAATCCCATCCCACAGGGTCCTAAAGTGGGACAGGAATAAGATGAGACGATCGCTGATATTACAAAGCTCTAAGATCTTTCTTTTGATTTTCCTGGCAGGACTCATGAGCTTCCAGAAAAAGTGATCTTTTATTGTTTTTCCCTGTGTCCTTCTAGTGGTCAGCTTTATTCTTTTTCATTCTCCTGGGGTTGGGTGGAGGATACCTCCTCTCTTCTCTGGTCCTCCATTGAAAAAAACGCAAGACTTTCCCTCCTTGTACCTCCAAACTGAGGTCTCTGCGTGATGGAACAGTCCCCCTGTGTAGCGTTTATGTCAAGATCTGCAAATTGAAAGTCTTGGTTTTGGTTTGGGTTTAGATGAAGCAACCCAAAAATAAAGTTATAAAAACAACATCAAACATAAGCGGTGTGAAGAAACATAAAACCGCGCTTCCAGTGAGATAATAAACATGGCTTGTTAGCTAAAAAACGTTTCTCAATATGCCAGTTTGATTCAGCACTCTTTTAAGAGCGGTATTATTCTCAAGGTTCATTTCAAGGAATTTCCATACTTTTCCATACCCTACTTGGTAGAATTATTTTTTTGAAATACCTACTTTTCTATTGTAGAAAACAGTATCTTAGAATTGTGGTAATAGTCTGCAAACATAGATATTTTTCCATACTTTATTTTTCATTTTCCATACTTGCGTAGGAACCCTGTAATCTCACGTTTAGGCTTTATATTGTCCTTCTTGTACAAAATTTACAATCCCAGAAAGTTATTATCCCTGGTTGGTGTCTTTGTTACCTTCATTTCAGCCTGGTTCGCTCGTTTTTAGTTACTGTCTCCTTACGTCTTGCCATGCCACTCCACAACCCAGGATTTCAGAAGCCTCCTCCACTGTTGCCATGCTAGAATGTTGCTGTCATTGAGCTAACCGGTGATTCTCTGTTTAGAGTAAAATAGGGTCTAAATCTGATCCAAAAAGTTCTTCAAGAGACAAAAAAAATAAACAAATAGGGTTAGTCGTTAGTCGAGTAAATTTGTGTGGTTGTGTTTGGCTCCATCAGATCACGACTCCTCTTGTTTGTATCATGTTAACCTGGCTGTTGTGTTGTTGTTGTGTTGTGTTGTTGTTGTTCTTAGCAGCTTCTATGGATGAAAGTAAGAATGTCCAGGAGTGAATTAGGACTGTTTGTTTAATTTAAATCAGATGTTTCTCTTTTGTTTGTGTGTATTTCAGATTGAATCATTGCTGTAGCCGTTATAAGAACTTCCCTCTGGGCGTTGTGTTTTGTCCTTGTGCCCCTGGGCTTTCTGTCCCACTGACCTCGGAGAAACAACAACTTGATATTAACATGACTGCTTCCGCTTTCTCCCTCTTTCCCTCCTTCTCTCTCTCTCTCTCTCTCTCTCTCTCGTACCTGGTTTCTGTGCTGGTGCAGTCCTGCTTTTGTCTCTCTGTAACTAATATGACACATAAAAGGCCTTTGACAATAGGACTGGTGCTAACTGCGAATCAGGCTTCACCTGATACTGAGGCTTTACTCAGGAGCCTCAGGGTGTGTACGCGCTGCGTGGGAGGAGGCAGGAAGAAGGAGGAGGCGGCGGCGGAGGAGGAGAAAACCGCAGCTTATTTATCTTTTTCATGTGGTTTTCTCTCTTTTTAAGAAGCTATCAGGCTTCCTCTTCAGCAGTTGTGTGATTGTTATTCTCTTCAGGTGGAGCTTTTGTCCGTCAGGAGGAAGAGTTTAATACTCAGACCCCTGGGATTAATAATAGGTTTGACCTCGCTGATAAACCCGTGTGTGTGCGTCGTTGGACTCTGTGTGTGTAAAAGTGTTTGTGCGCGTCTCTTCTCCTCTTTAGGTTGATAGTGTGTGTAATAAGTTGTTTTACAGATAATACCAATTGTCTTTGAATGTAGCAGTGCTGTGATAAGCTGCCAAACACGATCAGGCTGCGTGACTCTAATTGTTCTGCTTGACTCGTCCTGCTACACATTAATATTATCATTAAGCTTTGATATTGTTAAGTGGGCACCCTGTAGGCTCGGGGTAAAACAGATAGTGCTTTATGTTCGTCAAATAAGTAGCTACAATAACCCTCGTGGTTCAGCTTTCAGTCCACAGATTAAAAAAGGTGGAGGTCAGGAAAGGTAAGAAAGAGGTCTGAAACATAAAAAACATTTAGATTTGTGTTTAAAAATGAAAAAATAATGTGATTTAAAGATATTACACAAACTGAACTCAGCACAACATAAAAACTGGACCCCAATGTGCTTGAAATCAATGACAGAATAAGAGAGGGTCCAGAGGAGCCTAAACAAAATGTCTAAAATGTTCATGTCAAACAATGTTTCGTATCTGTCTAAATGACGATAGAAATAGTTAAAGAAACAGTTAAAGTGCCCACTGCTTTTTCTTTCTTTTTTTTTCCGTAGTTCTTTATCTTACTTGTTTTTTGTACCTAGTATGAATGTGTATGTTGTGTGTACTGCTGCTGTTAACAACTTAATTTCCCCATTGAGGGATGAATAAAGGAAAATCTAATCTAATGTAATCTAATCTAACAAGCATGCAAGGCCAATAGATGGTAATAATATGCTACCAACTGTAAACAGCTTTCTTCAAGCTGTGGATTAAGTATTCAGTTAAAAACTATTTAACATTTTGTGGTTAAATGTTTAACAACAAGGTTCCTTGTTAACATACAGTCATACCTAACAGCACTGAGCAGACGTAAACAGACAGTAGCTCATCGTCTTGGAACATGTGCAAGACAAATAAACCAGAGAGGTCAGTATTTCCTGAAACTTTTGTGCTGAAGATAGATTAATTGATTGGTCGGGCACAATGATGTCATTTGGAATTGATCGGTCGATATCCGGGCTAACGAGGACTTATGTCTGCAGACACTGCAGGCAGCCTCGTCAGTGAAGCTGCTGACCAGCAATGTCCACATCTCTGTAAATGACAGTAGATCAAATCTAACAGCTACTGACAAGTGATTTGTATGCTGTTATGATGTATACAGTAACAGAGTTTCAAATGCCTCTGGTATAAATATTTCATGTGTTTCTCTTTCACTCTGTTAATTCAGAATCTGTCGGAAACATGTTTCTGGATAAGATCGCCAAAGACAATCGAGTCGCTTGTATTATGCGTGGAATAATGGCTTTTATTGTCATTCTATCGTTTGATTGTATAAAATGCAGAAAAAAACCCTGATTGGTCGAGCACTATAGTGGTGTGATTGGTTGGTTGGTTTCTGTCTTTTTGTTATTTTTGGGCTTTTTCGTACATTTATTTTCAAGGATAAGAAAGTAGATAAAGCAGGAAATTGGAAACTGCTATCATTAAGACGCTGTATATAAATGTTATACTTCTGATGAAACGAGTCGGCGTAGGCGATGGTCTGTTCCAGCAAACTTTCCTTCAGGAGGCAGATCGGTAAACCAAAAGTCAGAGTTGACTTATTTACTTAATGTTCTTATCCTGCATCAACTATTTAACATAACTCTGCTTTAGAGAGACATCACAACATCCTAAACTGCTGTGATGAAAGTCGGCCCTTCTTTTAAAGTTGGAGGGATCACAAGTCAGTCATGCTTCCAGAAATATTTTGGGCATTCGTTTTCCCGCTGCTTACAGACTCACACGGACATGTCTGACAAGTAACCAAATAAAGTTTTGTTGGTGTTTGTCAGGACTCTAACCTTCGGGGAAACGTTAATGAGGTGCCAAGAAATAAGTCATGGTGTTTCAAGTGCGTGCGCACACGCTTGTGTGTTTAGTTGACACTGAGGTGGAGCGCTGAATCCTGTCCAACAGTGATAAGGCTTTTGATGACAGGGCTGCATTAACCTACCTGACACACACTCACAAACACACACATGTAGCGTGGTTAGGGAGGGACAGGGGTGTGTGAGAACACGCTTTAAGAAGCCTCAGCTCTCTGTGTGTGACACTAAATCCCATTCACGGCAACAAACACACTGACAGAGAGACAGGAGTGAGATGAAGGCGGTTTATTACACATGAACATGACATAGAAGAGGAGGAGGGAGGAGACCCTGAATTACTAAGACACGCACTCTTGGTTGTCATCTCCTTACCGAGAAGCGGGAGAGAGGAGGGGAGAGCTTGTAGTGGATGATACTGTGATAGCAGCTGGAGTGTGTCCCTCAACTGGGTCAGAAACAGTACAACCTGGTCTTTGCATCGAACATGAAAGTGGATTTAACGTAAACTGTAATTAATTATTTGATGTGGCTGTCCCAATAGACTAGAGTGGAGCTAGTCTGAGGTGGGGTACAAAACCAGCTCATAATCCTGCATGGCAGCAACTTTAAATCTCTTCAGAGGAATGGCTGTCTCTAACTTTACACCATGTTTCCAGCAGTAAGAGGCCCAGTGTAAGAAACTGGTCTTATTCATTCCTCCCAGTTGAGAGTTTTACCTTTGATACTGTGTTCTTGAGCTCTGAATTTAAGGGTGTTCATTTTTTACATCAAAGTCTAGTCATCACATTTTGCAAACGAAAACCACAATAAAACCGGTGATGATCAAGTACACATAATTTAACCCCCACTGTGCAAACATAGCCGACAAATTAATGCTTTTGATTGATTATTTAATTAAAAAAATTGGAAATTGAAATTAGAGGCAGTTTTAAGTTACTCATGATGATCCATGAATTTGAAATTCTTCTACAACCCAAATTGTACAAAGTCTCCAACTGATAAAAAATGGTGTTCCTCAGGGATCAAAAACGGGTCTCAGGTTGTAAAATAATAAAGTTTTGTTCTTAATCTCTGAAAAAAAAGTCAAGTGCTTAATGAGGTTATGATAATAAGATATGCCTAATTCTGACTCTGACCATCATTCTCCATATGGTGCAGTAATGAAAGCCCTCCTCACCCTCAATCCTATATGGTCTGCAGCCAGACGTGCCTCAGGGTTTCTGCCCCTGTGTGTGTTTATGTGTGAGTGGGTGTGGACAAGCAATTACCTGTCTCATTTTCCCCTCATGACAAAGCTGAAGGCGAAAAACAATTTCAGGGTTTTCTTCTCAGTTTTATTTACTTAAAAAAAATCATTGATTATTTTAAATAACTGTAAGAGACTGTAAACGACAAGACACAATCCAGAAAGGAGAAGACTCAAAGCACCTCAGAAGTGATATAAAGTGGTTTTTTGTGGTTTAAATCAACATTATTTTCATAAAACTGGTACACTCTGTCCTTTAAAGTGTTGTTTTCATGTGTGATTGTTGCTCTCCAGCTGTATGCTGCTCAGAGACAGACTGACAGGCAGCTGTAAGAGGCGACAGTTGTCAAACAAGCACCAGAAAAACTCCCTTCATGCATAATTCAGCTGTAACGGTCTGAGCTGTCATCAGGACATGCAGGTATCCCATCGTTAGTCAACATAACTGTCTGTAATATTATCACTCTGATCATGTGTTACACAGCCATCTGCTCTGAACATGCGTGCGTTCAAGACACCTGCTTTCAAAAAGAGGCACGTCAGTGTGAATTTTCACGTTAAGAATCTGACCAGGGGAAAATTTCTGTGAGGGATGATCTCAAACAGGCAGAGTTAGACCACACGTTATAAACAGGATTACACACAGATCAGGGACGCTTCATGACCTCCTGAAAAATAGACCAGACTCTTTTTCTTCCTGCCCTCTTTAGTGTGTTTCATCATGTCCAACCAGTGTCCATATTAACGGACGGACAGATCATGTTGTCTTACTTTGACATTACACCTGAAGAAATACACGAGCAGGTTGGAAACTAATCCAGTGATGCCAAAAAGATCTGACAAAACAAGAATGACCCAGAAAGAGAGAGAGGGAACAGAGTCTTCTGACCTGAAATCAGAAGGGCGTCATGGTGGGCAACTGAATAAGAAATGGAAAAGCCGACATGGAGGGTTTCAGGCGGAGAGGGGTTTTCTTTCAGCCGCTGCTTCATGATATGTCGTGTTGTCATGTTGTACTCTGTTACAGAGATGAGCAGAAGTCAAGATACTCTTAAAGAGTCATACATGAGAGAAAAGTTTTTTTTTATATTATATTTAAAAATGTACGTAATGTAAGTGGAAGAACACAATAAGCTGTGGTTCAAGACCAACACAATAGAAATGATCATTTGTTTTTGCTAAACCTGCATCTTTATTTCTTTTTTTTTGGCGATTTTTGCCTTTATGGATTGGACAGTGTGGAAATATGGGGAGATAGAGAGGGAGGACATGCACCACATGGTCGGGGCCAGACTCGAAGCTGTGCCCGCTACTGGGATCGTGGTCCCCACATACATGGGGCATGCTTACCAGCTCGGCCATCTGCGCGCCCCTAAACCTGCATTTTTAACAGCTATGCCTTCACTCCAGGCATTTGCATCACAAACAGTAAAGATATAAAAATAAAGAGAGGAGAAAACTGTAGAGAGAGACTGAGAAAAAAGAGGGATAACAGAAGAGGAGAGAGGCCAAGGTGGCCAAGAAACGCCACTGCTGCAAATAAAAAAGAGTGCAAGAAAAGGAGTCTCAACGAAAGTTACTGATACAAAAAAAAAGTAACCGAAGCCTGCTGCAAATAAAAAAAAGAAACGATGCAGATAAAAAAAAAAAGAAAGGCACAACGGAAGTTAATGACACAAAAAAAAAGTGATAATGGAAAAAAAAAAGTTACTGCGAAAATAAAAGGATGCAAATAAAAAAAGGCCACAACGGAACTGAAGCTAACACTACACCGGCATCCTTCAGTTCAACTTCATATCGACTCAGGTGCTTCATGGTCGAACCAAATGACACATTGAAAAGTTTACGAAGCAAAATTAAACAATAACCTTTCCACTAACTTCTTTGCTCGTCTTCTCGCCGCCATCTTCTGTGCTTGGATCGTAAAACACCAGTGAGTCATCATTACTGGTCCCCAGCAGCTCACTTCAGTTGTGGCTTTTTTTTTTTTTTGCATCCTTTTTATTTTCACAGTAAGTAACTTTTTTTTTGCGTCACCTCTTTTTTTTGCTTCGTCAACTTCCGTTGTGGCTTTTTTAAAATCTGCACTGTTGTCTTTTATTTGCAGCTGGCTTCATTTTTTTGTTTTTTTTCATCGATAACTTCCGTTCTTACTTTTTTTTTTTTGCATTCTTTTTTATTTGCAGCAGTGGTGGTTCTTGGCCACCGTAGTGAAATCATGGAAAGAAAAAAAAAGAAAAAAAGATGCAACAGAGCAAGAATAACAAACAGAGCAGCAGACCATCCTTCATCTACCAGACAGAGGCCTGAGACCACCAGAGACCTCTCTAGAGACTTACTAGTACACACACACACACACACACACACACACACACACACACACACACACAACACACACACTCATTTCGAGGGTACCTGGGCTAAAGGCTGAGGGCCTCACCTACCTGCTTGGCACACAGACACCTGAAACTGCTTCAAAGGTGAGGTGAACCCCTCCCCCCTTCCTCTGCCTACACACACACACACACACACACACTGAAGCCTTAGGCTCATAATGCTGTTCCCTGTGTGACAAAAGTGTGACTGTCACTCCGGGTCAGAGGAATGAGTATAAATTGGGTTTGCCCCCTCAGAAGAACTTGATAAAAGCTTTCACATTTCTATATATTGTCATAATTCTTTATCCTTTACATTCACAAACCACCCTTAAATGTTAATTACTGTCTATGATCAATCTTTGAGGGTGATAATGCTCAAGTATTGATTACTCGTATAGAGAAACTTCAGTATGGATACGGTTTGCTGCCACTAACAAAAGGTGTGTGATGAAGTAGCTCCTTCCTGTAACAACACACATCATATTTTTACTTTAAAAGACACCAAACAAGTTTCTCTGTTAATCAGTTGTGATAGCAACAACAGGCAAACAAACAGAGCCAGCTGCAGAAACCTCAAACAGCATCCAAGCCAGACTGTGACAACGCTAAACAGCGCGTTTGATTTATGTGAGATCTTTTGGAAGTGCAGTAGCAGGGAAACGTAACCACATCAACCGTGTGCCAACAGCGTCTAAACACACAGGAAGTCATCGACTATCCTTCAGATTTATTGCTCTTCCTCTGCGTCATACGATCTGTCAATTTCAGGAAGCAGTTCAGCCCCTCTCTGCTGTTCTTCCCCTCGCTCTCTTTGTGCCAATTCTTTGATGTCAATTTGACAAGCGGGATTAGACCAAAACGCACTTCCCACCGCTGGTTTTAATGAGACTATCATTCCTTAAGCAGAAACTGGATCTATATTTGGTGTCTAAAAGGCTTGTGTGCTATGTTAGTGCCACTTATGTTATAAGACTGTCAGACAGGCAGAGAGGAAGAGAGGGAGGATAAGTGGTAGCAGTGTCCTGTAATAATAGTTAGTTGTAATTGTGTTAATCCTGCTGGAGCTTTGGTGGCTGTTATGATTTATAGCACGGATTAAAATACATGCCAAGGCTAATTGATCCCAGGAATCCATAGCAGTTTCATCCTATAGGGACCTGAGAGGGAGCTAGCACATTAAATACATGGTTTCAAGTACAAAGACATGAGCAGAAATGTATGTAGATACCTCAATACTACACCCGTTTGTGCTTGTTGGACATCTCGTCAATGAATTTAACTCCTCTGGATGAAACTTCGACTAGATCTTACAGTCTGATTGATTACACCTGTTGGCTCTTAATGAAGGACAGTAAAGTCTGGCTCTCAGTCAGTCAATTCTGTGACAGGAGGTTTTAAACTATTCCTTCAAAACTCAAGTAACAGAATGAAATGAAACTAATATTCTCCCTCTTTTAAAGGGATATTCCGGCGTAAAATTTACCGCAGAACCAAGTTAGACACCCCTGTCGAGAGATGAATGTTGTCAACCGTTTGCTTCTCAAGTTCTACCAACTTTAGTAACGACCGCAGGATAGCGATACACAGCAGTCTGAGGAGCCGTAAACAAACCTCAACCAAAACACCACTCTATAGCCACAAATAATGCTCAGAACTTCACCTAACAGCAGCTCAAGGAAGAACATTTATGATCCTTTCTTCATGGAAATGCAATCAGACCGAGACGCTGAGGCAGAAGAACTACCGCGTCTGCAGCGCAAAATGATTAATATGATGATTATTACTTAAAGGAAATGATAAAGAAATGATAAGTGTTCTTCCTTGAGCTGCGTCACCCCGCTGTAGTCTGTATTGAACTGGCCTGAGGTCTCGCTACAAACAAGCGGCTGCTGGAAGAGAGTAGGTAAGTTGTGTTTAGTCTCTTTGCCAAAGGAATTAGGCAAAGCTAAAAAGATGTTTGGTGGCTAGTGCTGTGGCTGGGACCCTATATGTACTGTTGATGAAGTTAGGTGCTGTTCTGAGCATTATTTGTGGCTATAGAGTGGCGTTTTGGTTGAGGTTTGTTTATGGCTCTTCAGACTGCTGTGTATTGCTATCGTGCGGTTGTTGCTAAAGTTGGTAAAACTAGAGAAGCAAGAGGTCGGCAACATTCATCTTTTGAGGGGGTGACTAACTTGGTTTTACGGTGTGTTTACCCTGAACCAGAAAGTCATACTGTGCACCCTGTATGCAGAGGCTCTATAATTAGTGTTATTCCTTACACTTACATCCTAGTTTCCTGCTCTATCTATATCTACCTTCACTGAAATTCACTGAAATCCCTCAAAATATTCTAAAAATGAAAACACTCAGAAATGACTCAGATGTTCATACTGAATTTTATTAAAAAGTAATTGGCAAAGACCACTGTATCAAAGAAGTTGAACCTATGTGTAAGATGCAGTCTGTTGTCCCTGTGTAATGACTTCCATTGAGGTCAGCAATGTGCAGTTTCCATGCAGACGTGATGCTCTTTCTATTTCCATCTGTTGTTACCACCTACAGTATACGTATGAGTTCAGTTGATAGTTGTAAGACACGGACAGATCCATCACACATGATCAGTTTGTTGCTTCCCTCTCCTGCAGGTTAGTTATGGTTTTAAATTAAAGACTCTGTTCAATCAAACAAGCGCACTACAAAGTTTGTTAACTTAACAGTTTACCACAGTTTTCTATAAATGCTGATAAAAGTGGGCCAGACTGTTTGACTGGTCTGCCTCAGACAGTCTGGTTAAAAAAGAAGTAAAAAAGGCTTTTGTTCTGGTAGGTTGGGAAGTCTGTCAAAGTGAAAGCGTGTAAAGCATGAAATAGTTAACTCCACGCAGAGATCTCTCTCAGTCAGTCGCTGTACCTGCTGTGATCTATGTCTCTCTGCCTCAGGGGAAACACAATCATCAGTCAGTGGATCCACCCATCCATCCCTCCGTCGTGCCTGGGAGGCCCTCGGGCCACTCCTAACCCCACAACGCTGCACCCTCCCTGGGCTGAAACTTGGCCACGCTCCCCCTCTCCCCTCCCTGGAGCCTGCGTGGAGCCACCGGCTTCGACTCGTCTTACAGGGCGTCAATTCAGCCTGAAATCAAACCCTGGTGAGAGAACACAGGCCTGGATGGACAGACAGATAGATAGATGGACAGACAGAGAGGTAGATACGTGGGGAGCAGGTTAACAGACGCATCCAGGCCAGGCTGAGAGAAAAAGAAGACGTCCACAGGGACAAGAGGAAATGAATAGAGGCTGGAAGTGTGTCATTTTCCTGCGGGAGGTGGGGAATGTAATTTTACAACCCAACTAAACTTGATCAAACCTGAATCCATCTAGACTCGGAACAAACACCCCAAATCAGATGTGAAACAGGGCGGTGAGGAGGGGAGAGAGTGGAACAGGAGACTCTTCTATTTACCACCTGTTGTTTTAGTGAAAAACACACACACACACACACACCCTCACACACACAAAAGCGGTTCTATGGAAAGTCAAGCTTAATGAAGACTTCTCTGGAACAGCAGTGGTAGTAAAAACCTCACCCTTTTCTGAATGTGAGCCAATAATGTTATCAAAAAGACTGTGATGTTTTCTAGTGACGCTTTGGCAATAAATCAATATACCGTGTCATATTTATGTCAACATACTCCAAAGAGGGAATACAGTCATCTTGTTAGCCTCTCGCTAATTTGTTTTGCCGGCTGATAATGAAAGTAATGAGTTGAAAGAGGGCGTATCGACACCTACTGTATCAAAAGCAGACGTGCGTCTGTCAATAATTAGATTTTTGTTCAGTGCATGTAAACTGGGACAAGAACTGTCCACTTAAATTGGTTAACTACCGTAATCAATACTTTCTTGAACTTGCAAAACACCAAAGTAAATAGTTTCTTGAGCTATCTAGCATTATTTATAGAAACTTATTATAGCGACTTAACCATCATGATTTTCTATAAAGCTTTTTATGCCATAATTTACCATTACGTGGGTAAGCTATGGCAGAGTCTTGACTGAAACTTTGATTGATCTGAACATGTGCAGAGAAGTAGAATTTTTTTTTAATTAAGTGTTTATGAAAAAATAAATAAGCCACACACTTTTTTTTTTTCTTTTTTGGAGTTTTGCAATTTTGCAGCAAGAAAGACATGTTGGCTAGGGTGACCATACATCCTCTTTAACCCAAACATGTCCTCTGTTTTGGGGGGCTGTCCAGCCTGTCAGGCCTTGTCCGGGAGAGTTGCTAAAATCTTTAAATGTCGGGGGTTTCGTATGGAATTTTTGAGTTTGTGTCGCGTGGACTTACTGAGTTAAAAGCGTGTAAAAACACTTGACCCGACCTGAAAAACTCTCAAAGTTTACTATGTGCAACTCCGTGACTCCGCCCCTGTGTAGACATGTCCTGTTTTTGGGGATTCAGAATATGGTCACCCTAAGTTTGGCAGTAAGCCGAATATTATAGCTCACTTGTAGACCAGCCTCAATTGGCCACTTGTGGTAATGCGGTTTTTTAGCATTTGAGAATTGTCTCTGTTTCTTAATCCCCACAGGCTCCTGCTTCTGTTGGCTCATATTTATTTCGGTTCTCCTTTAATTTGTTACTTGTTTTTATGTAATCAGGTTTACACACAGAATAGCAAGGCTCATTCAGTCAGATCCAGGTGCTTTTATCATAGTAAGATGATATACACAGGCACATTGTTCTGCAGACGATCAAAAGAACCAACAAGAATACGATGTTCTCTGGAAGAAAAACTTTAACACCAAAGTACACGAATAGACATCCTGCTACATGTCGTCAATTACATACAATTATGCCGGCAGATAGTTTGAGGCTACCCTCAACACACTTTGTCATCCAGCTGCACACAGATGAGAACAGATTGAAAGTATTGTAAGTGTTATGCTCATAAAATAAACCACAGAGTGCAGGTGTAATGTTGAAATGACTTCAAACATTTGAAACTAACTGTGTCAGAGCGAATTTTTACTCCATTTAGGGCAGGAAACAAATCCTCGAGAGATTTTACAATCACGCATTTTGGAGTATTTTGAGGTTTGGACTTGTGTTATAGAGGGAATAGTTAGTCATCTACTTTTGCAAACGTGTCATCCAGATATGCATTCATATTCAGAGGAGCTAATGCTGTAATTTGGAAAAACTGTGTCTGTGTCTCACTTATGGACACAAACTCTTCTTTTGAAACAATTTCCCAGCAGTAAAAGCACGAAAAAAAGCTGAGTCATGATTGAAAAACTACAAGAAACTCCCAGAATTAAACTTTCTGTGTACTTTACCTATAGTATATATGTGTACACTTTTTCCTTCAACATCTCCTCTCTTCTCTTCTGTTCCCCTTCTCTTCTCTTCTCTTCTCCTTCTATCCTCTCTCCATTTCAAGGATTCATCCACGAGTTAACACGGAGGGAAATAAACTTTGAAGCTGTGCGACCTCCAGGCATGAAGTAAAATGAGAGAGAGGGGGGAAAAACAGCAAGAAATGCAGGTAGATGAAGAGGGAGTGAGGGGGAGACTTGTTACTGAATGTTTCCGTGCAACTATCAAGTGAATTTTACGCGAACTTTTGAGAAGTCCCAGAAAGTAAAATTTGAATTAGACGTGCCTCCATCAGTCGAAGTTGAAGTTGACGAGGGAAAACCAGTGATGTAGAATTAGAAAAACTGTTGGAAGTTGCCAAAAGTTTATCTTTTAAAGCACTAAACAAGTTGTCTGTCCCTCTATCTCAAGCTTTAGCTGAAATCTTCGGGCTCTCGGCAGCAGTATTGGGTTTCCTGACATTAGCGGCCCCCGTGGCGGCTCTGAGGCTGCTGCTCTTTGAAGCTTGGATGCTGCTGCTCCGGCTCATTTGGTAACAGGTTGGGAATGGGCCGCTGGCGAAAAATGAGACCCAGGTCGCCTTGGAAACAGGTCCCCCACCCACCTTCACAACCTGGTTTGGAGGGTATGTGCAGTGACATTTAGCTGGTTTTCTCACCAACGACACATGGAGGGTTAACAAGTATAAAGACTGAACTGAGAGAGAAACTTTGCTCTAATTATGGCGACTACTTTGCTTGTTTTTCTCCACTAGTTTAAACTTAAATTTGAATGAACATATCTTTAATTAGTTAGGATTTATCGCTTAAGAATAAGACGTGGAGAACTGTTCCTCTGTAAGTTTGAATGTACCTTTACGCAAAGTACAGAAGTGAAAGCCAAGGAACAACTTCTTGTTCTGACCGGTAGTTCAGAAACCTGCTTTGGTGCAATTTGTACTGTAGTAATGAGTTTGTCTCCTCGGTGATACCTGGTCATTACTGTGTCATGGCCGGGAAGTAAAAAAAGGGCTAAATGTTACAGAGCGTTTAACGTGACAGACCTCCGATAACTGACCTGCCAGCAGCAGCAGAGATCAGTTTACTGCAGCTGTGAGCCTGCAGGCACAACAGCATCCTGGGAAATGTAGTAAACACCAATTCTATGGACAACACAGGACAGCAATCTTAATAGCAAGATAACCTCAGTTATTTACAAATATATTATCTATATATTCTATTATACATTATATTCATTGTTATTATCACAGAGGTTACATTTGATTGTTTTAAACTCAAAACAACATAATAATTGATAAACTACAGGTTAAAGATCCTGTCAGGAACTTTATGTTGGCGCCCCCTGTGGACAAAGCAGACTTTCCTATCCTGTCACCTATACACTCAGTATGTTCTGACAAAGAAAAGAATCTCAGTCTGCTGACTTTTGATGCCAAATTTATCATTTATGGTGAAAATTTTATGAGGAAATCATGAACACAGGGCTTTTTTTTTCCTGAAGTTGGGCTAACACCTGCCCCTTCACATTGTTTTCAGGCATTTAAATGACAATATTAAAATCATCACTCATGTTGCTGATGGTCTTGTTTGGGAAAAAAAGCATCAATATGAATTTCATTTTAGGTGATCAATGTCAAAAAACTCCTCACTGGAGCTTTAATATACTTTTTACTGTATTGACTGAATACAAAAATAAAATAAGTGCTTCAATTCAATGTGAGATTTATTTAAAGATTTATTTAAAATGCAACACTCTGTAATTCAAGACAATTAAAACACATTTTTTTATAAAGTTTTTTAAAAACACACTTTGATTCAGTGGGTTTTTGAAATAAACTTCTTGTTAGTGTATCTGTAAAACTGAGATTTAATGTCCAAAATGAGTTTTTGTAAATCAATCTTGTCTGGGGAGGTTGTTTCACAATCAGTTTGTCTCAAATTTACCCAGTGTTACTTTTTATGTCATGCATGAACTTTATTTTTGCTTCAGCCTCCAGTAACTCCGAAAAACAAAGGTGATACTATGGAGAGTTGGATTGATCGATGATCTTTCTGTACTTTGGTCAGGGCTTTGGTTGCACTGCCCAGACTACAGCAAACTCAATACTTCCCCTGTTTGGTGGTAAAATGAAGATCTTGTGCAGTCTAAGCAGTTAATTACAGCCATAAGTAATTATCAGCAGACTGTATCATTCAGATGGGTATAACTGTACGCAGGTGCTGCTGGGCATAATCAAACACATTTTTTTTTCTTTTACTGCAAACAGCGTTTCTTGCAGTAATCAAGCTGAGAGCTACCTAATGCTAAGTAGTTTATATTTCAGCCTATATGCCCTGCATCTCTCTTTATCATTCATTTTCTGCTCTCTTCCTCTTGTTTTACCTCCTCCCTGTACATCTCTCCCTCTCTGTCTCTCTCTGTGCTGCTGATTAAGAACACAACCTGTTGTTGTCGCCACTCTTTCTTGATTACCTGCTGCTATTTTTTATCCCTTCATCTTCCTCCTCCTCCTCATCTCCATCTCTTTTTGGCCTAGCTGCTCGCTCAACCACACAGTGCACCTATGTGTGTGTGTTTGTTGGTCGTGTGTGTGTGTGTGTGTGTGTGTGTGGCAGTGCGTGGCGGCCTAACGAGTTTGATAGCTGTCACCTGATCTTGGTGATGAGGGTTGCTGTAGTAGCGAGAGGAGCAGGAGCGAGAGGAGAGTTAGGTTTCTCCGCTGTAATTAGTTTTCCCAGCCTCTAATTATACCAGGCGGAATTACAAGCCTGATTGACTGTCATTTAAGCATTTTAATTCACAGAATTACCCTTTTTTCTCTTTAAAAAAGAGCCAAAGTTGTTGTTTTGACAGGCGGGCGTGTTGGGATGGATTCGGCTGAGTGCAGACCATACCCATACATACTGTCAGCCTCTCCAGAGGTAAACACAGACTAACGACACATTGTACAGTACGATACAGTAAGTTAAATGAAATAAAATAATCGCTTAAATACTCTGATGGACTGACAGTGGATTTATGACAGTCAAAAATTTAACTCATGATGATTTTTCTTCACAAAAACTTGAACAAATCCAAGAGTCTCCAGAAAAAAACAACCTCACACACGAGATTGAACTCTCCTCGTCGCCTCTCCTCTTAACCCAGGAAGCTGTGTTGTTTTAACCCTCATCTTTAATTCATCCCGACCGAGCAGCCTGCACTCAGAGCAGATTAGAGAAGCTGAGAGGAGACGCACGGACTCGTTTAGTTTCCCTTCTGTTCATAATCTTGTTTTTCTCTTTCCTCTTTGTCCTGAGAGGTCTCAATAACCCTCCGGACACTAGGTGCTAAACTTCTGTCTTTTGTTTGCTAACACTGTTTGTACCGGGAGTTTTAGGATCCTGAATTATGTAAATATAAGGTTACAATCTCAAACATACACACTCTCTTCCAACAGTGTTTTTTAGAGGTTAGATTTGACCTTTTTGTACACTGTATTGGCCACAAAATAGGAAGGTTTTTAGACGTTTCCTCAGTTCCCTTTCAAGTCCAACTCTGAGAAAAAGACATTTTGAAGACTAAGACTTTTCTTTTTAAAGGAGAAAATTGAATCTCAAATTTAATGTCTATTGTTAGCAGTTGCCTCTTTCCACAAGTTTACAACGTTTAAGGATTTTTGATTTAGCGTCGTGGACATAAATCTTTCTCTCAAACCCTTATAGACAACCTTCTTGTTACTCCTGCATGAGTCAGTGCCTGATTCCCTTCTTCTCAGCCTAGTCATCTTCAGACATTTAAACCCTGTGACATAATTTTTCCAGGCTTCTGACTGTAATTTAATGTCTCTACTGCACGCACTAATGAGAGTTGTCTTAAAAAAGTTATCATAACTCCACCTCCATTATCGGTTTACTCGCACCAATCTAGAGCGACTTTTTCACATCGTCTCTTCAGCTTTTTCACTCCCCTGATATCGTCGTGGTGAGTCACAGCTGGCCTCAGTCACAAGGAGTACACTCTGTACTGATGAGTGGTCCTGTCTGCTGCACAGAATATAGACTTATAATTACTAACCCTAAATACAGGATGATAACACTTTTTCTTTTAGATATGTTTGAGTAAAAAAACTTTTTTTGGTTCAGTACAGTAGTTTACTACCTAACATCAGCATCAGACCAAGTAGTTTTTTGATAATGATTACCTTAAACGGCACCAACCCTGTCGTCTCTCTCTCCTTCTTGACTTTGTTGTTATTCTTGGATTTTAAGTATTTGGAGTCAAACCATTGAGGGTTCTCTGAGTCTACAGCTTAACTATATAAAGAAAACAATTAAAGGATGAAGATTAAGGTCAAAATTTCGGGTTGAAGTCGAAGTCGAAGAGATTAAAAAATTGAAATTATGTCAAAGGGGATATTTCGAGATTAAAAATCAAAATTATGTCAATAAAGTCGAAATGTCCTGAATATGTTGAAATTTTGAAATTGTAAAAATGTTGAATTGTCATGAATAATGTCAAAATTTCGAGATTAAAGTCAACGTGAATGAAGTTGAAATTTTGTGAATTAAATCGAAATTTCGAGATTAAAGCCAAAATTACGAGATTGAAGTTGACGCAAATACTGACAAAATTTCATTACTAAAGTCGTAATGTTGAGATTAATGATAATTAATCAATAGCATTGTTGCTCGTCACTCATCAACATGTCCTCTGTAGAGCGTTTTATAAAGCTGTACTTTACGACAGAGTATTAGGGCCTCATTAAGAAGAAAAATATTTAAGACTTTGTAAATACTTACGAGAATAAAGTTATAACAAAATAACGATTTCATTACGACTTTATTCTCGTAAATAATGATTTAATTACGACTTTATTGTCATAAGTAATTATGAAGTCTTAAATGTTTTTTGTTCTTAATGTGGCCCCCTAATACTTCGTCGTAAGAATTGGATTTAGAAGCGAGGAAATCTTTGCTCTTTTAGCTCACAGACACAGTGTGGTCTAAAGTATTCAGACTCTGAAAATACTTTTGCTGAAGATGACGACTCTACAGAAGAAAAAAACAGACAAACTTGGAGGACTTTAAATTTGAAATTTTGATTTTTTTCATTTCGACTTTTTTAAATTTCGAATTTAATCTCAAATTGGAAATGAAAAAAATCTCCCTCCTGTTATTATTTTTTTTCTCTTCTTGTGGCCCTCATCCTCTTCCGTAGATCTAGCATTAGAAAGTTTGAGCTTTTTACTTTCTGTGACAAATGAATTCATACTCACATCATGGAAAACTCCTGGTGGCATATTGGATATCTTACCTTTAAAGGGCAGAGGTTTCCACCAGTCAGTCATGTGATGTGATTGCCCATCAGTGCCTCTGCTCTGTGAAGCTTGATGAAGCAGGAATATTGGCTAATAGACTTTGTTCCTACGTTGAACATTTGATACCGACTAAAACAAACACACACACACACGCGCAGACAGACGCGCTCACCTGTAACTCAACACTGTTCCTCATATCAGGTGTGATTCCCGTCAACACACTGCTGTAGTGAGGAATGAGTCAGCTCGCTGTTTCTCTGCCTGTGTGTCCTCACAGAACATTTGGATCAGATATGACAGCAACAAAGAAACGGCTCGTGAACACAGAAGAGAAATTTGCAGTTATTTGTCATATTTGAGCAGAAAATTTGATGACTTTTTGTCCCTCTCCTCCTCCTCTCCAAGTCTTTACGAAAAAAAAAGCAAATGTTGCTCTGAAGGTGCACTTTAGTGGAGTGTTGCATCAATTATAAGCTTTAATCTTCTTTATTTTTCATCTTTTTTGTGTTTGAACTCAGTAAGTACTCTTTCAAGATAATGGTTTTTATTTCAGCAGACACTGAGTGTGAGTGTGTGTGTTTGTGTGTGTTTGCGTGTGTGTGTCTTTAGCCTTTCCCCATGCTGCTGTAGTGACCTGAGAACTCACTGATCTCATTAACAATCCGTCTGACTGAACTGAGCGCGCTCTGTAGAGCTCTTGCCCCCTTTCTCTTTCCTTTCGCCTTATTGTCTTTTGTTTCTATCTCTCCTTCCTCTGTTGTTCCTTTGTTTTCTCTTCCCCCCGGTCTATTTCTGTCCTCACCATCCTGTCTTTCTTCTGTCTCCACTTCTGTTCATTTTGTTGTCTCGCTCTCTGTCTGTCCCCTATCTCTTTCTCAGTCTGTCTCTCATTGGCTCTCCCTGCAGACTTCTGCCTCTGATAGAGCAGCAGCCCCTCAACCGATTAACTCTGCAATCCCTTAATAACAATCTCATTCCCTCTCTTCCCCCTCTCCCTCCCTCCCTCTGTTTCTCTCTGAAGCCCTCCCAGTTCATTTGACCACTTTATTCCAACCTCCCATTCATGGGGCTCAGATCACACAAGGGGCTGTAATGACAGCACATTTATTAATTAATTGCATGTGTAATTGCTAAAATTAAGTTTTGGAAAGTTGGTAATGATGTGAGGAATTACAGGGATGGAAGGAGGGGACGAGCTTTGAAGACAAGCCTCCTCAAGTTCTTTTGGGAGGATGGAGGATGGGGGAGGCGCGGATGGATGGATAGAAAGGGAAAGATAGAGAAAGAAAGGAGGAGAGGGAGGGGCGGTAGAGGAGTAATCCAGGAGGAGAGGCGCACTGTAGGGCTGATCAGAGCTCAGAGTTTTGTCTCCAGGCTAATCTTCTCTTCTGAAGTGGTGTCATGGCCGTCACTCCGCTCTTCCCGTCAGTCTGTCGGTCTGTCCGTCGCGCGGCGGCAAATTCCCCCATTGATTCAGACTGGGCCACTTTAATTAACTTCCTCCCTGAGATAATGGCTAGCTCAGAGGAATCTGCTCGCCGCGAAAAAACTCTGAGAAAAACTTTTCCCCACGTCTCTGGGACAGCTAAGGCGGCCCCTTAATTTCTTTCTTTTTATTGTTGAGACTTTGTCCGAAAAATGAGATTTGAACATGAGGAGCGAATTGTTTATTGTCTGGGGTATTCGGGAGCAGATGTGGGTTCTGGGTCTCTCTGTGCTGAGACGATAGGAACAGATTCCATTATGTGTTGAGTGTGTAATTTCACTGGATGGGCGCTCGGATGGGAAAAACGTCCTTGGAGGGACAAATGGTTTATCAGACACGTGAACTGTTGAGGAGGGGAGTGAGAGGGAGATGGAGAAAAAATGGAGAGTGGAAGAAAAGAGGTGTCAATAGAGCAGTTTATACTCAGACATATGGTCATACTTCTCAAAGAGGTAAATTGGTGTAAAACAGACTCCATATGGTACTTTACCCTGTTGGCGTTTAATTCGGCTAAAGTCGCCACTTACCTTGTCACAATTTTCACCGCAGAAGAAGACACAAGCAGCAAAAACAAAACCGGAGCCATCGACTTGTTGCATGAAGTCTGTTCAGTTGCTTTACCTTTTCTTGGACCGTCTTTCGCGCTTAGAAAATGTCATTCATGTAATTTGTATTTAAGTGTATATAAGGGTGCAGACATTGGCTGCTGACATTGAAACAGCGATTCCCTACAAGTCCACCTGGTTCCTTCTGTGGAAAAGATGCATTTCTCGCATATATCCTGATACTCATGACAGTGTGATGCTGAAACACCAAAGGATTTACTATCTTCTTGTTTGTGAAACTTAGCTACTGAAGTTCAATTCATCTAAATGCTCCACAGCGCTCATTTAAACAACTAACAACAGGTTAGAATAGCTATTAGCCACGACTTTATTGTCGTAAGTAATGATTTTATTATGACTTTATTCTTGTAAGAAATTATTTTACTATGACTTTATTCTCGTAATTCTTTTCTTGATGTGGCCCGAATGCTTTGTCATAGAAAATGAGCTCTCAGTAGTACCCAGAGTTTATTGTTGTGCTTAGAAATCACAAAAGAGGTGAAACGAAGGTGTAGCAGCTGATAGCTAGCTAGCTGTAGCCGCCCTCTGAGAGACGATTAGGAGCTTCAAAAACTAATCAGTTGAACATTTTTACTTTTTGGTCCCTTTTCCGTTTGTAGTTTGATCTGTTTTGTAACTTGAATCAAACAGAAATAGCTTATACTTCAAAATGAAAGCAAAATTAAAGAGCAAGAGCAAGGCAGGAAATTGTCAAAATAAAAACATGACAATGGTTTGATGAGTCAGTGTCTGTTCTAGAGAAGCTTCAGTCACACAGCTGGTGATGTTGATAAATCAGAAATTTGGACTTCATAAGAAATGGAATGGAAAGTTAATTATGTTCTTAAGTTAAGTTTTTGGAGTAGAAACACGTGTCTTCACCTCTAACCTGCTTTTGGTCAATGTTACCGATGGTGTTGTTTTATCGTAAGTTTACAAGAAAAATCTTGAAATTAGGGCTGCAACTGATGACCATTGTAATATTCGACGAGTCACCGACTATTGAAACGGTTAGTCGACTAATCCGATAATTACGTGCCTTCTCCTCAAACGTTCGTGCATCACCGGCGTGCTGCCATGATACGCAAGGTCTGCTATGTAAACCTTGCAAGTTGTTTTTTTTTCTTTTCCCCTTATCCAGGCTAAAGCGCTCACAGACTTTGCAGGTTTTTAAGCGCATACTCGCAGCTGCTGTATGGGACGCTGCGCCGCCGTGTTTGAATGCTCTGTCGCTTGGCAGAGACGTTATTGCGCATGTGTGACTCTAGGCAGAGATCGTAATGAAGTAAGATGCAGTGGATGCAGTCCACTGGAAAAAACACGTCTGGCGACAAGAGTCGACAGTGGAATTCATTGTTGACTTTTTTCTTTATCGATTTTTGTCGACGTTGACTGATCGTTGCAGCCCTGGTGTACTGTGACCTGTTGAGACTATTTACGCTTTCTATCTTCTCCATATCATAGTCTTTCTCGAGGATACACAGCAGCACCTGAAATACATCACCTGTGTCGCCCATATCAACTTAAAAGTAACGTTTACATGTCTGTTTATTTCTTGTGAGTAACATCAAATGAATGTGAACTTTCAAGTCCCTGCAGTGTTCGGACAGGTGCATGGTGAGGCGCAGGTGCTGAGGCCTCAAAGAAGTCATATTTTAACAAATGTTTGGTTTGGAAATAAGCATTTTTAATTGGCATCTTTATAAACTCAGAGCACAATGTTGAATGATTTACTCACTGATAGTAGTCACATGATGCACACCCCAACAAGTGAGTAAGGAGAGTAGTACCACTTCCTTTTCCCACTTGAAGCTCTCGGCTGAAATGGAAGCAGAAGAGACGGCACACCGTTTTTAGCAGAACTGGATCTGCTGCTGTCAGGGTTATTAGTTTAGACAAAAAAACACAAACCCTCAGTGCTTTCTCTCTCAATCTTCACTAATTATCTTCATCAGCACTCAGTATGAAGCGTTTAGCGGTGACTTTACTGCACTTTTCACCGTGTCTACATACCTGTAATTAGCACCTATTATCATTCAAACTGTCTGTTTTTAGTCAGTGATGTTTTCCTCACAAAGAAGAGATCAGTTTTATATGACGCTGAGATCTTACAGTCTTGTTTGGAAGGCTTCCTTCCTGCAGATTAGGTTCAACTGAACTGCATGTAAATGTCTTAGTTGGAGGATTTTAGCACTTTTACTGATGAAGGGAGTTTTGTGTCAGTTTCCCCCTCACCGTGACACAGCTGACTCTGAATGAAGAGTCAGAAAGTGAAGTTAAATGGTGTCAACGTGATCTGATTCCCAGGATTTTCTGAGCTTAATTTTCACTTTAAACTGTCTTGTATTGTCCTCTTACTCTGCCAATTTATCTTTACACTTCACTGTGAGGCAGGACACACACTACAAGATAATTGTGTCGACTTTAGGCCCCGTTTTTGACAAAAGTCAGCAAAGGCTCAATTATTGGATGATTCTAAAGATTATCTCTCCAGATTATCCTGTGGTGTGAGGTGTGTTAAAAATGATTTTTCTTCCCTCTGCTCTTTGCAGACGATGATCAGAGCCGCCCTGACTTAGAAATCCCAGATACACTTAATATCTACGATCAAAAATCCTTATGTGTGGGAGATCCCTGAGGATGACCCACATGAACTCTGTCTATTGTAACAGACGAAACAGAAGCAAATTGGGAGGCAAGCTGACTGAAGGAGGAAGCACAACAGATGTAACCATGGCAACAATAATAAACGTGAAGCATAAACCTTACTGTCTCCACTTACCACGTGCGAATAAAATCATTCGCGCGAATGAATTACATGTAAAGTCAATGCAAAGATGCGATTAGGCGCTCAAACTACTCTGGTGACGCAGATGACGCAAATTGGGTGGGAGCTGAAAATGTCTCGACTTGAGCAGATAGTCGCGTCATGATAACCAATCAGCACAGGGATTGCCAGATGACGTATCTAAAACAGATGACAAACTGATTGTGTTGGTTGATTGTGCCGAAACTGGAATAAAAAGGAGCTCACTTGAAGGCAAGTGAGTGAGGAGGTTGGGTTACCTGGTAAAATGTAAAAAACCTTTGACTTTAGCGTGATCCCTTCAGTTGAATTGGCAGGGATTACCGCTGAAATTACCGTTGACACGCAAATTAAGCGAGTAGATGATTTTACTTGCGCTTGGTGAGAGCGCCCCATTATTGGTGGATGGCAGAAATAGAGAACCTGCCTGATGATACGTGGTGCCAACACAAGAGCTTACTTGTGTTCAGAAAAATTGTGAACACCGAAATGAAAAAGAGAGGTCTTCACAGAGCTGTCCGAGAAAAATTTTGAGTGCAATGGAGGTACAAAGAAGCTAAACAGCTGTAAATGATTAGCTCCTGAGGTCCGAGAAAACCCTCAGAAACAAAAATGAACGATGTCAGAAGAACTGAAGATCGGGCATGACATCAGCCCAACAAACACAACAAGGATCATCTAAAATTGCCTTTTTTTCACATGTGAGATTAGATGACATGTTATAGACCGGATACTGTATAGTGAGCCGGTTCTTCGAGTGAAGGAGCCCCTCCAGACCTTTATCCTTTTATCTGGAGATCCTGCTCACCCTAATGTGGTTCTGAACTGCCAAAACAACCTGCTCACCATACACAGCACTGTGTTTAACACAGAGAGCCTATATGGGACTAACAGCACAGTTGACTGTGTCACACATACCGTCAGAGTTATGAACAGACCGCCTCATTTTGTTATTTTAAAGTAGTTATCTTTTGAATATGAAGTTAACCGTTAATATTCATCTCATTGGGTTTTTTTTCTGTGGCCATGAAGTGACCTTTGAGTCCGACGGATCTGTTTGAGGTTAATGATTGAAGCTCAGTGTCATTTTACCAGTGAGAGCAGGTCTGAAAGGTCCGCAGATCCAGAACAACCCAACATCTCCTCATCTCCTCCACCTGTCTGAGAGGCACAAAGAGGGGGCAGCTAATCCGTGTTGGTGTAGAGGCAGGGGGTGGACGGGGAGGGAGGAGGTAAACCCAGCCAGCCAGCCAGCCACTCCGATGTGAGGGCTTGTGATAGCGGAGACACTTGATCACATTTATCTGCAGTTTACACCTTCCCGTCTTGATCTCTGAGCTATACAGAGGATCACCTTTCCTGCTCAAAGAAAGAAAGAAAGCAAGCAAGCGAGGGCTGGGGGCTGGAGGTGGAGGGGTGGATGGATGGATGGATGGAAGGAGAGAAAAGAGGCCAGGGCACTCTGTGTGAATGCTGGTTGGATTGTAAAGCGAGCTAAGCGATGACAGCTAAATGCGCTAATTTTCTGCTGGGACTCTGGCTTTGTCTCACAGGGAGGGCTCAGCCACGGGGCTGTGACTCAGAGGAGAGACTCATAGACTTTTTAAGATCTCAATGATCCATTTGAAGGTTCTTCAACTTAAAATTGAAGCCGAGTATATCATAAGAAGAAAAAACCCAGAGAAGATCCAGCCACATCAACTGATAGAGAAAAGAAGCAAGTGACTGTTTTTATGTATTCAATCATTCCACACATCTGCATCGAGTTTCATTATTCTGACGGTAAAACCTTAAAAGATGAAAAAACGTGTCGGCGTAGTATTTTCCAAGTCCCTTTTTTCCTGGCCTTGAGAAATGATATAAGAAATAAGCTTTTTAAATCAAATCTTCCCATGTTTTGATTTGAAAAGTGTTGTTGGATTTTTGAGTGGGATCTGACCGTGAACTGTGAGAAAAATACATCATTTCCTCTAAAAACTAATCCAAAAAGTGTTTTTTAATCTTGATTCAAAATTGAGAAATGAATACACAGGGGAGACAGGTAACTTTGGGGAACCAATTTGCTGCACTTCCCTCCTCTAAATGAAGTTGGTTGCTTTGAAACTCGCAATTATGTGCATTTCAAAACTAGATCAGCCGTACAGTTATACAATATCTCCATCAACCACTCGAGATAGTGAGGCATCCATCAGTGCTTCTACAAGTACAACACTGTAAAGGACAGGTTATAAAATTCATTTTATTGTTGTTAGAAAATTCAGAACATATAAATGTCCTATCCTTTAAATTGAAGCATGAAAAAGACAAAAATAAAATACTGAAAAGCTTTGGAAGAAAACATTAACCCAGAAGGTTAATGTCACATGTCCAGACTCAACCGTTAACATCGGGATGTAATACGTGAACGCTCTTCAGTTTTCTCTGCAGAACTCCGGATCGTGAGTGATTGTGGATGGATATAATGTACAGAAATGTTAAACTAATGCAGTTCTGTCATGTGATTTTGGAGGGATCACATCCACAAGAATAGGGATACAAATAATTGCCAGAAAAGTGTTTACTCAGGAGAGGCCATGTCACCTTTTAAGGGTCTCGTCACTTTGTCATCTGGTCCTATCCAGCCCTTTTTTTTTTAAATTGGTTAATATTTTTCATATGAATTCTTGTGCGGTAACCAAAAGTTATTTTAGAGATCATAGTGACCGTGATCTCCTCATTCAAACATCCTCATTCTTCTGTTCAAGTGCACAGGAACTAGATTTTTAAGTATTTCATTTTGGTGCTCTTGGGGAGTTGTTAACTGTTTCCAATTGATGGACAAAACATCCCCACTTTTGCCCGACTAAAGAAAGTGAAGTTAAAATTCTTTAACTAGCAAAGACACTTTGCTCTGAGAAAATTCATAGAGCGTTTCCAACAAGTGGAATGAATGCAGTTATTTGTGTTTTCATTGCCAAAAGTTAGGAAAAGGTACCCAAACTACCGACCCCGACTTTTTCTGTACTCGTCTGCTGGGGTACAAACCTGAACTACTATCACTGGCACCTACAACAGGACCTACAGTTACTTAGTTATTAACATAGTTAGCGTGCAGCCAACACGATTAATGACAACTTTAAATTATTTTCATGAAAAGTTTGCAAAATGCTTGATTTAAGAACAAAATCGCAACCTATTAACATTCCTGCCAAAAATCAAGCCACCCTGAGGCCGTCAGACATGCGTACTGTGTGAACTGCAAAGGTCGAGAGGGTGCAGTACTCAAAGATCAGGATTTACCCTCTCAATCTGTACTGTACCTACCAAGCCAATCCAAACCCCTTGGAAGATGCCCACAATTAGAACCACAGCCTCTTTAGTAGACATCCTCTCCCTGACTTCTTACCCCTGCCACAAACCAAAACGCACAAGAAACCCTAGATGAAGTTTAACTCATAAAACGAGTCACTTAGTCATGAAAGAAACCATGTTTGAGGAAAATTTATTTCGTATTTTGATTTAAAAGTTTAACCCATGTCCCATCTGTTTCCATGGAGGTTGTAAAATTTGTGACCTATACTGCAGCCAGTCAACAGGGGGAGCTCTAACTCCTTTGGCTACACTTTCTGGGAGCTGACATGTCATGCTTTTTATTATGTTCTCTGATTAGACGTTTGAAACTATAAAATTGTTGTACCTACAATTACAGTTTTTCCTTTTTGGATTTTTTTTAACACTATTGGATTTTTTTGAAAAGGAAGTACAAGATCTACTCTAACTACACTATCACTGCATTTAGGGAACGACACCACTTGGCACAGGTTAGATAGATGTTGCTCTTAGAATTCGATTTGACCTTAAGCGACAACGCAAACCCAGATCTCTGAAGTCAAGTTTCAGACTCTGATGTTTTTCATTTTTCATTATGTTGGATGTTTCAGTGTCTGAATTTTCCTGCAGGGCACGGCAGTGTTGATGTAGACTAAAGCTGCTGATCTCTGTCACATTGTTGTTTAATATTGATTGAGCGAGGGATTCATATTGAAAGAACTCAGCTCAACTCTTTCTATGTTTTGTTGTAAAGAGGACTGAACACACACACGCACACACACGCACGCTGACACGAAAGCTCTACAATGTAAAGGAGCAATAAGCAGTGATAATCCCTCCTAGACTCTTCATGGGAACAGTCTCCTGTTGTTTAGTTGTAATTATCCTTTAATTCAGACTCTGATGTCGTCTCTGCTTTCACCTGCACTGTCTCCGCTCTCCTAAACACACACACACACTTGCAGAGGGTACAGTATAGTTTCTCTGTCTCGTGCATCCACTCACACAGACACACAGACACACAGACACATGCACAGCGTGGCTCTGTGCATCATTACACTCACTGTATTGCCTTACACAGGTAGAAACCTGAAGACTGTGTTAAGCTGTTTAAGACTCTTTTAGCTTCATTAAGACGGACAGAGCTCAGTCAGACAAAGTAGCTTTCACTGAGGCCCACAGTCTGCACCGTTCAGTCATGGATAATTTAACACGGACCAAAAGTCAAGTGATTTTCAACTTTTACTTTGATTCTAATCCTTTCTCTTCCTCCTCTGATGTCTTTTTTTCCTATCCTGTTCGACTCTATTTTACTCTATTTAGTCCTCTCTTACTATCATAATACAAATGTGCTGACGGAGAAATGTTCCCCTGTCTGGCAGCCAACGTCAATCATCTCCCCTGTTTGTGGAAATCACACCTGAGCCAAAAAGCGCTCTGCAAGTGGTTTCACGTGTCTCCATTACGCCCGAGGAGAGCCTGATTTAACTTCAGAGCCGCTCGCAGAGGCATCAGAAATTAAAAGTGAGAGAAATGATCTGACAGAAGTGCTCCTCGTGACGAGACAGAAGTTGGTATTTTGTGTTGGTGCAGTTAGTTTAATGTGGTTTCACAAGCAAGAGCAGAGATGAAAGTGGTTTGGAGTCATCTTCAAATATGGTTTTCATGATCTCAGCATAAAATTTGTCTCTATTGCTTGAGTCAGAAGGCTTGCATGGCCTCATGCTACTTTTTCATTTATATTTCCTTCCTTTTTTTGCAATTTATTCTCCCATGGTCGTATTTTCTGTCATGTTTCCCCAACTGTTGGCCCAAAACTAGTCCCCGGTGCGGTGTTAAAAAGACACTCTGCTGCCTTATAGCTTGACTTTTATTTTAGGTCTCATCATTTTTAGACAGTTTTAACAGAAAACTACAAACAAAACCAGAATGTTCCCATCAACCCTGAACCTCAGATCCTGGTTTTTGTGAAATCCTGTACCCACAGGATCAGGTATTTACACTGGGACTGGTGAGTCTATAAACTACGTCTTACCTTAGTGAAAGAAGACATTATAAAAATCATTAGGGAACAATTACTATGACTAAGACTGGCACCGTTTAAGGTCTGATGATACAGGATTCTGACACCAGGGGGCACTGCAACTGCATGGCCCCACACTGCAGCGAGATAGACGCACCTATGGAGAGAGTGGAGTGAGAGTTTGTGACAAAGACAGAAAGTGTGACAGGAAAAAAACACAGGGAAGTAGTGTGGAGGAAAGAAAATTGTGGAATAGTGATACAAATGTAGAAAAGTGAAAGAAAAAGAAGAGTTTAAGTTGTAAAAAACTCTGATTTGATTAGAGGAGAAAAACTTTCTTTTGTCTTTCCGCTTTACTGACGGGACAGTTTTCTTCTTTGTCCATCTCCATGCCAGCTCTCAGGTCTCCAGTCGCTCTAAAAATGTCTCCCGCCACACTTGGGGTGAAAAAACGAGTTCAGTCTGAGAATTTTGTAAGCGAATCTTTGAAAACAATACTTCTTTGTTCGAATTTAGTCATGCATTGACTGGAAAATATTAGTCAGAAATGAGATTCAGTCTCTCCTCATCTTGACTTGGACTTGACCTGCAGGTCCTTGTCACTTTTTGACTTTCACCTAACCCTGGCCCGGCAGCTCATTCAGACAGAACTGCAGCAGCAGCAGCACTGATGACTAACAATAGGTGAAACAGCACAATAGAGCCACTAACACTACAACCAACTGCACAGGAGGTCAAAGGTCAGAGCCACAGAGTCCTGACAACATCTGACAGGACTTTTTTTTTTTTTTCCTGTTGGACTAAAATGATTAACTGAAAAAGTTTTAAAAAATCTAAAGAAGTTGCAGAGAAAGTTTGAAATAAGGAGCAGCTTATTAAAGAGGTAGAAGAAAGGACAAGGACAGGAGACAAGAAGAGAAGTGAGTTCAAGTAGGAGCTGAAGTCAGAGTCTGACTTTGTGTTCCCCAATAAAGACGAATAAGAAGGGAACATATATAATAAGACTCTTTGTGTGGGCGTAAGAAGTCACATCCAAGATCTTTCTGTGATCGGAGACCTGAAGTTTCATAAAATATCTTAACATGCAAACTTATAGCAAAATGAAAGTTCACGGCACTCATTTCATATATTAATTAGTTAGGTCAGAGCAAACACGGCCTGTGAAAGTCTTAGGAAAATCGTATTATCTTGAAGTGTTTTTTAGGCTCGTCTGCATCAAAAACAGGAAATGTGGAGTTAAAAAGAAATGGAGAATTCTGGAGGCAAGTAACCACAATGAAAGACGCCATTGAGAGGAATTATGGGAAATGTTTGGCAGCAGGTTTTCTGAAGATTAAGAGAGAGGGAGCACATAGTCGAAGGCCTTTTCTGATTTATTTTTGACAGGTTTTAGCAAAAGATTTGTCTTTTTTGAGTGTCTAAACTTTAGAACTTAATTTAATGTGTTTAATTTTGTTTATTCCTGACAGAGAGAGTGTGCAGAAATTTAGCTGGACCAGAGTGAGCAATGAGCTACTTTACATCTGTAGTCAATGTACAACAATATAAGCAACAAAATCAGGACAAAATTGAAATATAAAAAAACTAAAATCATGATATTATGAAAGCAGATCAGTTTATACACCAAACAAGCACCAACAAATGGAGTTATAGGGAGTTATACCTTCTTTCTTTACTCCTCTATTCCTCTTGCAACAGCAACATGAAATACAACAAACGTCAAAGAGGACACATAGTGCATGCAAAAGAGTTTGTGCATGTTCCTTCATGGTAGTGTCAAGCAACTTCACAGTACATCACATCATGTTTGAATCAACCATAGTGCCTCTGAATTGTATTTTTTCTTCAGTGATTTTAAGAGATTGAAAGTTGTTTTCCCAGCTTGTGATTCAGTACACGGTGAAATATCACTGAGTGCATGTACAGCTTTGCAGCATCAACAGGTAGCTGGTTTTGAAATGTGGTGATCGAAGACCTGGGCCCCCCTCGAAGTTGTGGAAAAAGTTACGAGCATAGTGAAAAAACTTATCCTAGCTGACATGTTGCATCTTTTTCTGTTCCTTGGCTGCATGTTTGGATAAACAGATGAAGTAATTTGACTTAAACTGAGTGTATTCTGTCATTAAATTTCATTACTATAACCTATTATATAATGAGGCCACTGCATCGTCTGTACACCAACACTCAAACTGTGATTTAACAACCGTAAAATGAGTTATTCTTTGTTAGTGGGTTCAATAATATTGGGGCGCAGGCGGCAAGAAGAAAGGAGTCGATGGGAGGACTTAAAGGAGGAAGGAAGAAAGAGAGAAAGAGGCAGAGTGAGTCAAAAGCTTGGAAGTGTTTCCTAAGCTTTTGTGTGTGTGTGTGTGTGTGTGTGTGTGTGTGTGTGTGTGTGTGTGTGTGTGTGTGTGTGTGTGTGTGTGTGTGTGTGTGTGTGTGTGTGTGTGTGTCCAGGGGTCCTAGAAGTGGGAAAAAAACATCTGTGACCGCAGTGATGTCATTGAGAAGGGTGGCAAGAGAGGAGCAATTAACCATCACACACACACAGACACACAGGAGCGCGGTGTGGGACAAAACAGAGCTGTAAAAACAGGGCCAGCTTGCGGCCAGTCAGTCCGTTACCCATGATGCCTCGGGCCTGGATGGTTGTCACTAGGTTCCGGTCGGCGTGGCAACAAAGCTTATTAATCTGCTGATGGAGGGCCAGCTGCAGAGGTGGCAGACACACACACACACCACATAACACATTTGTGCACGCATGCACACGCTCGCACAAACACGTGCGCACACACACACTCACATAAACACAAATGCACACGCACACACATGCAAAATAAGCACATGTGACAGTTTCTCAGTTTGATTTTAGTGCCGCACACTCACACAACTCCTCCAACACACACACATTCTTGCGCTCTCGCTCACCTCTGCATCACTGTTGATTTTGAGTCAAACTCTGAAGGTCAGCTCTTGGTGTGACTCTTAATCATTTCACCACACACACACACACACACACACACACACACACACACACACACACACACACACACACACACAGACACACAGTTGTTTCCTCACACACTCAAGAACTAAAGGCATCTCTCACCTTTTACCGCTTTGCTATTGCTCAATATTTCTGACTGATTTTGTAAACAGAAAGCGAGAGTAAGTCTGAATGTGTGTGTGTGTGTATCCTTCTGTGTATGTGTGTGTGTGTGTGTGTTTGCTGTGTGTGTTTTTAAGTTTTTCTCCAACTTTAATGCTGTTCCCCCAGCATATCCTTGCTGGTTGCCTAGAGACAGGGATTTGAGCGAGGCCCCTTGGTTCATTCCCACACAGTCCTCTGGCGTGTGTGTGTGTGTGTGTGTGTGTGTGTGTGTGTGTGTGTGTGTGTGTGTGTGTGTGTGTGTGTGCGCACGCATGCATGTTGAAAGGATATTTCTCTCCTTTGCCTTTTGATTCACTCTCAGTGTGAAGCAGCTCCCTGTGGAGACAGTATGGGTGGGCAAAGAAGAGGAGAGGTGGAGGAGGTGAAGAGGAAGAAGAAGAGAGGGAGGAGAGGAGTGAGAGAAGAAGAAGGAGAGATGGAAAGAAGGGAAGTGAAAGAAGTGAGGGAGAAAAAAAAAAGGAGAGAGGAGCTGGGCCGTATGTCGTTAGGAAGATGGAGGGAGGGAAGGAGGAGGGAAGGAGAGGCTGCTGGTCACACATCAAGGCCTGGAAACAAAGAAGCCAAGAACTCTCCCTCCTCTCCTTCCTCCATCCCTCCATCCCTTCATCCCTTCATCCCCACAAACACAAGTTTCTCTTCTCACAGGAAGAGAAAGAGTCCAGTGCTTTAACTGCCTGACATCAAGGAGAAGAGACGGGTGGACAAACTATGTGATGGTTTGTTTTTCTTCTTTGTCTCCTCAACACATGATCATTTCACTCCCTCATCCGATGAACACTTTTAGAAAAGGTCTTAAAAGTGCAACTCTGAAGGTCTCTCTTAAAATATCTTCTTAAAATTATGTTGAAATTTATTTTATAGAGTTTAGTAGTAGAGTGAGTCATCTCTCAATTGAAATGAAAGATTTTCAATCCCCAGTTTCTGTAGTTCAGCTGCTGGGGTGTCCTTTTAAGACACTCTGTACGTTTTGAGTTGAACTAGGGTCAAGCTCCAGTAGGCGGTTTAACTGGGCAACTGTTCTTGTCCCAGTTTGTTGACAAAAGTATGTCCTTTTTTAGCTCGCTACCATTCGGCCGAATACAAGGTGATCACTGTCAGGTATCAAAACAATCGACAAACAGGTTTGCATGAGGCTAACGCATTTTACATCGAACAATGACAGCACTGACAACTACACAGCTTTTTACTTTTCGTACAGATGAGACCGCTTTGTTTTTTTATGTCCTTTCTTCTTCTATTGAGTTTTTTTTGTTACTTTATGCATTTACAGACAATTAATTTTTACTCTCTAACTTCTGGGTCAAAGCCTGTTGTTTGAACAGAACACACTAGTTTCAGACCAATGAAGGTGTGTATCTGGAAGAGAATAACGATCCCCAACAACATCATCTGGGTATGTTCGTGCATCCACAGGAAGTTTGACTTTAAAAGTCCAGTTTCAGTCAAAATGACTCCATAAATCCACATCATGAGTGGGTGTTGGATAGCTCATGGCCTGCAGTGTGTGAATGGGATCAGTTAGTACTCTGTCGTCAGTGTGTAAATATGTGTGTAAGGGTGACTGGGACATGTAGTGTAAAATTGTTTTAAAGTGGACTACAAAAATGGAAGTGGAGTCTATGCAGATAAAGAATTATTCCCATGAGGTTAGTCTTATAGGTCTTCTGGTTATCCTCGTCTCTCGGGACGGTATCATACTCCTCAGATTAATGGGGCGCTCACACTAAGTGCGAGTAAACTCATCTACTCGCTTAATTCGCGCAAATCTAGGCGCGTGAATGAATAGTTTTTACTCGCTTCATTCACGTGTCAACGGTAATTTCAACGGTAATCCCAGCCAATTTAACCAGCGTGATCAAGTAATAGACAAAGGTTTTTTACAATTTACTAGGTAATCTGACCTCCTCACTCACTCACTCACTCACCTCCAGGCTCCTTTTTATTCCGGTTGTGGTAATTGAGAGAAAAGGTATCATATAATTCAGGGCACCCACACGCCGACACGATCAGTTTGTCCTCCGCCTTATATACAACCGTCCATTTTCATGCGTCACCCGGCAACCTTCATGCTGATTAGTTATCGCGAGGGGAATATCCGCTCAAATTGAGACATTCAACTTCAATTCAATCACGCCCAATTCGCGTCATTCGCACCACCAGAGTAGTAGAAGTGTCTGATCCCGTCTTTGCATTGACTTAACATGTGATTCATTTGTGCGAATGATTTTACTCTGAGATTAGACCAGTAATCAGCATGGGCCAGTATTCATCATTTGGCTAAATATCTAGTCAAACTAAAATTCTTTCTTCACGTTTTTGTCATTTTGTTCTTCAGTCTTTCAGTCCGCACAGTTTCTCATATACTTGAATTTATCATTGTTATAGCAGAAAGGAGCAAACACTCATGTGTAGCAGACTCTTGAGAGTTTTTGTGACATTAGATGCGAGTTTGCTGTTAAACTACAATGACTGTTATATTTTTAGTTTTGGCTCAGAATAACACGCCGCAGTGATAATACTAATTTTCCCAATAATGAGAAACATAGCAAATTACCACTCTAGTGCCTCTAATAACAGTTATTAGCAGTCAGAAAGTAAGTTGGTATCTTTGTTTTGTCATCACTTCTCTGAGATTTAAGTTGAATTGTTCAAAAACGGCGTCCTACCTCTGTCAATCTGACATATATTCAACGGGATTAGTCATCATCTTCCCACTGACTGGATCTCAGATGACAAAATGACAGTTTAATTCACTTCCCACCGCTGCTGCTGATTCCAACAACTTAGAGTTTGAAAACTCAGAGATGGTGTTTGATGAGGGGTAACTACAAAACTTCACAAAGATAATATAACAAGTTTGAACATTATCTGTTTTTCTTGATATGAAGAACAATCATGTGCCGATCTCTCCCCTGATTTGTGTTTTTTAATCCCTAAAACTTTTCCCCATCATCTCATCCTCATCATCATCAACCCCTCCCTCTAAAAAAATCACCTCCTGATCCCCCCCCACCCATGCATTCCTCCCTGCTGATGTCAGACTTAAATTGACCCACAGAGTGTGTGTGTTTGTGTGTTTTCTTGTGTGTGTGCTGAAGGGTCAGGCTTGGTTGCCAGGACGATAGGCCCTCGAACAGCTTTCTGCTCCGACGCTTTGAGCCCCCCTGCTCAAAGCATCATGGGAAAACAATTAAAACCTCCTTCAAATCTCTCCTGCTCCCCTTCTCGTTCTTTCTCTCTCTTTGTCCTTCTATCTCTGTTTCCCTCTCTTCATCTCTCCATCCAATCCTCTTCATCTCCGTCTCTCTCGCAGACAATCTTCACTCAAGCTTGAGTTTCTGCCTGAACTGGTAAAAAGTTTTTGAGCGAGTATTTTATTCTATTTTCCACCTGAGATGTCTTTTAAAGGGGGTAGCAGGGGGTCTTTATTCCAGAAAAACTTTGGTCTGAATGCGGAGTTCATGTGTGAGCTTGTCTGAATATTTTATTTCATCAATATTCAGTATGAAGAGAAACACAGCATAACATTGTATGCAATACTTCTATTGTTGGAGTTTGTTCAGAGATATAAAAATTTGCAAAGTATTCTTGAATCTCTAATAGATGCACAACAGACGACAAAGGAGAGATGTGAGTAAGAAACAGCAGGCATATAAAAGCAGCTACCTACTTGCCTTTAAGATTGACGAAAACAAACTTATGCGCCTTGTTTCAGGTTTTTAAAGCTTGTGTAAGCGACTTTCTGTGACTCTGTGGCCAAAGCAGTCTTTGCATATCTTTTCTTCTTATGTGTCAGTTATGTCTTTTGACAAAAAACCTCGTCCAATTGACTTTTGACTGTCAAAAGTAACATTTATTGTGTTCCATGTGACCATTGTGAATACTGAGCTTTTTCTGTACCTACACCCTCACACCGATTTCAGGCATTATTAATGTCATTATAAAAATTGCCAATCTTGCCCCTTATGGTTTTGTTTGCTTATTAACATCACAAAAAAGCATCAATTTAAATTTCAGGCTATTTCATAACCATAAAAAAACTCCTTATAGTAGCTTTAATTATCTTTTAGAAACCCGTAAAGTTGTGTTCATACCTTAAAGACTAAATTTGGTTCATCTTCAAAGTGTGTGGTCACGAATTGGGTAGAGATGCTCTAAATTTAATGGGGGTCTTCATTGACCCATGCAAAATTCTTAAACTAAGTTTCATTGAAATTAGTCAACACTTGAAGCTAACTCTCACTGCCAATTTGTAAATGCTGTTATTATAGAGACGCCTGAGACACAAATACCTGCCCAACAACATTTGACCTTGTCCATCAGTCAGATGAGTTCCTCGTAACTTCATTGAGTTCTTTTGTGACCCATGTTTCACCTATGCTTTGCTTCCTCTCATGAAAATGTATACATTAATTTTTCCTATAATTCCTCTGAAAAACAGAAAGCCAATCAGCTTTTATATTTTTCCTCCACTGGGATCACATCAGAAGCAATTGGGCTGACCACAGCTCCATAAGATTAGATTAGATTAGATTAGATTAGATAGAATTTTATTGATCATTAAAGGAGCAATAAGTAATAAGAATCTATTTTGGTTGTTTTCACACATGCTGGCAGGTTGGTAGAGGAAAATGCTGTCATCATGTGATGATAGATGGTGATCGCTAAATGGTTTAGAGATTGCTTAGAATTAGAAAAGTCATGACCGTGACAAACAAAATCATCACTGAGCAGACTTAGAAACGGCTCCAACAAAGTTTAAGCAAACATAAAAACACACTTTTATATTAAATCAAAGACCAGTGAGAGAGTGTTTGGTAAACCGTGAAATATTGGTGTAGAAGGGTTGATTTTCAGCCTTTTTATAGGGCGATATTTCACCAAAAAGCTTTTGGAGATGAAACTTTTGGCTCATTTAGAGAACTGACAGAAGAAACTCCTGCTGGAATTAAAGACAGGAAGTTGCAATTACAAGGTCAAAGTCTTAGACCCCAAGGCCGGCATGACAAGACCACCAATGATGCTGTTATATGTCTACTAAACCCTAACTGACCTTGAACAGAAATGAGGGAACTCAACCAGGTAACTGAAAGAAATCAGATCCAATCTTATCATTGATCCTTTTCAATAATCATATTCAGGAGGTCGTCTTGTTGAGAGAACAGACATTTACATTAAGTTTTCTTGATGTCGGCTGGAGTTAATTGTGTTTATACAAGCAAAAAGTTAGAAACAGAAGATGGAAACCAACAAATGTCGATTAAAATGACAATGAAACCGTCACTCTTCTGATTTACCTTCACAAATTTGTCAGCATCTTTGTGACTAAGATATCCTGTTTTGCACTTTACAGCATGTTACCAACCTGAAACTGAAAGTAGCTAAATGGACCAAAAATGAATCATTGAAATCCATTTATTGTTTGCTGAAATCACTTCTCAATTGTACATAATGAAGATTTCTTCCCGGCTTGTCCAGTGTAATTAATTTGATGCTGATAAAGACTCAAAGTGAAAGTGGAAGAAAGAAACACAAAACCAGAGCCGTGTCCTTTGTGTCAACTCACTAGGAAATGATAAACGCCGAACTCTTTCACCTCCTCTCTTTCAGTTTCTCTTTGGCTGACAATCAATGATGACTTCTCAGTGAGAGGACACAGCAGAAAGGATGAACTGCATCTGTGTAAAAAGTTAGAAAACTGTCAAAAACACGATTAAGACTGTTTAAAAGTTAGAGGAATGATCCAAACAGAGGATTAGACAATAGTTCCTCTTCAGTATGAAGCCTGTAGTTTTCTTCTTACAGGTTTTTGTTACCAGGTAAATAGAAAAAGGGATAAACTCAGAAATGGAATCAAATACCCATGTCATCATGATTGTATTGCTTTTGTATCTATAACCTCAACGAAGTCTGTCCTTGACCATCCAAAGATCTCTTTTGGTGTTTTTAGACTCCATCACAACAGTTTATTGTTAATATTTGAGTGAAAAAACATGATTGTTAGAAGAAAACAGAGACGGTTGAAATGTTCTCCAAACATTTTGTGTTTAAAAAGTACCAAACAGATGTGGCTGAACTGTCGGCTTACTCAGACCCTGACAGGGGGGGGAGTTGTTAAGAATTCAGCCATTTGGATTCCATTATCGATACTGCTGATCAAAACGATTCCTTATCGATTCTCATTGAACTCATTGTCATCTAAATGTAATTTAACCTCCTAAGACCTGGCGTCCACATGTGTGGACATCACATTTTTGGTTGTCAAGACCACAATGTTAAATTTTGGTCTACAAGGGCCTTCTCTCAAAATTTAAAACGAATGTCCTCATATATGGACATCATTTTTCTCAGAAACTACATCATGTAAAAAGATCATTCTTTGTTTTTACACTCATCAGGTCCCAATTAGCCTAAATATCAAAGAGAAAATAAAAATGCATGCCTTGCAAGAGTTCGGGGCTTAGGAGGTTAAGGAGATGGAGAGTATTTATATAGTGGAAGGGGGTTAAAATGGCGCTAACATCTACACGACAGACTGGTCCTGGAGGAGTTAAATGTTACTTTCAGAATTTAAAGCAGTTAACGCCAAGACGTTAGCTCTGCTCCTGCTTTTGCCTGTGCCAGTCTCGCCTTCGCTAAGTAGCGTTTCAAACACGTTTTACTTCCGCAAATTAATTGCATGCTGGATGGACAAATGTTTCCACATATTGGAAGGATTTACCCCCTTCAACGACATTACAGCTTTGCAAGTGTTGCAGGTAGCCGCGGTATCATCTTTTCGCATGAAATACAGCCGAACTCTGGAGTGATTTTGCCTCAACGCCATGCTGGAAAGTTCTGAACCAAAACACATTTTTCACGTACCACGTCATCACGCTTTGAGACGAAAGAGGAACCGATGAGCAGAATCGTTAATGAGGCAGACAAACAATCATTGGGAACCGGTTCTAAGAAAAAAACGGTTATCGATTCTTTTAGACTAAAATAGGACTTCATATTTATATAAAATGTTTTTCTCCAGTTCTTCAACAATTACTGCTCATCCTCTTATTAATTTTGACCAAAGGACGTTTATCATTTTTTATGATCAATATACTTGGCATTGGATTTAAGGATCTGCTTATCAAATACTGTTAAGGAAGTTTAAAATTGAAGCATTAGGGACCCAGGTGTTGTCAAAAGTTGGCGTTGGTTTCTCCTTGTGGTCTTGGACGTGTCTCCTTCCGTCTCCTGCTCATGGTCGTGGCTCGGTCTGTGGAGTTTGTTCTGGTGAGATTGATTGTGCTGCACATTCCTCTGTGATACTAACTCCTCTGGATCTGACAGGGTCTTTGTGTACTTTTCTGCATTGTCATTTCCATAAATGCCACAGCTAACACATCATCTGCTCCCCAGCTTATTATCTCCCCATGTACTTTACAAATTCAATTAGGCGCTTCCTTCCATCTTGTTACATTTCCTCAACAGCTGAAATAATTTTTGGAGCTGTAGTAATTTACTGCACAACATTAACATTTTCTGTCGTGAGCCGTCAAGTCTTCGTCTCTCTGACAAACTTACTGAAGTCATAGATAATTCATTTGATTCTAAATTACAGCTTTCCATCGCGCCGCGCGCCCCTCTTGCAGGGGTTTGTTGTGACAAGCGGGCGCGCCGCTCGTCTCCAACCGTGATTTCTGTCGGCCCCGATGACAAAGATATCATGCAGCGCGTCTTCAAACATGACGCTGACATGTAGCACTTATCCACTCACTCAGAGAGAACCCGACAGCAGTGCTCCTCGTGACACCGCCCTCATTTCCCATGATGCACATGGACGGGGTTCGCCTCTGCATGAAGATTAGTAATAATAAGAGTTCTTGAAAATTTTGGGATGTACTTGATTTTTTTCAAGAAGAAAATGGGGTGGGGAGCTGGAAGGGGACAAAAGCTGCCAAAGTGCCATTGTGTCTCAATAAAATACGACATTTCCTCTATTGTGTGTGAATGAGTCACTTATAAAGGCAGAAACGTTGGATAAAAGGGAGACGTTTATTTAATTCTAATTTCAGAATTTGCATCTGAAACAACTAATCGGCTTCATTTGATGTGTTTGTCTAGTTAGGCGACTGGAAAGTGATGGCGTAGGTTAGGAAAGAGGAGGATCAAGAGGAGCCGGAGGGAAAGAAGCGGAAAAACCAGCACCAGTACGAAGACAAACGCTGATTGAAAAAAGTGTTTCTGTTTGGTTCATCTTTGCTCCTCGTCTTCAAACATTCAAACACAGATTGTGGATCTGCCGTTTTTGTAGAAACTGACTTTCGACAGCTAAAAATATTCCTTTTCGTGTATTCAGAGGGAACTTAGGTCTGTATTTGTCGATGCAGGTGAGAGAGTGAGGATTGTATGATGTGTAAAAAGCAGGAAAATGAGATAAAGACCCTCAGGTTGTGAGTCTGTGGTCCGAAGTCAGTTCCCTCAGCGTGGGTCAGAGACTGTCGCAGGTTTTCTGTTTAACAGTAAGTTATTAATGTCTTGTTCCCATCTCTGAGTGGATCGATAAATCTTTACAGCCGGCGACCTCGACCAAGACTTGAACACTCCTGAAGGCCTTTTTTGAAGATTGATTTACTCATTTCACTCTGAAAGTCAGGTAAGAATTTGATGTGAGAAGTTCGCTTGTATTTTGATCGTTTTCCTTTTCTGTATTTTTATTCGAGACTCTTCAAGCGTCCTTCAGGTCCGTGACTACTGCGCGGCTGCACTGATGTGATTGGGGTCATGTTTGATTTGCTCATTCAGAGAAACTTCTTAAAACACATTGATTGATTACGCCTCCAGGAGAATTTTTCATATCCTTTCACGACTGGTTCGGATTGATTGGGGCGGATGTCAGAGTTTGTTTTTCTTACAGTCGGGTACATTTGGGGATTGTTGGAGGAAACAGTTTTTTGATTGAAATGAAATAACCTGGATCGAGGATGGTTCTTCCCCCACGCGTATGACACCGATTTTCTGCGGCATCCATCCCGGGGTCATGAGCAGTTAAAGGCGTCAGGATTTTCTGAATGCAAACTCAATCTTGACACGGACAAAGTTTTCAACAAACATATAGAAATTCCTTTTAATTGTGGAGAAAGTCTTAAACACAACTTGTATCTGGAAAAACAGGTACTTTAAAATGAAGTTAAAGATCAATTATGGATTATCGATATGAAGTCTCAAAACTTAGTAAGCACATGTGAACTTTGTACACTCTACCTTTTGACTTTAGTGCATTAATTTGATCGAGTGTACTTTTTTCAGCAAGACATTGGAGTGAACTAAAGCAGAATGAAAAAAGATGATAAACGAAATATCATCAGCTGTATCCTTCATTCAGTATTTCCTTAAATAAACTTTGTACTGGTACAAAAGTGGATTAAATGTGTGAGAGACTGGACTGTAGGGGGCATTTCAAGACTCAGATTTAAATTATATAACTAGTTAGTGAGAGATGGTGCAAAGTTTGTGTCTTTGTGGAAAAAAGAAACCGAAAGAGCAGGATGGGTAAGAAGTTAGAGCCTGAGTAACTTATCCAAAAATGTCAACCAGTAAGATAATAGGGGCTCCGTTTCTCTTAAAGTCCCACTCCGTCTATTTTTTTTTACTACTTAAAGTGTTCTCAGTGGTCTTTAAACTGAGATTATTAAGCTTTCAGCCAAAATCATGTTACCTGTGTCATTTTCAAGGATTTTTCTTCTGCAGAGCTTCTGTAGCTCAATAGCATTTCGCCTGCAAGTCGTGGGCAGAGACAGCGCTGCTCTGCACACTTCTCTTTGCGTTAGCTTGCAGCCTAACCTGGGATTTCCACCGCATCCGGAAACAGCTCCGTTCTGGAACGGCTGCAATTTTCACCTTCTGCCAATTCCTACCAGATCCGTTTGTGAAAGAATTTCGTGGCGGACTACTGACAGCAGGAATCACGAGAACTAACAAGAACCCACGGATGCAATCGGGTGATAACAAGTTGTCTTAAGCCACATAGGCTAACCCTATAAGCAATAGATTGTGTCCTTTCAGAGGAGGAAATCTATTTCTAGACTTATAAAATCAGCATCCGCTCATCCATGGTGTCATCGGGATGAAATGCTGTCTATAAACCTTTCACTTGTTCATCCCCGCCTGTTTGGATGGTGTGAAATACGATCCGTCTGAAACATGGAGTGTTTTATTTTGAAAAGAAGCCGGATGTTTTATTTTGTGTCTGTGCCCGACTTCCTTTCCAGCACAGGCTAATCTCTGCTGAATTTATCCGCCATGCTGCTGCATCCAGAAAAAATAGAATTCTTGCAATCCGCAGCGGTACGGAAAGAAGCCGGTGGATATTGACACATTAACTTGAATGGTTACGATCAGCTACGATCGGCAGATATGGCCTTTTCGTAGCCATTCCATAGGCGGTGGAAATTGCCAGTCACATTGCCGGTGTAGTAGAAGTAGTGGGTAACATGGGATCTATTCAGCTCTCGGACACTAATGTCTTAAAGGACATGATAAAAGCCAATATCATAATTTGCTACGTAGGAATCTTACTGTGTCTGAACCTGCCGTTTGGGTCTGCCAGAGATTCACAGCCATTTGAATGCAGAAATACTCAGAAATGCAATTTTCCACTTATTTTTTACATGAGGTGTTTTCTAGCTCCAGAAGAAAAGTATATAAACATGTAGACAACAGGAAAAACAGATTTTCATCAGAGTGGGTCTTGAAGTGTTATTGGGATGATCCGGCATGCTTCGTATCATCTGATCAGACAGGCAGGCAGCAGCTGATGAAAAAAAATAAGAAGAGGAACCTCAGCAGAAGGCACAGAGAAGGGAGAGAAAAGCAGCACATGATGAGAGGGAAACTCAGACTTAACGTCCCGTTAACTGAAGACTTTTTCAGATTTGCCCTGGTTGTTTACTCTAAACTCACTTTGAGAGATTCTGTGTTTAATTCCAGTTTGAAGAAGCGTGACTCTGCTTGTTGGTGAACTTTACGCACTCTGAGAATAAATCTGTCTTTGTTTTTTTTATTCTAATATTTCTCCACATACTAAATCAGAAAATTAAGACAGAACAGAAGACGAGCAGAAAGAGCAATTTAGGCGCACAAGGACGAGGACTGAAGAACAGACAGACACTGAGGGACCTTGGAGGAATTCTGGTTGACCTTCGCCTCGTGTGAATTAGTCTGGAGAGCAGCCGGCTGGTGTTGCCTGAGGCTGCACAAACACACACACACACACACACACACACACACACACACACACACACGAAGAGGGAGATGTCAAAGAAGCCAGTGTGCCTCAAAGACCAAAGGACACATTACATGTTTGCTGCATGACATTCCCCAAAAATGATTTCTGTGTGTGTGTGTGTGTGTGTGTGTGTGTGTGTGTGTGTGTGTGTGTGTGTGTGTGTGTGAGAGACCTCTAGGCCAGATCTTGAGTGCTTCTGTCAGCTTTAACTGTCTCCCGAAAGCACACAACTGTTTCATTAAAGACAGGAAAAGATAGACACACACATCTTCGCCCCCCTCTCTCTCTCTCTCTCTCTCTCTCTCTCTCACTCCAACTCTCAATGTTCTCTTTATCTTGCTCTCTCTCTCTCCTTTTCTGCCGCTGCATCCCTCTCTCCCCTCCTAACTGCTGTTTTGACAGCCGTCATGGGCGTGGCTAACGGGTTCCCAAAAGAAATTTGTCTGTCGGTCAGTCCGTCTGTCTGTTTGTCAAATTTTCAGATGATAAATTGCGGGGGAGAGGGTGTGATGACGACTTGGACTCACCTGAATTCTCCTCCCAGCATCTCTCTCTCTCTCTCTCTCTCTTTCTCTTTTTTCCCCCCATTTCTCTCTGTCTCTCCCTCTTCCTCTCTCTGCTCACCTACTTTTCAATCTCTGCGACAAGCATTAAAAGCAAGTGAAGGGAAGAGCCACAATTTGAGAGATAAGAATTTTCATTTGAATATGAATACAAGTTGGTTTCATTTGGATGTGTAGGAGTGTGTTTGGTGAATGTGTGTGTTTGTGTGTGTGTGTGTGTGTCTGGCAGGTATATTTTGGCGTGCTGGCAGCATTTTTTTTTTTTACCCAAGCTTTTTGCTTTTGTATCAGCCAGACATCTTCAGCCTATCAGCAGGCAGCGACAGCTACGATGTTGTTGTCAGGTGAAGTGTTTATTCCAACCTTGTTCCTGTAATCTTTGTCTGCCATGATGGAAAGACTCTGCAGTGAAACGTTACCTCGAATGAATGCTAATGTCGTCCTATCTGCAGGATATTTAATATTTGCTTCTCTTAAGGATTGGATTAGACACATGTGGTGTTTACAGCTGACTTTGTTCCTATACCAGAAAAATTGACCAAAAAATTTGGCTGATTGGTGGCGTGACCTCTCGTTCCGATCCTGAGAATAGTTGCAAAGCCAAGTGATCCCTTTTCTCTCAAGACAAGAGGTGGGTTAGTTAGTCATACAGATAACTTCAAACACTAAAATGATGAGGGAAACTATAGCTAGGATGATATGATGGAGGATTACGACCACATTATGGATGAGGAAAGATTGAGACAAAGAAAAAATACGAATTAATACACAATAATAATTGCCCCGATGTCAATAACTTTATATACTGTGTATACTATAGATTGTATATAGACTGGACGCCATCTGCCTCCTCGCTGGGTGAAGCCACCCTGAGAACAGCACCCTCTGGTGACAGGCTGCAGTATAGGTCATAAATCCGCCTTCTCCAGCAATCCCCATGGAGCTGTGGACAAACTTTAGAAATTAATTTCAAAGAATATAATTTTTTCTCTTCCCTGCTTGTGATGTTGACATGTAGTTACTGTAAGACTGGTTTGTGCTCAAGTCCTCTTTTTTTCTGTACAGCTCCATTTTTAAAAGGTATTCGGAGGTTCATGTTTTCTGTGATTGACACTTGATACAGCCTATGCTTACCTGGGTGATACACCGTCTGAGCAGTGTGTCATCTCGGTAACTCTCCCGCCAAATGCGTACAACGCTACTGTGCAAGTGGTGGTCCCAGAAAAAAAACAACATAACACATGGATCCAAAATACAGATACAAAAGGATGCGGAAATGAAGTTATATTTTTGAGTGGATTAAGTCAGAAGAGTTGCGAGTTAACAAGAAAAAATAAATTACTTGAAGAGATTAAAGTCAAAAATTGTTTTGTAAAATTTACTGCAATCCCATGAAACCTAATCCGTCGAAAACCGCTTCTTCTACGTCATCCAAACCAACTTCCAGCCAATCATAGAGCGTGATGTCATCAACAGGCCAATCTGGCAGCCCGAACACACTGGTACCAACGCCTGCTTTTTTCGCTCCATGCTCTGTTCTCAGTCCTGTTTTGGCTCTCTTTTTCAACTAGACTCATTCACTGCATTATCTAAGAGATGATATGGATGAATTCATAGATATTTTTCATTTATTGTGTACTCAAACTTTCCACAATGTTTCACATGTTTCTACATGTCCAGGATGTTATATAATAGTTTAAAAGACTCTGAATGACCGTGGAGATGGGAAATTTATTCCACCTGTGCAACGGAAACCAGCAATAAAACCTGGAGCTCTTTGCCTCAGTGCTCCGTCAGTATCCTCCCACCTTACCCCCCCATTCATCAGCCCTCTCCATTAGAGCTGGAGGTGTTGGACTCTGTGCTCTCCACATTGAGAGATGTGTCTCTGCTGATTAATTGCCGTCTGATCGCTGCTGTTTCTACTCCCCGCTAATTTCTCTCTCCGGGTTTTTACAGCCTGCAGCGGCCTGGGTGTGAGGGTTTCTAGCTGTAATTGTGCAGTATTTGTTGCTAATAGGATAATAATTGGAGCAGGTGCAGATAACTGGGTGGTTATTGGGCCTGGTGAGGAGAGATGGAGTTTGGCACCACGCCAGGGACGCCCGCTGCGCCTTCGCGACGATGCAGGCACGTAAAAACACACTTTTAAAACCAGAGTGCCTCAGAGGGAGGGCAATTATTATCCTCTGCTTATTCTATCTTCCCCCTCCAGCTCTATCCGTCTCTCTGAAACCTTACACTCACAAATCTGTGTGTTCATTCCCTCACCTTTCAATTTCTGCCTCTGTGTGTCTTCTCTACTCTGTTTACTTGCTTTTTTTCTGCTTCTGTTGTAACTTTTATCTTTTTATTTTTTCACAAATGTCTTATTTTTTCATATTATCCTGCAAGTCATGTTTAAATGGGAGATACATGAGAAAACATGGACTACAAAGTCCTTAAAGACTA